CACCATCATTTTGTAGATCACTCAAATCTTTAGCACAATTTGCACCTGCATTTCAAAGTAATTTAAACAAAATATTTTTTTTTTAACTATGTTTAATTGGAGTAGGATTAGTCGCATTTCCATTTTGATTTCTTAAATTTCCAAACATATTTTCAAGAAGTTCCTATTTTGTGATTTTATGTCCGGCAAACAAATCCGTGAAACGACTACACACGTGCGTATTTGTCGGGCTCGCTGTCCGTGCTCGTCGTCCTGATCGACGGACGGCGAGCAAGATATGTACGCCGAACACGCGGATACACACATACGAATTGATACAGATCTGTCCCGCGTACATGTCCGCCGTACATATCCGCATGTGAATGGGCCCTTTAAGACGATGATTTTTATAAGCAAACGTCACGTGACATTTCCATGGCAATCGTGAAATTGCGAACACCAAGCCCACTTAATTAGATATGTATTCGAGTATAACGTCAATATGATTTCATTGTATTTATTTTTAAATTATACTGCAGGTATAATAAAAAATACTATAAGATACACGTGTATAATTGGTCTTTAAAGCACTTGCAACGTTAAAGGCACTCCGCTTTGCGTCGTGCCCTTAAATTCGTTGCGCGTGCTTTAAAGACTTGATTATACACTTGTATCTTAATATACTAATTTATTATGTCATTTGAATCATATTTTTGGAAAATAAGCTTCAAATTTTACATTGGCATGAAACGAAGAGAACACATTTATCATTAGTATTTGGTTGGTTATCTATGAAAGGCAAATTTATCCATTTCATAATGTTTTAATTGCAATGTGTCTTGGTGGGAATCCATGGTGGTAAAGCTCAAAACGGGGTTACAGTTACAGTTGAATAGGAATTTAACACACTAAACCTTCCCCATACTTCTTTATTAAAAAATTGTGAATAAAATCACATAGCGACTATAGTTTCGACCTAAGTCATTTTCAAGGTGTAGGAAAATTGACGAGTAACAATCTTGAACTATACATACCTTAAAATTTAAAACATCAACAACAGAAAATAGGAAATTGAAAGTACAGAAGTTACATTTTTTCCTCATACTGATAAAAAATGTAACTTCTGTACTTTCAATTTCCTATTTTCTGTTGTTGATGTTTTAAATTTTAAGCTTGAAAATGACTTAGGTCGAAACTATAGTCGCTATGTGATTTTATTCACAATTTTTTAATAAAGAAGTATGGGGAAGGTTTAGTGTGTTAAATTCCTATTCAACTGCAATGTGTCGCCTACTTATGCTACAACAAAATTAGGTTTCCTATAAATGTCCACAATTTAAATTTCCGTTATAGAGGATTGCTTACGTCTTATGATAGAATGGTCGCTTTCTGATCGTTGGTCGCTAACAATCTCCCTTTATTGTTAGATACTTAGGTAATTACTATTATTAATTATTCACACCATTTTGTCACCAGCGATTTCTCTCTGTCTTTCCACTTTATACCACCTGCTTCCTTGTCGCGAACCCTAACCAATCAAGTTTAATTTGTATACTTGACTAATGTAACTTGGGTTTACATTTCAGGGTAGGTAAATCCGTGAACGTTTTATAAAAAGTTAAATTTTTTACCCCAAAATGCATCCATGGCATTTTATTACCTTACTCGAATTCCCTCAGTAAAATGGATTGCTTTTTACCTGAATATTCAGACTGACTGAAATTTCTTTGGATAAAATCGGCATATGGGTTGCATTGCTGCCCTATGTTCCCCTTTCCTGTACTGTAAAGTCGAGATAGACTATACAAGAATTTTCGGGCTTATTATTGAACTAAATGGGAAAATCTTTTTTTTTAAACTTCTTTTAACCAAATTCGTGCACGAATATATGTCACAATGAAACAGGTTCTGAGGAACTGGAACACCCTCTATTTTAGGGTTGGTGGACTGGATATTCGTCGGTTGAAATTATACCCTGGCTCGCATTAAGTGGTTCGATCGTCCTCAAAATTCAAAGGAATGTTGATGTTCATCAAATGATCGGGTTAATTTTCTTTCGAAGCTTAATTAATTCCGAGATTAATTCGCACCCAAAGTGGTGCGTGCGTTCTGCACTTTGGTTGTTCTATATGAAGGTGTATATAGTCAAATAAACTACTTTTAAAATTAGTAACAGCCAATCGATCTATATCGTCTTATAAAAAAATTCCGTTTTTTTTACATTTCCCTTAGGTGAGACTAGTGTGGTGTATTTATTTATTCGCAAACGTTTTCAGTGGAGCGAGGTAGAGTTTAGTATTCTATTCAGCATCAAAATTGTCTTACACCTAGTAGGTATACTGTTTTCAAGTGTTCACCTTCGAATATGTGAGATATCTGATTGCTTTAGGAACTGTACTGCCACTACTGATACTTTCCAAATATTTAAAAATGGACGACACTGTTATTGGAATGATCTGTTATCTGGGAAAATTTGTTTCTGGTTTTTTGTGCGCCTTTAGTACGTCACCTCTAATGTATTGTATAGGTAAAATTACACATGAGTAGATTTAATTTTTATAGCAAACATTTTAGGCATGGTGGTAGAAATGTTTTCTCCAACAACTTTCATTACAGTGAGATCAATTGGAACTAAATTGGTATCGGTCGAAGAACAAGGTAGGTATCATAAATCATCAGAAATTTCTTTTTATTAAAGTAGTTAAAGAAGGAGGTTCTGGCGCAATGTAAATCTCCATAAGCGCAATGTATTTCTTATGGGATATTTTTCATCATGAAAACTTTCAGGAAGATTGAACGCGCTAAACTCTATATTTGAAGCCTTAATTCCGTTAGGATTCGTATCGGTCTACAACTTTGTCTATAAGAAAACAATTGATTTTTTCCCCGGAACCTTTTACATTGTGTCCAGTTTGACATGCATACCAACCATGATTCTATTGGGGTAAGTTCTATTACGGAGTTAAAAACCTAATCAGTCTTTTAAATTTAGATGGTTATATCTTCAACGAAAACATGACATCGAAGAAGACAAAATGCACGAACAATCAACCCTTTAACATTTTCCTCGTCTATTCATACTAAATTACTTACACGCATATAACATAAATGGTTTTTCAAACACATATGACCGGGGTGCAATGATAAATAAAGTATGTCAAGTAAGCAAAACTATTTCGTTTAGCTCACCCCGAATCCATATTATAATAATGAGTTAAAGTCAAGAATAAAAATGATCAGAAAACCACTTGGTTAACGGCGCAAAAAAAATCACTCAGAAAATCAAATCTAAATTGAAACGAAACTCATCAAAGGGAATAAGGTAAATTCCTTTTTGAATTCACCAGAACAGACTAATACTTAAATATAAGATCCGGTTTAGAAAAATGTAGGTAAGTAAAATAAATACCCTTGCGAAGTCTGGAGTACTTTGACCAAACGTTAACGTAAGGTGCAACTGACGGTCCAGGATAAAAGTTGGTATTCGGAGAATTTTGAAGCAATTTAGTCACCTTTTATTACCTGCACTGTTTAAGCATTCTGTTCCAGTTTAGGGTTTGCGTAATATCGTAAAGAACAACAGTTCTTCATCAAGAAGGAACAACAAGTTTTGTTTGTGGAAACCGGTTTTTGCATTTTTATTATATTACGCAACCGAACCCATATGGTTTTGACATTTTATGTTGATTATTGGCTAATTTTGTTACCAGCGGTAAGTAGAAGGTAAGTAAGTAGAACTATACAAAATAGTGATTCACTACCATTATATTCCACCCTAAATACTTGTTAATTACTAAATAGCGGCACTCCCCTAAATGACAAAAATCTGTAAACGAAAACAATATATCACTTTCCTCATTACACAACAATTGAAACTCTCTACTTTTTGCTCAGCTAACTGGGGGAGGTCAATTTTGAAATAGTTGGATTATTTGTTTTTTGTCATGTGTTCCAGTTAATGAACCTATTAAGTCTAATCGAAAAAGTACGAATTGTTTTGGATTCTACGCACCAAAATTAATAAGAAAAAGTGTTTTCCCGAGAAATTTTGGTGCAGTCGATTTTTGGTAAAAAAGGAAGGTAATAACTGCCTTTTTTTGAGCCACGAAAAAAAATTGTCTCAGATCGATCCGGAAAAAAAATTTTTCTTATAGAATGTGGCCTGTAGAATCCATAATTTCAAACAGTTCCAAGATTGGGCTACTAGTTCAAAAGTTACAGCCCTTTGAATTTTTTTTTCGAAATTGGTTTCTAGTCTATAACTTTTGATTGAGAAGTCTGATCGAAAAAGTACGAATTGTTTTGGGTAATAAGAAAAAGTGTTTTCCCGAGAAATTTTGGTGGTGTGTAGAGGACCAGAAATATTGTCTAGCAATTTCAAGCAAATATTTCCTGTTACCTGCAATGACGAACTTTTCCTGTGTATGTACTCTTTTCCTACTGAGATGCAGTAGTTTCCGCTTAGTTCTGCTTTCAAATATCAACACAAAAACTATCTTAGAGATTACCGAATAAGCGATTTATTTGATTTCATCATTACAATGTCCTAGTTGGCTATCACACGGGGCCCAACCTTAAACGACCCAATCACGTGCGGAAACCAGGTTGGTTTATGAGAAAAGTTTTAATTAGATTACCCATTTGCACGTGTCCATAACTGTATGAATTTTGTTAGTAGGTATTTAATTTTTGCTCATATTAAGTAGATAACACCCGGATATTGAGAACAGTATTTCTTCCAGTTAGTGTGGGTCGAGGTGTGGGTGGTATAGGAAAATTGTCTGTCGCTCTACTAAAACACATTGTCGTCCTGATGGTATGTTTTGAGCAATGTTATTTTCCAAATGCTTATGATTGTATGTATAAAATACCTATATGATTCACAATCGTAACTAATTCCCGGAGGTTAGAATGATTTCCGTGCAATTAGTAAAAATCGCGATCAATTCGATAAACAAAACTGTAACCACGTCGTTGATAATTTTTTTCTGAATTATAATTAATAATATTCATCAGATTGTGTAAAACCATGGTTTGTGATGTGACACAGCACTCTTCAGCTGGTAAGCTCTTTGTTGAAAATTGCTGCTGACGTACTTTATCCTTATTAATTTAACATAAATTAGTTAGTTGCTTTCCTTAGTTAGAACTCATCACGAAATTTATATAATCTGCACTTCCTAAGCGCACTTCTGTTCATGACTGAAAGTGAAACCGCGAAGGAAATGTTTCGAAGTCTGCATCAAAGCATTTATTTATCACGTATAAGAGTGTAATACCCCTTTGTTTGTCCAGAAACAGAACGAACCATGGAAACGGAAGAGTCTTCTAAAGATGAAGCAACGCCGGATAGTTCAAAGAATAAAAGGACTTGTTCCAAAATTCTAAAGAACATAACAGTTGAACCATTGATAGTTTTATATCTATTTCCTGTAGTTTTGATGATCTTACCAACGGCTAACATGGATCTGGAGAAATCTTGCCGTGTAAATTTAAAACTTAACGATACGATTTGTGACGCTTTAACAAGTAGAAATGACCAACTATACACTAGTGAGCAAGAGAGCATGGTGCAACGGGAGCTGACAAATATGAACGCCTGGAAAAATATAATCAAAGGTGTGATTCCAGCGATTTTGTTACTAATGATAGGAGCATGGAGTGACAAGTATAATCGACGAAAACCTGTAATGGGATTACCTATCGCCGGCCAGTGCGTTGCCGTAATCGGCTTAATTCTATGCACCTATTTTTTCGACGAACTACCAATGCAAGTTACTGGTTTCTTTGACAGTGTACCTTCCTCGTTGACAGGCGGAATTAGTACCTTTTCAATGGGCGTGTTCATCTATGTTAGTGCTATTTCTGATGTTCAATCGAGAACTTTAAGAATTGGAATAGTGAAAACGATGCTGGATGCCAGTACGTTGCTTGGTTCTGCATTGGCTGGCATATCTTATTGCGCAATTGGCTTATATGGAATTTATTTTGGAGTACTCGCGTTTTATGTAATTGGATTCATTTATTTTGTGTTTGTTATCAAAGAAATAAGGATGGATGAAACTGATGCCAATCAACACGTCACAAAGTTGCAAATGTTTAAAGATTGCTGCAACCTGAAATATATTAAACCTACGTTTATGGTTGCATTTAAACGGAGAGTCAAGAATTATCGAGCAAGAGTTGTGGTAATATTGATATTGATTGTGTTCAATATGGGTCCTTTGTACGGTAAGCTTTATGACATACCTTTAAACTTTATTGTTCATTCATCACTCATATGTAAAAGTGGTCGTCAAAAAGTATATGGCCGTGTAAATCTGTCGGATTTTTGAAATGTTTGAGCCCACTATACTTTTTATTAGTGGAACTGCGGATGCCTAGTTGAAGTTGTATGTTCGCATTTAAATACTGACTATTTAAACAGTTCAGAATAGACATTCCGATTAAGGGTGGGCAGAATCATTTAGTTTTTTTTTAGCACAAACTTATACATACCAAATTTTTATCAAATAGATATCGCCGAGGACAAACGAAACATACAAGGGACAAAAACTCCTCGAAACGGGGAGAAATTCTTACTGAATTGTCTGAATTATCGGATTAAACGGCCGTGGGTTTTGATTAACGATTCATGGTAAATGATTAAAGATGATCGATTTAACCTGTTAGCACCATTTCGTAGGCACGTTAGGACAGAATAGGCCAGATTATTTATTATTATTTGTACTAGGAGTGTTGCCAGTCGGTTCCTGCACTGCGACATTTTAGTCAATTGTGCTCCCCGATGTTGTCTACCCTTCAAGAATGCCTATGACTACCTATATCCTCGCCTATATCTTTAACAAAGCCCAAGAGTTTGGTAGAGCGAACCTTCGTTGCTTCCTGTGTCATTTTTAGCGCATTTTTGAAAAAAATACGCTATTATATTCGTTATTGCTGGCAGGCCGGCTGTCCGCGTTAGATCTCCACAACTACAATAGCTAGAGACTCCAAATTTTCACTAAAAGCTTTCTGCTACAGTGTAGATGTGCAGGCACTAGTCTGTGTCATTTCGATATGGGTTTCGGAGGTGCTATAATTTTACCGTTAGATAGCGCTACCAGTATAAAAACTTATTATTTACTTTGTGATTTGTTTTACAAAATGAAGACGTACCGTCAATTGAAATTAAATAAAATTAATTATTTAACGCAGCCAAAATTACTCGTGAGATCGATAATTTTTAAACTTCGCTAATAAATACTGACCTGCATTACCAAAAATGCGCTTTAATCATGCATATGCTGATTTACAACTTGTTTTAATTTGCAAGTAGGCGTTTTTCCCCCCCCCCCCACATTTGTAAATAACGTGGTGTTGTGTGGTGATAGCCAGATTCTTTTTCTGAAATATATTGATAATTTGGCATAAACTGTAATACAAATATTGGACAATAACTTATAGGGAAGACATCTACATAATATGTTCCTATACACTCGAGACATTTCTTAAACATTACCGGAAATTTATTTATATTTATTAATCTAATCAGCAAAGTTTGTTAATTTCCAATCATTTTGTGCCTCGATAACGCAACGTCAAGTACGACTCACATTCTCCCCGCGCCTCTCATTTCTAACTTCACGTATTCCATTGTCCCAAGTTAACTGTAATCCAAATTTTCTTATTGTAACTTAATTCAAGAATTACCCCATTAACCAGCATTTGATGCTTTCAGATGTTGTAACCAAAACCGATTCCAAAATTGCTTTTTGCCGTTTATACGCTGTCTAGTCACTTCTTTCTCACACTAACAACATCACATACCGTGCCCCATATGGTGATACCGTTTGTTCGAAAATGCGACCACAAAATACCACAACAATTTGACTTTAATTTTAAACCCTTCGAACTATTTTTAAGGCACTCGACTACTATTTTAACGAACTGGTGCTCGTATTTCAGTTTTATTAACGATCCGTGAGATCGCTTATAATTTTGTATTGCTGTCTATCTGTGTAGAAACGTCCGATCGCTTTGAAAATTGATACATATGTTCTTCAGGATATAAGAAAGGTCCCTATCGTTTTCCGGCTACGTAGACTAACAGACCAAAAATTTACAGACCAAAAACTGCCCAAACCTTTAAAAAAAGGGTCTCTTTTATAATTCTTGTTGCAAAAAACAATATGAATGTCCGGTTTTCTGTGTTAGTAGGTAAATATTCCTTAAACCTATGCAGATGAATAAAAAAATGCCCATGCGCAACCCAAACAGAAATCCTAAAAAATTATCGCCACGTCTGAATGCAATTCGCGTGGGTCGAATTTTAAAAACCCGAACCAGATGCGCGATTTCTTTTAATTGTCGTTGACATTATAACTGACTACTACCTACTACAATCATGGAAATTTTATTCAATGCTACACAACCTTTTCTTTTCAGGAGAAGCTACTGTAACGTATCTATTTGGGAGGAAAAGATTTCATTGGAACGAAGTTGAGTTTAGTATATTCCAAAGTTCCTGCTACGTTATGCAATTAGTAGGTAATAAACGTTCTTTTGTCTGAACTTATGCAATATTTCGTATTGTCCAGTCGAAGTATGTGCTAGTTGACTTTCATATGATCTGTTGTCATCACAGTGTTGTTTTTGATTAAGAAACCAACAGTTTACCTAGGTACATTCAGAGAGATCTTTTCAACAGAATACATACGAAAAATGTAGAGCATTATAAATACAAATTTAAACAGCATCTTTAACACAGCTAAAATTCTATTTAGAGTTAGACATTTGGAGTGAAATATCCCGATTGAGTCGCATTACTCAATAGATGCTGTTTAAAGTTTCCAATGCTTTGATGTGATCCAAGGGTACCTACATAGGGAAATTGAATCTTGAAAGAATCTCTCTGTATATGTGGAACAATATTTTTGATTGTAGGTACCATTATCGGGATATCAATCTTCTCAAAGTGGCTTAACCTACACGACGCTGTCGTAGGAATGATTTGTTATACTGGAAAAATATTTGCTTATTTTTTGTATGCATTCGCTAAAGCCCCCTGGGTATTGGTCATAGGTAAGATACGAACGTTGGAACGCTAACCGTAATAATTCACATTGTAGGTGTGTTTATAGACTCGCTTAGTGCTACAACGGTTATTACAGTACGATCAATGGGGACAAAATTTGTCCCAGAGCACGAAATAGGTATCATAATTTTTTTTTGTTCATTGTACACCATAGTTACAAACGTACACTCGATTATGTTTCTTGAAACACTAAGACGGTCCAATACTAACACTAAATCACCACGCCTAATGCGTTACTACCTTGAAATGTCTTCTTCACTATTAATTAAGAGTTTACCTCGGAATTTACCAGCTAATTAACATTCTACTCTCCAATAGGCAAATTAACCGCATTAATGGCGATATTGGAGACGCTAATGCCTTCCATATGTGGATTGCTGTACACTATGGTTTATGCTTGGACTATTGATATTCTGCCAGGAGCATTTTATCTAATTGGAGGTGTTATGTGGATACCATCCATGATACTTTTAGGGTATACGTTTTAATTAAAATACCACAAATGCCATATTTAAACTTGCAGGTGGTTGTATATCCAACACAAACATGATCTTGCAGAAGAACGGTGCAGTGATGCGGAAGAACCGAAGAAGGTGTAGAGTAGGTATCAATTGGTGCCTACTAGTACAGGTTTTATAGTTAATCTGTGCTAATAGTGTAAAGAATGACAGGATAGGGCACTAAGCAGAGCTATTTTCGCATTGTAAAAAGTAAATTTTCGGACCGGGTCATTAATTTTAAAATCGAGGAAGACATCTTTTACGACAAAATTCATCACTTACTGAAATAGTATTACCTATCAAAATATGAAAATCTGAAGCAAAATGGTCCATGGACATCTTATACGAGAGTATAAGTAAATAACAAATAAGGAATGGGATTAAGCTAATTATGTAAGTAATATGTATTTACTGTAGATATAAAATTTAGAGTATAATATAGTTTATAAGTATATGTATAAGTGCCTAGTTTTAGGAGATACCTATCTACTTATTAAACATTAAGGCATAGGTAGTTCGATAAAAACTTATACACAGAAACAAAATGATCGTTGCGGAACCTGTAGTTAGAAGCTCTTTCCGTTTTCTTAATCGAATGACTGTTCCAACAACTATATTATGTACATGTATAATTTAATTTTTATACCTAAGATAACGTATAATTAAATGTATCATTATCTATGCACAAGATAAGCATATTTTTTTGTGTATAATTTGTTTCTTAAAAGCTAGTTATGTTATACAGTATACACGCCAGAACTACATATTTACGGTAGGTAAAAAATTCGCTCATTTTGCATTCGTGTACCCAATTACGTTGCTTTGCATCCCAATTGTAACTTGTTAGTGGACTAAAACTTAACATGTTACCTAAAATAAATGTAGTGCAAAAATTGCCACCCTCTAAAGCTGCCGCCCCTAGGCACGTGCCTAGTGTGCCTATTTATTATTATTATTATTATTATTATTATTATTATTTTTATTACAACTGTACAATATATACAAAATTACGAAACTATATGATCATCACCACTTTTGACCTTTTAACAAAAAGAATACAAATAAACAAGTCACAACCTTCACCATTCACCTCTCTTCTAGCTCTCTAGCTTAAACTGTGGTTTATTGAACTTGGCCATGTAACATATCACCTCATTTATACACCAGTGATCACTTCACATGTATTTTTTCCCAAATGCCACGAATAGTTGTGTAAGATGATAGTTTTTGAAGCGACAATGAAGGCATTCCTAAGATTTGGTGTTACTCGGTTTGATTTCATTTGACTTATGGCATTACGGGAAATGTAGAATTTTGCATAACTAATTAAAAAATTGGATAAAATAACATGATTTGTGTTGCCCTGTAAATCCGAGCAGACATTACGTGCACACAGCCGTTCGTTATATATGTAAATCCGCCACTGTATGAGATCATTGGTTATACAAAGAAGAGCACTAAAATCTTTTCAAAAGGCTAGAAAGTTTCATCTCGGTGAAAAAGATCTCACGAACTCTGGCCGCATTATACAATTAACCATAGCCCATCCTTTCATATTTAGTTCACATCATCGGCGATCAAAATACTTTCTTAGTTCTATCACAACGTATCTATACAATAAGTATTGAGAATTAAAAAAAAGTGTATTGGAATGCAGTAGTACGAGTTTTTTAGGATAATCTGGAACTAAATTGGAGGGGCTACGAATGCTCTTAATTTCATACTCTATTTCTTCGATTATTTGCAACATTCATTAGGCTCGTGCTGTTAACGAATAAGTTCAGTCTTTGTACATAGCCGGACCGTTTTAAGCTTTTTTTTAGTACATCTCCTTTTAAAATACCCATCTTAATAGTAAAAAAAATTAGCTTGCACAAAAATTCGCTATAAAAAAGTGGATTTTCACGTTTTGATAGCATTGAATACATTACGTTACATCAGATACATAATTACTGTGAATCAGATATAGCAGTAGATTATGTTATATAATGGCTGCTATTAGTTGCCGCGTTGGACTATGAAGTAAATACACAGGAATTACTATCGTTTATTTTTGCGAAATGGAAGGTACAAAATTACAAAAATGTTAGTTCATCTGTATTGCAATATTCACTGGTAAGTATTTTTATTAGTTATATATTTTGGGTTTTATAAAACGATGAAGATCACTAAAGAACTTACGTATGTGTGGCAATAATGTTCTTATAAATGTGCATCGAATGGAAAATATCCGCACAAATCACAGTTTTCCACACTCATCAAAATATAACAAAATAGTAATTCATTCAAAGATTATACTCGCATGTGGCTCGATCGCAACCCTTTGTGGTATAAATTGTCCCTGTCGATAAAGAGCAGGTGTAGGACTGTAGGTAGGTATCTATATATTTTATTGGCTTTGTGCATCAACTCTAGGAACTAGACCTGTTGGATCCAACTTAAAATGGACATTGCTAAATCAGTAGGTACCTACCTATTGCCGCACAACTTGTGAGATGTGAGATGAATTATTTATATACGCAAATGATAGAAGTACTTAATTCAATTCTCACTTGACAATAAGTGATTCAAAATGTTATGCTGTGGTAAGATCCTGTAATACTTACATCCAGAAAAGTAGTTTTATATATATTTATGTGTTTGTTTGTTTAAGATCGTTTTAAAATGGAACTAACTCAAAACGATGGTAAGGATGGGACCACCACAGAAAAGACGAGCATGCCCTTCGCCATTAAGGAAAAGGCCCGTTTAATTTTAAGCAACATTACAGTTGAACCATTAATGTTTTTGTTTCTATTCCCAAGTGTTTTGATGATCTTATCTGTAGCTAATTTGGATTTGGAGAAGGCATGTCGGGTAAATTTAAAGTTTAACGATACAATTTGCGATGCTTTATCAACACGTAATAAAAGTCTGTACACGCCAGAACACGAGAATGCCGTTCAGAAATTAGTTACAGGAATGAACGCTTGGAAAAGTGTGATTAAGAGCGTTATACCCGCATGCCTACTGTTAATTGTGGGCGCATGGAGCGACAGACATAATCGACGAAAGCCCTTGATGGGATTGCCAATTATTGGGGAATGTATAACTGTAACTGGTTTTATTTTGTGTACATACTTTTTTTACGAACTGCCCATGGAGGTTACCGGTTTTTTCGAGTCCGTTCCCACGTCTCTGACCGGTGGATGGTTTACTATGTTTATGGCGATTTACAGCTACATCAGTTCCGTTTCTACTATTGAATCGAGAACCACCAGAATAGGTGCACTGAAAATATGCGCACATGGGAGTATAATGATTGGCATGGCGTTGAGTGGAGTTTTATATCGCTTCATTGGCTTATACGGAATTTTTTGTGGAGCTTTGCTCTTCTACGTCTCCGGTTTTATTTATCTGATGGTGGTGGTTAAAGAAAAAGATACCGAAAACATTACAAATTACTCTGATGGGTCGAGATGGAAGGCTTGCAAGGATTTCTTTAATTTTGGACATATTAAATCGACGTTTATAGTTGCTTTCAAACAGAGAGAGAAAAATTATCGCACACGAGTGTTTGTAATACTCATACTAATCGTCTTGACCATAGGACCAATGCACGGTAGGTATACGTTGACATCTTTTTTAACGTTTGTCAATGATTACATTTTAGGAGAAATTAGTGTAGTATATTTATTTGCGCGAAAGCAGTTTCAATGGAATGAAGTCCAGTTCAGCATGTTTTACTCTGTCAACGTTGTTTTACATATAATAGGTAACCACCTTACACAGTATCAGCCCATATATTAATGCCTATTGAATTTATTTCAGGTACAGTAATAGCACTTGCACTGCTTTGCAATTATTTTAAATTACACGATAGTACTGTAGGCATGATATGTTACATTGGAAAATTTTTCTCTGGGATTATGTATGCATTTGCAAAAACGCCATTATTATATTGCTTGGGTAAGGAGAAGCTTTTAAAACTTTACTGTCTCTTAACGACATTTGTAGGTGTTGTCGTTGAAATGCTGAGTGCTACCACGTTTATTACAGTAAAGGCAATGGCTACAAAATTAGTGTCAGAGGAAGAACAAGGTATAGAACATTACTCTGTTCAATCTGTGATCCATTTCGAATTGACTTTTAACTATCGGAAATTTGAAAATCAACACATTTTGCAATCACAGGCTAAATATACATAAATTGAATGCATACGACTCGTTTTAAACAGTTCATTTACATAAACAAACTAAAGCTGCTGGAAACAGTTGCGACCGTTGTATAAGAAATAAATCAATTTTCAATAAACACCAAAAGCCACAAAGAACTTTTCGTGGTTCAGTTGGCTGATGATAATTTTACTGTCGAAATGAGTTTGCTGTAGTTTTTGGTGATTATATTGTTTACGATTTTGCTTGCTCTGAAATGTAAATGATTAATTTTAATGTACCTAGGCAAACTAAACGCGTTAATAGCGATATTAGAAGCATTGACTCCATTAGTATTCGGACTACTGTACAATTTGGTTTATAGATCAACGATAGACATTTTGCCAGGTGCATTTTACATAGTGGCAAGTGTCGTGTGGATACCGGTCATGATACTATTTGGGTAAGTTTGGTTGCTACTTTTATATTTTCACGGTCCATTTTAGGTGGCTATATGTCCAAGAAAAACGAGATGCTAGAGATGTCAAGCAAACCTAATATTGTGATTCTGTATAATAAAACCCAATACGTATGAGTGAATAATTAAGTATTTTATTCAAAGAGCAAACCGGCCAAGATGTCGAGAGTGCGGCGATTTGTATAGGTTTTTGTGGATCCCTTACTTCGGATAAATGAAAACATAACAAAAAAACCCAACAAAGGCATTCAATTGTTGTCAAAAATGGTAACAACGCTGTGGTGCCATTTTTGGGCATCCGTTTTCATCTACGACGATGACCTCACACCCGTAACTTTAAGATGTAAGTTAAAAACTAGAATGAGCTTAAACTAAAACTCGAGAAGTAGCAAAAATTAGTAACGCAACAAATCTTTCGTACATCCTGTTACCTATTGCATCCTAGTAATTACTATAAGCATTGAATCAAAAATTAATTTATTCAATGCTATAAGTGACATTGACAATTTAACAATTACGCAGGTTAAATTCAAAGTAGGTGTACGGAAAACCTATACTAAAGACTAAAGTTATACAACGTGAACATCCTTAGATATTAACTATTAACGATCGTTTTAAGTTTTCAAAAATTGTTTTATTTTAAATTTTATTGTTAAGGCACATGTAATACCTATTTGATGAAGATGGCATTGCAAATGAGCAATTAAGATGATACGAATAGTTACATTTAAACTGGTTACTTTGAAAATTATCCAAATAAAACACAGTTTCACTAAATGACTAATATTGAATAAATACATAAAAATTCCCTAGTTTGTTGGTCCACATACCTATACCAAGATATACCAATCCCCTAATTACAAATTGGGGTAAGATACTACTGAGAAAAAAGTTTGTCCTATATGGATTCAATATAGTGTAATGAAAAGATATTGTAATACGTTCCTTTTAACTTAAATCTCCTAAGGTGCTAATACATTGGTAAGCTTAAATGAGGATAAGTTCATAAATAGAAACTCTAATCTATTGATAATGCATAATTAAAATAATTCAAAAACTAAAGAACTCTTATCAGTTAAGTTTCGTTCAAATACACATAAAAAATTGGATACTTAATTATCTATACCTATTTGCAATCCTTTACACACTTTCGTAATAATTTATGGTTTATTGATAGATATTGTTGTGCGCAATGACACTTATCTATCTAGCCCACATTACACAAAAGCGAACCCCTTATATTACCATCTTCCAACAAACTTTATTTTTAATAATTCAAGAAAAATTGAATCTCAGGGTCCAGCTAGGTTCCGAAACGCTGTAAAATTTCAATACTGACATAAAAATCTTGAAGTTCCAGAAATCCGCAATTCAAATGAAACAGTAGTATTAAATTTTGGCATATACTGGAAATAACCATCGGTTAACTCGAAATCAGAGAAATGTTCGTTTATCTGGATTTTCTTTTTTTACTTTTACTTTTATTGGAATTCAAATCGACACATACTTTTCTGATATCGCGTACAAAATTATTCTTCATTTTATTATTTTAAATTGGGTATCATTTCTGACTAACTGAAGACTTCAAACACCGGCTGACTAACGGAAAAATGTGTATTTCATTCATCGATTGAACCGATACCGCCCAGTTAGATCAGCGCCCATCATTTTTAAGTCCAGACCACCTCCACCATAACTTTTCGTACCGCTTCCACCCGACGAAATACGAAAACTTATTAAAATCAAACCGTCACTACCCGTCTCCTCTGCTTAAGCTATATCTGCCGACTCAAAAAGGATAAACCTCGCGATCAGCGTCATGTCTTAACCAACCAGCGAGTCCCGATTCTTATCTATTTTGCGTTGTTAGCTCTGCAAAAGGAGAAACAACAAATCATGGATGGTTCACTGCTATCTCTACTCAAAACACCCAAGTTTCTTCAAATACGTCTCGTTATCGCCGTTAAACCGTTCCATCGTTGACTATGATACTTTTGGTAATGAAGTAGAGACACTACTCGTTTCGATGAGGTATTTAGAATATAGTAGGTAGGTAGTAGTAATTTCGACTTTACATTCAACTTTAGATAAACGTACTTAAGTAGGTACATGTGATAGTAACCATGTTCCTTATCTATTCTTGGTTAGTTTGAGTAGGTTCTAGTGAAGAAAGTATAAACTGGCCAAGTAAGTGTACCACTACCAATTTAAGCTTGTTCATTTAGCATTTTTACCACATCAGCCGGTTATGTAATTAGCATGGTTCGTTGGAAAATGACACAAATCAGAGTAGTTATTCGGGCGTTGTACGTAATCAATTATTATCTGTAATTACCTAATACAAATAAGAGGCGCTTGATTGTGTGAGCAATGTACATTTTGTAACTCAAAAACTACAACAGCTTTTATTGGACAAAAAATCATGTCATTTTCATATTTCCAACGTATGTATACGTAGTACATGCAGGACAGAAATATGGCACTTCTGGTTAGCTCTGCATTATTGATGCGAAGGGGGTAATAAATTGCAAGTTGATTTCATATTTACACTCCTTTGTCACTTTGGCAGAAAGTTTTTTATAATTGCGAAATGTTCTACACCCGAAATGGTAGTACATAAGTACCTACAAGAAGTATACTGATACATGTAACATAAGGATGTCAATGACACAATATAAATGTTTTATAAATTTCATTATAAAGACGACGTAATTCAAAACTTGCGTCTTCATACGCGGGAAACTTCAGTCAAATATCACATGTAAGAAAAATCGTTGCGTTGACGGTTTTTCTTAGGCATCTCTTCAGTGATAAAATTGATTTTATACAATGGTATCTATTACATTCACGAAATGAGATCTAAACTTATGACTTTCACATTTTATAGAACAATGTTAGCGCTTCTGGTGGAATTTAAAAGCGTTTTTATTTTCAAAAAAATACATATCAAAATCGGAAACATTTGATACTTATACTTTTCCTTAATACCTAACTGGCAGTATCATATTTGCACGTACTTATCCATTTCTTTTATTTAAGCTGTACAATGCATATAGCCAAAGAAGAAGCGACTTCTATTCCAGGAAAATCCTTCTCTCAAAAAGCGCGTACTTGCCTGGCCAACATCACAGTGGAGCCATTGATAGTTTTATATTTATTTCCGAGCGTCCTCTTAGCCATGTCAGCCGCAAATTTGCATTTGGAAAAAGCTTGCCGTGTGAAATTGCAACTTAATGAAACAGTATGTGACGCACTAACGGCTCGCAACGCAAGCGCATATACAAGCGAGCAAGAAAACTTAGTTCAGAAAGTGGTAACAGCAATGAACGCGTGGAAAAGTATAATTCAAAGTGTTATTCCGGCATGTTTGCTACTCCTATTTGGAGCATGGAGCGACAAGCACAATCGCCGGAAACCTCTGATGGCGTTACCAATAATTGGAGAATTTATAACTGTGACCGGTTTCATCTTCTGCACCTACTTTTTTTATGAGTTGTCGATGGAGTTCACTGGACTGGTGGAAACCGTGCCAAATGCGTTTACCGGTAGTTGGTTTACTATGTTCATGGCAGTGATGAGCCTAATTGGTTGTACCTCGTCCCTTGAATCACGCACAGTCAAAATTGGGGCGGTTAATATACTCATGAATACCTGCATCATGCTCGGATTGGGATTAAGTGGAGCGTTGTATCACGTAATTGGATCGTACGCAATTTATTGTTTCGCATTGTCAATGTATACCATTGGTCTTATTTACCTTAAGATTAGGATCAAAGAGGCGAAGACCGAAGCTTCTGGTGATGAAGGTTTGAAGAGTGACAGATCCGGCACATTTAAAGACTTTTTCAATGTCTTACACATTAAAGACACAATCATGGTTGCTTTTCGCCAGCGGAAGCGGAATGATCGTAAAAGACTTTTCGTAATATTGACATTGACCATTCTTGTTTTAGGACCGATGTATGGTAAGTGCAGTTGTAAATTATGAATACCCGCTTCCAAATAGGTCTTGTGTTTCGCGTTCAAGATTTTTTTGTTTTAGGTGAAATGCAGGTAGTATATTTATTTACTCGAAAACAGTTCCAATGGAATGAAGTGGAGTTTAGCGCTTTTTTTAGTGTGAACATCGTTCTGCACTGTGTAGGTAAAGTATTTGCCAAACCGTATCATTTTCATTAATTCTTTCTTGATGGGAATTACATCATGTACCTACTTAAAAGTTTGGTAACAGATTTGTAGAGTTATTTAGACTTTGTCTAATAGAGACTTACTCTGAAGCAGTAACAACAATCAACATTAGGGATTCGTTTCTTTTATTACCACTCGCGCACGTTTGTAAGGGATGTATGGCATTGGGGTCAAAAATGGCCACCACTTTTTGACTAACATACACGTTTTGAAGCACCAGGAATCCGAACAAACAAAATTTCTCATTTCCGGCTAACGGCTGCTGAATTCTGTAGAGTGCCGGGTTCTATCACCGGGTCTACCAACAAGCGATCTTTGGCGTTTTTGCTCCTCGGAGTTGACAGCCACATTAAAAATGAATACTTTTGGGGTTCACCCTGGAGTAGGCAGGTATGGAGTACAGTGCATGTCACACTATACCTTCCTCGAATTCGTGCCACACCCTCAAATACGCATGATGCTTACTCCTTAATTACATTTAGTTACTACATATAAATGATAACAACATGTTTTTCATTCAAGGAACCATAGTCGCTTTGGCGGTGCTCTCCAAATACTTAAAGCTACGTGACACAACCGTTGGGATGATATGTTACACTGGAAAATTCTTTGCTGCGTTTCTATACGCATTCGCACGCACGCCTTTGTTATATTGTCTAGGTAGATACCTAACGAACGTAAAAGTTTCTGAAAGTGATTCGCTATTTTTTTAGGAGTTTTTGTCGAAATGCTCAGCAGCACCACGCATATTACTTTACGATCATTAGCAACAAAATTAGTATCAGAGGATGAACAAGGTATTATTATATCTAGGTAGTAGTTAACATAACCGCGACTAAGCTAAATTAGACAAAAATCTTTTTATTTTCGTAGTAGGTATACATTAATAGTTATTTATGTATTAGGGGCATAAAAGTGATGTTTATATTATCGAGGGTGACGAGTTAAAAAGTTCGAGGGCCGATAAGGCCCGAGAGCTTTTTAGTCACCCCAGTATTATCTTTGGTCACCCGAGAGAAGGTATAAAGATAAGTTTATGCCGATGGCACATACAAAATTTTATGTCTTACAAGTAGTTTTTTTCATCAAAGTAAATATTCGTTTACAAAACAATTTATTATGTTTCATCAAGTATGCGTGTTTTTGAAAACAACCAAACGTCAAACGTAATTTTAAATAATTCAAATTCTTCATGAATGAGGAAGAAGTTCCAGAAACCACAGCAGAAACTATTTGAAATAAGGCCAATCTTGTGAGTTAGTAGGTACCTATTGACATTTAATAATTGACGTATGCCCGCGTATCACAGGCATAAAATGTGCTATGAGATGTTAGTAAGACATAAAAAATCACGTTGCATTAACTTTCTTGAAAAATATGTCTAATTTGGTAAGTACAACACGTTGGTCGGATGATAAAATATATCCACAGTAGTAGTGACAAACCTAAATTCCTAAATTGCCTACGTACTCTCAAATATTTTTATAACGAAAACAAACTCATACAACAAACCCACTCTTTGCCATTGAGATTATGAGCGACCATTCCCGACAGTAATTTAAAACCCGCACAGAAATGGTACCTAATAAAATACGAACACTAGAGGATAGCATATTATTATAATTCTTACAAAAAAGTAGGTGGTAAGAGAATTTTACGTTTGTTTCTACCTACTTATTTTTGGGATCTCGTAACTTGTTTGATATTTTTAACAGGAAAACTCAACGCATTAGTAACAGTATTTGAATCCCTGTTACCATTAGCATTTGGTTCCATGTACAATTTGGTTTATCGAGCGACCATCGATACTTTACCTGGAACATTTTACTTTTTAGGTAGCATTATGTGCGTTCCAGCTATGGGATTATATGCGTAAGTATAGGCACCAAATGCTAATTGGTAGTTAAATTCATTTTTCCTTAGGTGGTTATACATTCAAGAAAACAAGGATGCTAGAGAGGCACAAAATAGGGAAAGTATACCACTCCAACGGAACCATTTGGAATGATCCTTTGGAAACTCGCTAACTAGTCGCTTGTTTATTTTGGTTGCAAATGACCTGAAAGTAAAAATATCAACAATAAATAAAATACTGAATAAATTACAATAAAAAAAGCTTCTGTTCTGTTCTGTATGTGAGCCTGTTTCTTTACTTCCATAGCAAGCTGTGTTTTTGTATTTCTCCATGTTTACCTGCTCATGCTTTGTTAATTTTCCCATTTCACATAAAGGTAGAACACCATGGCGAATATAGATATGAATGTAATAGACTATAATTTCAAGCGACCCGATATATAAAGATTTGTAGTGAATGAACAAAACGAAACCCAAGGTTCTAAATAAAAATTTGATTGATGAAGAAGCGCCATAAACTCTGTTCATTGCCGCAGTGCATTTGCAATGGGAAAATAAAATAAAATACGCGTCGTGCCATTTTCGGGAGACTTTCCTAATGTAAAGGAAGTGAAATGGAATCAGCTTTTTTGTGCCAAGAAGCACATAAAAATTAGTTTTGATCAGGGGCGGACTGGGGTACTTAAGGGCCAGGTGGAATTGCATAGGTTACAGGCCATGAAGTATTAGTGCACCACAAAAACAGTCCTCCTTTCTCAAACATCAATTACCATACAGTTTTTTTTTAAAATTGCATTGCACTTCAATTAAAACAGAATTTTTTAACAACCTAACATCATCAACCCCAATTAGAGAAACGTGTTAATAATTTTGAGCCCCGAAAAAAAAATGTCTCAGATCGACGTGGAAAATTTTCTTATAGAATGTGGCCTGTAGAATCCATAATTTCAAACAGTTCCAAGATTGGGCTACTGGTTCAAAAGTTACAGCCCTTTGAATTTTTTTTCGAAATTGGTTTCTAGCCTATAACTTTTGATTGAGTTGTCTGATCGAAAAAGTACGAATTGATTTGGATTCTACGCACCCAAATTAATAAGAAAAAGTGTTTTCCCGAGAATGTTTGGTGTAGTCAATTATTGGTAAAAAAGGAAGGTTATTATACACTACCTTTTTTTGAGCCCCGAAGAAAAAATTGTCTCAGATCGACCCGGAAAAAAAATTTTCTTATAGAATGTGGCCTGTAGAATCCATAATTTCAAACAGTTCCAGGATTGGGCTACTAGTTCAAAAGTTACAGCCCTTTGAATTTTTTTTCGAAATTGGTTTCTAGTCTATAACTTTGGATTGAGAAGTCTGATCGAAAAAGTACGAATTGATTTGGATTCTACGCACCCAAATTAATAAGAAAAAGTGTTTTCCCGAGAAATTTTGGTGTAGTCAATTATTGGTAAAAAAGGAAGGTTATTATACACTGCCTTTTTTTGAGCCCCGAAGAAAAAATTGTCTCAATCGACTCGGAAAAAAAGTTTTCTTATAGAAAATTACCATACAGTTTTTTTTAAATTGCAGCTGATAATTAAAAGTAACAAAATATACAATCCACACGAGGTGCGTCGCCTACCATTGTATTTCAGCCTCGATTTCAGCACTTTCATGCTACGACAAAAAATGATAAATTCATTGTAAAACACTTCAATTAAAACAGAATTTTTTAACAACCTAATATCAACCCCAATTAGAGAAACGTGTTAATAATTTATTAATAGTGCAAGAAACTAAATACAGCATATACTTATAAATTTCCAACGGGCCATTATGATCTACAGGCCAGGTGGCAACCGCCACCCGCCCCCCCGGGTCAGTCCGCCCCTGGTTTTGATATCATTAGGAATCATAAGGTGCAATGTGCATGTGCAACCCATATGATAAATTTTAAAGAAATCATTTCAAATTCTGTAACTCCCCATTACATACCGAGAAGCGACGAGAATGTCCACCATTCTACCAAAGGCACCTAATCGCCCTAAACCTAAAGCGAATAATCAAAATCATTGTCTCAAAAACAACCTCGATTCACAAACCAGAGGACGTAGAACAGCACTGTCACTTGGTCCATGTTGAGCCGTCGGAAGTTGTTTTCAAATAAACCGAAATAATTTACATATCTCAAGACTTGCGCCCAATTACAGAGTGACCCACATATAATGCGCATTTAGAGGTAGGTACCCCTACAGAAGGTCTTAAGTTGTTCTGTACTACTCCAATATTTACCTTACAAATTAGGAAACCTGCAGCAAAACTTAATTCGAAGTAGCCAGCAGAATGCTCCAAACTGATCTAAGGAAATTCCCACTTCCGTCACATATGAAAAATTCTTACCTTAACCCGACCTCCGACTGTGCAACCCAAAGCTTTACCCACTGGAGTTACACAGTCGGTTAATACCAATAATATCTAATAGTAGGTAGTCAACATTGGGAAACATACGAGGCATGTTTTTTTAAGTAAGGGCCGTTTTGAAATTTCTCGTCTACAGAGTTACGGATGGTGTCTCGTGCAATGCGCATCATATTTCTATTAAAATCATTCCGCGTAAAAACATCACAGTCGGTAATGTTTAATCAGATTTACCCGCATACACTCAGAGTGGTAGAAGCGGAATGATGCCTTCCCGCATGCAGCACTTCTGCAGAGAAAATATTCCTCCACCGTTCCGACACCGGAATGATCAAAATATTATCAGCTTGGTAATTATATAAGAAGCATTATAGGTAAAAGAATTGCTCAGAAATGCGTATTGATTTAGTAATGCGTAACGAAACATAATCGTTTCTAACCCTTATATTTTTTTCCAGGTAAATGAAACATTGCAAGACCTAAGTCGATTCCCTTCAGCTCCACCAAGTAGTGTTGCATGTTCAATTTGCGGAAAGTTATTTGGAAGAACTTCAATTAAGATTCACGAACCACAGTGTCTGCAAAAACTACAAACCCAGAATGAACTATTGGCACCAGAAGAAAGGAAACAATTACCCACACTACTAGCAGGTACATACCTACCTATAATTACCCTAGTAGAACTCCCCATGTTAACTTAGAGGGTTTATAATGACACCAATCGAAAGAAGATTTTTTCCTCGTCTAATGATATACGAATTAGTTCATTTTCAGGTGTATTTCTCACTATTTTATCAAAAATTCGGCAATAAATCCACTTATCAAAATCATGTAGAGCCATATCAGTTTATGATAACTGGTATTTTTTGTAAAATGCGGTTCACTGAGGAAAAAGTATTTACAATAAACAACGTTTACAGCAAAAATATTTACTCTAGTACGCGATATTTGTTTTCCGTGCATTTTAATGAGCGTCCCATTCCGTCTGTGTGAAAACCTATTTCAATTCTTTAGGAAATTTCCATGGTTTAACATGATTTTGCTAATTGGATTTATTACCGAATTTTTGATAAAATAATGAGAAATACACCTGAAAATAAACTAATTCGTATATTATTAGATGAGAAAAAAAATTTTCTTTTGATTGGTGGTATTACAAAACCTTAACATGGGGAGCAACGATCTGCAAAAAACTTTTTTCCCATGTTAATTGCCTATGTTCGGTTTTAAAATATTCACCCATCAGCCATATATTTACAGATGACGTCAAGAAATACAAACGCCCAACTTCAACAAAGCGACCGACAACTATTCCCTGCTATTTGTGTGGAAAAATGTTTTCAATGGCATCTATCTCGATCCACGAGCCGCAATGTCTCAAAAAATGGAAAATGGAAAATGAGAAATTGCCTTCACATAAAAGGCAATCTGAACCAATTAAACCAGATCTTAAACTTGGAGGTATACCTATATGTAGTATAATAGTGTACAGTGAATGTATATACCGGGTGGTGCCTAGCGCTACGCAGCATAGGGATTTCAATGGTAATTTCTTTATAGTCAATTACTAGCTCCCCGAATTATTTTAGAGCAAAAGTCTAAATACGTTTTTGTTAGAGAAAAAAATACTGCATCTGTTCATACTATTTTTTTAAATTTTCCGTTTTTCATCACCGTAGAAATCGCCAAAATAAAAAGGTTCATTTTACAATAAATCAAATATGCCTTGGAATTACCTAAAAAAAACAGCGATCACGTTTCATTATTTGCCTTTGAGGTATATTAAATACATTCAACGTTTTGGCTGCAGTAGCGGAAAATCCGAATATAAGTTTAGGAACAAATCTTCTTCAAATTAGTTTTTTTTCTTCGATTATGTAGGTACTCTGATTCCGGAAAATGATAAACAAATAGTATCTGATGCAGATGCCCCATTACATTCCTTAAAAAAACGTTACCCTGATGCCTTTTATTGCGTCGGTTAGTTGAAACGGAATTAAATATGAAAATCGTTCGACGTCAAACAACGATAACTTAGATACGATGCGCTTGTAGTTTGTTAAAAGATTCCAAAGCATCACTGATTTATAAAAATGTAATTTTTTATTTTTTCGATTTCTACGGTTTTGAAAAATGGAAAATTATAACTAAAAGTATGAACAGATGCAGTATTTTTTCTCTAAAAAAAAACGTATTTAGACTTTTGCTCTAAAATAATTAGGGGAGCTAGTAATTGACTATAAAGAAATTACCATTGAAATCCCTATGCTGCGTCGCGCTAGGCACCACCCTGTAGAGTATAGAGACAGTGTGGCAATATGGTGTTACTTTCTATTGATAATGGGTGATCCGCAATGTTTTGGCCAAATACCTACATCAGATTGATTAAAATTTTGTGTTATACACCACGGTAAATGAAAAGCAGCCACCTCTCCGCTAGTGACGAAGCTTCGCATGTCACTTCATTGTTTTGTATAATCAGGTTGTGCAAATTTGGTAACAAAAAGTCTTATGCCAATACAGTTTGAAATGTTTATTTAGATGTCTATTAACAGTTTATTTTACTTTCAGGCAATGGACAGATCGACTTTGAACAGATGAATGATTTGTACTGGAAAATGCATTTAGATCAACTAGTACCTTGTAAGGTTTGTGGCAGGAAATTTAATCCTAGCAGAGTAGAGATTCACGAGCGTAGTTGCAAGGGTAAAGTGCAACAAAGTACCTAGCCAATAGTGGCAATAGTACCATACACCTTTATTAAGAGTTGCTCACTGTGGGTATGAATTCATGTGCTCGTGCATATCCAACCTTCTATACACTGATGGGAATTGCTGTAAAATAAGTAGTGCATACTTTTAGAAAACTTCAAAAAGGAGAAAGAAAGATAAATAAGTTTCATTTTGTTGAACCGTCTGTTGTCTTCTTTATTTTTGCCTTAAGTACAATCTTCTTCCATTAGGCATATGTACAAATGCATAATCACAAAACTATCGCAAATGCAATCATATTGGTTTAGTTTTGTAGCCTTAGGTAAGAACATATTTACACTATTACGGCAAATTCTGTTCTAAGGAAGATAGTAATAGCGGTTAGCCATTTAAAGATAGCACTACTTTCCCAGCCAAACTTCGTATACTTATTACATATTGCTTAGATTTAGAAGGTAGATACCTACCTATATCTATAAAGGTGTGTGACAAGAGTATTTTTGTAGTCATAACATGGTATCTATAATTATTATAAATGTTATTTTTGGTGTGAATAAATGTTTTTAAAACATGAATCTTCTTGAATACAGTAAATTAATAAATGTTGTGTATACTTCAATAGTAACAAAGCGCCCGTTTTCGTATATGAAATCTGCCAGACCTAATAAACAGACTGTATATTGATGAAATCGAACAGGTCTATTATTGGTGACCTTTTTTTGCGACATGAAAATGAGGAAACATTCACGTCACGAAATGAAGAAACAAAAATGGGGGTTAAGTTATTTATTTTACATCTGTACAAGATTCACAATAAAAGTGATACTCCACTAAACGCTGGTGGTCTATTCCTTGTTTTATAAACAAAGAACTGCAATGACTGTAGAAATGAAGCCGCTGGCTTTACTGAATACTCACTTTGAGTAGGTCCCATTCACAATGAAAAAAGTTGAATTACAGTGGTGTTGAAATATTAAATAATGATATAATTGTGTGATAAAATTGGTAAATTGTCACCAGAAATGTGAACAAGGATCGAGCATACTAAGATTAGTTATACATATATTACACCTAAACATAGAAGAAAGCCTATCGCAGATACTTTTAATCGCTTACAATACTACTTTTATATAATGTAGCTAAAGCCTTGGCAGCTGAAACGATCATATCTCGTCTCGAAACTCCAGTTAAGGCCTGATGCCATTCGCTATGATGCACCCCTAAATTCTTACCCATAAGGCTGCCAATGGTAACCGAATAGCCCGACCACTTTAATGGATAATCCAAAGGAGTATCTTCTTGAGCTAACGACACAACCGCAGTTGGGACTGGGGTCATTTGAGTAAATGTTTGGAGAGTAATTTGCCGCACTGGATCCTTTAGTATTAATACACCTAAGTCATACCACCTAAAATGTTCATTGCAAAACTACACATTTAGGCAGATTTCATCACTTACGTATCTTCTCCAACTTCCAGTAAAAAGTTTTCTATACCCACAACCGGTACCGCTTGAACGTTCGGATTTTTAAAAACTGCCTCTAACCGCTCCTCTGCCGCTTTAATTCCTGCGGCAAATCCTACAGGTTGTACGGCGATAGTATTAGACTGCACATCAATGCCTCTAACAATAAAGATGTGTTATTTATATTTGGTTAAAAATTGTTACTTGTGCAGCAATTATACGTTATAGGGTAAAACCGCCAATTCTTGGCACAAGTAAAGTTGCCATTTGAACAGCAACTTGGCTTAAGATTCTTATATAGTGTTGCAACTCTGTAATTAAACCTAACTTTTTTAATGAATTATAAAATTCACTAATACACCACATAGAAGAAAATGGATTAACAATCGATTTCAATTTTTGAATGAGTCCTATAGACGGTGAAATTTCATACTTACGTGAGAAGGTTGGGTCGTTCACTTAGCTACTTAGCTCAAAAATAAACCAATTTTTTCTTGATTATATAAGAGCACTCACGCATCTCGAACGGTTTAAGAGATATGCATTTTGGAATGGGCGTATGTCAAACACTGACAGATAGGTGCGTAAATCTTAAATGTGTTAAATTCGGAATAAAATGGCCCATTTAGAAAAAAATATACGGAAATTATAAATTCAAAATCTGGATGATCTCATTATGAATATTACATCCACAAAAATCTCCTCAGAGTGCCAATAATTGTTTGTTTTGATCGCTGAGTAAATTTAAAGTAACAAAATACATACTCAATAGTTGCTTTTCCAAATATAGTCTGAAATGCCTCTCTAATGGCGCTTATCTTAATTTCTTGCCCAGATGCAACCAATATATCTAAATCACCACCCGAATCTAAAGACATACTGCTAAAAATCATACTTTTTGGGTAGCATACTTACAAATATATTCACGCATTTGAGGATCTAAAGTTGTTATCATAGAATCGACAGAATTTTTTGCCTTTTCAGCTACCCGAGATAGAATTCCTCCGCTTGAGACAGCACCCTTCATCCAACCAATAAAACCTCCAGAATCCTCTGTGGAAAGTTGTGTTTCAAATGTGACCCCATGTTGAACACCCTTACTAGGTGGTATAGCAGCACTATAGTAATGAAAATATTACCAATATTGCAATATCCACTTTTAAAGTATACTTAAACTGTGTTGGATAAAATTGTTCCGCAACAGGTTGAATGTTTATGGTTGTACCTGACTGAGGTCGAGTAGGCTGTGGTGGCAGTTGTGAACTGGGAATCGACGTAGGCTGAATTAAGTGCGATGGTAACGGAGTTGGTGCTGGTACGCTAGTCACAGGCTTTGGAGTTGGTATTGGTGATACAAAGTTGGGCAATGCAGATGGCGGTGCGACGCTTGATAGTAGGTTTCCTGTCGAATTGGAGGCACTTGCAGTTGACATGCCCGGAGAAGGCAACAAAGATGCGGATGATGACATGCTACTCAAAGATTCTGCAATTCCAGCAATAGGTAAACAATTTTGAAAAGGAAGAATTGACACAAACCTGTCTTGTCAATGGCGTTAGGAATATCCTCCAACTTTTTGTCAATTATTTCAAATGTTTCTCCATTGGAATCTTCTTGTAGCATTTTTAAATAAACCTACAAACAATTGTTTATTGGATAATGTGGGATTTATTTTGTAATCGTGGCTGCATACGTTGGGATTTTTGTTTCCTCACTAAACTGACTAAACATATATATACAGGATCGCCTCAAAATATTGGTCAAATCCTATTTTGAAAGTAACTGTGACGTCGATTGATTTGCTATTTGTAGTTTTAAGATTGTTTTTTTAGACTCTTTTTGAAATTCAAACTTATACAGAAATGCCGAAGCTGAATGAAGCTAGACGTCGCGTCGTGTGACATAACTACACTCTCCAAACAGTGTAACTGCAAATGCAAAGAATTAGCTATTCTCCAAAGTTGCTCTCTGTAGCTGCTCCTGAAATTTTAAAGTATCAACAATAAGCGGCAACCTCGCGTATTGAAAAACTGATAACCTGAAATTTTTTCCAACTTGATACATACGTTCGAATTTCGTACAATAATTACTTTATCGTTACATTCTGGGCCAATTAGTCATAAATTACTCAAAGCATCAGATCTATTCGTGTTTGATTAGATTAAATTTTAAGCTGTTTACACTTTACAGAATTCATTTGCCGATTGTCATTTAACAACATAAAAATGGCTGAAACATCTGAACCTCCCCCTTTGTTCGAAAATGTTGATATTAATAACGACGAAGATGATGATATTTTTGCGTCTGCAATTCAGGTAATTTTAATTCTACACTACTAAATAAAGGGTACTTGATAATTTCATTTAAAATTACATGTGCAGGATCGCCCCTCAATACTACCCCTAGATGAGGATCAAGAGGTTTTCAATGGAACACACGATATCGCGAAGCTGAAGATACACGATCCCAAAGCTGAAATGGAAAATGTTCCAATTAACAACGACAATATCGTCACAACGCCTACGATGGAACAAGTACGTAATACCAATTCTCGAATAGTCGCTTTTATAGTCATTTTTAAAGGTTGAACCTCACAGTGGTGGTCAGTTTATCGATATATCTATCACAGAACATCAAAAAGTTGGGGATGGAATGGGCGCTTATGTTTTATATCGCGTGTTTACAAAAACAAATATTCCGCTCTTTAAGAAAAAGGAGGTTGCCGTTATGAGACGATTTAGCGATTTTCTTGGCCTTCACAATAAATTGTCGGAGAAATATTTAAAAGTGGGTCGAATCATACCACCTGCTCCAGAGAAAAGTGTTATAGGTAAGCGGTGGATCCGTTTTGTGATGGGGATACAGAGCTACCTATTTGCAACAAGTGACAAAAGAAAGCTGGCATGGAACATCACATGACCTTCCCACCAATACAAATCCTGTGATGAATATGTTTCATTCCAGCTTACTTTGTCCATATAGCAAGATCTTAACAAAAAAAACTGACAAATGTCACTTTTAATATTGGCGTAAAATGCAGACATGACTATTCAACAAGACATTGAAGAATAATGACAGGATAATGACTAAAATATCGTGCAATAACAGAATATATATTCAAATGTAACTGTTAATAATTATCAAATTCTAGTCCCCTTTTCATTGTTTATTGCCACTTTTAAGATTGCATTTACTTTTAATCTCTCTCGAAGAAATGTCTTTAGTCCATCAAGTAGAAGATGAAACACCTTCTTGTTTACGCAAAGTATGAGTAGGTACAGACCTGTAATCGAATTAAAATTTGTAGGAATCTGCATTGCATTAAGTACTATTAATTTACATCATCTCGTAGGTATGACAAAAATAAAAATGTCAAGTCAACCTGAGGGAGGTACCACTGTAAATGGTAACGAATTTATTGAAAGGCGCCGTAGTTGCCTGGAACGTTACTTACGTAGAACTGCTGAACATCCCGTCTTAGTGCTTGATCCCGATTTCAGAGAGTTTCTAGAGACAGGTAGGTCTAAAGGGTAAAGTACAATTATGTGACATTTCCAAACATTCTGTGCTGCAGATATGGAACTTCCGAAAGCCACAAATACCTCTGCTCTCTCAAGCGCGAGCGTAATGAAACTGTTTAATAAAGTAGGAGAGACTGTTAATAAAATGACATATAAAATGGATGAAAGTGATCCTGTAACTATTTTTTTTCATTTAAACAATTGTACAGGTGTAATTTTGTAGTGGTTTGAGGATAAGTTGGCCGAGGTTGAACTGTTAGAAACGCAACTTCGTAAACTCCACACCAATGTGGAAGCGCTCGTCGGTTACAGGAAGGAATTGGCAAATTTAACGAATGGAGTCGCCCGATCAGCAGCCATGCTAAGTTCCTGCGAGGATCATAATTCGTTATCTAGAGCTCTTTCTCAGCTCGCCGACACAGAGGAGAAGGTTGGAACGTTCAATTGTGTAAGAGAGCTTAATTTCTCTGTTTAGGTTGAAAACCTTCATGTGGAACAAGCAAACACAGATTTTTATATATTATGTGAACTGTTAAAAGATTACTTGGGCTTGTTGGGAGCGGTACGAGACACTTTTCATGAACGAACAAAGCTTTTTCAACATTGGCAGCATTCGCAGCAAATGTTGACCCGAAAGCGTGAAGCAAAGACAAAGTTGGAACTTAATAATCGTGTTGATAAATTAGATCAAGCGGGTGTGGAAGTAATTGAAGTGAGTATTTTGTATTTTCTTCACCTGTATAGTCGGGCTGATAATTTTGTTTTTGATTTATATAGTGGGAGGCAAAAGTAGAAAGAGGACAAGAAAACTTTAACAAAATCTCGAAAATGATCAAATCAGAAATGGAAAGGTTTGATAAGTCGCGCATCAGCGATTTCAAAAATATGTTTATTAAATACTTAGAAAATCATTTAGAACACCAATCTCAGGTAACGTAAATTTTAACAAACATAAGCTTAATGTACCTCTTTTTAGTTGGTTAAATACTGGGAAGCCTTTCTACCTGAAGCTAAATCGATTGCCTGACTAGAGGATATTTGTAAAGATTAACGGTTCCAACATTCCAATTGGAATTTTCCTGAATTCTAATGCTGTATGTAACTAATGTGTATAATTATGCAATTGTAACAGTGTATAATTTCTTATAAAATTTGAAAATTGTATTGCTTCAAAGATCTGCTTTTAACAATATGTGATTTTATTTTTCTAATATTCTCTTTAATGAGTGATTTCACCATTATAACACCAATATTTCAATTGATGAAGGCACGCCTTTTAGTTCCTTTAAATATATCAGGATCAATATCAATAATATAATAGGAATTGTGTAGCATGCAGAAAAATGTAGTGACCTTAATTTTGTATATTTGTAAATGCTTCCTAGGTTTACTATGATGTGAGTAACGTGTTGGTTCATTCTGACATTACAGGTGAAAATTGCATTCCTCAACATTAGACTTACAAGTGTAGTACATGGCATTAATAGTAGGTAGAAGTCTTGCCATGTGTAAGTTTCATTTTAAAAATGATTGGGACACTTGCTAGGGAGAAAGATCAAATCAGGTGTAAAAACAATGCTATTAGATTACTGCAATTTAGCCCAAACTAGAAATATAATGTGCTTCAATAAAATTGATGCGTCTGGTTCTAAACATGGGAGTGTGTGTAGTCTCTAATTGCTATACAAATAATAATATAATTTTTTTGCGCTTAAAAGTGTTTATTCTAGATATTGTTACTTGTTCCAAATTTTACAGATTAGTTGTTTATTCGTTACAATTTGTATTTCTTTTGATATTTTTGTAATGTCTTCCATTTCATTTTTTTAGGCAATATTTACATTGGGAATGTAAAATGGTAGCTTTTGTATGCTATTTAAATTGTCGTGAAATAAGGAACACACAGTTTAGTAACTATTAAGCTGTAAATGAAATATATTTGTAAATAAACTGAACTTTTTAAGCTATATGTCAGTATCACCCATATATTTAAAAAAACTGGCTGTAAAACTATGTAGGTAGTTTGTTATTTTTTCATGAGATTTAAAGATAATATGTAGTACTATGCATTGTGGTATTTAATTGTTTGAATGATCTTATGTAGCGCTCAATATATATTTTGTATGTGCTTACCTTATATAATCTCGAAAATCAAGATTTGCTTAGACTATTAAATTTTCTCTAAAACTAGACCTTGTTATTGCTTAAGTCTTAGGATAAAAATCCCACAGAACTTTAATCTGATGTGTCTCGTCAAAGCTGTGGGTACTCTGATCTGATTTTTCACTCCTGAATGTTCAAGAGATGTGCGCTATGCTTATTTATAACAGGAAAAAACTCACCATGTATATACACACTTGGAACTTTATTGCATGTAAGAAACAAGAGTAAATCCAAATACCTTTGACTATTTACGTAACGCGAAACAGCGCCATCTACACGGCCCGGTGTGGAATGACCAAATCTTAAGGAGTAAATTAATTATATCACCAAGGCTATTTCATATCTATGATATGTGAAATTACTAAAATCCATAAAGGTACCTTTACACTATAATACATCTCGCATGATTTTTTATATGATATGATATGTTATATGATATTTGCTACCAACATATTTTTCGTAAGAGTTTTAATGTTTTACTTTACACTTGACAGGTTTTTCATATGACTTTAATACAAGAAGTTACGAAACCTATATAACTTCTCTAAATTAAAATGTTCCAAGATTGGGCTACTAGTTCAACAGTTACAGCCCTTTGAATTTTCTTTCGAAATTGGTTTCTAATCTATAACTTTTGATTGAGAAGTCTGATCGAAAAAGTACAAATTGTTTTGGATTCTACGCACCAAAATTAATAAGAAAAAGTGTTTTCGCGAGAAATTTTGGTGCAGTCAATTTTTGGAAAAAAGGAAGGTTATACACTGCCTTTTTTTTGCTGCGAAAAAAAATTATCTCAGATCGACCCGGAAAAAAATTTTTCTTATAGAACGTGGCCTGTAGAATCCATAATTTCAAACAGTTCCAAGATTGGGCTACTATAGTTCAAAAGTTACAGCTAGGGAATGCAATCCCGCAGCAAAATCTCAATCCCGGTATTTGCGGGATCGTTAGATGTTAATGCCGCGGGAACCCGGTATTTGCGGGATCCCGCAAAATTTTAAATAAATTGGCAAATAAGCAATTTTGTGCGGTTAACTTCTGTAAAAATAAATCGCTAATTATCACAATAAGTATTCAACAAAAAAGTACCTTCAGGCTAACTTAGAACTCAAAAAAATCACCTGTAAAGCATAAATAGGTGAACTTCTAAAGTGCCTCAAAAATTATAGTACATTTTTAACGAAAAAAGTTTAACAATTATTTTAAAAATAATTTCTCCGTTATGCGTTTCATTAACAAAGCAAACAGAGTCGTCCCCTTGGTCAACATTAAGGATTAAGGATGAGTGTACTCTTATTTGAAAGATTACCCCCCAAACATTTGAAGGGTTAATTACCAATCAAGACACTATTTGACAATGTGTGTCTGAAAACACCACTACAACCAGACAACCAAATACCAATATATTCGTAAATATTTATTGCTCGATTTATTGTTTATGTAATTTATTCTTTCATTAGTAACTAATATACCTATAATCATTGATTATACACACCTATAATCAAGTATTCAGCCTTTTCAGATAAGTACAACAGCAAAATGCGAAAAGTAACCATAGAAGCGCGGGATCACTTGGGTATGTAAAATAAGTCATTTGCGGGATCGTTTGTCATGCAGAAATAGAAACATCCCTATTCCACGATTGACGTATTATTTCCATATTATTTCCTTATGATTTGTCTTATGACAGCTATAATACCAAAAATAGAATAGTGTAAACACAAATCTAAATGCTTGTTACTTATCATATGACAAATCACATGAGAAGTATGATAGTGTAAAGGTACCTTAAATAACAATGATATAATCAAAGGTTTGAACCATACTTGAAGCACAGCCATATTTTTGATGATGGCTTTGGCAGTGGTTTAACACATAAAAACATAACCTATACACCACTACTTGCAGATGTGTTCCACACTGACTCCCTGTACTGCGCAAACGCAAGCGCGCTAAAATTTGAATTTGTGTACAGCTGTCAAGTGTAAGGGGTAAATACATTGAACTATACTCTGTTACAGAGTATAGGTATAGTTCAATGGGTAAATAATATACACATAACCTGCGAACGTTATAATTGAAGATAATTTAGCTTACCTGCTTACCTAGTTATTATATGTAGTAGGCATACCAAAATGCCATGTTATCAAGATGAATTTTGTTGTTATCTACATTTGGAGTGCATGGTCATAGAATATGCCAGAGGCGATATTAGGAAACTGCTGTACTTGTTAATGTACTTACAGCAATAATAGTTAATGGTAGAAAGGTTAATGACATTTACTTACAGCAATAACGTTACAGACCATACCAAAATGCCATGTTACCTACATTTGGAGTGCATGGTCATAGAATATGCCAGAGGCGATATTAGGAAACTGCTTGGGTAAGTACTGTAATAGTTAATTAGAAAGAGTTAATGACATTTACTTACAGCAATAACGTTACAGACCAACATTGACCTATGGTAAAGAGAGAGTCCGGTGCTGAACGAATCACCAGACTACAAGGATCATGACTGATAGCTAAAGTAGAGGTTTGCTTTCAAGTTGGCGCTATAATGTATTTAACTGGAATTCACAGTAGTGACCGAAGGCTTTAATTCGAGAAGAAGAACATATTCTTTCCGAAAATACAGCGACATTTGGTTTGTAATATGGAAGTCAGCAGGAAATTGTATTATAAACAAAACAAACGGTGGCACGTTAAAGCAAATTCAAATTTTAGCGCGCTTGCGTTTGCGCAGTACAGGGAGTCAGTGTGGAACACATCTGCAAGTATACACCACTCCTTTTATTGTATTTGTGCTATTAATTTGGTTTCTTTGAATATGGCACAGGTTAGAGCAGCGCCAAACATATTAGTAACCGGTACACCTGGTGTAGGCAAATCTACTTTATGTGAGAAGTTATCAGAAGCAACAGACTTGAGGTGGTTAGAAATTTCAAAGATTGCCAAAGAAAATAATTGTTTGGAAGAATACGATCCGGTGTATAAATGCTGTGTTCTTGATGAAGATAAACTGCTTGATGGTTTGGAGGAAGTTATGACTGCGGGTGGAAATATTGTCGATTATCACTGCTGTGAACTTTTCCCAGAACGTTGGTTTGATATTGTGTTTGTATTACAAACAGATAACACCACTTTGTATGATAGACTAACCGGTCGAGGATATGAAGGCAAAAAGTTGGAGGACAACATAGACTGTGAAATTTTTCAGACAGTTTTAGAAGAGGCTAAATCATCATATCCGTCGAATATAGTGCATACACTCACTAATTGTAATCAAGAGGAGTTACAAAGTAATCTCCAAAGAATATATGAATGGCTTCAGCAATGGTTTCAAGAAAATCAACAATCTTAGTCTTATAGTGATCTTTATAACTAAAAGTTGTGTGTACATATAATTACAATTTATTTTTGTTCAATAATGTCTTCATCTAGCATTAATCTTCCCAGACTTCCATTGCGAAACGATTGTATCATATAAGCAGCAGCTTCAACAAAGTTTGGTTTTAACACATATGAATTATTAGTTGCATCCTTAATTTTTAACATTTTATTTTTATTAGCACAAATCTTAGTTAGAACTTCTAAAATGTTATCTGTGTGTTCCTGCAGTTGGAATACCTCCTTGTAACTGTACACTCCCTGCTTATTTAACCAGTAGAGTAAGTAATCTGCAATGATGTCTTCGCCAACAAAGTGATCTTGTATAGTTGCACATAATGCCAATTTAAGGCCGGTCTCTGCATCATTTATATTAGGCGTTAGAATTCCAGGAGTATCCAACATATAAATTAATGGTTTGTCGCAAATTTTGATTTTGTTCATCACACTACGAGTTATGCCCGGAACAGGACCAACAGGTGCAGCATTCCCTTTTCGTAAAAACTTATTTCTTAGCGCATTAATTAATGAAGATTTCCCTACATTTGGTATGCCTATAATCATAACACAGCAGTCTTCTTCATTTGCTCTATTATACCGATTTGATTCATCAATTAACTTTTGCATTAGAGGAAATATCGAGCGGACACCTTTACATTTCTGGTTCTTACAGTTTGTAAAAACCACATTAGAACACTCATTTTGAAGCTTTTTGGTTATTGGTGGAATAAATTTAGGATCAATTTGATCCACTTTATTCATAACTAAGATGTGCGGTTTGATGCCGCTTACTTTATATTTAAAATCGGTGTTCCTTCCCGATAACGGTATACGAGCATCGTGCACTTCAATTATACAATCCACAGTTCGTAGTTTTGTTTGCATTTGTTTAAGACCTTTTCCCATGTGTCCTGGAAACCATTTAAAAAGATCCTTTTCAACATTCTGAAAGGACTTTCTGAGATTACTTGGGGCATGTTTTATACACATTCTGAAAAGTCAATTTTGGTCCTTTTTAATACAAAACATGTTACGTTTTTTTAAATTAAACAAATAAAAATGCTCTGAACATGTAACATAACCTTTAACCGAATGCTCTGCATAAAAATACTGTGGCTGTGGCTCGATTGGATAAATAAACTAATTATTATACAAAGTGATCTGTTCTTATACATTGTACTATCAGACACCATTTCCCTAGATCATACATATAACTCTCGCCAAGAAAGATTGCCGGTCACAGCACACCTTGTGTCAATTTAAAATCTATGTTTTTTTAAGATGCGAGCGACTTCCGGAATAGGATCGTGCCAATGTTGACCAAAAGACTTTTTTTACTCTTAAAAGTAAACGCTCTGGTAGCATATTTCTTCATCGACATTAATTTCAGACCACTTTATAGAAGTTTTTCAATGGATTCCTTTAGCTGGCCAACTACCTACTTTACAAGTGCAAATGTGTCTACACAGTTGTTGAACAAATGTTTGATTAAAGAGAGGATTAAGGTTGCAAAAGGCTGAAAGGTGTAGCAGTAGATGTCCATGAGAAAAAAACTTCATGTCAAATCTGTGACACATGTTATTTGAATTGTCAACATCTATAATCTCAAACAGATATAATAATGGTTAATTTAGAACTTCCCTATGTCCAGTATTTCGCATCAGAGATGAATAAAGTGCAATCGCATATAAATCAAGCGAACAAAATCGCTTACGAAACATTGGAAGAGCTAGAAAATAGAAGAAAGCAAATATTGCAATATGATCCGAATTATAATAATTCAGAGGAAAATCTTGAATATGACCTTTCAGACTTGGAACTGTAAGTACATCAGTTCACATTTTGGACTTTATATTACTTTGGTGACACAAAAAAAAGCTACCTGATCGACGTGAGGGTATCTAAAACAGGGTGATCGGTGCGAATAACCACATTCTGTAAGGTAACACTCAAGCAGCCTCGTTTTTAATTAAATTGGTTTAAAAATAATCTTTTTTTATTGACGAGGTTAAAAATTGACGATTCTGTGGTCACTGAAGAAAGGTTTAGTGGTTGTTAGACGCCCTTCCAGCAGCCCATTTAACTTATGTGTCAGTCACGTAAGTTCTTGTGTAATAAAGTCCCTGACTAAATGGGTCTCCAACGTTACATAATGTATAAGCAGTTCACCCGAAAATGTTGCAAGTAATGATTTCTGTATTACCCACTTACTATAATTTTACTCCCAATCGGATAGCTCATTAGGTTACGAAACAAAAATTATAAGTGGAGGTGATCGAGGAAATAGACCATATTTTTTATTTACTGCATAGCGAGAACCTATCACTCACCCGGTTAAACAAAAAGAAAAAATGACACACACGCACCTAACATATTTTGTCTCATCTTTAAATTTATTGTTGCGCAACGTTTATTTCAGATTAAATCTGTTATCCTCATTGTTTATACCATGACAGGGGTTTGCTGATAAGGATATAGCTTTAAGCTTTGTTGTCAAAATGGATTAATCTTAATTCACATTGGTGGTTGCATTAATTTTGTTAAATTCTGTGAAGAATAAATTACTTTTTTATTTGATAACACAAAACAGTCAAATTCATAGTAGGTAGGTACGAAACTATCAAAACTTGAAAGGAGGTACATATCCACCAAATATTTCCTCCAGTTCCTTCGCCACATTTATGGACAGGTGATCTTGATACGGTGCTGCAACTACTTGAATACCCAAAGGCAATCCCTCTGAATCTAAACCCAAAGGCATTTGTGTCACGGGAAAATTAAGTGCACTCCACACCGAGTTGTAACCAACGTTGTAAGGGCGAAAAATTGAAGTATTGTGATGTCTTGCGGTCCACGGAGCTGATGGGTATAACAAAACAGCATTGTCACCTAGTGTTTCCTAAAAAAAAATTTTCATCCCTATTAAAAACCGTTCCGTGATTTACTGTGAGCAAATCGGATAGTGCTGCAGTTAAGTTACAGGCCCATTCGCAATTTTTTACCGGTAACATGTAATTGATCAAGCTGAGCATAGCTCCAATGTTATATTCGCTAGCGAATGTTAAATATTTTAAAATTTCTATAAGAGGATTCACCTAAAATTAATCATCTGGAATATGTTATAGGTTTATCGTTCACACACCGCTCTTTTCCGGTCGGTTAAGTCTCGGGCTAAGTTAGCATTTGTTTCTTGTCTTGACCAAAAATCCCACAGATCATACCCATATTTTAGCTTAGATAACATTAACTTTTGAGGTATCGATCTTGAGTTCACTTGGAAATGTGCGACAATTCTGTAAACGGAAATAATTCAATAATTTGTTTAGTGGAAGGCATAGATAAAATAGCGTGTACAACTCTCTTGGGAGCACCTTTCACACTTGGATTCATCTCATGGGCGGTAATGATCACAAGAGTAAGAAAAGTAGCACTTTCTAAACCTGCATTATACCTACAGATCAATTATTATTAATCTGTGCTATACGCTATACCGTAAGATTGCGGCGTTCATTTCACTGCTAAGTGTATTCATCCTGAGGTCTCCACAGTCAAGCATGTAGTATATTTGTAAGTCATAAACTTGAACATCTCGATCAAGTTGAAGTTTGTTCATATTTCCATCCACTAGCACTTTAAGCAGAGGTATAATGTCACGGGTGGTCCTAGTGAGTACGCCAACAGCCATAATTGTAGGTTCTTTTCCTGTTCTGTATACTACCCCTACATTACGTCATGTTAATGCGTAGAAGATTAAAATTCTAATTACCTCTGGTCGGTATCAAGTCGCATGTAGGTTTGTGTCCAAAAATTCCACACGCAAATGCAGGTATTCGAATGGATCCACCCCAATCATTTCCTGTATAAAGTTATCGCGATCTCTTTTTTACATTATTGTGCCTCACCAATTCCAAATGGAACTCCGCACGCGGCGATAATTGCAGCTTCACCACCACATGAACCACCCGCGGTCCTCGAACAGTTATACGGATTATTTGTGCGACCATACACAAGATTTGAAGTTTCCTGCCACATGTTTAGTATAGGGACATTTGTAACACCTTAAAAAACTCATATTTTTATTCATTTTCTTAAATTTCAAAATGGATCAACAGTAAATGGACAATAGCGCAATTTAGGCACCTTTTCAAACGTTTTCACTACTTTTTTGTTGTGTTGAACAAATCATATATTCTACTATATTTTTATAGCTTTCAGACGAATAACTCGAATTATTTTCCGTAGCTATTCGTCCACCGTAATTGCATCTTCTCGAAGCAAAAGGGCGTATCCACTGAAACTTTTATCTACTACCTCCACACTATGTAGTTAAATGAAAGAAACTCGTCTTCCCATAAACAATAAAAAAAAAGTTAGGTAGGTACCTATTAAAATTCCACCAGCACGTTTGATTAATTGAATTGCATCTGCATCTTCTATTGCACGTCTTTGTTTGCGACACACCAGGCCAAAAGAATGCTTCATCCCCTTGCAAGCATTAGATTCTTTTGTTGTAAATGGCACCCCTAAGAAGTATCATTAATAATAAATAATGCACACAAAGACCAAGTACCCAGAAATGGTTTTGCGTCAAATTCTTCTCTCGTAAACTCCTGATTTTTGATTCGTTGATCGACTCGTTTTGCCTCTTCGATTGCTACTTCAAAACGAAAGTCGACAACTGCATTGATTAAAGGATTCACTTGTTCAATCCGCTCAATGAACGCCCGTACAACTTCTTCGGATGATAATTTTTGCTTACGTATTTGTTTTGCGAGAGATGTTGCACATTGCAACACCAACAGATTTGTTGGTTTCGGAACGCCATGAGCCAGAGACTTATAGTAACGGCCAAAAACAAAATCAATTAATTTATCAATGCAAAATCTTATGAGAATAAAAATTTTCAAAATGAGAGTTAGCATTCCAACTTTACAAGCTTCCTTAAAATCCATTTTTATTCTTTCAACTGCCTACGCGTTTTCAAAACTGATTAATTGCTATTAGGTGTAATAATCAAAACAGGAACAACTTGCACAATCACAAATCAGTCGATAATTCAACCACAAAGTTATTTTTTAAGTTATCAAGGTAAAACAGGTTAAATTAAGCTACACAGTTTGTGGGTACAGAACGTTAAAAAAATTCAATCAAATCAATAAGTGTAGGTTGTTTTTCCAAAAATATTCGCCAAATATAATCACAAATGATCTACTGGTATTTAGGAATCACTACTTATAGGTACACTAATGTCTCATGGATGATGATTTCAATTTTTAACTGTTCCGTCAATTCACGTTTAGATAGTAGATATAATAAATTAACTTGATTCCTTCTCCTCAAAAACTCTGACTTAGGGGGCCTCATTGTTGGGTTATTAATTTCCATAACGTTTTGCATAGGGCACTCCTACTGTCCAGGCAGCATACCGGCGGACCGCAGACAACCTATTACAAATATGCCATTTTCCATGTAAGTTTTCAGTTATGGAATTTACAAGCACATTATAACGTGGCATTTGTTTGCGAAAGTCTTTTTAGAGCTCAAACTGGCAACTTGAATTCCCAAATCAAAAACACTAAATGCAAATTATCCATGAACTCAATAGTTACGAGGTAAGACTGCGATTTAACAAAGATTGAAAACTGTAACGGAATACATATGACATATGTCTACCACCATTCAAAAATAATGGAACACGGCACTATTTCACAAACACTGGTGTAATTAGACTGCAAATTCTATATTCGCTACAACAAACCGTGGACTTCTTAGGTAAATTAAGCAACAAGTAGGTATGCGCAATATGACAAAGTTTATTTTTAGAAAGATATTTTTGGTATGTGGCCAATGAATGCTCGACTGTTGTAATCATGCGTAAATATGTAGTATATAAGGGACTAAAGCTGTGTGTTTTAATCTCGACGTACCCGAAATATAGTTGAAGGTAACAAGCACCTGAACTTTAGTCCTATATGGTGTATACACTATTTTTTGTATTCCAGAGTATTAGAGACAGCAGTTAGCTATAGCAATTTAAAAGTTGAAGCGCAAATTTTAAAGAAAGCATTTTGTTTGATTGTAGATTAAGATACCTATATCTTGTAATGTTACGATTTTTATAGTATAGTAATACTCAATTCCGACTCCATCAACAATTACATCCTGAATATATTTATGGATCCAACTCGCATTTGTAGAATAACAAAATTTTATGTGTCGAAAATTTCCACATGGGGGGAGGGTCACTTTTGTGGCCCATGATCTACTGTGCTAGCTCTTGAATTAAGTATAATGAGTTCGCTAGTAACAAGGTCTTGCTATGACCTTTTGCTAAGACTATCCAATCCAGCTTTGTAAAATCAAGTCATCTAGATATGTGACATTTTTCAATTTGCACAAATGTCACTTACCTATATACAATAATTTTTTAACTTTTGTTGAAGATTTATTTAATTTTTTCTTCCATTTAAGTATCACTTAAATTCCAGTGAAATGGAATACATTCAAAACAAACACGATAAAGCACTATCTGAGCTTGAGATGGAAAAACAAGCACTCAAGAAGCGATTGTCACACATTGAAAAATTGGACTTGTTAATTAATGCACTTACACATAAAATATTTAACATCGAATATCATTATCAACAGCAAGTAAAAGAATTGAGCTCGCAGAGGGAAAATGTGTTAAATAGCACGGAAATATCACGTGATGAACGAGAAGCATTGATGGATGAGGTAGATAAAAAGATCAAGGACCTCGAGGACGCGCACGCAGAGGAGTTGACTAGTTTAGAAGGACAACGATCGGTAGATTCTGAAAAGTGTGAACAGTTGCGATATTTACAATTTTAGAGCCTTCAAAAGCAATGTGCGATGAAAACACAACAGATGGACGTAATAATGGATTCTCTTCGAGTGCAACATCGAGGGGTCTTGCAGGAGCTTGAAGAATCGAAAATGACGGCCAGCCCTTCACAACTTAAAGAAGTGGATAGAAGAATTGATCAGTTAAATAAGATGTTTGAAAAAGACGTTGAAATTCTTAATGAGTTACAGTTGGCAGGTTGGAAATGTAAAGAGGAGAAAATGTTTGGTACACACTCCCTTTCTACTTACATTTTCTTTTATTATTCACATTCTCAAATTTTTATCAAGAAGGCAGAATATTGTTCTCCATCAGATTATGCTCGCTCTCGGTCTTGATATGCCTATTGCTGTTATTTGAGATGATTTTGTATTTTTGATACTTCTCTCCCACATTGTTTCTCTACATTCACATTATTCTTACAAACCCTCTCTGCAGCACTTGCAAGGAATAGAGCATTTAACTGACTATATGATTTTCTTGCAGAGCTTCTAGAAAGCAGAGGCTTATGTTTCACTCAATCAAATAAATTTCTTACATCATCTGGAAGTCATTTAACACGTTCCGAAGCAACTCGCCTGGGTTTATTAGAAGGCATAAACCTTAGCCTGTTAGATCAAGAAGAGTATGTCACTGACATACAGCCGACCACTTCAGGTTCTGTTCGACATATCAAAATATAATTAAGTACATTGCACCTTTGCAGAGCTGACAGTTTCAGAATCTGAAAAAATGGATACAGAAGATGTGGTTTACCTGAAAACGATATTTGGCAAACCCTTAACTTTAGCACTGGCTGAGATTACGGCCCAGCAACCACGTGATCCCATACATTACTTAGGCCACTGGCTTTTCAAATATCGTTATAATCAAGAAGTTAGCGTTACACGGAAAGACGAACTACAAGAGCTCATACAAGAACGAGAGAGGCTCGAAAGCGAAAAACTGGTAAGGTTTTTAAAAAATATCATAATAAAATTACATCTATTTATACAATTGTACTCATCACATCTCGATCTTACAGCGTACTATTTATGAAAATGAGGCACACGAAGCAGTTCTTAATTTAATTATAAGAGCCGAAGAAGGTGCCATTCTTAGAGAACTGGAACGTATTGCGAGAGACGCAATGGTTTCCTCAGAAGACGAATTAGCGGCAGAGGCCAAAGACGTACTCGGTGTGTACAATGGGCCAACAACTGGAGAGTAACCTACCTGTAAAGAAAATAGATCTTAAGAAAAGCCAAAAAAAAAAGGATCTAGCATGCATACAGCTATAAGTTTTATTATACAATTTTTATATTATTTTAAATATATCGAATTCTTTATAATTTCATTCTGGAGATGAAGCAAATGTGGGGTTTATGCAACCCACAAAGTGGCATATATCTTTTTCTCTATGGGTTCCAACATTAGTGACGTGTTGCTAATACAATGATTTTAATTGAAGGTAAAAGAAGCCAGATTCTCCAACTGCAGTAAACGAACAAGGCACTATTATTACACAGTAGTAGGATTATGTAGGAATAATTCAAATTAAATTTCATTTAAGTAAATACTTTAAGAAGTACCCTTCTGTTATGAAGGGCAACAATCTCATCACTAAAATGTTTTCTTACCTTTTTGAAGAGAATGCAAGTCGTGTCTAGAGTTGACATTGGATAAACATTCAGCAGGCTTTCATGAGCCATTCAGTCCAACCTAAATATTTAAAAAATGTTAGAAACTTTAAAATCTGTACATGTTGAAAAAAACAGATTTCCAACCTACACTGCCTACAATACTGTGATCAAAATGTATTGAAAATAGTTTAATAACATCTAGCGGTACCATATGTGAAATGGATTCAAAAAAGTGTAAGTAGGTGCCACAAAAAGAAGTAAACTACTCGATTTTTCCAATAGCTAGAAACGTAAGTAGAGCTGAATCCGAAACCATCTAAAAAAAATGGTTGTACGCTACGGATACAATAACTTTATGGTTGTTCGGCTATTTCACCACCGCTACTAAATTGTCACGCACCTTTGAAAAGTGAGAAAACTTCATCAACATCAACATTTTCAAATCATGGTATGCTCAAGAGCTGGATTCATCAATACATTGTTTTGTTTGGTGGTCGCTTTTTTAGCAACAATAAAGTATAGAAAAGCACAATGATAAAACCTTTTTCTTACGTTTCATAAGTTGTAATAGCGCTCCGTCGCATGTTTCGCATGTTTTTACGATATTGGTGAGGTAACATGATAAAATACAGTATACATGTCCTCGTACATATTATAAATTCAATAATTCTATCCGCACGGTACCTGACGATTTGGATTCAGTTCGAGTTGGAGTTTCCAAATGAGTTAATTTCATCACGAAATTATGATATTGATTCTCCATCCCTAAAATAACACGATGTGTTGAATAAAACGTCATCATCGTTGACGTGCGACAGAAGTTATATGGAAAGCCGAACTTTTCTATTAAACCAAATTAAACATTCCAAAATAATTTTTGATCACAGTAGCATTACCAACTAAACTGTAAGTTGGTCGCCTAACTTGAAACAGAAGAATCTATACAGTTTCATTCTGTATAACCAAACATGTATACATTATGTAAACCAGTGATACATACAAATACCAACATCCGCATAGGTATATTTCAAATGTGTTACGTATTTAATCGTAAAGTAAAAGTAATCTCACCTGATATATTTATTGTAGAAAGAGACGCAAGGCGCAGCCGCAAGATGACGCAATGGAATAAATTTCGTATACGCATCAGAAGTAGGCGCATCGTGATATTTCCGCAAGTACTTTGGCGTTCAGATATTTAAAGTACTTAGTTCACTATTTTTGTGATTTAATAAACTAGAATATGTAAATTATGCACTTTACGAAATCAAATCAGTGATTTCTCTGTCTGTTGACGTTTGGAAGGACATAATAGAAAAGTGGGACGTAAGCGCCGATCCGTATCAAAAAGTGAGTCCACAATGTTTAGTTTTGCACTTCCTAAACTTCCCAAAACTACTAGCTTCAGCTTATTTTTGGTACTCACCAAGTACAGAATGTACAGTGGGTCTTATTTTAGTTGAGACTGAGACACCTAAACTGTTTTTAAAGTTTTAGACTTACGGTTTTCGCAAACTTTTTTGTGAAACTTTTAATACTAGAGACAGAATCAAGCTAGCTACGTGTGTTTAAATATCTCCCAAAATAAGGAGTTTAAAGCCAAAATTCAAAAACGTCAATTATGTTATGTTTCGCTATATTTAGGAAACTTTAGATAGGGTGGTAAATTTTGTTTCTTGATTTTCTTTAGGTATAACTCCAGAATTATTTTTGTCCATTTAACCAACCCTCTATCTATGCTAATTAGCGAGTTCTCTGTACTTAACACGAAATTTGATAAAACCTGTTATTACACCTTTTTTTTTTTTAACTTTTGAGGTGACATGTTTCTACAGCCAGCCATTTTTGTTTTAATGATTGGTATCGGCTGCCATTAAAAAAAAAATAAAATTTCCACGAATCCATGGCCTACTATTTAAAAACCGTAAAAGTAAAGTTTAAGATTTAAAAAATATAGCTTGTAATGTAATCAGAGAAAAGAATGCAAAAATTGACGTTCAGATATACAGGGTGTTGCATTTAAAAATACCGACTTTGAGTCAAATCTCAGAAATGGTAGTCCAAAAATTTATTTTTTTTAATATCCCAAAATTTAACGCCATTCCCATGTAGCATTGAATCAATACTGTTGATTTTGGAAGACTTTTTGAAATTCAAGTCAAAGGAGTCAGTTGAGACAGTTGCTATCCACATCCGGTAAACCCGTTAAAGTGTAAGTATTTTCCTTAAACTATGAAACTTACGGAAACGTATGTAGAAAAAGTAGTGTCCTTTGACATATTCGGAAACTGTAGTTTTGTATTTATATTAGTTGTTTATAGTTCAGGACATACAATATTATGCTTAAAATAACAACTCGAGTTTAAAAATATTGTTTATGGAATACGAAGAAGAGCGGGTGAAATTAATTAGGCGCTTTACGTCCGTCTTTTCTAGCCTGTGACAATCATCATGTATATAATATTTGAGTCTGTGTATTATTTCAAATAAGGAAGAGTAAGTAATCGTTCATTATTTGCAATTAAAATTTAGGTAAAATAATTTCATAGCTTTGTTAAGTGGGATTTGGGCGCATCCGTCTCCTTTTCCAGAATGCTGTGGATTGTGTTAAGTAGGCAGGCGATCAACACCACACATTGTTTATTTCTTATATATTTCACACCGTACGTGAAAGACGGCAAATAAAATTGCTTACATAAAATACCGGCACGACTCTACTAAAATAACGATAAGCTTTATAATGTTTTAGAAAAAAACGTAATTCACGAAAAGGAAAAATTACATACAGTACATCAATTATGTCAATAATAAAAAGTTATAACTTGAGAACTAACTATAGAAAAATGGTGGTTGTTGATATTGTGTGTTTAGTAGACCACCCTCCCACCCTTGCGCAACGCAAACGTTAATGTAGGTTTGAGGGCGCACCGAACTAAAACGCAATATTTAAAATCTGCGTCCACCAACTGGCGGTAAATCACCGCCACTACGTAGACCAGGACCGCCAGAACTGCTTGCAAAACTACAAATAAAAATTGATATATAAATAAAACTGAAAATCCCTAATACTGACGCACATTCATTACACCATAAGAAATGTGGAAGTAGTCGTTACGAGCCAGCATAAAAATCTCACTTTTACAATTTCTCAATTTATATGTACGTACTTTTACAGTCCATTCAAAAACTCTACCACCATTATAAGTAACGAGTTACCAGCAAGAGAGCAATTAAAAAGTACATGAGACTGTATCAAATTTGAGGCTAATTACGTAAATTCCGTGCGTATAGTATGTTCCGAATGACATATCATGTTCTTCCACATTCATAGGCGAAAGCGCACGTAATCGATTACTTAATTAAAACCAAAATGATAACTATAACGTAAATTGTAGTTTAAGCTTACCCTCGTTGTGGTGGAATCGGATAAGCCGGATCATATGGAGCACGACTTGAAGTGTACACGTCTCCATAGCCCCCACCACCGAGTGAAGTGCTGTAGCTTCCACCGGCTCCATAACCACCACCAGCACTGCCATAACCACCGGCAGGACTGCGACTGTCACTGTAAGCCGACCCATAACCGCCTCCCGCTCCGTAATGATCTGCACTGCTGTTATATCCGCCACCGCTGGAGCCTCCGTAGCCGTCATTTGCAGATGAGTAGCTACCCGCTGATGCTCCACCACTACCATATCCAAGAGATGCACTTCCGTACGGATCACTCTGGGATGGTGCGCTGAAGACATGTTTTTTTAAAAGTTCAAGAATCTTGGAACGTTGCATTGTTAATGACCTACAATATTGTTAATTATTTCTCTTTTGTCTTCTTCGAGAAGTGCTTAATAATTTGAAGGGAATTTTGCAAATGTGTAATATATATGTCGGCTCAACAACAGAAGTGGCGCCATCTAGCTTTCGAAACCCGTTAATACCGAGGTTAATACGTATTAAAATTCACTTCCTATGAGCTTAGACCGCTTCATATAAGATTGGAAACATACTAGACATGCAACTTTTTGTTGAGCAAAAAAATGTTGGATGGAATAAAATCTAGCTCTTTTATTTTGTTGCACACAAATGCGTGTGATTCATTTAGAAAAACAGACGTGCTTTGAACATTATTAATACTATTATTCATTTTTTGTGTATAATAATAAAAAATTGACTATCTCCTACTTCTATGGCTATTCCTGCACATGGTGGATGGAGAAGAAGGCAATACGTTTTGGCTTCTTGTTTGAACAAGCATCAATAATCCGTTACTATCAACATTGACTCCGCTTTTTTTCGCCATAATTTAACTATTTGTCAACTTCTCTCCGCTTCTCCTTCCGCACTGAATAATGAAAGCAAACTGTTGCCAAGATCTTCGGCAAGGCAACATCGCCAACCACTTATATCATACTAACAATTTGTAAGTGATACAAACGCATATGAAAACTAGAACAAAATTGAAACTTACGCTGGTTTGGGACCAGGATCTCCTCGTCGACTGTACATCTCATTACCAGATGAGGGACGATCATATCCACTCATTAAAGTACGATCTCCTCCTTGGTCAAGCAAGGGACGTCGGTCAGCCATCATCGGCCTTCTGGAATCATAGGCACTAGCGGAAGGTGGCAAACGTCTGTCTTCGTATCCACTTCTGTCATCCAAATATCCACCACGGTCATCGTATGGCCTACGCTCTACAAACTCGAGACATGAGAAAATCTACAAGCAATTAAAATTCGAAAGAATTACCATAACCATTCGGAGGGGGGTATGCTCTGCGATCATCGTACATAGGTCGTCGATCTCCCACACCTTCGTATTCCGTACCATAACTTCTCATGACAGCGGCTCGATCATAATCACCATATCTTTCGTAATCTTCATACTCTCTACCTACTCCATATCCACCTGCCATACCATTTCTTGGAGGTGGTCCTCGTGCATATCCGTCAGTACGAGCATACGGTCCACCACGTTCACGTCCTCTGGGTGCACCAACGGCCGGTCCCATTCCCATCTCCCTAGTACGTCTAGGTGGCTTTACTCGTCCTCTTTCGACAGATATGGTTCCACCCATGAAACTACTATTGTTCAGATCTTCTATCGCTTTTAGTGCCAATGCCTGGTCTTCCAAATGGAGAAACCCACATCGGTTCGCTATATCGCATTCCACTATATTTCCATAGGGAGCAAACAGTTTTCTCAAGTCATCAGTGGTAACACTAGTGGGTAAGCTACCCACGAATACCTTTGTGGTACTTCCATCGCGACGACTCTATAATTAAAAGCGCATCGTAAAAAATTAACTTTTGCTGCTGATCTTACCATTTTGAGCTTATTAATGTATTTCTTTCAAAAAAAGGAGATTGTTAAGATAAACACCTAACCGGACGAAAATCAAAGATGGAGACTACCACAGACCATCAACCACTCACGAGATCAATACACACTTGCAGATGTGTTCCACACTGACTCCCTGTACTGCGCAAACGCAAGCGCGCTAAAATTTGAATTTGCTTTAACGTGCCACCGTTTGTTTTGTTTATAATACAAGTTCCTGCTGACTTCCATATTACAAACCAAATGTCGCTGTATTTTCGGAAAGAATATGTTCTTCTTCTCGAATTAAAGCCTTCGGTCACTACTGTGAATTCCAGTTAAATACATTATAGCGCCAACTTGAAAGCAAACCTCTACTTTAGCTATCAGTCATGATCCTTGTAGTCTGGTTTTTTGTGATTCGTTCAGCACCGGACTCTCTCTTTACCATAGGTCAATGTTGGTCTGTAACGTTATTGCTGTAAGTAAATGTCATTTCTAATTAACTATTACAGTACTTACCGAAGCAGTTTCCTAATATCGCCTTTGGCATATTCTATGACCATGCACTCCAAATGTAGATAACAACAAAATTCATCTTGATAACATGGCATTTTCATATACCTACTACATATAATAGGTAAGCAGGTGAGCTAAATTATCTTCAATTATAACGTTTGCAGGTTATGTGTATATTATCATAGTGTAAAGAATAGAAATTTACACTAAGATATTATTTACCCCTTACACTTGACAGCTGTACACAAATTCAAATTTTGGCGCGCTTGCGTTTGCGCAGTACAGGGAGTCAGTGTGGAACACATCTGCAAGTATCAATACACAGCTTTACGTGATTTTATACCACAGAGTTGTATATTATATACATCTCTGTGCTTTATACATAGCCATTAGATAACGTAGCCGTGACGTCATCTAGCAGTAAACTTAAAAAGTTTATGCAACAGTTAAAAGATGTCCCTCCAAATGCGTTGGTGCGTCAGGGGCCAGGTTCTGGTCCTGGAGCATAACGCTTCCATAGATATTATATATGAACGCTTCTGACCACAGGAACATACGTTAACTTGGTACAGCAGTTAGGTAGTGCTTCGGTAGTACTCTGACCATTGGAAAGCGCCTATTTATATAAAAGAAACCCATACCAAACCCCTTTGATTAAAGACCAAACCTACGACCCATACACAGACATGCAAGTGTTTGCCTGTGGAGAAGCGAATCAGTTGGTGGTTATTTACTTGAATTGCGACGTCTGAACGTTACGGATCAACAACTGACGAGACGCCACTGGCAAAAGGGTACAGTACAGCCATTACATTACTTTTCAACCAATGGTGAAAGGCTTTCGAATGACAGAATTACCGAAGCTGTTAACATAACCTTAGATAAAACCCTTAAGAAGTAAATGTATGTCAAGTCGTGTACGAAGCCAGTGTAGAAATTACACAAATATTCATTGTCTAGTCGAGAAGTATATTTCGACAAAATGTCGCAGTGGGTAGGTTTTATGGTATCTGTTGAAACTGAAGATACAGGCACATATCAAGGGATTATTTCTTCTGCTACTGGTTCTCAAATTACTTTGGGAAAAGCCTTTTGCAATGGAATTCCTTGTAATTCTTCCGAAGTTATTATAAGGTAATGCCTTTTTCTGTTAAATATTGTGTCACTTACATGTAAATAATCTGTAGCGCCGAAGATATTACCAATTTGCAATTAATTGAAAAACAAGAAAGTCATTCGGGTGAAAGCACAGTTACAGTGGCAAAACCGATTCCGAAGCGAGCTGGCCGTACTTTCAGCGGCTCAGAGATTATTTCGTGCGGTAAAAGTAATGGAACGTACAGCTATATTAAATCAAAACCAATTGATATCGAATACAAATCTTCACACCAAGACTTGAGCTTGAAATCAGCAACACCAAAAAACAAATCGAAAAGTAAGTGGAGTAAAGGTTGGAGGGATGAGTTGTGTTTTGGTTCGCCCTTGGAAAATATTGGCAAGGATTTTGATTTTGAAAAGAATTTAGCCTTATTTGATAAACAGGCGATTTGGGATGAAATTAACTCTCAAAAGCCGGATGTTGTTAGACAAACTGATAAAAAAAATGGTAACAAATACAGGTTTGTAATCAATTGTTGTAAGATGATGAGAGTCATATTGTGCTTTTAGGCATGACGAAAATGTTCTTGCTACTGTCCCTACAGTTTATCGACAAATTACAGTTCCTAAACAAGAATTTTGTGAATATGTCACAGACGATGGTTTAATTATTCCAAGTATATCGAGATCTTTACGAAATAAGTTGTGGTGTGCGGCAGATGTGTGCGGTTTAAGTTGTGAGAGAAGAATCGAACTTATGGGTAGAGCAGCTGCTGAAATGACTTTACAGTTAATTGGTGGTGGACATAGGCTTAATCCTCATAATACTCATCAGTGCCCGACTGTGGTAGTTCTTTGTGGCCGCAACAGGTAACTAAGTAGTTACATCATAATAATTATGAACCGTTCACATATATTTTCTTTCTAATTATTTTTGCATTGAGCATTAAACAAAAATCGTGATTAATTGGTTATTCGAGATGGATTATTTGACGATTCAATTAAAAGGGAAACCACTAGTTTAGATTTCTACACCAGACTGAAAATGAAGCAAAAAAGATGTGATAGATTGAAATTATAATTGAAGTTTGAAAGGGTAGTGAATTAATGAACTGTGATTTAAAATACACAAATGCTAATTAACATAACGAAAGCGTGTAAGGCAAATTTATATATTCTACATATATAAATATACATAAAAAAGTGAAATTAAGTTACTTAATGAGCTCAACAATCTGTACTTTTCGTTCTTCTGCCACCGTTAACAAAAATTTGCACTTTTTTATATCTAGCAACCATTTCAGTTCAATGGTTATAAATTTCGCGCTTTGCTTTTTTCACATTGATGGCACAAAATATTTATACCCAACTTACATAACAAATCCTGCAATTAGTGACCTATATTTCAAAAACTCCCCTTCATTCCTACATGAAAGGTCCTGTAGTTATGTGGAACTGTCATGTTGGTAGTTGCGCCGATATTGAAAGTGAAATGAAAATTTCATCTACAACAAAATGTAAGAGTGGTTTCCCCTGGTATAGAATTGATTATTTTTAGTAATTGCTTATCGACGTTTGAACTTATAATCACCCGTCTATTTTAGACAAGGCGCCATGGGAATAAATGCTGCGAGACATTTGGCAAGTCACGGAGTGAACACAATCGTCTATACAGTAAGTGTTGAAGCACCAGAAGTTCAACGAGAAATCGCATTATACAAACTTACAAAGAATAAAATTATATCGACAGCATCAAAATTGCCTCAATTAGTTGATCTCATTATACTATCACTGTGTGAAGATACCGATAATCCACTATGCCACGATGATTTGGCCGCTTGGACAAACAGTAATAAAGCCATAGTTTTAGCGTTAGATCCGCCTTCCTCTGGTACACCGGGAATTGTTACTAAATTTAGCCTCGTACCTGTCTTACCCTTGGCTCATTCAACTGAGAATGGTAAAATTTATTTATGCAATTTAGGATTTCCCACTCAAATATTTTACGAGGTTGGTATTAAGTATAAGTCTCCATTTGGGTCTAAATTTGTTATTCCCTTACATTTAAATGATGATGTATAATCTCTGTTCCTAACCACACGGAAACAATTTATAAAAAATACCTGTGGTTAATCTTTTTATGTCTAAATGTGTAGGTTGCAGGTACTTTATTTTCCTACGTAGCTGTTTTTGGGCTAACTACATTTTAATAACATATTTATATATTGACAATGGTATTTTTACCACTTTATTTTGTTGAACAAGTTTTTACAAATGTGTAAATGTGATTATTAATTTTTCAAAACTGTCACTCACTAGTAATAGTTAATTTTATGTTTGTACGTAATAGTTGTTAATTATGCCAATTAACATGCTTTGTCCAAGGAGTGATATATATTTGTTAAAGAAAACTCCTTTGGTGTAGTATGTAGGTAACTGTTGCTGAGAAAAACAAATATGTTCAGTGTAATCCTTTGCAGTTACGAAATTACATTTGTGATATATATGCCATTATATAAAAGTGTTTTAACTGAACAAAAGAATAAATCTTTATAAACAAGTTTAGTGTAATTTGTTAAGACTATCAATAAATTTGTTTGACGATTAACTAAAGTAATTAATCACTCCTTCCTGTGTGTCTATAATTTTGCTAACGTCTTGGTTTTCTTAGGTAGGTATTGATTTTTCAGGTTTTCCTGAAACAGTCCCATAGGTATTACTCATGAAACTTTTTATACACTTGCATAGTAAAATTTAATGTTAAAAAATGTAGCTGAAGCATACCGGAGCAATTTTGGCATTGAGTAACTTGCAGTATAATTCACATACAGATTTACACTACCAACGCATTTGTTAGACAAGCGCTTGTTTCTTGGCAAGAATAACTAGAATAACTATCCAATTAAATTAATCACTCTCTATTTAGTGCTCGTTTGTCCTCTAAAGTAGTTGCTAGTTGTTTGATAAATGGATTATTAATCCGTCCACGAGTGGAATCGAAAAATTCTTGTAATCTCCCTATAGTATTTTCTTTTATTTCATATTCAGACGCAGTGAAAATCATATCGAACAAATCCAAATCTTTAACAAACTTGGCCTCTGCACTTTCTTTCAGTTCATACTCTTTATAAAGTTCATAAATTTTATTACCTACACCTCCACCTAAATAAGATGTAAGCTCTTTCATCGCTTCATCCTCCATTTTGTGTTTAACGTCAGCGGAAATATTATCTTGAGGGGTTATGTCGCCGACTATACTTTCAGCTAAATCGTGTACGATTGCAAGTTGTAAACACAGCAGACGATCCACGGTGGAATTGTCTCCAAGCAAAAAGGTCATGAGTGCCATGTTGTACATATGGCTCGCGATTGATTCTGGATTTTTTATTCCTCTGTATTCCCAACCCTTACGAGCGCTGTGCTTTAGGTTGTGTGCAATCTTTAAAAACTGAAGCACGTCGTTCACGTTTAATGATTCCATTGTATTTAAGTAAAATCGATGGTACAAATTGTTAAGACGATTTCTAATTTAAAGTTTTTTGAAGGAGACCGCAGAACCAGCAAGAATAGGGTTAGCAAGCGCGCGACCTTGACCGATAACATTCGTTGCAGACCGTGTTGCCACGTTTAAGAGAAAACCAAATTAAAGGCATATACAAAAACAATTATTACGTATAACTTCCGTTGCACGTCATCATTTTCTCTCACGTAATTACTATGCAATAATGCCAAACACCCGGTATAAGTATCTCATAGTATATTTTTTGCTCTGATAAGTATGACTTCATGAAAGAAACTGAAAAATCACTGGTGGTAAAAAGTGGTGTACATGGTGTACCGTGTACACAAGTGTTTTAGCTTATTGCAAGCACTCAAAACGCTGCAAACGGGCTAAACACGACGAATATGATTTTGGTTATTCTTATTTTTTACTCGTAGGTTATTCTTGATGCTGCTCGCTGAATTGTTGTGCTCCTTGTGTTTGTTCGTGCTGCTCGCGAGCAATGTGAACGCACCTTTAGAACACAAACGACGAACTAGGAACATTTGCCATTTTGCCCATAGTAATATTCTTATATTGATTTTGGCAACCCTGCGCCAATCATAATAAATCAATCCACACCTAATGACCTACATATACAAATAAAAAACTGTGATAACAACATAGAATTAATAAATGGAATTATACCTGAAAAGCTTTGAACGTTAAAAAATGTCTTGCAATCATTGTGGAACAAAATTTAATTTTTTTCATAAGGAAGTAAATGCCATCCATCGATACATTTTATATTTCGATTAATTCGCTTTGTTTTAGATCGGGTGCTTAAACTGTAAGCTATCCTTTTGCCATAAGTGTTTAAAACAGAAAATTAAGATTCCCAGTAAATCGGATCAAGAAGTCCCTGTTTGTAGAACTTGTTTTTCGAATTTGTCTTCAAATGTCAACATGGCTGTGAACATTCCACCACCTGATGCATATTTAAAGTACATTATTGACAGTATTTGTTATATTATTATGTCGTTTTAAGTGCACGAGTAGAATGTCAGAATGTCGTCAGTTTCGATTACTTGACTGTATGCATATTCATCAGTTCATTTAGGAACTTTTCAATTTCCATTGTACAGTTTAGATGACATTATCATTGAAATCAATTTGCCGCTTTGCACTGCACTCTCTTTTGTATTTGTGTCTTTATGTATTACCTATCTAACACTATTGGTTTTTCCAATTGCATTTCTGCCTTGATATCTACTCAGTTTCTTTATGGATGGGTCGCTTCGCTCTTTAACTAAGCTGCTAACTCCTTATCTTTATTAAGATTTATTGTTATCTTTGTGGTATTAATTACAGAAGGCTGGAAGATTTAGAAAATCCTGCACGGCCTCCAATAACAATATACAAAACCGATAAGAAAATGGAAACACTGCGGTCTGGCTTGTCCCTTGCCGATCAACAGCTTCTTGATCGATTAGAAAAATTAAAAGATAAAGATAAACCTCCGCCGTCAGAAGACGAAATACGCAAAAGATTGAATAGTTTGAAAGGTGGAAATGAATATGTCGAAGGACCTAGTAACACACAAGTATGTATGTTTGTATTCTCACTGAAGGCCCTGCAATGAGCCCATTTAGTAAATCACCATGTGCCGCCACTTTATGTTGTCTACATACTCTAATGCAGTTAAAGCTTATTTTAAATTTAAACATAATTTTTAAAAAAATTTTATGGTATAAATTGCAGGCAGCACATTTTCTGTTATACAACAAAGTGGATTTCAGAATAACTGCGATGTCACCGCTAAAAACTCATGTTGTGATAATTACAGACCTATCATTCCTAAAATAATTAACTTAGGGATACCAAACTTTCAGGAATATAAGAGATTAGTAATTACTTCATATTTAAAAAAAAAAACTTAAAAAGAAATTTGACGAAATGGTATTTATGATCGCCAGAATCGTTGTCGAAATTTATTTTCTCACCTGTTTAGAGGTGCTTTTTTTCAGATCCAAATTGCCCATCAGTTTGAACTTCCTAGAAATCCCTCCCACACACACTTTTGTCACAATCGATTAACTGTAATGAATGTATGAATTGAATTTAATTTTGTTTTTATTAAGGTTTTTGCACCCGATACTAGAACAGACCAAGAAAAAGCAGATTCAATTTTAGAAATGTTTATTAAAGAACGTGACATAGAATTGGCACACAATCCAGAAGAAGGAATAGAAGCCAGATTAGCAACATTAAGAGGACAAGGAGTGCGGCCAAACGAAGGTGCTTATATAAGCAATTTACACGACTCTGGCTCTGATGATGACGAAGTCGATAAAATAACAAAAAAAGTTTGCACGGTTCCTTCTCATTTTTCAATTTCTATCTCTTCATTTTCTAGATTATGGATGAAGTTGCATTAGACAACAAATGTTCGAATCGATTACCAAAGGAAAGCATGTCTGATCCAGAATATATGGACGATAAGTTTAATTCTTCGCCCGAACTGGGATGGTGCGCCTTGTGCAATGAAGATGCAAAGTATCACTGTCTAGATTGCGAAGATCTTTATTGTAATTCTTGCAATGTTCAAGTTCACAAAATGTGGGGCGATACTGATCATAGAATTACGGAATATAAACAACAATAAATTTATTATTACCATTATTTTGTACATATTTTATAGATTTATTTATAAACTGTTAATAAGAGAAATGCGAGATAAATGGTATAATAATCATTAAATTTAGAAACGTTCACTAATAAAATGTAGCATTATTATTTATTTTAAGAGCTTGAATTGTAAGATATGCTAATAAAGAATTTCATTTAATAATTTAAACATTAGATCAGGTGACCTTACCAGTACCTTTTCAATTTGTCATGGTTGTTTTTATATAACGGGCGAGCAAAAATGAGGTGCTGTCGAGTCGCCTTCAGAAGTTTATGTTAAATACGATTTCCCATGTAAACAAAAGTTCCAAAGGTGACTCGACAGCAACTCATGTTTGATCGCACAGTACTAGAAGTATCTGTATTTATTATCAATAGCTTAACAGTTCACTAACAATGCAGTTACGTGACGGCTAGTTGTTATCTACAATCGGACTGTCTTATTGGAGGCGGTAGGAAACCAAATTTGTGTACTTATGCCAGTAGGTAAGAGCGTCCCAGTTTTATCACCGTAGTAGCCTTCCGGTTTATGAGCGATTCGTAAGTATTTGAAATGTCTTGGGTTACGATTTGTGAACATGGGGCTTATACTGTCCTTTTCGGATTTTATACTGCTGCAGCGAGACATGGCTCTTGGTATAACAACCTCAAAAGTCTGCGAGTTTAAATGTACATTACATTCAAATAACCTGTTATGAAAACAATAACCTAACCTACATTTTAATTAATAACACATTGCGACTTTGACGTTTCTTTCGCATGTGCAGATTGTACGGAGATTTAGGCGTTTAACGTAAATTGTACAAGTGTTACAAAACATTCTAATTACTCTTCGTCCATTATTTATTTATAACAAAGAATAAGAATTGTACAATCTCTACTGCATAAATATTACTTCTGCAATAAAGGTGTTTTACATTCTATGTGACTGACGAGTACCATGTCATAATTTCATATTCTTGTTATAGATTTTAAAAAAATGGTTCTAGTAATAAACCAGCAAACCTTTGATGATGCAGTGAAAGAAAATATCTCTGAGTTTGGTATGGAGATTCAAGAAGCAATTAATGACGCTGTTAAACAATTCGAAGCACAAGTAATTTGTTACTAATTAAGCACTAATGTAACTACCTGCTTTGGCTTGCTACTTATATCTTTCTTGGTGCAAATTTCTCATGGCTGTATATTTGTAGGGTGTCGATTTAAGTAACATAATAAAAAACAACTTGCTTTCACCCCAAGTTGAAAGCACACACGATTTAAAAAAGGCCCTCTCTGTACTACGAGAGCATACTCAACAAAAAATTGTGATTTCCTCTTCCGTATTACAAGAACAGCTGTCTGTCATCAAAAACGAATGTGATAAGTCAATACCCCACAGAGTGATTGCTGGTACCTACTTGTCTAGATTTTTGTCAACCAGATTAGATTTTCTTTTGGTAGGTAAAGAAGGTGCATATAGTATTTTACTACAACTAATAACCGATAAAAATGGTCAAGAAATTGCAGTCGTGAAAAACAGTTTAGGAGCCTTGCTCTCTTTAATGACCAAGCAACCTGATCTATTAGAAGACACGGGTATTAGAACAATTATTCCTTTGCTTGGTGAAGAAGATGATATCGAAATGCAAAAGTTGATCTTGAAGTGGATCAAGGAGTGCTGTATAATGCACGAGATGAACAGGTTGGTTGCTTTTCTTTTTTGTTAGTATCGCAATTTAAATTTGTAGACAAAAAATATTCCAAGCTGGTATTTTGAGCCATTTAAAGACATCTTTAGAGAGTGACGATTCAAGCTTAATAAGAGATGTACTCGGTGTCCTACGTGCCTTAGTTCTTGATGATGATGTACGGGTTGAGTTCGGAAAGGCACATGATCATGCACGTGTAATTGCTAGTGATACCTTATCCTCCATCACTGGGTTACTTACAAGTAAGCTATGTGTTTAAATTATTAGTAATTAAGGTCTATTGTGCCCAATAGTATTGATAAATATGTAGTGTAAAAAAACGAAAAATTTGTGTTTTCTGACCTGCCAGAGAAGATATTAAATCTGTTGGGTGGGTACTTCCATAATCCGTGATCGTTAGGGGTACGCACTGTATGGGCACATCACAGATGAATGAATCTTTTATTTTTTCGAAGAAAAATCAGCTTTTCTGATTTTCCTTAGTAGTCCTGGAAACAAAAACTTAAAATAGTATAAAACCTCGCAATTTTTTCAAAATGCATGATATCATTTTTATTTATAACATACGGTTCTATTTTTAATCTTTAATAATTATTAAAATACAATATGGAATGGATGTAAATCCTAATCTTTCTATGTATCGTTCTATACACTTGTTTTAGATAAATGTACACACGTGGAGAAGTTTTGTCAATCTGTCGTCTTCTTCTAAGATTTCATTTCATGTAATTTCGTACAACTCAAGTTACCGAATAGTACACCTTTTTTTTTTAAATGTTATTTTGTTACCTATAATATTTTCTATAATAGAAAATTGTAATTCTGCTGGTTGGGAAAAACAGCTGTAACAATTTTTCCGAATCTCCAGTTGTTTCTGAATTATTTTGAAGAGGAGGTTTTTCACAAAATTGCAGAAATTCATTTTTCACTTTTAGCTTCAACCGAGGCTTCAACTATTTCTAAATTAAGTATTCTAAACTAATCACACTTTTAGAATGTATTAATAATACGTAATTAGAGAAAACTGGAAAAGGGGGAAGACTCATTTTAATTAGGATGGTAATTATAGGGAGTTGTTTTCACTGAAAAAAGTAGGGATCTAGCTTATTCTCATCAAAATTCGCTACAACTAGCTTATGCTACAGGTTTTTTAAAATAATTTAAAAAAGATTCTACAGTTTTTCTCAAAGATGCATAGTTTTGCAGTTATTTGACTTTGAAAGACGCGCCGGGTGCAGAGAGCGCTTCTCCGCATCTTCCCTTGTGGCGCAGATGTACAGTTTGGTGAACGTTGTAACTGCGGAACCGGGAGGCCTTATCGAGCTGCGGTTTTTTCTTGCGCCGTTCAGCGGCACTTCGTTAAAGCGGTGGGCCCAAGTTGGCCCCTGCCTTACAAGACATTCACATTGCATAATTGTGCTTAGGTATACATATGGTAGCTGATTGATTAAGCATATTATTTTAGAGACAGAAACAGATGAACCGCTTGTTGGCGATCTACTATCCACAATATCAGCTTTACTGGTAAGAACCGAGTTTTGCAAAATAGTAGAAGAAGCTGGAGGACTAGAGGCTATAAAACATGCTATGGTTGTGTTTCAAGACCAAGATGTAAGTATAAATGTTTAAAAAGGTAATAGCCAACACCCTACAATAATTAAAGTCTTTCCTAGCGACTTAATTTATCAAACCTGATGTTTTCTTTACAGAAAATTATGAGGCAGTATTTTAAAGTATTGAAAGCATTGGCTGGAAATGATGAAGTGAAAATTCGTATAATTCAAAATGGTTTGGCTCCATTACTAATTGCTTCTTTGGATAGTAATAAGGTAAAGGTCAATGTATAGTTAAATATGGCGTCCCATCAATGACTTTGTCTCTCCAGAATTCCAATTTAACTGCGACGGTCGGGTTAGGTTGTATAGCAGCCTTGACGTTAAGATCTACAGAGAACAGCAAGGCTTTCTTTGATTCCGGTGCTCCTGAAGTAATATACGACTGCATGACTATTCATCCCGACGATGCCAGCGTACAAGTGAGGTCACCATTTCTCGTTTGTTATTTTGGATTTTGTATCTTGTAGAAAAATGCGAGTTGGGCTATTAGAAATATGGTCTCCAGAAGTCGTTACCAAAGTCAGAAGTTCTTAGATGTCGGAGTGGAGATGATATTGCAGAGAAATTTGAAAAGATTTCCTAATCATGAATTTGATACAAAATCTGCTTTACGCGATTTGGGCTGCGATGTGAATTTGAAAGAAGAGTGGACTGGATCTGGTGGATTATTAACGACACAATCTAAGAAAAACGTATCTTAATGCAGCAATTTTTATAATCATTTTATACCTTTGTATTATTTTTACTGGTGAAATAATTTGTACTAACTTATTAAGACTTTTCAGTAATAAATTGTGATAACAATTTTGGGTGTTGGAAGACAGTGGTACCTTTTATTCCCCTTCATTTTATGTATCAACAGCCCTATGGCCTAAAATTTCAAATTATTTGTCATTTGATTTGTCAACATCAGTTTTCACTTTTCCAAATTAACAGTATTTTCCTATGTAACTTTCTTTGCGCAATTTCTTTAACAAAATTTTTAGTGATACAAATTAAAGATGCCGAAAACCTTTGGTAAAACATTGACCTATTATATTTCCCGATTGTTTTCAAAATGCTGTAGGACCTGGTCCGGGGGCGTATATGCTCCCATCAACTGTTGGCTATGAAAAACACGACATTTCCCGCTATAGAAGTCCCCAGTATACAATGCGTCCCCGATGTGGAATAGGAGGGAAACCATTTGGACCTGGACCTCAATATAATATTGACAGTGTTACTCGTTATGGCAAAGTTTCACCACCAGCTTTTACATTGTCGCCAAAATTAAAAGGCTTGGGTAATTATTTGCACTACCAACATAAATATAACCTTATCCTCCAAGTACCTGTGTAGAGAGGTGACAAATCTGTTTTGTTTTTTACCACTCGCACGATAGTAAGGGAGGTATTTCATTGTAAAAAATGACTCCCAATTTTTCGACAGAAATACATGTTTTGGTCCACATATCCTTAAGACATAGGATATATCTAAAAAGCTATTAGGAAGAACGCGCATGTAGCAATCCTACCAGCGCAATCCCTGACCAGGTTTGGCAATAGGTATATCATTTTCATCACCTCATTTAAATCTCATCATGGGTTACTCTTGAGCCAAATCTCCCTGGTTGGGTTACCTACGTTATTATAGACTGGCGGAGGAGACAAATTAATATCATGTGGTTATTTCTCCATACACAATTTAGCAAGGAAACGGGATGTTGCTGGCTGTCTGCATGATAAATAGAGCAAAAAGTAGTATATTTACAGAATAGCAACCACCAGATGAGAGACTATGTTGATTGATTTTATACATTCCAATATATCTTAATGTAGATTTTTTCGTTGATCAGAAATATATATCATGTTCTACAGTTTAGCACACATTATCAAGCAAAAGAACTATGGCTAATGGCCGTTTGCACTGACAAAGTTAAGATGAGCTTAGCTTAAGTGTGGCTTAAAATGCATGGCAATCAACCATTGTCTCAATAATCGTTGCGATGTATTTTAAGCTAAGCTCTACTTAAATTTGTCAGTGCAAACAGCCATTAATCCATTACTGCATTGATTATAAATCTGCTATTCATAGTTCTAAATTGACAAATGCAATACAGTAGTTTTTTTTTAGTATGACAGCCGACATATTTTAGTTTTCAAAATTTTATCCCAATTTTGGATATTTTCATTAAAATTATTGCTTCTCTCTAGCATCTTTTAGAACTCCCGGGCCAGGAACGTATTCCCCTGAAAAAGCTCCAAGAATGAAAGACCCACGGCCTCCAGCATACTCCATGGCGGCTAGATTGCCGGGAATGAAAAAATTTAATACCCCTGGCCCCAATCAATATGTAGTGCCCAGCAGTTTGGGACCAAAGGTTCCTAACAAACCGGCAGCGGCTGCATATACAATGTGAGCTCGTTAAATAATTTTTCATCTACTAATAGTTTAATCAAAAATATTTTAGGGCGAAAAAATTAGATACAAAAGGGCAAGCAAGGTCACCTGGGCCAGCTCAGTACGGTGGCACTAATGCAGAAATTTACAAGACTCGAGCGCCCCTTTACACTATGAGTGGTAGACACGAGGGAAGTAGGAAGCCAGGATCACCGGGACCTGCAGCTTATTTACCTAAAATTGGAGGGCACGTTCCCGGCGGTATATCATTTGGTAGACGATGCGATAGACAACCGTACGTTACTGCTGACGATCAGTTACCTTGTATAGACTAATGTATCGGAAAATAAAATACAGGAAATCATTTTATTGGTACTAATTACAATAATGGATCCGTCATACAACATCTAGATTTTTGCAATGGTCTATATATGTAGAAACCATTAGAACCGTTAGTTCTTTTGGGGAATAAACCCATTTCGTTGTTTTCCATTAGAAACTTTTGCAAGATCTATTGATGTCTGATAAAAACATATTTCAACAATTAGGATTGATTTAAAACGGTGACCCTGTTATATAGCATCCTTGACGATTAGTCAATTACCTACTTTTTCAAAGATCTGCATGGATTAACATAATTAAATCTTAAACCGGAAGACAAGATGAATTTCCAATTCCTTGAAAAAATATATGATGCTCGTATTCAGGTCCATATTGCCCTGACCAGTAAGATAAACTCTGAGGTTCCTTTCTTTTATATCTTACCGTTTTGCATGTCAATTTCAAGGGATCGCCCCCATATCTTATACGAACCCACTTTAACTTTGATAACACACACAATAATGATTTAATTCGCGATATCGAAAATGCACAAACAGTACTTCTCTAAAAACTTTCAGCGGACTTAGGAGGCTATTGGCGAACTGCCTAAATCTAATCCTGGTGTAATATATAATGGGTGTCACAAGAACCTAAATGTCATATCATATCGTATCATTTCTATTTGTAAATAACAATTATAACCATGTGGTAGGAAGGAGTACTGCTCCCAGGGGTGCATAAGCTTAGTAAGCCTCTAGGATGGCAAATTTCATGACTATCAAAAATAAAAGTCTCGAAATGCTTTTCATTTTGAAAACCGATGGCTGCAGGCTAGTCTGGATACTACTACACTCATTAATTTAGTGCCACTTCCAATGCTAAAAAATGAGTTCCTTCAAAACTTAACTTTTCCGCACGGAAGCATTTTGTTGACTACCTTTCCTTCATATATTTACTTCTTTTTGTTTTAACAGGTGGTCTTTGTTAAAATTTGGGAAACAACATCAGTCCACAAATAGGATTTACTTCTGCCACAGATAGGTATATTATATCTGTGCTTCTGCATATGCGCGCTAACGTATGTCTCTAGTGTCATCTACTTTAAGGTAAGTTGATACAAGGAATAGCCTTCTCGCAATCTTTTATTGTCTAATAGCTTGTCGAAACCGAAATATCTACCACTCTGTAGATCCTAACAATGTCGCGTTTCCGTCCTCGTCCAACCAACTGATAAATTCCTCTACGAATATCAAGCTTGTATGACATTATACTATACTATAAATTAATTTGACTGTCACTTTTTCCGAAAACTTTTGAGGCTTGCATTACTAATTTCAGTAAGATGAGTCCATACCTAAATTTAAAAAAAGCGCAGAAAGATATGGCCCACCGGTCTTTAAATTATGTAATAGGTATCGTTTTCAACCAGCAAGGAATACATACGCCTGCAAACATTTACACAATTTGTCCCATTAGATTTTGAGTTATTATGCTAACAAGCCAGACAAGAACAACTACATCAACGGACTTTTTTCTGTAATGAAAACAATACGCTCCTCCTCTCGTTCAATACATGGTGACTTGGTGAGCCATTACCCCTCCTTCAAAGATTTGATCAGCGAATATATTATTACATTTCGGTTCAAACTGACCAAATAGCAGTGAAAATGATAGTGCTAATATAAATATTGATAAAAAAAATATCCCATATGCCAAACATGAAGATGCATCAAGAATTTTGTTCAAAATTTGCAAAAACGATGGGTCACCAATGAAAATATGTGAAAATGAAAGAAGTCTTTCGAGGGGCGAAACCCCTACTTTCATGATTTTCTGTATGAAATCCCCACAGAGGGCAAACTGTAAGAGCAACGAGGCCGCCATGCCGGCTGAGGAGGTTGAACGCCAAACCAAGGTTTCTTTTAAAAAGAAACTCACAGGATTGAAATCCTCAAACGAGAGACTGTTGCAGATATCAGCGTTTACACAGGGTAATTACATTCACCGGGCATGCGCATTTTGTGTTTTGTGTAATTTTGCTTTTAAAAACAATTTAGGAAGAAAATCTTAAAATTACAAATAACCTAATGTCCACATCCGCTGAATTGAATACGCATTTTTGTGAAAAAAAATAATTTCACTTTCCATACCCAAAGAATTGAAACCGGGCCGCCTGCGTGCAGGCCAGCTATCCTAGCCAAATTGGCAAACATGCTGGCATAATATGACTCGGAAAGTATGAACTCCAATGTTTTTTTAATCTCAACCCAATTGAAAGATCTTGGGCACAAGTATTTACTACCAGTCAAACAAATAATGTGACAAATCTATTAACAACATTGTAGTTCAAAAGAACTTTCCCGTCAAATATAGGTAAATACCTATAATGAAATGCATCTTGCAAAATGCTGAACTGTAATTAATTTGAATCACACATTATTACATTAACATCTTCATTCTCGCTGTCTGCACAAGTATGTTGCATATACACCGGATTTAGGTGGACATTGGAAAGCAAATCACTTATCGGTTCTATTTCACGCTTCTGATGAATTTTTGCGGGACATTTGCCAATCCTGTCACTAACTACGTCCTCCATGACGATACCAGCAAATCTGAAAGAATATCTACAATTATACTGTTTTCATGTTTCAGTTTTCATACTTTGATAAGACGTCAAATTCTCCAGCACAACATAATAATAAATTGTCTGTCTCCTTGTAAATTCCATAATCACGACAATCCTCAAATCTTACATTTCGTATTACTATGTTGCTGTCATCGTAAAGTTTTACACCCACACTCACTCCTGAAATAACCGAATCGATTATAGAAAATGTTGCTCTTGAGTTGACTATTATTGCGGAATAAAATCCTGTAATATTGCACTTTTCAACATTCAACTTCCCGTCTGCTAGCACTATAATTCCTTGGCGAGTAGATGATTTAAAATCTCCCATAATTGTACAATTTCTTAAAGTGACACAACCAGATCTTACAAGAATACCACACTGAGCTGAACCTACGTTTATAGTTATATTTTCAAAGAGTGTATCACCACAACAGTCTAACATAATATCTTCGTTTATTGAAGAAAGTGTGGTATTACCTACTGAATTTATTCCTTTTATCACTCCTCCCTCACCTAAGGCGCAGAGACTGCTAAAAATGTGCTTACCGGGACTTAAAAAAATTACATCATTTGTGCAAGCAGCCTCTAACACTAATGATAAATTTGATTGGCATATTATATCGTTAGTATCTGCTTTTATCTGATGAAGAAAGGACAAAAAATCGTCATTTTTTCCTTCTTCGAAAACTGCCCAGTATTGTCGTTCATCAGATTGAGATGGTGGATCGGGTTTATTTTCAAGTAAAACATTTCTAAGTAAGGGATTTTCTAGCATTTCTACTTCATTTCGAATCTCCATCATACGAGCACGTATGATTAGTAAATTTTCGGCTTGTTTAGATTGCTCAGGTATGTCATCGTCGATATTTTGTAATAAACAATTCTGGCGAATTTCTAAGTGACGAGCTTCGGTTAGTAGACCTTTAATGATCTCGGCAGTTGGAGCAGGTATGGTACCATTTCGTAGGTCGTAAAATAAATGCAATCGAGATGATAGGTGTTTATCAAACCAATTCCGACAATCTTCTTCAATATCCCAAGGCAGGAAAAGGTTAGTATAAAAAATTCTCAACATTTCAATGCTATTAGCGGTCAACGTTAAATTTAAACATACCGATTTATCTTGTTTTTGTGTGGGCCATAATTGTATTAGAGGAACGCAGTGCACCTTTGGCAGGTCAATCTCATCCTGCAATGTTATAATTCGCACATTAGCATGTAATTCTTCGTATACCACATCGTCAACATAAACTAAAGCGATAGTAGGAAATTCAATTTTAAATTCTTCGCATGTAAGACGAGGTATTTTCCAAATTGCTTGCCATCCACAGACATCTACTGACAATTGCAAATAAACACACCATTCTTTAAATATTTGGGAAGCTGGTAAGATATTGCAACCACCCAATACATCCGTAAATTCTTGAAGACGTTCTTGATATGATTTGTTAAACAATATTGCATGTTCCATCCTAATTTAAGCTACGTATCTCGAAAACGTGGTTTATTTATGATATCTATTTTTTTGTTGCAACTTTCGGCATATCAATTTTAACGGTCTTCTTTTCAGGTTAAATTTAAAAAATTTAAAAAGTATTGCTGCCAACATGCGGCCATTGAATTTATAACTACAATACAGTTTGTAATACAAGATGTTCCAGAATATATTGCACTTGTTTAATACTGTGACCACAGAGTACGCTACGCTGTACCATTGTATATGTATGTATTGCTGTACCATTGATTATACGGTGTATAAAAGAGGCTTGTCATACAAGTCTCTTGTATAATCACTGGCTGTACAGAAGGTTAACTCGACGGTTTTCATTTTTTTCAAAGGTCAATAGGTATGTATTTCTCGCAGCGTCTTTACGCGCATTCCATCTAGATATTGAATATTCTATCGGTACGACGATCCGTCACCCACTCTGTGTACCATTCACTTTTGCAATTCCAGTGCAGTACATACGCGCCAGGTGCCACGATCATACGTGCTTTGTTACGCTACTGGGATGTAGGTTAAATAAAAACATTTCAAAACTGAAGAATAGAGGTCATAAAACGGTAAATCAATTAATTATTACACTGGATTAGGTCTTAAAATGTGCCGGTGGATACCGTATCACGACATATTTTATGGAAGTTAAATGAACTTAACCTCGACGAACGATGTCACAATCCCCTTCATTTCTATACCAAAACGAAATTCCCCGACTTCTTACTTTCTTCAACGTATAAAAGCGGTAGCTGATTGAAGATGAAAAGTGAAAACTTGAATCATTCACGTTCCACTTCGCGCCTAAAGCATTTTCCGTATGTTAAATGCAAGTGAATACAAAATAATGCAATTGTGGAAATTGTAGTAGAATGCTTGCTCGATTATCTTTCTATCCCACATTGTTGTATAATGTGTTTATGGAGAAATGCACTGCCCGGCGATGGTACGATAGGATAGACGATATTGTTATGTTGGGGGCACTACCATTTCCAACCCTTACGACAAAGGTCAGTATAGGTTTTTGTCAACTTCAATGCGTTCATGTGATTTGTAAATTTCAGCTTTTACAAGAGGAAAATGTGAAAGCTGTTATTTCTATGAATGAGGATTATGAGTTACTTCTTGCAAATGACCATAAGGTACGTTGTCCTGTTATCTTGAGTGCCCAGTTTACTATACTTTGCTAAAACTAACATGCAGTATGTACTATTAGTGCAGCACAAACAGGGACAGAATTATAGAAGAAGCATGTCACACATACAGCATACGTGCAAATTTCACATCACTCAATATAATAAATACTTTGGCAGAATTGCCTCGAGTCTCGCAGATTATTCCTATATCAATATTAATGGCAATACAGTTCTGTTTATTAAATTGGTTTATCATCTTCAATTCTAGTTCAAAGCACCAAAATGTACGTAACATGATAAATATCAGTAAAGAATCCAAGCAATAAGTAGACTGTTAATGTAGGATTTTTTCTTTGATTAAGTATCAAGTACAATATTGATGTATTCCTTAACCTGAACAAGTTTTTTCATAAAAATTATATAAACTAGCTACATGGTATCAAGTTAGCTCCAACTTCCATATAAAGGTGTGAGGCATAATTAGGTGTATAAATTTAGCATTTGTACCAAACTAAATTCTGCCATAAAGATAACGATAGGCATGTTAGAGGTAGGTTTATGGAGTAACATATGACTGCATTAATTTATCTAAATGAGATATATGTTGATTATTTCTGATGCCATAAAACAACAAAATCAAACTTCGTTTTTGAAAATTATATATTTCTTAAGGTGAAGGATATCTTTGGACATTCTTAATTGAATTCGATGGTAATATACGATTAATCCTTTTAAAGTTGTATGGAAAAAACCATTCGACAATTTAGTGGCTAAAACACTAAAAAAATGTGCCCACCAATTTTCATACAATTTTTTATAGATCTTTTATAGTAATTTTTGCCAGTAGGACTCTTGAAAATATTTTTATAAAAATAAACAGGAAGAGCTTGTACTACCGAAAAACCTATGTAAAGCGTTTTATCTAGTATGGTTCCTGAGAAAAAAAAATTAGGGAACGAATGCAAATGTTGAGACATTCTTGTGACTTAGTAGGTATTGACATTTAATAGAGCAGACACGGATGATATCCCTGTCTGAACTCCGCCATTTAGATAGGCTCTATAAGTCTATACCAATTGTCATTTATTATATTATCATTATGTATAAATAAGTTACTATGGAGTATGATGATACTTAATAGTCTAGGGCATAAAGTACTGCGTGTCACAGATATAAAATGTGCTATGATATGTTAGTAAGACATAAAATAATATTATGGTGCCCCAAATTAAAGCCTTTAATCGCCGTTTGCACCGACAAATTTAAACGGAACTTAGCGTAGCTTAAAGTCAATGGCAACCATTCTCTCAATAATCGTTGCCATGGATTGTAAGCTAAGCTGCGCTTAAATTTGTTGGTGCAAACGGTCATAAGGGCCAATTGCATCGTCAAAATTAAGTATCCCTTAAAGTTAAGCGTAACTTAAATACCATAGCAACGATTGTCTTAATAATCGTTGCCATAGGTTTTAAGTTCCGACTTAACTTTAAGCAAGGCTTAATTTTGTTGGTGCAAGTGGGGCTTAGACATCTTCATAACTTTCTCAACAGAAATGGCAAGCAGTTGGCGTGGAATTTTTACAACTGGCAACAACGGATATCTTCCAAACACCATGCCAAAATAAGTTATGTGAAGGAGTACAGTTTATTAATAAATATATACCAAACGATACACATTTTGATAATAAAGTGCAGCCTACGGTGTATGTCCATTGTAAAGCGGGAAGAACAAGAAGCGCGACGTTAGTTGGATGTTATTTAATGAGGGTATGGTAATTTATTTTACTATTGTGCTTAGCTTTAAATATTGATGAATTCTAACAATTATCTCATCTGATAAATCAACAATATAGGTTACAGTTGTTATTCAATGGTATTGTGTTGTGTATTTCAGAGATATGGAATGACCCCAGAAGAAGCTGTAAGTCATATGAAGAGTAAAAGGCCACACATCTTATTACACACAAAACAATGGGAAGCTTTACATATTTTTTACAAAGATTTACCTACAAGTGCAAGATGATGCAATAATTTCTAGCATATGTATTATGTTCAATTTTAGAAAAAGTAGAAATATATTTTGTTTAGTTATTGACACATACTTATTTTAAAAACATGCGCGATGAAAGTTTTTACTCGATTATTTTGTGTATCTATTGTGGATTTTTCTTTTTTTTTTATTAATGTCAGATTTAATTTGCCCTTTATTAAGTATATCAGCCACGTTGCCAGAATTAAATTCATAAAGCGGATTTCTCTACATATCACCAATGAAAACGCTTTAAACCGCTGCATCATCAAAAACAGCTCATATCCAGTTACTAATATCGAGCTTATAACCCCACCTCTAGTGTATGCGGGTTAATATTATATAAATCCTGTTAATTGTTTTTCAATGTTATTGTTCAGTATTAATTGTTGAAATAAATAAAAATAAACTTATTCATTCAATGTTAAAACCATACAATATCATACGCGCAGGCTCTGCTTTAAAACAGATCAAGAGCGGATTTTTTCACGTGATGAGAAGCGACTACGTATAGCAGTAGGAATTTAGTTTCCTAGTTTATGATTATTTTCATGTTTAAAATAGGCAATGATATCAAATTTTCTCAAGATTACAATTTTGCGCACAGGTGTGGCATCTTTTGTAAGTTCTGTACTTAAAAAAAAAGTTCTAGTGGTCTCTGACTCATTGGTTGTTTGTTTTGCATAATTCATGACATCTTATCATCTCTTTACTAAGGACAAAGGGGTACCAAATTGATCTTAGCACGAGGTTGAGGTATGTGCTGGAAATGTCAACTAGATTGATATTCTCGTATGTCACAATTATCACTCTTGGTGGTCACAACCCCAAGCAAATGAACATGAAGCTACTGCAGCATACTGGGGACACTTCCTTGCAGTAGAATTAAAGAAAAGAGAACTTAACCCATTTTCTTTTACTCATGTAAAAGGGTAATTTCATAGCACACTGAAGTCCTGGTTTAATGAAAATTGTGGTCATACCTGCATTTCTACTGTCATAAAGTGGCAATTGTGCTTCCCTATACTGTGACGTGTGGAAATATTTTCTGTATAAACCCCACCAATAAATATTATTATTATTATTATTATTTGAATACCCGTAGGAAAGTTTGATTGCAGTTTGCACTGTCAGATTTCAGCAAAGTTTAAGCTAGGCTTAGGCCGGATGTCCACCGCATCGGGCCGACGAAGATCGGTACGATTTGAATCGCGCACCTGCATTTCTACTGAAGCCTGTCAACAGACTCGACTATTGTCGGGACCGATCGAAATCACAACCGACTATTTTAGCCCGTTGTCGTCAGTCGTGACAGTTTTTTTTTTTTTCTGTTGACAGGCTTCAGTAGAAATGCAGGTGCGCGATTCAAATCGTACCGATCTTCGTCGGCCCGATGCGGTGGACATCCGGCCTTAATTTAAATTATGGTAAACGTGACAATCATGATAATTGATAATGGTACATTCGTACGCGAATTAATTAAAGAGTATAGAAACACATTAGGCCCGTATATCTTCAAAAATGTTATATGAAGCATAACTTGATTTACACAGATAGGATTTTTTAATGGCCGTATGCACCGGCAAAAAAAGAAACAGTAGTTTATTAATTGGTTTACACCCAAAACAGAAAAATAAATGTATGCACTCATTTCAATATTATTTAATACTGCACAAACAAATTTTCAAGTTAGGTATATACAAATTGAACAATTTAAACAAATCTAACGATATAAAAATATTTACATTAACCTTGTAGAGCCCATACTGCTCTGACAAATTTTCCAATACCGATATCTGAGTAATTGAAAAATAATAATCCTCCAAGAGTTGTTGTTGTAAGTACATAAACTGCTAGAAGTGCAACTTTTGAAACAGCATTGCCAACAAGGATAGGTCTACAATAATCCTGCGCAATTGCCTCCATTCCCCTATAAAAAGAATATAAACGAATTTATATCTTTGGTATTGGCAGTAGAAGGCAGGCAGTTTGTATATCGTAATAAAGTACTTGTACTTACCAATGTAAATGTGCAACAGTTAATATTGCCGTTAAATTATCCAGGACTGGGTTTGGAAAAGCAACACATGCAGGTAAAAGACCAACTAGCAGTGCGGAAATTCCTTTCTCTATTTTCCATAGTGCTCGATGGTCTTCTCCAGACATTTTTCTCACATTTTGAGCTATCACTGCAGATTTGTTTACATTGGAAAATATTGTATTAGGTGTTGTCAGAAAGCAAACAGCTGGTAGTATCGATATGTTACCGTTGCGCAAAAGTGGTTTATTGAAATCTGATGTGTGTGTCGAAGCACACGTTACGCTTGCCGCATTATTATAGAAAGGCAATAGGCACTTTGATAAGGTGGAATAACCTGCAATGTAAATTATGTAATCAAACCAGATACAATAAACATACCTTGAAATTTATTTGCATGTCGGAGAGCTATCGAAAGCGCCATGTTCGTCTGAGATTAATCTAATATAATTATGTGGTATTTAAAACAATTTTTACAATTATTTATAACAATTCCAAACTGTCAATGAAGTTGAAGTATCACTTCTGTCAACGTCAAGGTACATGAATATACTTGAATTTAGCAACGGATCTTTCCGTTGCAACTTCGCAGAAGAGTTAAAATAACCTCATAAACGTGACTTGTTGTTTCTCTTAAGTTGTCATCTAATCATTACGTCTTCTTCACGTTTGAGATAAAAGTTAAAATATGACGACGTTAGAAGATAATTCCATTTGGGAAGATGGAGAAGAATCGTTCGGAGAAGAAGTTCTTCGCATGTCCACAGATGAAATTGTAAGTCGTACTCGGCTATTAGACAATGAAATTAAAATAATGAAGAGCGAAGTAATGAGAATTAGTCACGAATTGCAAGCTCAAAACGAGAAGATTAAAGAGAACACTGAAAAGATTAAAGTTAACAAAACACTCCCCTACTTGGTTTCAAACGTAATTGAGTTGCTCGATGTAGATCCTCAAGAAGAGGAGGAGGATGGTGCCGTTGTCGATTTGGATGCTCAGCGTAAAGGCAAATGTGCTGTTGTAAAAACTTCCACTCGACAAACCTACTTTTTACCCGTTATTGGGTTAGTGGATGAGGAAAAATTGAAACCCGGCGATCTTGTTGGTGTTAATAAAGACTCTTACCTGATCCTCGAAACGCTTCCTGCCGAATACGATGCCCGAGTGAAAGCCATGGAAGTGGATGAAAGGCCAACAGAACAATACTCCGATATTGGAGGACTTGATAAACAGATTCAAGAATTAATTGAAGCGGTTGTGTTGCCAATGACACACAAGGAGAAATTTGAAAATTTAGGAATTCATCCCCCAAAAGGTACTTATTTTCTTAAAACCGTCGCTTTGTTAACAATTTGATCTTAGGCGTGTTGCTGTATGGCCCTCCTGGAACTGGAAAAACTTTACTGGCACGAGCATGTGCAGCGCAAACAAAATCGACCTTCTTAAAGTTAGCTGGTCCTCAATTAGTACAAATGTTTATTGGAGATGGTGCAAAGTTAGTTCGGGATGCTTTCGCTTTAGCTAAAGAGAAGTCTCCCGCTATTATATTTATTGATGAATTAGATGCTATAGGTACAAAACGATTTGATTCTGAAAAAGCGGGCGACAGAGAAGTACAGCGGACTATGTTGGAATTATTGAATCAACTCGACGGATTCAGCTCTACCTCACATATCAAAGTTATTGCCGCTACAAATCGAGTTGACATTTTAGATCCTGCTTTATTGAGATCGGGTAATTTTTTTTATTTGCCTAGGTTTTTTAGTTTGAGTTGATTGTGTTACAGGCCGACTGGATCGTAAAATTGAATTTCCTCATCCAAATGAGGAAGCGAGAGCAAGAATTATGCAAATTCACTCTAGAAAAATGACTGTCAGTTCTGATGTTAACTATGAAGAGTTGGCAAGAACAACAGATGATTTTAATGGGGCACAGTGTAAAGCGGTCTGTGTTGAAGCAGGCATGATTGCTTTGCGAAGAAATGCTACGGTAGTCATACATGAGGATTATATGGATGCGATCATGGAAGTTCAAGCTAAGAAGAAAGCTAATCTTAATTATTACGCGTAATTTGTATCTTTCCTATAATTATATTTGTCTGCTTTTGAAGGAATTTATAAACAACCAAGTTTGTTTACATTTTATTTGTTTTGTCGACTTACATGGATTCCTATTTTTCCCATTACTTTTGATGTAGTGGTCTAATCTTAATTATTCTTATCGATTTGAAATCTAAAGTTAAAATCATGTTTTTTCTCAATCAATTTGGACCAGTCGATTGTTAGTGAAAAAACTGTAAATTTTGGCCTGTAGGATTCAAAACTCAAAATTTTTTAGATTGGTATGCTACATCAAAAATTATAACAATAATGTTAAAATCTTTGAAGCACTGCACCATGTACATGGTATCATTATTTTGGTGCGTAGAATCCAAAACAATTCGTACTTTTTCGATCAGACTTCTCAATAAAAAGTTATAGAAAAGAAACCAATTTAGAAAGAAAATTCAAAGGGCTGTAACTTTTGAACTAGTAGCCCAATCTTGGAACTGTTTGAAATTATGGATTCTACAGGCCACATTCTATAAGAATTTTTTTTTCCGGATCGATCTGAGACAATTTTTTTTTCGTGGCTCAAAAAAGGCAGTTATTACCTTCCTTTTTTACCAAAAATCGACTGCACCAAAATTTCTCGGGAAAACACTTTTTCTTATTAATTTTGGTGCGTAGAGTCCAAAACAATTCGTACTTTTACTAACCCAACCTCACCAATGACCAAACTCCGAATCATCTCGTGCGAGAACAACCAGACCCTTAGGAGTTGAAGGAGGTGGTTGGAAACCTCCTACAATTTTTGGAAACTACACACCTAAAGCATGGAATTTACTCTATGCCTAAAGGCTAAAGGCAAGAATACTTATACTACTCTTTGCCTAAAGGTGGAACTGGAAAAGGCAGCTTTTATAGATTCCTCTAAGTTGTCATCTGAGTGAGAACCTGGCGACAGTTAAACGGCGCTTGGCGGTGCAGAATTCCTAGGCAAAAGTAGGCAGCTGTCAGGAGGAATGGGGTCGTAGGAAGTCCTGGACAAGTAGACAAGATTCCCGAAGTCCAGAAATGGCCCAAGAGAAAGCACGGAGAGGTACACTAACATCTAACATAATGCTTAAAAGGACACTGGGAAAACGCAGAGTATAGCTAGTAAAATGGCAGTTAAAAATGTACGGACAAGATCTGTACAGTAATTGTACTTCAATGACCAGATTTTTGAAAAATTAGTTGAAATATAATGGCTGCAAGCGCGCCATCTCCTTGGTAATCGATACACTTTTTTTATTTTATAGTATTTTAAGTTTAGTTGAGATGTCGCCACATACGTAACTTCATTTGAAATTGCTTTTGAATTTATGCGATTAATAGCCGCCTTGGACTTAGTTTTCCTTAAATGGCACTTCAAGATGGACGGAGTCTTGCAAAATCTGTAGAGCAATTGTAGTACAATGCCCCGGTTTTTGATTAATTACTTTAAATATAATATCATTGTAAATTCAATGAGGATATGTACAAGTGCGCCATCTCGTTGGTAATCGATACACTTATTTCATTTTATAGTATTTTAAGTTTAGTTGAGATGTCGCCACGTACGTAACTTCATTTGAAATTGCTTTTGAATTTATGCGATTAATAGCCACCTTGGGCTTAGTTTTCCTTAAATGGCACTTAAAGATGGACGGAGTCCTTTTAAACTAGTAGCCCAATCTTGGAACTGTTTGAAATTATGGATTCTATAAGAAAAATTTTTTTCCGGATCGATCTGAGACAATTTTTTTTTCGTAGCTCAAAAAAAAGGCAGTTATTACCTTCCTTTTTTACCAAAAATCGACTGCACCAAAATTTCTCGGGAAAACACTTTTCCTTATTAATTTTGATGCGTAGAATCCAAAACAATTCGTACTTTTTCGATCAGACTTCTCAATAAAAAGTTATAGACTAGAAAAGAAACCAATTTCGAAAGAAAATTCGAAGGGCTGTAACTTTTGAACTAGTAGCCCAATCTTGGAACTGTTTCAAATTATGGATTCTACAGGCCACATTCTATAAGAAAAATTTTCTCCGGGTCGATCTGAGACAATTTTTTTTAGAGGCCCTCAAAAAAAGGCAGTGTATAACCTTCCTTTTTTACCAAAAATCGACTGCACCAAAATTTCTCAGGAAAACACTTTTTCTTATTAATTTTGGTGCGTAGAATCCAAAACAATTCGTACTTTTTCGGACAGACTAGTTGAGTATTGGACAGAACAAACTGCCACATAGAGATCCGATGGAGTGCAAGGTCAGGAGAAATCAGTTTGGTTCTGTAGGTTTGCCTTAGATGACAGGAAAGATGGGCACGTTCACTCCAGTGTCGATTAGGACTACACGTGTAAGTATTAGTTTTGTTATCTTATGATGATATTATCATTCCTTTTATGCATAATTAGCAGAAAACGTTACTACTCAAATTTTAAGGATTGAATACTTTGCTGTTATACACACTTACTTGTCGTACTCGCTTAATGTATGGGGTTACTATGCATGTTGGAAACCACTGTTCAAACTTCCACGCAAAGGTGTAAGAATCATGGTTCCTCATCTTCCGTTTCAAGCAGATTTGCTTGTCAGGCATTCATTAGTTTTATAATCCTCACATTGCCCTGTATAATTTTATGCATTTTTTCATCCAAGTTTTATGCATACATGCCTCTGTTTTACTAAACGCAATGAGCAGAAATAATATATCCATGAATATGACACTCGCAACAATTACATATCGGTACCTTATTGCAGATTAACTATGAAACCCAAAATAGTTTACATTTCATAACAAAATGGTAGATTATCACGAGTCAAAAATGATAGCCATTATTCTCGAGTATTGAGTAAAATTCCGAGAGAATAATAGCTTTACGACTAATTTTATAACGACATTTGATCCATTTTAATACAAAAACAATACACGACCCGCTTGACATTTACACTTTTAACTTTTTTCTTTCTATGAATATTAAATTTAAGGAAATTTTCTAATTAGTGTACAAGAAGGCGTAAGAGCTATTAGTCCCTAAGGTAATAATACATATATGGCATTATACCGAAAAATCCATAAGTATAATACTCGCATTATATATAGTCGTAGATAAAAACAGGACAATAATTGTTTGTATACCAAGGCTGCGAAATGATTGTTTGGTGTACTGATAGAATAAGTTTTTGCCTCGGCTTACACCTTGGCCAAACCTTCCCTCGGTACACCAAACATATTTCGCAATCGCGGTGAATACAACATTTTTTGTGCAATCGAAATATTTATACACAAAAATAAGCAATGGGTATGTTCAACCGACACAACTGTTCAGTATATTGAGACGCCGCCTTACCTGAATGAGGAATGGTGACTTCTGGTGGAAGTCAACAGTTGGTAATAATTGGCACCACAAATTTGCGGTGTCCACAGAACCGTTCAGGCATGTTGTCGTTTGCTACTAAAACACGTTTAAAAAACGCATTTTATTCATACAATGAATTTCTCTGCAGCAAAAAGGTAAATCTGACAGATGTAAGTATTGTTCTACGATTAATATTAAGAAACATATTATCATAATTATTAATGAGCAAGAGGAAAAATTGAGTGGTGATGAAGCTACCTTAGCGATATGGTTTGAAACTTCGTCGTCACCCCTTGCTGTCATACAATAATAATAACATTTGCACTTCCACAGGGGTTGCCTGTATGATTTAAAGTGAAGATGTCTTGATGACGTTATGGTCATGACACGCCTTCGTGTAGATAACAGTACCGGCCTACCTCTCTGTGTTTTTTCGCGGTTATCTCCGAATAGGAAGTATTAGAGAAGGAACCATATAGAGTTGTTACCTTTACTGGATTGTCCCCACCGAAAGTGTAAAATTAGGCTAGTATTTTTAGAGGGAAGATAAATAAGATTTTATATACTCGAACATAACACACTACAGTTTACAAACTAAATGCAACAAATAACATATAATCGTAACAGTCTTAAATAACATAATGAAGGTGCTCTTATCCAGATGAAGATGCAGTCACACTTTCGTATCCTTAAAACGTTTCAATTCTTTAGTAGCTGAATACTTTTATTAAACCTATTGGACAAGTATTTACAGTGCGAGTGTATGTGTCGTAATGAGTCTACACTACAGGAGGTTGTACAGGAATTTGTGGCCTTCGAAAGTACACAATCACTCCCAATAGCCCGGCCAACATTGTGATAAGGTATAGGTCCCAGTTTGATCCTAAGAAATCGTTCTCATCCATCTTCCAAAACGGACTCTGCAAACAATGCTTTAACAATAGTTGGTAGAGAGTGTTCACCCACCTCTTGCAAACTTTGAATGCCAAACATGAAGTTCAGCTTTAGGAGTGCCAAAGTTACAGGCACTTTTGCATCTAAACTTGTATCGGCGGCAGAATCGTAACAGCGCTTTGCCAAATGCATGTCTTTTGTCATTCCCAAACCCTGCTCGTGCATGTATCCCAAGTTAAACATGGCTTGTGCATTGTGTTGCTCTGAGGCTAGTCGATAGTGAGAAGCAGCTGTTTCGTAATCAACGGGCGTACCCAATCCGTAATAATAATAGTCGCCCAGTTTTACCTGTAAGAGATCAAGATACATAAGATATACATTGTCTGTTGGTGTCAGCATGTTCTAAAGTCCTACATCGCTTAATGACGGCGGTCAATTATGTGAGATGTATTTATACTATCTTCTAGACCAGCAGTTCCCAACCTGTGGTACGCGTACTGAAGTGAGATTTTGGGGGTACGCAAAAAATATTAGTAATAGCGGAAATCAATATTTTAACAATATGCTGATATGTCATCGTGCATGTGTGCTAGATCAACCATCAACCATGCTTACTAGTACTGAGCAAGCCTAGATTGGAAGCATGAACAAAACTAAATACCACTTCTGAACTACATAAGTGCGTGACTGCTTCCTCAACGGTGGGGGAATGTCTAAAAATAACAAACTCTCGTCCCGCCAGGACTCCACTTCAGTACCTGTGCATTGTTAAATTTGTCAATTTAAATAAAATTTTACGTAGTAAAATAAAAATTATATATCTCATAATATGTTGAGAGAGGTTTTTGTACCTTTTAACACTAAATTGATATTAAGGTTAATAAAAAAGTAGGAATGTATGTAAATGATCGGTGGGGGAAGGTTGGCAAGAAGGGGGTTCTTGTTAGGGAAAAACATACTGAAGGGGTACGGGAGACCGCTGTTCTAGACCAAGCGATGGTACAAACAGAAACAGCACACTTAGCAATAGTTAATTTTAATTTGTAAGAAAACAAATTATTAACCTGTGCAACAGAAAATCCTTGAGCAGCTGCTCGTCCCCAATACAAAAGAGCTCGAAGGTAAGAATCTCCTGCACTTAGCATAGGCACTTCCCCTCTATCCAGCATGAATGCAGCATTACTTTGGGCAACCTCATACCCTAATTCTGACAAAAGTGCATATTGGACAAAAGCTTCATTGTATCGGCCATCTCTATAATCATTATGCGCCTGCAAAAACACAATTCAGAAATGGGAAATTAATCTTCTCCTAATCACCTGCATAAGCAATTCACCCCACTTTCCACGTTCAGCTACAATTTTGAAAAATTCGACCGCAGTGGGGCAAGACCTCATCATTCCAGTACCCTGAGCTTGCATTTGACCCAAGTTGTAGTGGGCCAACACGTGCCCCGACTTTGCCGCTTGTGCAAAATATTTATTCGCTTGCTTATAATCTTTTTTTACACCGAGTCCATCTATATTTATAAACAAAAATTAAAACGCGACTAGGCGATTTTGAAAGCGATCTTACTGAAATACATATTTCCTAGATGGAGCTGCCCGTCAACCCAACTTTGTTCGGCAGCAGCTAAAAAGTACTTATGCGCCTTCGCATAATCCTTCTCAACCCCACGACCGTATAAATACATCAAACCTAACCCACTCTGGCCGACAGGATTGTTTAAATCGGATGCCTTCTTAAAATACTTGAAAGCAGTTTCATTATCTTGCTTTATTTCGTCACTGCCGTCGAGGTACAACTGAAATAAGAGTAGATAAAGTGCACGTACAAAAGCTGAGGAGCAAATCAGTCATTATGGGGTACATTTCAACTAACAACTTCTCAACCGAAATCTAATTATGCTGAAATATTGAAAATATTTAGGAACAATTCGGAAATATTAAAAATCTACAGTGGATCCTACTTTTGTTGGGACTGCAGTGTATCTGAGCTGTTTATCCTTATTCTTATGCTTACTTTGCCCAAATATGCCATAGCTACTGCATTTCCGGAATTTGCAGCCTGCGTAAAATATTCCAAAGCCTTTTGATAATCTAATTCCACTCCTCGTCCCCCTTGATAATGCAACTGGCCTAAACCGACCTGAAAATTTTAATATAAACTGTCAGACCTCGACATTCTTGCACTCACTTGAGCTTGGGTGTCCCCCTTTTCCGCCAACAGTTGGTAATACTCAATTAGATCATTGTCCAATATACCCGAATTATATCCACTTTCCAATTCGTCTATTAATCGTATTCTTTGCACTGCGATTCCGCCACCAAAAGACACGCCTTGAGACACTAAAGGGAAAGTAAATATTAAAAAACGAATTGTAAAACTAAGAATACCTTTTTCAGCGACTAATCTGTAGTAATCAAGAGCCTTTTCACAGCTAGGTGTGACAGTCACACCGGACCAATAGCGATAGCCGAGTATCATTTGGGCCCATGTATTTCCATCGAGTGCTGCGAAGGTGTAATAGACTAACGCTTTGGCCTGACTGACATTGACGTTAAGACCAGTTGCATATAAGAATCCTAAACAAAAATTGCAGTTGATCATATGTATGGCGGTATCAGCTCTAAAAATATATGTACATTTTACTACGACAATCACTATAAAATTGCAGAGATCACTTTCAAAACGCGAAAAGTATTCAAGAAATCCTGAACATTTTGAAGCGTATACAATACCTATACGAGTGCCTCAGATCAAGTGGGGTTGTATGGGTAATTTTGTATTATCACTGCTTTACAAAATTTCATTTTTCCTCTGGCTTTGGAACTAAACCAAAATTGATTAATTATTTAGGTGGTCATACTCCTAGGCATTTTAATTTTCTTGTTACTATTTCCTAGTTACTTGTTTAGCTATAAATTAGAAATACCCAAAATTGTATTTGTTAAACTATTTTGAGGCTTATTTCGAGTAAAAAAAATTAAGCAAAACTATCTAGTTGAAATCTGGCAACACTGCCTGAAAGATTATAAGCAGAACTACATTTGCAGATTGCATCTTAAGCTCAATTTAGATGTTGAGCACCTATGGCCCAGCGGCCCTGCCACGGCTGCCAATATTTCGCTATGGGTAACTTCAAAGAATTCACTATTACTAGATTACTACAAAAATGTTACATTTGACCTTGGAGAAATAGAACATGCCCTGTATTTTAAAAATGTATGTGTTTTTAAAATGTACACAATTTTGAATTGTTTACTATCGTTTACACGTTACATTTTTTGAAAGACAGTTTGAAAAAATGTAACGTCTAAATAGAGCCTTACTGTAAATAAATAAGAAAAAATAACTATATAACAGAAAACTACAACAGATTTTAGTAAAATCAAAGAAACAAGAAGAGAAATCAAATGATTTTCGAAAAATTAACTAAATCCGCAGGAAAATGTAATTCGTTAGAATTCTCAAGTGGAATCAAAGAAAGCTCTTGAAAAACACCATGATTTCCGGAAATAGGTACATGCACAATACAATCACACATAGGAAACAATTCATTGCAAATACATCACGATGTTCTAAAATATCGTACCTAACCCCAAGTGTCCTTCTGCATGACCATGTTCAGACAACTCAAAGAACATCTTTTTTGCCCTCTCCAAATCTTGTTTTATTGGATTTCCAAATAACAGAGCCCACGCAATTAGGGATTTCGCATTTAAATTTCCTTTCTGTGAGGCATCTAGTAATAATGAAAATGCAGTCTTTCGAATGGGTCTGGTTTTATTTAATAATGCCATTGCCTCTTCATAAATTCGATTTCCTTCAATTTCTTCGGCGGTTAACTCGCTCTCTCCAAAATTCTCAGGTAATGGTGGTATTTCTTCTTCTTCCATCACAGTTTCTATCTCTTGATTTTCTGTAACAATAGTATACTTAAGGCCATCGATCTCCTGCACCATTTTCTGCAGCCATTTTGCTTGTTTAAGTAAAAGCAAGTCGGAAGCGTCCATTGGTTCATTTTCACTTCTTGACTTTTCTAAGAAAGAAGTTACAGAATTTTTAAAAAATGTTTCAAGATACCTTTACTGCTACCTTCTTCTTTGCTTAGATCGGGTGCGGACACAACTTTTAAAGCACTGGCACCATCGCCGTCTCTAATGCTAGATATAAATTCATCTTTGGATTCCTCCGAATCAGAATCCTTTTTCTTTTCTGGAGGGCCGGTGAGAGTCTCTTGAGAAAGTTGGCAGAACACAATGAGTAGAAAAACAAATATTTTATAGCTCATACTTGAAACGAATGATTTGTGATCATCTCAAATCTTATCACTTACGTGTCCAAAAACGTCACAAAAGTTGGCGATTAAAAAAATGTAGGTAGCAAATTAATTTCTGGGGAATTTGCCAAATTTTGAAAATATATAACGTTGTTAAGTACCGGTAATTACATAATTAATTTAGTAAATTTCTAATGATACAAATCGACTACAAACATTTACATACACACAACTGTCAAGTGTCATATCACATATGATTGGTTGTTTTCCGCTTCAGAGTATTTATTTATTAACTCTGAGGTAATTTACGCCTGAAGTAAATAAAATGTCTGACGAAAAAAAAGATAATATTCAAGAATTTAAACTCGAGCCAGACTCTGAATTACGTTTTGAATTGGAGTCTAAAAGCGAAAAAGTTTACGTTATCTTAAAGTCGGGCTTCGCTGAAGTATTCGGCACAGAACTGGTTATAGGCAAGCGTTATGAGTTTACAGCGGGCGCAAAAATTGCAGTGTTCACATGGCAGGGCTGTGTTATCGAACTAAGGGGCAAAACTGATGTAAGTTATGTCGCCAGAGAGACTCCCATGATTATATATTGCAACTGCCATGCAGCACTTGAGGTTATGCGTACAGATGCAGAAAAACATAATAAAAAGGGACCAATTACTATGGTTGTTGGTCCGGGTGATGTTGGTAAATCCACGGTATCTCGAATATTGTTAAATTATGCCGTTAGGATGGGACGTAGGCCTCTCTTTATAGATCTTGACGTAGGACAAGGGCAAATTTCTGTACCAGGAACAATAGGTATAATAAGATTTCTACATGGGTATATTTATCTCATTTTTGTAGGGGCGTTGCTCATTGAAAGACCAGCTTCTCTGGATGAAGGTTTCTCACAAGAAGCACCGTTGGTGTATCATTATGGGCATACTAAACCTGGTGGTAATTGTACTTTATATAATATGTTATACACACAATTAGCTGCATCAGTTAAAGAAAAGATAGAGTCAAACAAAAAAAGTAAGTATAGTGCATACTAGTACATACTTTTAAATTTAGTATCCAGACATATTTCTTGGAAGTATTTGACCGTAGTTTATTTAATCTTAAATTTTTTGTTTAAATTTCAGCAAAAGTGTCAGGTGTAATTATAAATACTTGTGGGTGGATTAAAGGTGCCGGATATAAAGAATTGACCCAAATCGCTAAAACTTTTGAGGTTGACATTATCTTGGTATTAGATCAAGAAAGATTATATAATGAGCTGGTAAGAGACATGCCAAGGTTTGTTAAGGTTGTTTTTTTGCCAAAGAGTGGAGGGGTAAGCTCTTAATATTTTTTCTTCAAAATTATATCGACTGTTTAGGTGGTGGAAAGGTCGCAGACTGCCCGTAGTGAAGCTCGAGATTTACGAATAAGAGAATATTTTTACGGAACCCCAAAAAATTCTGTGTATCCACATTCCTTTGATATAAAGTGGTCCGAAGTCAAGATTTTTAAAATTGGAGCACCCGCTTTACCGGACTCTTGTCTTCCTTTGGGAATGAAGGCAGAAGATCACCTAACAAAAGTGGTTGCTTTAACTCCAAATCCAGGGATTTTGCATCATTTGTTGGCCATCAGTTATGCAGCAAAAGAGGATGAGATTCTTTTATCGCATGTTGCAGGTTTTGTTTGTGTGTAAGTTGTCAATCCACGCAGTCATTGTTGCAAGCTAGATTAATTAATTTTCTTTTAGAACAAACATTGATACTGAAAGGCAGATTTTAACATTTTTATCTCCTCAACCAAAGCCACTACCAAATAATACATTACTGCTGTCAGATTGCCAGTTTATGGATAGCCACTGAATGAGAATTGTGTTTAATTTGCATGTAGAATTCAATATAATTTTCTGAGAATTGATATTTTCTATATTTTTGTACTGTTCAATTCATTGCTGTCTAGTCTACCTTATGGAGAACTTTGTAATTGTTTAATATAATTAAAAAATAAACCTATTCTGCAAATTTACTGTTTCAGTTTTGCGGGAAGAGGGGCACAGCAACTTGGAAGGTTATGTAAGGGGGCGGTGATAAATTCACTTTGATAGTTTCATTGCTATTCTTACAGAGAGTAAATGGCCAACGACGACTATAAATTTCCTTTTTTTACTGAAGGCATTTTCTTAAAATTTTGACAGACGTCTGTGCGCATGCTTTAATTTTAGTGAGATTTCAAGTAGGGCGTTGGGTGAAGGATTAATCTCTCAATGGTAAAGGCTTAGATCATACATATGTGATCTAAGGGTAAAGGGGAGTAAAGTGTCAACCTTACAACCGAGAAAATGCAAAAAATGGGACATATTTTAACTGATGCTGATACCAACATTCAACCTAAATTAATACTAAATGCTGAAAATTATAATTTTTCACCTTTACACCATGCCTTACACTTACCAAGACATTCTGGTTTTTTTCTCGCACATCTCGCTTATTATTACAAACTTAGTTTTCTTGTGAACTACTGCTGGTATCAAATATCCCTTGAACAATTGTTCATAATTATGAAACATCGGTCACAAATTATTTACTCATTCATGAGTACTTGCAGTAAAATATAATTTTAGACCGTTTTACTGCTACTTCTTTACTTTACTCAAAGATAATAGTGTAGTATCTTCGCTTTACTGTGATTACACGGATGCTTGCTGTATTTATGGCAAATAGTAAACGCATTGTATATAACTATACAAAGGTAAACGTAAACTTATGACCGTACCCTTAGCCACAGCTATACAATACAAATTAACCTAACCTAAAAATATTTGAAAATAAAAATTTGTTGTGGAAATGGAACACTTTAAATTACGATTAGCAAAACATGTGTTAACCCAAGCAACCAGGAAGATTAGCAAATACTTAGATAAGGATAGATCTTCAAAGGCCATCCGTACCCAATTCATGAACTACTTTGTTAACGATTGCAGTCACAACTTTGTCCGTTCTAGTCCTGTAGTTCCCCTTCACGATTCCAGCGTACCATTTGTCAATGCAGGAATGAATCAGGTAGCGTAAGTTTGATTAGGGTTTTAATAATATTGAATCTGATTTTATTGCAGTTCAAAGGAATTTTTTTGGGGACACAAACTGCATTACATAAAAAAGTTGCAAATTCCCAAAAGTGTGTAAGGGTCGGGGGAAAGCATAATGACTTAAACGTAATAGGATTGGATGGTTATCATCACACCTTCTTCGAAATGCTTGGGAATTGGTCATTTGGCGAATGTGTAAAGGTAGGTTGTGTACCTACGACAACTTTTTATCCCTTGGAGCTTTCAGATGGATGCCATCAAATTAGTATGGGATCTTCTAATACAAAAATACAAGATACCAAAAGATTTACTCTACGTTACTTATTTTGGCGGTGATGCTACTTTGGGACTAGAAGCTGACATTGAATGTAAACACATCTGGAGAAGTTTGGGGTGCGTATTTAACTTGCATACCTAGTCATATTATTTAGGAGATATTGTTGTAGTGTTGCGCCGGAAAGAATTGTACCTTTCGGTGCAAAAGATAATTTTTGGGAAATGGGGGCCACCGGTCCCTGTGGTACTTGTACCGAAATCCATGTAGACAGATTGGGCTATAACAATCGGTCAAATTTCATCAATAAAGGACTACAAGATCTTACAGAGTTATGGAATATCGTTTTTATTGAGTACAACAGGTAAACTTCCCTACCTAGTTGATGCATTTTTTTGTCATCGTTAATTGTACTTATTTGATTTGACTACACCCGCCACAATTATACATCTCTTTCTGTTTTCATAAGGAAAGAAGACGGCACAATTGAACCTCTTCCTGAAAGTCATGTAGACACGGGCATGGGATTCGAAAGACTTACAGCTGTGTTGCAAGGAAAAATGAGTAACTATGACACGGACTTATTTTCCGATATATTTAGAGGAATAGAAAAAGTGGGTGACCAAAGTACCTTTGTTAATTAATAATAGCCTTATTTCTAAGATATGTAAAGGTGTTCCCCAATATAAAGGACAGTTTGGAGAAAACGATTGGGATCATTTGGACACAAGTTATCGAATATTAGCCGATCATGCACGGATGATTACAGTCTGTTTGGCTGATGGTGTGATACCTGATCAGAAGTAAGTATAACATTCTCTATGGAGATAATTACCTGATCAATCGCACTTAACTGAAGATGCTCCTTAAACAAATCGCAACGACCTGAAAACATTTAACAAAAATCTCTTCTAGTAGGTCTTTTGGGTTGTGCCGAGGTCTTTCGTAGAATGTAACGACCATGAATTTGTGGACTAACCTACACCTTCTTTTAATTAAAATAAAATATGATTCTACCTGGGATTTCACAAGTCGTGTTATCCTTTTTCAAAAGAAAGAACAGCTTATAATCAAAATTTGCACTTGGGCTTTATTTTGGCTGTTACGTAACTTGTGTATATGGCTACAGCTGGACTACGACTGGACACCACTTCATTAAACATAAAAGACCTGGTTTAAAAATGTTTATATCAAACCTGAAAATCAACTGTTTTTTAGAAATGATCCCCCAGCGTGTGTGGCCAAAAACACCCTTAAAGCAGCCCTAAAAGAAGCCTTCAAGGCTCACTCCGCTCGACATGCTTCCATCTGCAGTCCTACTCTGAAGTTAGTTGAAGTCTGAACACCCATTTCAGGAACCTCTTAAAGAGGGGATACTCCACAATATTATCCCCAGAGATTAGAGATAATGCTTCAGTAGATCATGAAAAATTTTCTGAATGTTCCATAGTCATCTACCACTTGTGCCATTACACGATGTAACACATTCCATTATATATATCACATTTTTCTAAGCGTAAGTGGCCTTCAAAAATAAAAATACAATGTGCAAAGCTGAAAATTATACAATTACAAAAGTACTTGATGAAATTTAAAAATCGTCCAAAGCTCCTTATTTTTGACTTATAATTAAGGGTATACAGGGCGTTCTATTAGAAAAAAAAATAGGTTTTTGTTATAGACATTATTATGGTTTTTGTCGACATTTTGCGACTGTCAATTGTTAGCAATATTGTCGACTTAAGTTTCAAGACCGTGTATTTTAGTTAAATATAATTTTTCACGAAATCACGAAACTTTCATTTTCATGCCTATACTTTATGTCAGGAAATTTTAGTTTTCATGACAGTAGTAATAACACTTTACGTGACTAAACCTCTCGCCAGGAAAGATTGCCGGTCTACAATCTATGTTTTTCTTAAGATGGGAACGACTTCCGGGATAGTATCGTGTTACTGTTGAACGAATTTCGTTCAACATTGGCACAATCCTATTCCGAAAATAGCTGGCACCTTTAAACGTTTATATATTTAGACTGTATACTGATAAAATGTCACCAATTTTCTTTATCGTTTTTTACGCTCGTAATCATAACGAAAGCCTTCTTTACTTATCGTACTTATCATGCAGCGTGTACTGCTTTAAGTTTCGTTTCTGTCTTTTCCACGTTCCTTTGCATCTTCTTAGCCTGGACGTCCGATCATATATTCTTTGCACCTTCGTCACGCGTTCTCCACATTTCTTTTTTAATAGTTCCAACTTATCCGATCTCTTTCTAGTCAGAAGTTACGAAAAATTATGCGTAAAGCTTTTCTGGTGAGCGAAATCTACTTCAAGAAGGAGGGACTTTTGAAAGAGCTATCAAATTACGTCGTTGAAACCTTGGGATATATTTATCCCGAGTTAGAAAAAAATATTACTCAGGTATTTATAGGCGTGTGTTAAAAACAACAGATTATGGATAACTGTTCAAGGTCCACGACATAATCTCCTATGAGGAAGACGTCCACAAATTGCTGCGCAAAAATTCGTTGAATGAGTGGCAGCACATTATTACCGATGAGCCTAAGTTAGCCAATTTGGATATCGTTGAAACTCCGGGATTAACAAATGCGTATAAAGAAATCAAGTCATTACCGGACAAAGTGATATCCCCTAAAGTCGCGTTCAAGTTATACGATACATATGGGGTAGATGAAGAGATTATTTTAAGACTGTCGGAAGCACTTGGAATGAAATTTGTGCAAGAGGACTTTAAGCATGAGCTTAATGTTGCTAAAGAAAAAAGCAGAGGGAAACTAATTTTGAATGAAAAGAGTGTTATGAAACAACTAATTGTGGAAAACACTCCCCTAACCAATGATGAATACAAGTACCAATATACCAAGGAGGCTGGCACTTACAGTTTTCCTCTTTTACAAGTGAAGCTACTCAAAGTTGTCTGTGACAATGTGTTACTTTCTAATTTAACGTGTAATGTGGAATGTGATATTATCTTAGATAAAAGTAACTTCTACACACAATCCGGCGGTCAACTCGGTGACCACGGTTCGGTTAAGTTTGGAAAATCGTCATTCGAAATCAAAAACACGCGAAAAGTCGGCGGTTTTATTCTACACAGAGGCGTTTTAAAGAGCGAAGATTTGATCACGTTACCCCTTGAATCCGTCGGTTACTTGGAGATTGATATGGCATCTCGACTGGGGTGCATGAAGAATCATACCGCAACGCATTTAGTGAACTGCTTATTAAAGAATATTAAATCGGTCACCTGCCAAAAATCTAGTAAAGTCACATCGAGATATTTAACTTTCGACGTTGGGATCTTCGGAAGTAAGTTGTCAAGCGAAGATTTAGAAAAGGTTGAAGCAGAGGTCAAGAAATTAATTGCTGTGAGCGTAGATGTTACGACCTATGACGTCGATAGTCAGGAACTTCACGCGTTAGATAATGTTGTTTGCATTCCTGGTGAAACTTATCCTTCCATTGGAATTCGACTTGTGGAAATTAAATCGAACGATGGCTTTTTGTCTAGGTGAGTATGGGCTAACTCGAACTGAGATGCAAGAATAGATTCAGGGCATGTAGAGGGGCCAATGGGAGTAGCAGAGTTGCATATATATATTTAATAAAGAACAGTATAATGGATAAAATATAGGTATGTCAACCATCACGCACTGGTTCCTACTGCTGTACGTTGACCTGGGGCCTACTTTGCAACTTTTCACTTGTCACTTTTCATTTGCATAAATTTGAAGTGCAAAGATTATTTATTATGTGTATCATAAAATATTTTAGTCAATATAGTACTTCATTCATCTCTACTTTACATATTTGAGTGTTATCGCGTGTCAAAATAGTCTTTATGGACCAAAATATTATCCAAAAATTGCAAAGTGACAAGTCGGGGAAATGACTTGTGAGCAAAAAACAGGACCACCGTTTTTTAACAACAGGTGTTGCTCCTCCCAGTTGCTCAAATTAATACATTGACATGCTTAAAATCAAGTGACTAATGTCCTCTTTTCCTCCGTGTTTCGTGCCGAATGTAACTTATATCAATGCGTTATATTATCAGGTGAATGGCCCACCGAACATTAAGGCTTTTCGACAATGCTCACGCTATTTAATTAAGAATAATAAAAAATGGTCACAATTGACTATGGTTTTCATTAGGAAAACGAAGATTTGGGCCAAAACTGATAAAGCCATGGAAAGAAACTTTATTTGGGAAATATATTTACTTTGAAACATGTTAATTAATCGCGCATGAAGCCTTTGGAAAACATTTTTTTGTTGCGTTTCGCCGTGTCATTATAAAAATTTGTGTTTTAACACAAACTTATGTCTTTTAAGGGAACCTTGTTGTGGAACGCATGTTCTAAATACTTCTGACTTGGAAGATTTTTGTTTCATTGGGATGCAGTCACTAGGGCGCACAACTACATCACTGCATGCAGTAACCGGATATCGTGCAAAACTAGCACAGAAGAATGGTTCACAGTTGCTACAAGAAATGCAGAAGTGTCAAAAACAGTTGAAAAACTATAATACCAAGGTGAGTAATTTTAAACGAAACTATGGCTTTGTGGTTAAGAAAAGAATACTATAACATCAATAACCCGAGCAATAACCATAGTTTTATGTGATCGAGGCTAAAGTTAACTGACTTTGCCAATGACAATTTTTTGTCAAATGAATGCTGGCCACAGCAGGTTTATTCTAATCACCGCATAACTGATAAATGGCAGTTAATAAATCCATCTGTTATTCAAATATTCTCTATGTACCTCTTACCAATCCAAATAATATAATTAACATACCAGCACGCCTACAAAAGTTTGAGTTTCTAGAAAGCCATAATGTAATTTACAGAAAAATGACTGGAATATTCAGCAACCCACCTACAGTTATTTGGTGATCAGCGATCATCTAATAATTAACTGCGGTTAAACCTTAATTCGAGATTTAACGAATTATTCACAATGACTTGAATCTTCATTGTTGTTGTAAACAAAACAATGGGGGTTTACAGTGTAGTTGAATTCCGCAGTTCTAATTGAATAAGCGTGTACCTGAAACCATAAAACATTTTTTTGGACAGTAAAAGTTTATTTAAAAATAGAGGCTGATTAGCAAAAAAATAATGAACATGTGCGGTTTTAAAGGTTTATTCAAAACGATATGATTGTGGCGGGCTCTGTGACGTAATAAGCCCGACCAATCAGCTCCTAGAACCATTCAGATGACATAACGACTTGGCAATATTGCAGGAGAATGGCATTTATAACTTGCGTCATCTGTCACAGGCACTTGTCACTTTCGTGCTAGATGCAGTTAAACATCCCTCTCAAAACGTCAAATGTGACAAACGTCAGACCCTCGCGTAAGGTTGCCAGCTCACTTCTACGTGATTGGTTGTAGGTTTGTGACGTATTTAGTCTGAAGCGTTTCAAATTCGGACTAAAAACACAGCTTTTCAATAATTTATTTTGGGTTTATTTTACTCGCAAATAAAAATTGAGGACACACGGGTCTTTTTATTTTTAATGTACTTTGTGGATCAGAAATAAAAAATGAAGGCGGGATGAGCCCATTACATAAAAGACTAATGGCCGTTTGCACCGACAAATTTAAGCGGAGCTTAGCTTAAAGTCCATGGCAACGATTATTGAGACAATGGTTGCCATGGATGTTAAGCTACGCTTAAGCTAAGCCTCGCTTAAATTTGTGGGTGCAAACGGACATAACTGCAAATAATTACCGAAGTAATCATCTATTTAAATTACAGCCAAACATGGTGGATACTGCACTTACTTTAATAAAACAAAAATTAAAGTATGACATTGATAGCGATTCAATTCTCCCTTTTACCATTAAGCAGAACTGTTTGGACTTTTTGAACAATATAAGTCAACAGATTAAAGAGATGCAAAAGTAAGTAATGCAAGTTTAAAATTGTAAACAGTAGTTCAATTTCAGTAATCTAATCGAATCCGAAATAAGGCTAGCTTTGAAAAGAAACGGCGAGGATCAGAAATTTATTGTTCACTACTTAGAGTGCTCCAAAAACATGGATACGCTACCTCTTCATAAGGCAACGAAAGTATGCCGCCAAGTACCAGTTCTAGTAATATCGAAGGTTAACAATGTCATACGAGCACGGTGTTGTGTACCTGAGGTAGGTAAATCATCCATTGACAAGTTTAATTGTTGGTTGTTACAGAGATTAAAAAATGAAAAATTTGACGCTGAAAAATGGTTAGGCAATACAGTAGGTACAATATTCGACAGTGTCTTAAGTAATGCTAAGGATCAAGATACAACGCTGGTTTCTAACCTAAAATCGAGAAAGATCAATACTGCAGACTGTGATCAACTGTTAAAAATGAGTATAGAAGCAGCTACGAATTATGCTAGGCAATATCTGAAATAGGTTTCAATTCAATTCAACCAATTGTAGGAAATAATTGTACAATAAATGAGAAGTGTTGTTGCTACATCTATGTATACAGGGTGGTGACTTGCGATTATTGGCTCCCCAAATTATTTTAGAGCAAAAATGTACTAAGGTTTTTTGTAGGAAAAAATTTTTTACGTCAATTAACCGTATTATGTGTGTCATGTCATTTTGACAAGACTAGATGGCATTAGACTCGATGTAGATTTTACTATGAAAATCTTATAAATAACAACTTGACATGATTTTGTCTAATATAAAAATGACAGTCCCTAGTAGTGAACACTGTATTTAAAGATGCTCAGGTATGTTAATGTCCTCCACCTGCCCACCGCCTAGCTGAAGTTAAGAATTGTATCTGAATTTTAAATTCGCAATAAAATTACCCTAAAAGGGATGATACCGTCGAACTCAAATTCCATCTCAATCAGTCAGTCCTTTAGTAATTAATACTGTCTAAAATCAGGTTTTTTTATTCTCAATGTTTATTATGCTTTTACATTGATTGACACTTAACAAAACACTTGTATCACTTGGAATGTATTTAATATTTACACTGTAATATTCATAGCCAGCAAAATTTTTGTCTTACTTATTTTGACTTTTGTGGAATGTGCATTATGGAATGATTAAGAACACATAAAACGGTTTGATGTTATATAGGCAATGAGTTATAGTGTTAATTGCAATGGCAAAAGAGAGCTTAATGCGGAAGTTTCAAATACTTTCGCATAAGTATTGGAAGTGAAAGGATACAATGTACAAGTTTGCTCACAGAGCTTTACATTCCTTACTCTACATCGATTATACTAAATAGAGCTTATAAATTTACTGTGTATATAAATAACAAGAACAAGTGCATATGATGTATGTACCTACCTAATGATTAATTTCTCATTTGAACAGTTGCATTAGTAAAAATTTTACAAAATGTTTGCCCTATTAGCGCTAATAAATATTGAAATAAAGAGGTACCTACCTAAATGTTTTACATCACAGCAAAAATCTAACAAAAACAGATCAGTAAGAGTATTCATTCAAAATAGTCCAACCGCATTAACAACATTTTCCATTTCGTTACAGTAGTATATTTTGCAATTCGTTTTTGGTCGTGATATGCCTACACCTAATAGTAAAATAATTGTCACATGCCTTAACTTATAACAAAATAATGCGAAATGGAAACAAAACACTAATAGTATAACAGGTTCCCCTCCGTACATTGTTCTTATTCAATATTCTTAAACATTCCACCCTTAGCTACCAACAGTTCTACAATTCATTTTTCCCTTCAGCCGACTGCTCATGTATCGTTTTGGAGGATGCCTGTTTTGGTGTGGGTTGACCTTGTGTTCGCGACGAAGGAGACGGCTTCGATGGCTGCGCGGAAGAACTTACCTTCGAAGGTTGTTCCTTCGGAGGTGCTGCCTTGAGAGATGGCGATGGTTGTTGAGGCGTTTCTTTGGGAATTTCAGCAGTGGGAGCTACTTTAGGAGGCTGTGGTGGAAGTTCTTTTGAGTGAGACGGTAATTGCTGTGACGTCGCCGATGGAGCTGGACTGGCCACTTTGGGGAACTGGGTTGCAGGCGGAAGCGGTTTTGTGTTAGGAGGTGGGGGTGTGGTCGAAGCTGGGGTTGGTGGAGCCTGTGTCGTGGGAGGCGGTGGTGCTTGTTTAGTAGGAGATGGAGGCGGCGGTGTCTGTTTAGGAGGTGGAGGTGGCGGTGTCTGCTTAGTAGATGGAGGCGACGGGGTCTGCTTAGTAGATGGAGATGGTGGGGGTACTTGTTTGGCAGGGCGTGGGGGTGTCTGTTTGGGGGAAGGTGGTGATGTTTGTGTGCTAGGAGGTGGTGCCTGTGTAGTGGAAGTTGGTGGCGGCGGGCTCTGCTTGGTAGGCGGAGGAGGTGGGGGCACTTGTTTAGGAGGAGGGGGTGGTGGCGGTGTTTGCTTTCCAGAAGGAGGTGGCGGTGGAGTTTGTTTGGGAGGGGGTGGCGTTTGTTGTACAGGGGGAGGTGGTGGTGAACTTTGTTTGCTAGGAGGTGGGGGTGGCCGTGTAGTAGGTGGTGCTTGTGTAGTATGTATGGGAGACGGTTTTGTATCTGGTGACTGGGTTGTTACTTCAGGAGCTTGAGTAACTACCTTCGGTGGTCGTTGCGTAGTAGGCGAGGATTGTGTTGAAGTTGCTTTTTGAGGTGGAGCTGTTGTAGGTTGCGATGCGGCAGCTTTTGGAGTAGGCTGTGCCGAAGCAGTTTCAGATGCTACTTTTAAAGTGGGCGTCTCAGCCGTGGAAGATGGGTAATAACTATCTTTTAATGCTAAATGTCCCCAGCCAACCTTTTCCAATGAGATCCGGCCAATATAATCGTTAAACGGTGAACCCATATACAGCATATCTTTAAATATGAAGGCTTCACTCATACCGACAATGCTGCCATTCAGAGAATGTATACTGTCTAAAATTACACCGTCTTTTGAAATATGCAAGATAGTCTGACGAGGACTAGAAAATGAATGAGGTATTGAAGCAAAATGCCCAATCTAGAATTGGAACAATCAACATGAACTCTTAATACATTGAAATAACTTACATAATGTACCGCTTTTTCTGCCCACTCACTGGGATATACCTTGTCCATCAGTTGAAAAGCTAATTCAGTTAATCCCAATAATCTAGAAAGGAACTTTCTTAGTAACGGAAACGGACCCAAAATATTTAATGGGGGTGGATAGTCGTCATCTCTCCCAACAACCAAAGGTATTAAGAAACCGTCTTTTCCATCGGTTTGTATATTGTCAGGTAAACCTGGGAGACCATCTAGAAATATATCGTACGTCCCCTTCTTGGGACCCTTTAAATGATAGCGATACACCCGACATCTTGCAGTTTCAGTTGTAATCACAAAACTTTCATCCACAGCGAGTCTTATACCATTTGCAAAATGTAATTTGTCAATTAGGACAGTATTTTGCTTAGTTTTGCCATCGTAATGAATTAATCTGTAAACGTAATAGTTATTAATGGTACAAGTTCGTTTATGAACGTCATAATGAAACGCGTGTAACGTTAAATTTCACAAATTTCATTAATAACGTTCATATGGAACAAGTATCATTCAAAATTTAATCTACGACGGCTCAAATAGATTTCGTTCCCATTTTTGTGTTACCTAAACGTTTTCGTAAATTATAATTCATTTGCGTGCTTTTATGAATTCATAAGAACACTAGTGCTTTTATGAAAGCCGTAATGACATCCAATTGGTCATGCTAAATCTGTCATAATGACACCGTCGTAGATTAAACAATTTTTTACATGTTCAGGTTAAAAAGAAAACTACATAATTATCGTCGATTGTACTTATGCAGTAATGCTAACACTGGAAAAAATATTTACGTCACATTGTAGAAGCTTTTAAATACACCTGCATTATTTTTATGTTAAAGCTCCTCCAATTAGCATTTACCTATATTCAGTTTACAAATATTTATAGTAGCCCCTGAGAGGCGCAATATTTAAACCTCTCGCCAGGAAAGATTGCCGGTCATAGAACACTTGATCCCGGTCTAGAATCTATGTTTTTCTAAAGATGTGAGCGACTTCCGGGATAGCATCGTCTCAATGTTGAACAAAAAGACTTTTCGTTCAACATTGGCACGATGCTATTCCGGAAGTCGCTCGCATCTTAAGAAAAACAAAGATTGTAAATCGACACAAGGTGTGCTGTGACCGGCAATCTTTCCTGGCGAGAGTTATATGTATTGATGCAGCTCATTGGAAATATTCGTTGCCCAACTCGAATATCTGTTAGCTTATTCTCAACCCTACACACCTCCCAATAAACAAAATATGAATATTGAATACAAACCTGCCAGAGCCATCAGCTAACATGTCATAAACTCCATCATATAAAAAGAACTCGGTACTGGAATCTGTCCAATATATGTCTCCATTACTTGCAATAGCTACACTATTTGGCATTTTCGGTTTCTTGCCATTTATTTCTTGGTCCATAGAAATTAGTTGCAACTGTTTACCTACAATCATTGTCTTTTTATATACTGAGAGGAAAGAGATTAGTTTTCTTTTTAAGTATTTAGTAATTTGGCTCCTCATCACTAGGGAACACCCATAGATTCGCTCTTCTATGTCTACGACCACTAACGAGAAAGATTCTTTTTGCCTTTTTAGTGACAGAATATAAATAATTTAAAAAAATTCGTCAACAGAACACAGAATCTGAACTAAAAAGCTAAAAATACAATATTCGTTGAAAGTGTTGGGATCTTTTCAATATTCATATTTCTCCATTTATTGGCAAGATCCCAACACTTTTCCAACGAAAGTTTTATTTTTGGCTTTTTAGTACAAATTGTGTGTTGTATAAAAAGTGTTTTTTTTTTAATTTTTTTGCGTATTCTTGAGCGCGGCGGAAATGAACTATGTGAGTATTTTCATCGCAGATTGCTTCTTACTGATAAACCTACGCATGTGTGCACTTAATTTTGGACATGTAGTACGTTGTCCTTCATTACAAGCATTAACTTTTTTTTAAATATCTATCTTTGTTATCTTGAAGGAGTGTTGTGTGTTCTTTTGCGCGCGCAGGAACTCTACTATTTATGCATAAATCTCTCTCATATGCCATCCTCCCTTGGGGACATGGTTCTCATTGACAATACGTGTTCAAACTACAACGTAGAGCGGTTCGGGTTCTTTATGTTATAGAGACAATTGTCGTCAAGCATTTATCGATCTCAGAATCGTAACATTTCCTTGCATCTATATTTTTGAAGCTCTAAGCTATTCCAAACGAAATGTGTGTGTTTACATAGTACAACTTGACATACATAATCGTCACACAAGAAAGAAAATCCATATTCGTACTGATCTATGCAGATTGTCCAAATCACAAGGAGTACAGTACCAATCCAAATATTTATACAACTGCATTTCCTTCGATATAAGGGTTTTAGACTACCCCATATTTTAGACACATAAAAATTGTCTTCTATGTAGCGCATTTTATTCTTTTAAAGAGTTTGTGACTGGTAGTAGATTATGCAAGTATAATAGTTGGCGTTTTTACTGTTTTTACCTGTCTGTTATATAGTATCATTATTAATGTTAATGTAATTTGCCACTTATTTTGATGAGTGTAAGTGTAATTCACACCTCACAATTCAATATTATAAAAACTATTAAATCATTAAAATAAAAAAGCTTTACATTGGAAATTGTTGTAATAATCATGCAGAGTTACGGTGAAACACCCACAAGGAAAGCAAATTATCAAAGATATACTAAAAATAGTAATATGTGACGACAGTGAAGTTTCTTACAGGAAAATTCTAAATTATTAGAGTAACTACAACATTCACCATAACTACGCTACACTACTGTTTTTCAACGTTGCTATTATGTTGTATTATATTTTCAACAGAAATATCAAGGGAAAATTGTTGAAAACATGTTTATATGTTAATGCAAAAAATATAGGTTCAAATCAAAATCATTTATTCATCAGGAAACATATTTTACAACAAAAAAGGTGCGGATCACTAGGTATATACCTACAATATAAAATAGAACTTTGTACTTTGTTATTATAAAACATACCTACTGTTTTATTTTAAAGCTACAACTTGTTTCAGTGTTGGAGGTTTGGATTTTAAAGTGCAATGTTAGATTTAAGACCAATAAAAGTCAACTATGCAACTATGCTTGTCTCTTTTCAGCACCCCAAAAGTTTTTATGAATTATGAATTATTACACTTGCAACTCTACTTATGCGGTTAACGAACTGGAAGAAAAGGTGCAGTCAAGGGTTGTAGATCCTTTTAATTAATTTTTTATTCAAATTCTTTACTTTTTATTCATTGCTGCAAGATGGTTAGAAAATGTAATGTTTACAGTAAGCTTTGATAGAACCTCGGATAGAACTGTAACAAGGTAATGTAAATATTATGAATAACACACCACTATAAACATACCTGATTAATTCCAGGTTTTACAAACGATGATTAAGCATCAATTTAAAATATTGGAATAGTAAACACTAATAATCAAAGAAGGCTTACATTCTTAAGATTAAGCAATTACTTTTAAGATTCCTATACATCAACGGCCTCTTTTTTACTGTGCAAAAAAGTGAGTAGGCGAGAATAAATAAATTCCTCTACAGATTAAATTTAGCTTGATGAGATAGAGGTACCAATGTGCACTGATAAAATAATGAAAAAAAAACAATATGAAACACAAGTCAACAAATCCCCGAAACTTATCTTAATATTTAACAAAAATGATAACTTCATATAGATAATGGGGTATTTTTAACAAAATAAAGATAAACGTCGGCGATTTTCCTAATTAGTTACCAAACTGCAGAGGAATTATGCTACCTGAACGCAGACATCAAAAACCTAATGACTGTGACCTTTTAACTTCGTAAGAGAGATAATCAAGCATTAATATTTAATGTTCATTACCATAAATTACTATTTGCTATAATCTGGTTACCAAATGTGAAATGAAAAAATGATCACTTACCTGTCTTCATGTCGACTTTATATATTCCGTAGTACGCATCAGCGACATAAAGTCCCCCATGTTTGTCAAACTGAAATCCTAAAGGCCGTCCGCATATGTGCTCTTGGTAAAACCCTTTACACTGTTTACCGAACTTTACAACAGGCACGAAACTCTCTCCAATTAATTTAATCACATTCCCACCGTGGATAGATGTATAAAGTTCCCCGTTGTACACACCGTACGCTTCGGGCCCATTAAAATCACCTTTATGCCATACCTCGGTGCTTTGCAACTTGTCATTTAGCGTTAAAGCACCTTCAAAGGGCATTACAGGTGTTAAACTACAGAAAAAGAAGTTAGTGTCCCAATATTGAATTACATCAAATTATACTTGTAATTTAGAGAATATTTTGCATCAGGTGGAAGATTGGGCATAAATGTAATTAATAAAACTGCGACAACTCCTTCTACGGCTCGAACAGTGAGAAACTTCACAATTCCCATTATAACCTAAAAATTGCGTTCAAGAAACTACTTTAATCGAATTACTCACCTAATTATTTGAAGCGCTATACAAAAAGCAACAAAAATTGAACTTTGATTTTGCTTCTAACACGGTCTCATGAATAGTGAAATTTCAAATCTTTGGTGACGTACATTTCCAACTAAACGATATGAAGTACGTCCGTATTTTGTGCTAAAAATTCAAAAAATGCGGCTACTTTCATGCGATTGGTATTTTAAATTATCGTCTGAAAGACTTTTAACTTTCGAAGGAGCGATCTAAAAACAGACTACAAATCAGGAGGGCGTAAATAATAATGACCAGTAAGATTAAGTAGGTATCAGTAGGTGAACATTAAGGTCAGAATTTTATTAGCGTGCCATAAAAAAAGATTACTATTACTGCTATAAACTTTCGTAACTGTTCTTTATTATCAGAAGTACGCCCGTATTTTTGTACTTAATGACACTACTGCATATTTTTCATCGGTTGCTTTTGCTTATATATCCATATACTTTTTACACAAAAACTTCTAGGCCTCTAGATTTCGTTTCTTACATATGCTTTGACCGACAGGAGTTCAAAGCAATTGTTGTGTGGGTAGTGGTTGGAACCATAATGACATAGAAAACCATGCATAGCGATGTATTCGCAAATAAAACGGATCTTAATGTTTAAAGAAGTCATTTTGGTTGCATAAAATTAGGCGCCCTTCAGAAGGATTTTGTCTTTTGAAAGTAGACATAAGAAAAAACAATATACATAAATCCCTATGTCTACTTCCTAATAAATAGCACTGTAGATTCAAACAGCTCTCAGGAGGTTCAAAGAATCTTTTATGTGGTGGACAAAGTAGGCTATTTGACCCGCATCCTTCACAATCCAAGGGAGTAAGAGACTTACTAAATTGAATTGCACCTCGTTTTCAGTATCTTAACATAAAGCAATTAAAAATGTAAACATGAAACTTGATATCTAGAGCCAAACTATTTGACTTCTTTATAGGCATTCATGAAAAGCAAAAAAACGAAGAAACCACGCAGAGCCAATGTTGAATGCATTAAAAGGAAAATGAAATGTGCTAAATGTGTAAAAAAGAATGAATATGTAGATTACAATATTTATTGTTACCAACGTATACAATGAAGCTTATTATAAATTAACTAATGTAATTTGAAAATCTACAAAATGTTGAAGGTTTTCATCCCTATGTTCGTATAAATATAATCCTAATCGATAAAAAATTCTAAAGTATATTACAACCTACTTAATCTTCACGAAGATACAATATTATTATTACGTATAATATTGAATGTGAATAACAAAGGAATGTTTATAAATATCCTACAGTAATAAAACGCATATAAAAATACAAACAGTTATTAAAACATTTAGAAAAAGACCACATCAAAAGTTTTCGAAATTTGCATTAAACTAGCAGTCATATATTATAAATACTGGATGTTAGTTTAAATACTGAAATCACCGCTGATAACGGCCAAGGAGATATCAGTCATTTTTTCTACACCAATTTGTTTAGAATTTGGCACTTACTAGATAATTTTACACATACTAATTATCAGGAACTAACAATGGTAAGAACACAAAATGTAAAGAAAACCAAAAACACAATACACATTAAAACTGTGCTCCATGTTATTTATGAGTAAGTCCTCGTTTCTCAAAGTGAGACAAGAAATGTGACCAAAACAAAACCCCTAATCTCAAAATGAAATATATTTTAGTAGCCACATTAAATTAATTATCCCATTACACTTCTACAGCAACTGCGGGCGCTTCTACATTCGTTTCCGCTTTCTTTACTTTAATGTCTGTTGCTTCTTCAGATTGACCATTTGAGCTTTTATCACAACTATCTTGACCATTCACCACTCCGTTGCTAACTTCAGAAGAAATTTTACCATTCTGGCTTTCACTAGCACTACCATTTTCTTTTGTAGATTCTTTGACAACCTCCGGTGCTGTTTCAGATTTCTTTTCTTCCACGGACTCTTTGTCCACACAACTTTTTTCGGGCAAATCTTTTTTTTCTTCATCCTCTTTTACATCTATTGTTTTCTCCTTTACATCATTTGTTTCATCCTTTGATTCTGCTTCTACATTATTGGATTCTTTTAACTTTTCGTTTCCTTCTTTTACCTCATCGATTGTTTTCAAATCAGGTTCCTCTTTACTTTCTTCTAATTTACTATTATTCTCTTGCACTTTCTTCTCCTCTGTAACATTTACGCTTTCTTCGCAGACCTTATTTGTAGTTGCCGCTTTGTCACTATCGAGTTCAGGGACAGCTTGTTCTACACTATCCACATCTTTGCTAGAATTGACGGAATTTGTCTTGGCAACACTTTCTGCCTCGACCATTGGTTCAACCCCATTATCAGTGGGCACTGCTTCGTTCTGTTTTTCTTGACTTGTGGTATCTTCAGTATCCTTTGTTTTTTCAGTGCTATTTTCTACACTAACGACCTTATTGATGTCATCTATTGTTTCAGTCTTGGCATCAGTCTCTTCAGAATTGGATTTATCTGTGGGGAGGTCAGACTTTTCGGTAATGTTTTCGGGTTCAGTCTTTTCTGGTTCTACAGCAAGTGCTTTATCGCCAACTACTTCCTCGGTTTCCATAGAAGTTTCGGTAGGTACTGCAAAGAATCAGATTATGAATAAAATTTTTTTAATTCTAGCATTTTATACATTTTTACCTTACGAATGAACGGGTTCTGAGAAGGATAGTATCATAGCTTTTTTTCATTATACTCAGATTTATACAATTTTCTATGGTTCTACATTACTGTAAAGATCAGAAACATCCACTAATAAACATGTGCGTTTTTGTGAGTGTCAAAGAAGAATGGTGCGTGAGACCGGCTCTAAACCATAATCATTTTTTTATCTGTGAGAAAGGAGGCCAGAACATAAGCTCCAAAAAAAGGAAAATTCCCGAAAATAAGAATGATTCCAAAACAACTTGACAGTGTAAGAAACGTAGTTTGTAGTAGTAACCTCTAGAAGAAAATATCCTCTTACTAATACAAAAGAACAATCTATGCGATTTTTTAGTCTAAATAAAATGTGGTAGCAATAGAGTACGTGAAGCGGTGCGGTGTTGGAGGGCAGTGAGTACATCAAAATAAACGAAAATCAACCGATCAAATTTTGGCGCCCCACAGCGGCAGAATATTTGATGTTCCGTGTATGGGCGAATACTATCCGTTGCAAGTCTACTAAATACTTACCTAATTTACAAGGTATGCTGATCTGATGGGACAGAATCAACCCCTTAAAGCGTGTTTTAAAATGATGGGATGATTTTTTTCTTTTGTTCGTGCATTTGATAATTGTCAATTATTGTTATCTCTAAGTAAATGCAAATGGTTTCTTTGTACCGAAGTATCAGAACTTTGTCTGGTTAGATTAACGTGTAGCTATTTGTTTTTTGAATAACTTGATTACAAATATACGGTTACTTGTAAATCTAATAAAAACACTATTTTTATTATTATGTTTACTCTTGTATAAAATCATTCTTTTCCATTATTGGGAGACAAAAAGATTATTTAACTTGAGATCTGTATCAAAATCAATTGGACACTCATTGAATAAAATTCCTATTAAATGGCATATGTTGACAGTTTTTGGTTTGCTAAAGTGTTCTGCCAAACGATCAACAAAAAGTACTCAATCTTTTAGACTTTTCCATGAAGAACTTTATCCCTTAGAAGATTATGAATTTCAAAATGAATGTGACAAAAGAGATATTCATTTTTACCGTATTTTTTAATGAAAAAGATGGCTTATACTTGGATGAATTCCGGCCATTCATCTCGTAATTTGAGATCTCAACACCCAGACTTCGTAAAAAGCTGCGATTTTTCTATTTCACAGATTTCAACACATAGGGCAGGCGAAAAGAAGAATGTCAAATAAGTTTTGGATTTTGCATAAACACATCCCAACTTTCTTTTTCCTAAAACACATCAATAAAATTCATCGAAATAATTCTGTTCCTACTTGTGATACACTCTTACATAGGGTTAACAATCTTTGAACAGGAGGCTCAATAATGACAAAAAAAACGCCCGGTCCCATCGTACTGTGCGTACTACTGAGAACGTTGAAAGGGTCAGACAAATGATGTTGTAAAGCCCAGGCCACTCTGCTTCGAGACATTCAGCTACACTTCGACTCAGCAATCATAGTGGACGACGGATTTTCATTTAATTTTTGAAAATCTTCAAAATAGAAAAAGTGCCCTTACCATTCTGTTCATCAGACTTTTTTGTATCCTCAGTGATTGAATCTACTTCCATCGCATCCTCAGTCTCTTTTTTCTCGGTGCTCTCACTTTGTTCTTCAGATCCATTTTCATCTATTTTTGGAAGTGACACCTCGTCCTTTGGTTCATTCTCATCTGTTTTCGGCAGCTTGCAGGGAGGAGTCTATTAAAACAATGTACAAATAAATACATAATAGAATCAACACAATGGCGATTCAATACAATATCTACACCCTAAGATTTAAGATCTAAGTAACAAGAATACCCAGAAAAAATGATCTTGAAATTTTTGATAGAAATGTGTTCGTTTAACACTAGAATGACATTTTAAGACATTTCGGCTCTCAAATCTGTACTATTTTATTACTTATAATTTTATTAATGATATGAAAGATAAAGTATATTATACCATATTACTTGATCTACTGAATATAAATAAGATTAATCCCCAAAACGAGAGTGGGGTCATTTTTTACCTCAAGATTAGTTACATGCTAGTGCAATGTGTTTTAAATATGTAACATTTCAAGTGATTCTAACGCGACGATATAACGGAGCACACCATAAGATTATAGACAAGGAAAATGTCTATTATAGCATTTTCTTTGAATATATAAATGTCATTTCATTGAAATATTGAGATGTGCAATTGTTTTTGACCATTTCACTGCAAATGTGACAAAAATGCTTCCGATTAGTAAACTTAGGCTCAAAAATATGCAACCATGCAACTTGACTTGAACATACTGTATGTTCATATCAAATAAAAGTCACCTAATCTATTAAACTTAAACAATTTAGTAGAATAACAGAATAAACATGGGCTATTATTCAGACCTTTTTCTAATGGTCAAGGTTAAAGATTCGTACCAAAAATACACATATCTAATAGGATGATGACTTATAACCTAACTTTTATGAAATACACTGTTTATATACTACTAATTTTGGTTGCGTTCACCAGACTAAAGCGCTTCAAGTGTACACTTACCACTCACAAATAGCGCTTAATTTGCTTTCTTTGAAGTAGTAGTTGAGCTAGTCGTTCACCAGACATTTTGGTAGCGCTCGTGAAGCGCTTCACCTGACGAACGCACACAATGTTTTCATTTGCATACACACATTAGGGCTCATGCATTACCTAACCTCAAACTATCAACAAGAGCCCATAGGAAACATTTTAAAATGTTAAACTGATTTTGTGTCAAGGTACTAAGCATCTAAAACTACAGACCAGAAGAGTAATTGGAACTACAGTCAATATAACATGTTTATTTATAAAAGTACCAAACACTGAAATAAATCTACATAACTAGAGAATAGTAAAGAAAAGAGAAAGAAAAAAATAAATTAAACTTTAACAATTTTATGTTTACCACACACCTCAGATCCATCCAAAGAATCCTCAACTTTTCGTTTGTTGGAAATATCGGAAGGCAGATCTGCAAGCGATGTTATCGTAAATGTAAAATCTTTCGCAATTTCCTCGCTGACCTCCTCGTTTCCTTCACGTTTCATTAGTGCAGTTACTAACCCAGCTTCTTTGGCCGCTTTTAATTCTAAACACAAAGATAGTGTGTTACATACAAAATGGAATCAAAGATTTTCCGGCGAGAATTTGGAAGAGGTAAGTACAGGTGCAAGGATATACAAAAAAGTGTAAATAAAAAATCTAAATAGAAAAAAAAGAGAAAATGAAAATTCTACATTCGCAACTTACCATTGGGGTCATCACTAACAAACACAATTTCCTCGCACTTTACTTTCAGTTCATCGGATATTTTATTGTAGCTTTCCACAGCAGTTTTTACACCAACCGACAAATCAAAGAATTTGGAGATATGGGAAGTTAAATTCCCTTCCACACTATTACTGAAAATTAGTTTCTGCGCCTCGATATCACCAGATGAATAGACAGCAACCTTTCTATCCTTCGACCAATTTGCCAGAGCAACTTTTACATCTGGGAAAATGCTAAAAAAGAAGTTACGCTTTATTGTGAGTTTCTAAACATACCACTTACTGTGCTTTTAACGTTCCTTTCTCGTATCCTGCTTTACTTATTAATGCCTGTAAGAATTTCAAATTTTTGTCATCCGAATTCTGGCCGGTCAACTTTTTTATAATTTCTACACTCGACTCCACATCTATTTCTTTATCGTTCCCTTGCAACTCCTTCAGGGCGTTTTTCACAGCTTCTTCTTCAATATGGTCCTTTAGATAAGAGGGAGATTCTTCGAGGATAAAAGCCAATAATTTTTCCTGCAATGAAATTATACATTAATTAGTTTAATTATAAGCGAGATTATAAGCCAAGGGTTACCACTTGAGAAATGTGGTACGCAAACTTTTAGAAATGTTGGATGGGTTTTGTAAATTTTTAAATTAAATTTTAAAATTATTAACTAGTAGTCAATAATGAGAACTGTCACGCTGTCAATTTTAGAAAACACAACCCGAAATTTCGCTCAATAAACGTTTAGACAAGTTCTCTAAAATGAATAATTGCCACGATCCGCCATTTCTAGAGAAATTACTTACCTAAACTTATCACATTTTGAAAAAATTCAAACGAAATTACTCTCTGAAAATATCTCAATGACAGAACAAAATACGGCCTGTTTGACTTCTACTTCCATGTACTTGATTGGCATGTTAAATTAATAAAAAAAAAATTCTGTCCAACCGTTCACTTTCTCATCAATATAATATGTTAATTTAGAGGACTTCAAGTACTAGTAGCCAAAAAACTAGTATATATACCACGATAGCGAAGTCTATTATTGCCTTCGCACCTTACACCTCTCAGCGCATCTTGGTGATCAGGCAGTAATACTGGACTTCTCTACCTTGATATATAATGTACTATTATTAACAGAGAACTATAAGAATTTGTTACGTATGAAACGACGCCCTGAAAAAATTATTATAATTCGCATCATTTGATATGATAAAGTTTAGTAACTTTGTTTACATTTGGCTTTTCTTTATGTTAAAGTAACACCTGAAGGAATAGTTTGAAAAAACCTCTACCTGAATTCAATGTCCACTGTTCACATCTTTCGTTATTTTAATACGAAAATGAATACATTTCACGTTTTTGTTGCAGTATTTACTATTGCCAGCGTATAAACAATTAATTCCGGACATCTTAAAAACCATTAAATCGGTACAAAATAAAACACATCAACATCAAAGGAATCGCCGAAGTACTGCGGAGATAAATTAATGCCTGAAATATTTATCTAGCGAATAATATCCATTTCAATAATTGCTTTTGTTTAAAATGTCATCAATCCACGACGTACCGTTTCATCGGTCTAAACCAGGAGATTCATTTCTAACGTTTGTCGTAGTACTCATTTTAACTGCTACTGGCGCACACTGGTGTCCATATCAGGAAACTTTATTTTATTTGCCTACATTGTTGGGCTGTCTATGGAGAAGGATAGTGTTTGGTACTGGTTTGAAAATCCGCTGCTGCAATGTTGAGGCCCATATGTGGCATCAAATATCTACATCTATTGAAAAGACGTAGAGGCCAGTACGAAAAAAAAAAACATTTGTTTTTGCACAGTGAAATGTCCCCGGCGATAGATAATCACGCCGACTGTGAAATATGTGTTGTTCTGGAACTGAAGAGGCATCTAGTTAGTTAGGTAACATTACGCAGAAAGCGCTAGCTTCAAAACTGCCATACTGTCAAGTCAGGTGGCAAACTTCTATGCAGACAAAGTAGAAAGCTTATTCTTTGATATAATGGGTCGTATGAATAAAAGTAAGCAAATGCTTATACTTGCAAAATTCAAAGTAAATACTCGTAAGTGCTCCTTCGCACTGGGCGACTTAGCAGCCCTTCTAAGCAGAAGGACAGGACGCAGTGCAGCGCTGCTAAACCATGCTAAACAGACCAGTATGAAGGGGCAGTTACGAGTATTTACTTTGAGTTTTGCAAGTATAAGCATTTGCTTACTTTTATTCATACGGCCCAATAACTGTTTTACTATTAGCGGTAATTATGTAGAATAGTAGACGAAGTGAGTCTGAGTCTGAATCTGAAAATTTGCCCAAGAAGTTTTTTTTGCATATAAAAACAGCACTTACTTAAAAAATAGCACACCCCCAAATTGTTAACTGCATTTACTTATTAGGTACCAAAAAATCACATGGGACACTTGGGGTACCATGACTAATTATTTCAGTGCTACAAATACAGCTTCACCACAAATTGCTCAAGAGAATTTTTGCATGGAAAACAAGTCTTTGGCCGCCAACATCAAAGAACATCCCCATTAAGTTAAAAAAACACAAACTTTTTCACAAATAGGCTGTGAAATGGGATAAAATAAATCGAATTCAAAGAGAAATGAAAGAGTGTAAGTAACCTTGTTTTGAAAGAACCAGCTGTGCATCTCTGAAAAGCCGTTTTGTTCAGACTGTACCATGGGGATGTGGTGTGAATGCACTGGCCAACAAGGGCTGAATTTTTACCTGACCAAGGACAACTACTTTACAAAACATTACACGCTTGCCTTCTAGAATCATTACAAATTAATTATAAGTAGAAATTACAAATCCGTTCATTCAGAAAATAACGGAATTTTAATAATATATCTACGTAACTGCGTGTAGGGGGTCATATCTAAGGGACACAATTTTTTAACTTTTTTGACTAAAACATTCATGAGTAAATTGTTGGGTATCGCTCTGAATCTAATAAAAATGAGAGAAATCAATTTTTATCAAAAATATGGCGTACTAAACGGTAAACCACCGAAAATTTTTCCTACCTTAACGTATTCCAACGAAGTGATCGTGCCGGCAACGTCGAGTAGCAGTACCGATAACTTTTCCATCTTTGATTCTTTATCGGAATGCATTGTAACAGTGTAAAGCTAACGCCGTCAAACTATTTTAAAAAAATTAAAACTTTATTTTCTTATTCCAACTACTTTTGAGATTATAAAAGACACCGATTCACAAACAAAATTGAGGGAGAATGCAACTTTGCGTTGATCGCGCAAGCGTTTTGACCGAACAGCCGCGAAACGATCGGTAACGGTAATGTACGATAAAAATGTGCTTTTTCAGGGATGCCAACCCAATTATATACACGGAGTATAGAAATTCACGTAAAATCCTCGGGAAGATCCTCTGGAAGATTTGCACCATCGTTGGCAAATGCGGTATGCGTTCGCCAAATTTGTGCACGGATTCAGCATGTTCGTATGGCGTCATTTGAATTTAGATATTGAGTGCTAAAAATCATACTATGGAGTAGGTATGGATGACAACGGCGGGAGACAAAAGAAAGAAATGTATTTTATGCTAAAATGTAAATATATCTCATTCCGTTAATTTTTTAATGTGTTTACCCCTTATTCCTAAAATAAATCATTAATAGATACAATTTACATTAAATTAGAGTCTAAATCAGTAGAAGTATGTCCCCCAATATGACATTACAACTATTGCTTTTCTTGTGCCAAAAGTTTATGTTACCCCAAAAAGCTTCCATCGAAAACATTGGGTTTGAAATCAAAGTTCAGGATTTCATAGAGATTATTTAAAACTCCAAAAGACGTACTCGTCCAGACTCTCCAACGCTTTTACGTGCCTATCAGCGAATCTAACTAAAGAACACCTTAAAAGAATGAGAACATTTAAACATCGAAATAGAAAAAACATTTTAAAAGAGAATGTTGTGTTGACTGGGTTCAACCATTGAAGAAAAAATTTATTCAGTGACAAAAGCCTCATAAATTATAAGTGACTATAATTATGCACTTGCGCGATGATCTCTTTTCTGTTTTTTTTCTGCCAGGGGTTGTTATGTTGTTCTGCACTCTTACATGTCGTTGATGACATAATATCTGCGTTGGATTCTGGAAGTAGCATTTATTCTTACACTTTTAGATTTAATCATAGCATTTGATACAATTATAATCATTTCATGTTACTGGGTATAGGTATTGCATAATTATATATAGGTTTTGAAAAGGACGCTATTAGTTTCTTTTCTTGTTGTCTACAATGTCGCTCTCAAAGGTTCGGTCTAAATAAGGCAATGTATCTAATGCATCTATTGTCAATAATGATGTAACATGGATTGATCTTGACACCGACGCTTTTATTTAATCTACTCGAGTGCACTCTGTAATAAATTAAAATTTTGTAACAGCCAACAACACTCAGATTAATCGGTCTTTCAGTCACGTTAATTTACATCAGGCGATTTTTGAAGTGAACTATGTTTTAGAGCAAAACGCGCATTTTCTGTGACAAACATATATGCCTTACAATTGAATCCATTAAAATCGAATGCTTTACTATTCAGTAATAAGTGTTATGGTTCCGTTTGTTGATCAAGCTAAAAACTTAGGTGTAATTTTGGATCCATCGCTTAGATTTAAAGTGGCATATAATACAGTGCACACAAAAAGCGTTTTTTAGTTTAAATAAATTATTGTATCCTCACAAATCATCTATTACTTACCACCCAAGTCAAATTAATGTTATGTAATTCCTTATTAGTACATTCCCAATTTTCCCATTCTTCATCTGTGTATGCATTCTGTATTACGTACGATATATCACATCTCTCATAAATTAAAAGCTGCGCATTTGCTCAAAATGGCAAACAGACGTTATCTGCGACACTATTTCACAATACTATTACTGACAAACAATATATGTATATGTATAAATTTACACAATAAAATCAGGTGTAGGGCAGATATTCATAACTTGAATTTAAGGCATAGGGGTCTACTCACTATACCCCAGCATAAAACATCTCTATTCCGCCGTTCATTTACTTACAATAAGGCTTCGGTATATAGGTAAGTTTGAGATGTTCAATATGCTATTTACATCACAAAGTTAAGATTTTGTTTTACTTACCTTTTCATTTTTATCTTTCTCGTGTGATCTCCTTATTTAATATTTGTCAATTATAATAGTTATTTATTTTTGTCAGTATGATGTACAGGTTTTATTTTTAGCTGAAAAAGTGTTATTTGTCATCCCCGAATTTCCTTAGATCAGTTTTGAGCATTCTGCTGGCTAATCCGAATTAGGTTTTCCTAATTCGTAAGGTAAATACCAGAGTATTATTGAACAACTTAAGACCTTCTGCGGTGCACCTCTAAAAAGCATTATGCGGGTCACTCTGTAATTGGGCTAAAGCCTGTTGAAGGCCCAGAACTAGAGAGGGACAATAAATAAATAAATCGGTAACCGCCGTCTTTATCAGTTCGGTACCGTTTTTCCGCTTGTGCCGATTACATTCCGAAATGTTTTCGTTAGCGTTTCTACACTCTCCTCCACCCTATTGATATTTCAAAGTTCAGTTTTCAGTGGTAATGGTTGCCCAGCCGGAATGTGCATGGAGCTGCTGGTCTCCCCACTCTGTTCCCTCGAAATGGTTATGAAGGGTTCTTTTAGCTGCGTTGGTCTCTCTAAAGCTCCAGGGGATGCATACATAATCGCCCTTTTAGCTACTGGTTTCGTTTATAGTAGTCCATTGGAACATGGTGGTATTTGGCCTACTATTTCCAGTGTCACAGTCATCATGGAGCAAATGTAGAACATATCAGTAATAGCAAACAGCAGCGACAGGACATTTTTATTGGTTCCGTACTCGTTGGTCGTGGAACACTCTTTATCAATGTTTATTTTAACCATATCGTCTAAGGTATCATTTATATACTGTGCGCCGACGGTATTGTTTTTGCCTTTTCAGCGGGAACGATGATTGGGGCAGCAAGAAGTACAGGAGTTGGGGCATTTAGTACAATGGAGGATTTAGCCACCGCGATTGTCACCTGTTTCGCTCGCCCGGACCGTTTCTTTGTAGGCTGTTTCTAGTAACCTGCTCCCATCCATCGTCGTCTGTGGAAAACTCGGACGATGTTATTATTTCTAACACTGGGACCTGCACTACGCCAACTTGTGCGTTTCTGCGCATGAGATATTGTACACCTTGCTTGCACCACTTGGAATGCAATTTTCAAAATCCGGTACAATGATTGCGGTAATTCTAGCGCTACAATCCTCTGGTGTAACCTGGCTGGTGGAGGGTGTTGATGCGTTGTTTGGGTAGATATTATTACATGATATATAGTAATAGTATCGATGTATCAGACTCTAACGCGCAAGAGTCACTGTCGACAGGATTCCTTACCGTGCATCTCTTCAGGTGGTGGAGTTAGTTTTGCCGTTTCTATTGTTTCAGAAGCAAATGCGGGAACTGGTTTCTGCTGGGTAGGTAAGTATTGTTATTGGTCGCCTTTGGTCGACTTGGTGGTGGTGGCTGTGGTACTTGTCTTCATCCAGCAGCAGTGTTTACGCAGTTGGGTGCCCTTCCGAAACTTCTCTTGAGAACGAACATTAAACGTAAAAGAGACAAATGTAGTGCAACATCAATATAAAATGGCATGTATGTTTATTTATATAATTAATATGTATATATAGAGAGTGCATTTTACATTTGCAATACATACAGTGTGTTCATTCTTTTACTAAAATATAACAGAGATACGATGTTACACAGTTAATGGTAGATTTTATTTTGGTAAAAAACTTGAAGGTGAAAGTAAAGATTACTTTGTAACAATATGTTAGGCACGTACACTATATTACTTTACTAATTATATTTTCACAATGACCAGCACAAGTAAAAACAAAACTTAATATATATTCAATTTTGAAATGGTTACTAAACAACACAATTTTAAAATTTGATGCGATGCAAAAGCATCCAAAATAACGCTCTCTGTTATAATTCAAACCAGTAGTTAACCATTTTACTATAACTGCGATAGTGAAATGTAATTTGTTTACAATTCCAATTTCTAATCCACTACACACATATCGAACCCACTGCGTTTTTAGTTAAGTATCAAGCTAGGTTCGGTATTAACAGAAAGTAAGATAGATACTACAATAATTTGCTGGACTAAATGCGGAGAAGAATTAAATACCTTTCAATATTGCACACAAATCAGATTTAAAAAAAAAGATCTACCTATCCTCTGTTAATAGTTAACCTAGCCGTTCTTGTTTCAGTTTGTAGTGTAATCTTCTGGGCTGAAATATTTCAAAATTAATCTTACAAAAAGTACGATAGATATATTCAAGTATGGCAAATTACCGCTAATAAATTAACAAATCCTATTCAATGATTAATAATTTAAACCGTATCGCATGATAACCACTATAATTTATTACTAAACATATACACCAACACAAGAAAGTCTGCATACAAAATTTACAATAGGCAAGTTTGCAAAAAATAGACAATTTGTATAAAAAATATTGTAAAAACCTGAGCACGTAAAAAGTCTTATAAAGCATTTCTTCAGATTCGATCAGTTTAGTGAACTGCCACGCGACTGTATTAGTTATAATGGAATCTGAAGAGAGCCCAATTTAAATTCTATAAAGATAAAAAAAATAATAAATTATAATACTTTGTGTTTAAAATCGTTAAAATACTGTAAAAGCGGCCGCAGGTTTAAAATTAAGGTGATGTTATTGACCAATTCTACAAAAGGAATAACTAAGCCTCCTAACAGTCTTTATGAGAAGCTTGAGATGAGATAATTTACTTTTAAATGCTTAACCGAACCTGTTCGCACTTACAAATAAGATTCGTTGAATAATAGGCCTTCATGTAAAAAAACGAGGAGATGCAGTCGTTATTTAAGTAAATATGTATAAAAAAAATTCCTTCAGAGAGACAACTTTCGCCATTTCTCAACATATTATTTGTGTAAAGAAAGTAACTGTCAAGTTTAATACATTTGTTTTTAATCACAGCCACTATATTTATTAATGAAGGCCTGCGATGCGTCTTCACATCGTTAGAAAGTATCATGTCATAGATTTAAAAGTAAAGTTTGCAGGTAAGCTTCCAAGGATACCATAACCGAGCCAATATAAATCAGAAGATAAAGAGTGTGCACCGATAAAATCAAGAAGGCGCTGTTGTACTACCTATACTATAATTGGAAAGGTCTCGCATTTTATAGTAAAATAGTATGGACGGCTGTAAGTGATTGATATCACCTTTAACATTGAACTAATATCAATTTGGTCTGTAATTCTGAGAAAAAAAATAATGTTAAGATGATATAAAAAGTGTAGGTAGCACAGTGAAAAATTTCAGTATCAGATTTTAATAATATGGCAGTCTTTCGATAAAATAAAAAAGCAATAAATAATAAAATAATGGATTAAACGGAATCACAACCTTTTAAAGAGAGCAAATCATGTTTTAAGTACATAAGTGTAGCCAGTAGGGGAAAATCACGACTACAAACTGCCAGGGTCTAAAAACATCAGTCCTAATCTAAATTAGTAATAATACTTCGTATTATAACACGATAAAACTAGTATCAGTCTTGACAATTATACAAATACAATGTAAATTTAATGTTCAACACTGTTTATAATCTACGAACCGTCAACTGACCAAAAATATAACATTTACGCGATGTTCTTATTTTATGGTCATTGTGCACCGAACACGCACTTTCACGAAATCATTCAAAAATGTACACCACATCTTTTTATAGGTACGTAAAAAAAACTCTCGATACAAAAAAATAAAATATCTTAATAATTAATTTATTGTTGTTTTTATAAAATTAAGGGGTAAGTTGATTTTAGGTCGTACGTACGTCCACATTTACAAAGGTCAAGGGATTACGAGGAAGTCCTATTGGTCAAAATTTCATCGCAACGCGAAAAGTAACGACGTAATTAATAAAGCCATCACCCACAAGTTCACATGATGCGTATATGCTCTACCTCCTAAAGTAAGCTCTTCACTTTTCACAACCTCATTTGGATGTTTACTGAAGGGCTTTGACTTTTTAGTTGTCCTAGACGTCAAAGGAATCTCCGTACTTGTAGTACTGGTAGTACTCTCGGTGGTGCGAGAGGTTGTTATTGACGACCAGACCGGTTTCGAGACGCTAATGGTAGATCGTGTCGTCGCATCTTCCGGCGGGGCCCATACTTTAAATACAATTTTCATATTATGCGTAGTACAACGCCCACCTATTCGTCTATGTAAGTCGTCACCCGTTGATGTCGATATAAAATAGTAATCGTTACCCGGCAAAAATTCTAATCCTCCCGGTTGGGGAGTGAACGGGCGAAACGTAATTGTAAAATACATTAATTTATAAGGCTTGTCGCATACTGCGATAATCCTCGGATTCGGATTTGTTATTCGACATGTCTCGTACTCGTCTTTTGAGACATTGTATATAATATATTTCTCCATATCTTCTTCGCTTTTCGTCTCTGGCGTGTAAACAGGACAAATTAAGTTGACTTGATCGTATTCGAATTTTAAATTGTTTCTGTTAACGTCGATGACGTTGTCGGTATTGTCGATACGAAATATGGGATTAGAAGAATTCCAATGGATTTTGTAAAACTTGGCTCCCGTCGGTATTGTTGCTAACACGAAGGTGTGTACACACAAGACCAACAAAATTAGCGCGTTACGCGCCACGCTGCATGGTACCCAATTCATTGCACACATTCCGTTCCTCAAATCAGTTGTAGTTACATTTCGTTTTTCGCATGACTCCTTCCCTGCAAAAACAGTCAATGTTAATTGTAAGATAACAGGATATCAAATCAAGGTGTGCTTTTCGCTATAAGGGCAAAAGAATTTAATGAGTTGGAGGGCTAAGAAGGACTACGTTACGTATAATATTGTTGAAACACCTGGGAAAATTGACTGTGCAAAAATATAATTACCATAATACCTATAATACTCCATTGTGTATAATTTATAAATGACATCTCACTTAAGAGATTCCTGTTTGCAAGCTGAATAGAGACGTAGCTAAAGACTGATAGATTTCCCTGGTGATTATGAACTGTGATGCAAATTTTAGATCAAATCCCACAATGCCTGCAGTGCAGTGTTTACAAACAGACAACGTGCACGTTATTTGCCAAAAAACGTTAATTTGCGATATTTAGTCTGAGCAAAATAACGTTTTCTAAAGATAATCTGCACGTTATGTTTAACGTTAGTGATACATAACAGGGAAGATTAACTAAACTAAAGGGATATCGATCCAGCCTAATCTTACATCCGGTTATTTCTATACAGTAAATTATTAATTAGGCTCATCCCTGTTAACTATGGTAGAATTGGCCATATGGGTATATAATTATGGTGAACCATTTTTGTATGAGTAAAAAAGAATTGAATACCTACTACATATAAACAGTAATTTCCTGTCAAAATCAGAAGTGACCATACATTCCTAAATTTAAATGAATTTGTGTATTTTACATTTTTTTTTCTACAAATATTTATCTTGTTTTTAATAAGCTTATATACATGGTTGAACAAAAGATTATACAAGACAAAATGAATTGTTCTAGTAATGTAAGAGTTCATGAACGATTTTGGTTCATTTGTGGCAATCTAGATTAAAAAATATTTAATTATTTTTTCAACCAACCAAAAACCACGTATCAGGTGTAGAATAAAAAATGTAAAAATATACAGTGTCGTGACACCAGGGGACGCCATTTCAGTATTTTTTGTATCGTATGGCCGGCACTCCCTAGGTATAGATGTTTTCAGTCGCATCAACAGCTGTCTATGTGACCTAACGTCTAACGACAGTCGTGGTATGACTAACGACAGTCGTGGTATGACTGTCGGTGTGTAAAGTCAATTCTGTCGGGACCGCCAGCTTTACATGCTGCCTTCCGAAGTATTAAACCGCTACGCGAAATTAACTACTAAAGAAGAAGTGAAAGCTGTAGTTTGGGCACATTTTGAAGAAAAACTGAAATGATATTTTTTATTTTGAATACATTGAAAAATAAAATTTAATTGTTAGTCTACGCCCCAGTATAACCGCTACTATTTTAAAAATTTCTAATCGCCGTGAACGAATGCCGCAGTGAACCCCAAGTTGATATTTTAAGGCACATTCTTAAATGGTACAAAAGGGGCAATTGTTTTTACACTGTCCATCCGTGTACTCCCATATTAGTTGTGTTACAGCCGAGGTTGCAGCGTCTGTACGACAAAATATCTCAGCCCGGATATGAATGCGGCCAATTTCTACCCTTCCCTATTTAGAAATATAATATTTTTCATAATTACATAAATCACACATTCATAAATGTGTATCATCATCCGGTCCATAAAATTTGGGCAGTTTTATACATTAAAATTTGATTGATTATAGCATCCATTAATAATTTCTAACTATCTTTTGATAAACTTTAGTCTCCTGTCATCAAGTGCATTCTTAGCGAATACATTTTGTGTTTGAAGATAAATTTCGTGGCGAATTATTTATCATACCAACGGTAAAGTTAATGACTGCTATAGACAACAGCCTGCATTTGTTTTTGTAAAATTGTAACACCGTCGAGTCTTCAAATAAATGTTGGTTTCCAAACACTAAGCGAATGTGTATTATTAATTATTCTTCGCACACAAAAACTTATAATAAGAAAGAAACCTTTTGTAATTACCGGCACTTGGAATGTTCAGTCCGCCTTGCATTTGCCTAATTTCTCCCGTTTAACGGCGAGTTTTTTAGTGTAGCTAATTACGTTCACTTTCTCCGTGTGTAATTTGCGTTAACTTAATCCAACTTAACTCGTCAAGCACCTGATTTCCATTTCATGTTTTTGAATAACGGCTGTCCATGCAAGGGGAACAAATAGAGTGCATATTGTCTCGGCATAAATTTTGCATATAATCTCGAAAATGAAACTTTACATTTGAAATGAAGCTATTTAGAATGGGTTAGACATGAATTTAAAAAATCGCCTTTTGTTATGCTTAGTTGACAATACAATTTTTGCACTTGAAGTAGTATGGTAGCAACAGTCTAAATAGTGACTGTTCACTGTATAAAACATTTTCTCATCGAAATTAAAATTCAAGCGCACAAATTGGGCGCGTAGGTATATACAAATGAATCCTTTAAAAAAAATTTTTGATCTACCACAAGTCAATAGCATTCGATCTCAAATTGGGTTGCGCCATTGAATAATAACACTATTTTTTATTCAATGGTTGCGCCCAATTGTCCCGCGGTCTATTGCAGGTGGACAATGAATTTCACGCAATTCGGTTCATAATCCACGGAGATGTCAAAAGGGCCTTCCTTATTTTTTCGGCTACATTGCCAACTCCGATCTATAAATTTGATAAAGAGTCCATCTACTAAATTTTATCGTAATCGGTCCATTCGTTATCGAGATATCGTGCTAACGGACGGACAGACAGACACCGCAAAATTATAAACTCGCTAGGAGTTCGTTAATAAAGATCAAATCAAAAACAGAAACAGATCACGATAACAACCGACAAAATAAAAAAAACAGACATCACTTGAGGATGTTCTACGTGGTCACCGTTTTTTTCAATACATAATGGCATCCTCTGATCAACTCCGTTGGTAGTCGCCTCTCGAATTCCTACTCCATTTCATCATGATTCCTAAATGAAATACTAAGTGTTTAGTACGAGGTTTAGTATCACAGGTTTTGTAATTGTTTTCTCTATCGAGTGACGAAATATCTCGTAAACCGCCACTGAAAATGTTGAATATTGGGAAAAAGCGAGAGAAAAAGTGGGCCAAATGTATATGGTTTTAATTCTGATCATGATAAACGTATTCAGCGCATGCCACTCCGTATGCCATAAAAGAAAAAAAATTGAAGCACAGGTACACAAAATTTAATGTTAATACGTTAATTAACCTACACACACGCACAATACATACCTAAATCCCAACCGTTTGTTTCCTACACTTAAGTAATTACACAACAGTTTAAATCTAAAATACCACATAAATTAATAACTTGGATGTATGACACAAGAATCGATAAAGTGTCTGTGCTGATTCACTCAAAGGTATTCCACATGCGAAATGATTAGTAAAATTTCATTCCTACTGATTACCCCACAGCTTATACTAATAATTATTATCTACGTATGAGTAATACCTGCACCGCAAGAATTTATGCAAGTTATTATTACTAATTAGCCGCAATATTATAAACAAATCACGTTAATAGAAAATGTAACTTACTTCGTTTTCAGACAAATTAAAGTAAAAGCTGCCGTGCGATGATCGACTATTAAAATTTTCAGGCGTTTAATCTCGGATGCCAGAAAATAGATATCTGGAATTAAAGCACCTACCCAATCAATTTAACACCTATTAAACTTTATCCATAATTGAAGAGTTCTAATTAAACATGAGCGGTTAGTTCACGTTATCAACAGAAAAAATCAAAAGGTTCATTTTTTAAAAAGAATGAAAAACTCTACAGGGTTTTTAAACCTAATGGTTAAACAAGCATTAGGTACTGCAATGTAAAGAAGGTAGCAAAATTGTCACCCCGCTTACGCCCATTGCGGATGACATACAGCAATTTTCGTTCTTATATTATCACCTTGAAAAGTATTATGTTTATACTATTTCTCCAGAGAATCATGTCTCGTTTGGGAGCCACCCTCAAAAACGTGGCGAAATTTGCATTTCTTCTTTAATTTTTTTCGAGATTTTTTCTCAGAAACCATAAGAGTTACAAAGACTGATGGCATATCTTGATACTTGATACTTTGGCATTGGCATATTGAATGGTTTTTGGTTTTAGCCCTTTCCGATTTTGCGAAACAACAAACGTTTGATTTTTCAAATCAACTGAAGGTCCAATCACCAAAACTTCACAGCCTTCGTTTTTCTTTAAAAAGAATTTCATCAACCATAACACAAAGAGAGACGGAATTAACGGAGGAATTAACGTATTTTTTCAGGATCTTTTCCGACGTCTTGAACATTTTCTCACAATTTATGCCTCAAGATAGTGCACCCTTATCCAGAATCTAAAGTCCCCTTGCATTCACCTGAATTTATAGAATACCGGAATAGTCGCTATATAGAAAAGAAAAAAGTGCGAGAAGAAGAAATAATGATTTTATAAGAAATGACAAAACATACAGCGAAAAATAAAGTTGCTAGTTTTTGATTTGTTTGCAAAATCATAAGACTTTCATAACAAAGAAATTTTCAGTGCAAATATGTCATTGGCATTTTAATTTGTAATTAACAAATAACGTTAGAAATTGTTGATGTGCAGGACAAAACATGATTGGAAGTGTAATGTTTTAGAAACATTTTCTCGCATTTTCTAGACATTATTAAGGATTCTCAGGTCCTTTATAGTTTTGTATTGTCGTCCGTCCGTCCGTGTGCGCTCTAACTCTTTTTAGAAGTGGCCGATTGTGTTGAAATTTGGTGTACGGGTACTTTGGACATTAAGGACGGACGCTATTGATTTTCAGGAAGCTGATTCAACAGGGACAAAAGTTATAGGACTTCGAGTGAGTCGGTAACAGGAAAAACTAACATCAGGTTTAAAATTTGGTTTTGCCCATGCTATAGCCATACCCAGGAGCTCGTTGGCTATATTTGTTTAATTTATTTCTTACTCTAGGTTAGATGTGCTTTCTGACAAAGAGCCGCGCTGCAATATTTAATTTATGCCGTATATTGAACATTATCCATTGAGAATTGAGCTTTGAGGCTTGCGCTTCCGTCGCCACAAGAAACTTTGGGAGTGATTCAGAAATTTTATAAAGTTTTGAAATGTTTCGGAAATCTTTTCCAAATTATGAAAATACGGAAATGATTTGGAAAGATGTTGGACATGTGGAAAATGGTTTGGAATGCCAACCATAATGAAAATCGTCTTAAACTGGACACAGTGAATTGTTGGTACCTACCTACGTCAAGACCTTCATAGTTTATGTAAATATTTAGTTTCAAACTTCATCAACGACCGAATTGGTCGGATACTTTAGTCTGCACGTTGATTATTAATTGTTCTTAGAAAAATAAATATTATTAATTAGCTACAAGTTTCCTGTCGGGGTTATTTATGTTGGGCTTTTAATGTTCGATTTTAATTTCGCGTTTGAATGCATAAATAGATAGATATAAATTGTGAATGCATGCCAGTATAAATCGCCTTAATCTTAATAATAAAACACTACAACTTTCAAGTTAGACGAAGTGTGAAAACTTTTTTTTTATAAAAAAGTTTTAATGTTATTTTATGACTTTCGAAGAATGAGTTTTGAATTTAAAGTGTAAAGTACAAGTTTTGTCAATAGAAATAAGCTTCCATACTTTATAATGTTCTTGGGTATTTGTAATCCTGAGTTTTATTTATTGCAGTTCAATTGAAATAACAAAACTTCTGGAAATGAGACTGCACAAATCAGATCAAATCGCAAGACTGATAATATGTACTTAATACAACACGAGAACTCCATCAAGGTTTTTAAACTATTTACTAAACACAGAATTGCAGCTAGAATTTTTTTTTAATTTTCAAAAACTAATTCTATCCTTGGTACTCTAGGTACTAAAAAGTCTTTACGAAAGGAATTGTCGAGAGGGTAATACATGAGCAAAATGAGGTACAGCCTGTTCCATTTTTGACACTTATAGGGTCTATTGGAAAATATTTAATCGCTTTAAGAGATACGAGGGAAAATAAAAAAAATGTCAAATTCAAGGTCAAATTGGAAATGACTTCTTAGTGAAAAGAGATACAGGTAAATATTTATTACAAAAGTATCTTCCCTTATGATTGTTGAATGCCTTTTTCAAAATAAGTACACAGAGCCAGGTAAAAAAGTTATATGACCTAACCTCATTTTTTAAGATAGCACGAGAGATAGCATATTAAATGCTCTTTTCAAAACTATAACAATGAAAACTTCAATTTTGTTTAAAAAAATTTCAAAAACCTTTTTTTGTATTTTTAACTTATTTGCACCTTTTTTTAATTTTTTTGAAACACTCGAATCTTCAATATCATCTTTGGTGTGTTATACGTTCACTTCTCAATTTCTTCTTCAATTTACCTTAAGCTAAGTTCTTCAAATGTACCATAAGATTCTTCTCAAATTCGTCGTCTTCATAAGGTTCTTATTCCTCGATATACTATATTCACTTGTCTCATTTTGTCGAGCATTTTGTATTGTAGTATGTAGTTGTGTGTAGCTAATGTAACTCACTTTTGTTTTTGTGCCAATCTGTTATTAGATAGGTACTTATGCAGCTATCTGTTGATTTTGGCCTATTGTCAAATAAAAATAAATCAAAAATAAACTTTCTCTGAATTAATTTTGAAAGGGAATTGAAATTTGATTATCTTAGATAACCTCGTAGATAACTTTACCACATTTAGGTATTCCTCTAAAAATCCCATTAGCATCACTCCACTAACACTTCAACATTTTGAGTGACATTACAGCTCACTAAATTACTCATAAAACTAAAAACCCTGATCTACTGTAACCACCACCACTGACATTCGCCAAGTTGGCGAATGAGTGCAGTTCTGATGTTTTATCCCTTCGACAATTCCGTCATTTCGTAATGACCTTTCATCCCTGAACCAATGAGCAAGATTTGGAAGGTATACTCAGTGCTAGTATAATCCAAAGGCAAGTTCAAAGGTATTAGAAAATTGAATGCATATCTATCAGTTCCCCATGCACTGGTTAGCGTCCTTTGGACAGTAGCCTGTACAAGCATCGAGACAAGCATATTATATCAAAAACTGATTGCGTGTAAATCTAGTACCTTGTCTAGTACCCAAGAAATAGTAAATAATACTGTTGTATATTAATGTACTGGATAGATATCCACTGTACTAGTTTCCAAATACTGCTAGCCAGTACAACACTATAAAGAGTAGAGCCACCTATGAAAATGGACTGAGGTAAGTATTCTGATAGCTCTACCCGAGGCTCTACCAGAATAAATTGCGATACCCTGTACAAACATCCATATAGACTTTCCATACAAAAATTAGTGTCGCTTTTTAATGTTTAAACAGACCCTTGTATGTTTTATTCCTCTATCCTAATGGCTACAAATTACATCCTGTAAGTTGATGCATGCAAAAATGTCATTCACATGACAAGAAGCCCCCAAAGACATAGACAGGGATTGCACTAATGAGCGTTTTGAAGATTGGACATTTGCTAGATCGCCTTCTTATAGAATGAAAAAGCAGTGTACTACAGTAACAGTAAGCAATGTAAATAAAAAAAATAAACAAAGCACTTGAACTTCAGCGCCTACTACCTACCTACCTACAGACAGATAAATTTCCATCGAAAAAGAATTATTTATTAACAATCGACATATTTGTCCATATAGCGAGTGGAAATGTAAGTGAAAATTTTAAAGGCTACCTGTATCGCGACTCCATTTGAAATTCACCGTACTTTTTAACCACACATTTCTCTTATTTTTTCACGAACGGCAAATCGATCAAAGAAACGTAACATGAAATAAACGAACGAGTTTTGAAAATGAAATTATCCCTCGTTAAAAAGTACACAAAGATAAATGATAATGAATGGACATGTTGAATTGGCTTACCTATTGTTAAAGCACAAGATTTATAAATGGGAAGAGGCCATCGTTACGATACGTTCATTTTTGTCATTACACTAACCGGTAACTAATTTGCACCAAATTCACTGGAGAATAACTTCCATATTCACACGGCACAACGAAAATTTCACTAAAACATTTTATAAAATTTAGTAATAGCAGCAACATTCTTTGCCATCTTGTCACTGCTCGCAACAGACCAGAAGGCGAAACGGTGACCTCTATGGTTAGCATGTCGTAATCATCAGCTGGGAAAATTGTAATGTTAAAAAGGAAAATGTATTCGTGAAAATTTGGTATAAACCGCAATCTACAATTATTTGAGGGGAAAACAGATGCACTCTTTTAGGGCAAAAAAAAACTAAATCAGATTTGTCGTCGTTTCATATACAGGATGTACACCTTAGATGTATGGTCTAAGACGTACACTCTACTTGGCAGCGAGATGCCTTCATGGGTGCATATTCCTTGAATTCTCTCATCAATCATTATTTTTGATATGGGGGCAAAGGCAGAAGTTTTTTTGGTCGCTACAACTGAAGCCGGATCCAATTCTTGCATTAGCATCTTCACCTCTTTCGTCAATTCCTTTTAAGGCAGACTTGATCTTTGGAAACATGAAAAAGTCGCGGGGTGCAAAATCGGGCGAGTATATGCAACACCTGTATTTTAGGTATTGTTGGTATATGCATTGAATTTATAAGTTATAAATTCAATGGTATATGGCGCGTGTTCGAGCACTGCAGTGCCTCTAGCGGCTAAATGACGCTTCACAGACAGCACATTATGAGTAGGTGCGTTGTCCTGGACCCGGGTGTAACATTCATAACTTGTTTTTCCCCACACGATGCCGTTGAATTAACCCCGTTTTTTTAAATTTACCAAGTAGCATGTTTAAAAATAAAGCAAAAAATACAAATGCTTCAAATGTTTATTTACACATTGTAATAAAATCTGTATTTACATATTGTGAAAGGTATTTGTTAAATGCTACGATTTCCCCTTTTTGAGTTCCTTATATATTTCTGCGTTCTGCGGATATTTGCAGTTAAAAGTTTTGACATCACCAACAAATTTGTCATGTCCTATCCCTGTTCCACTTACCTTTTATGAGTACCCTCTTCCGACACTTCATTTTCAAGATATACGCTGGAACTTCACCAATAGATATGTCTCGTCCCGATAATTCATTTTCCCTTTCGGGGTACTTTTCTCCCACACCGTTTTCGGTATATTTGCTCTTAAAGTTTTGACATCACCAATAGATATATTTCTTCCAGACGTCCCAATCGCTCTTTGTGAGTACCCTTCTCCGACAATCAATTCATATATAAGAAATTATTTCCTTTCATTGGAGTACCATGAAGGATAAAACCAGTTCCAATCCCCCCTCCCCTCCAGAAGTGAGTTTTGAATCCATTAAGGCCGCTTGACATGGAGCAATACAACGCGCAAGAACTTGCAGAAAGAAATTGCAAGGTCAAATCCTTGCATGCAATAAGAATTGCATGGCATTTGACATGGTGCAATTCTATTTCAATTGCCACATGTCTGCCAACAGAAGAAAAATATGAATTTGTCAAGAAAGTTGCTAACCTCAAATAAAAATGAAATTTTGACTGATTGAAGAAACATGAAAATTACAAGAATAAATAAGATTAATAAAAACAAGTAATGAGTGCGTCTCTAAGCATCATAGTTGCCGCCGCTGTGTTTTACTAGGTTGGTGACACAAAACCAACTAGATTTATCCCTAGAATTGCGCGATTCATGCAAGAAAAATAGCACCGGTCCTATAAAAATTGCATGCAAGTCTCTTGCAGCAATTGATCAGCTGGCTTTGAACTGCGCATGCCTTTCGCAATTTTTCTTGCAACTTGCATGCAATTGCAATTTTTATTGCTCCATGTCAAGCGGGCTTTAGACACAACTTTTGTCATTGCATATTATATGGCTAGACTTCCTTAGTTTTTGGCTTACATTGCCAATTCATGAACTCCGATCTACAAATTTGATAAAGAATTCACCTGCAAAATTTCGTCGCGATCGGTTCATCGGTACTTCATTAAGACATTGCAAATATAATTCAGGGGATATAAACTATAGATACATAAATATTTTACAGTACCTTTTTTACAATCTCTGCAAAAGTAATTATTTAGCAATACAGTACTAGCAGTAATACCAACAATTTTATGTTTTGCAATAATGTTGAAACTTTATTTTCCAATTCTCAACATAAATTCTCATAGTAAATTTTGAAGTCATATTGTATGGTAAAATTTACAAAATGGACAATGGGGAAAGTAGTAACAAAAATAATACAATAACACAATAGGTTAATTCTAAAACATGAACTTAACTTTTGGTATGTACTTAATTAAAATAAAGTGAACCTCCTCAGAGATACAAATAATAAAACGATACAGAAAACAAGTTATACAAGTCCATCAGCCTTCCATTGTTTCATTAGTGAAGGAATGATAAGGTAGTACAAATTATCAGATACTGACGAAATAGTAGCATGATATATCTCAGATTCGACAATGTCATCCTTGAGGCGGCTTAATAACCGATCATTTACTGTTTGTGCATTATCTTTCATTATACCTGGAACATAATTGACCAAGAGTATATATATATCAATGAGTAAATATTTTTCTTACCATCAAGTTTGCACATCATTGCAAGTGCTTTTGCTTTAGACAATTCTGGAGGAAGTTTTCGAAGATCAGAGATGCAGGCAACGTGATGATTTCCATAATCAACAAAATAAACTCTGAATTTGTTGTCAACAATTTTCACAACAGCTGCTCGAAACCAATCACCTAAAATATGTTACTGTAGTTATTTAATATCCAGCGACTTTTTTACACTTTTATTAAATTAATTTGTACATTTAAGGTTCCTTGCCTAAATTAACAACATCCAGTTTATACCGGGAGAATATTCCAAAACCGAACATACGGAAAAAAAAGTTTAAAGGTTTTCTGCAGACTGTCGCTCCTCATGTACGAACGATCCTAGCTAATACTATATAAGCTCCTTCCTTAGTCTTTTATTGCAATGGAACAAACTAATCTGTTTGAACTTAATAAACAATTTGAAACTATGCACTGCTGTGTGTTGAAAGGTCCAATATCCAAAACATAAGATCACCTAACTGATTACAAGTATGTACAAGTGGTTGTAAAGCATTTAGCCTCCGACCCAAAATAACCCACACGTGTTAGATCCAGCGAAGGGGAAGGTCATGGAAGCATTATTATTATTATTATTATTATTATTATGATTAGTGTTACTTTAATTTGCATAATGATCAAATTTTCATCATTTCTTATTTCAAAATACTTACAACTGTCCTGAAAATTTCATCAAAATTGATCAAAGTACCCTGAGTGTACAGATACTTATAGCGGGCAGTATACCTTATACAAAAAAAATGGCAGTCATCATAAACGGATAGTGATTTCGACTTGCATAACGTTTGAATCTGCTTTTTGTCTTAACTAGTCATAGCTCAACATGATTTTGGTAATTGGACTTATTACCGAATGTGTAAATCCTGTAAGTTAACATGGGGAGCAACAAACCTTTTCCCACGTAAATTGCCTATGTTTGGTTTTGAAATATTCGCCCTATATAGATGCTTTAAAAAGCAGAAATTCTGCATTTGTTTTAAGATTATTTCTTTTTTAGGAGTACTAGAACTGATTTTGTGGCACCTTGTGATTTTTGAAATGAAAAGTCCGCAAGTCATTTTACTCATCATTTTCCCCACAAAATCAATAAAATTAATTAAAAAACTTTGACACTTTTTCAGTTTTCACTGGAATGGAGTTCATGTGCATATAACTTTTGACTATTGCGGGTGTAATTTAACATTATAAGGAATTCAAATCAGTTGAAGTAGTTGTTTTGTTGCCAGGTTGGGGTGTACCCAATTATGTGATCCAATTAGTATCTTGAAAGGTTTCAATCATTGAACGAATACAACAAAATGAATTAAGTGGATTCTGTTATTATAAATTAACTTGAATATTGTTTTGAATTTTGGGTACTTGCAATTGGAAATTCTATTGGCAGCAATCCAGAAGCCATAAAAAACATATTTTTCTCCAACCACCTGAATAAGACGCTATTTTGTGACAGTGTTCGGTACCTAAAATTGACGTTTTGCGGATTAATCGCTTTCACCATGGCAACTGTACAAAAAGTGGATACTTTTGGTCCTAGTACCAAAAAGAAATTGACCTTGAAAGTTGGCCAATTAAAAAATTACAATCACGGAGATATGTCACATTGACATCGTTTTACATTGCAGGTTGTAAGATATTTCTATACATACAAATCAAATATTTTTGCAGATTCAATGCAAATAATGATGTTACCTATACGTATGTACATGTATTGAAAATGATTTACGCTCGCTATTTTTATTTAAAACATGTGTAACGTAATTTACATATTCCGTGAACGTAATTTTAATACGTAGACAACCCGCCGTCGCGCGTAACGCCATCTACTTCAGACCCATTGCACTATTATCTGTCATTTTGAATTCAAAATTTGAAAAAGTTAATTGCATTTAATTTTAATTAAAAAACTGTATGGTAAGTTTTTTATTTCAATACAAAATATAACAATATTAATTGTGTATACAATAAAATGACTGAAACTGATAGCGACATGGATTGCACTCCGTCAGAGATTATAGAAACGGCAGAACATGCTACCTCAAGATTTGCTCCCTACAAAGTCGCGAGAGGTGAGAAGTAAGAGGTAAAAACGAATAGGTTATAAGTTAACCTAAAAACTAGAGTGGCATGACACGTGAGGACAAGAAAGCAGAAGTTCTTATACTATAGTAGTGAAACTGTAACTGAATCTAAATTGGAATATAATTTGAAGTAAAGGGGGTTGGAGAAAAAATTTTATGTTTTATTCGTACAAAAAATGCGTTTTCGGGACTCGGAAGGTTGCTGGACTCCGCTAACGCGTCGTCCAGCAACTATCTTCCTCGTCCCGAAAACTGACATTTTTTGTACTAATGAAACAAATAACTATTGTCATACTCATTACTGTAGTTAGTAATTTTTAGCCGATAATTATATACATTTAGAAACTCAAAAATATCTTACCTTCAAATTTAGCCAAGCATACTTCACCAAGAGATGGACTATATGAAACACAAGTATCCGTTTCCATGCATTTTGTTACAGTTTCGGTAACAAAATCCAAAAGCATATTAGTCTCTTCATCTGCTTTACAGAACGAAACAAGTCCCTCGTTTAAATGACCCACATACGTGCACAACAGTTTAAGGTCACCAGGCTTGACATCGAACTTAACAACATCTTCTAATCGACATACAGAATCTTTCACTCTCTGTGATGTGGGCGTTGTAGATTCTTCCAAATTGAATGACACAGATTTACTTTTTTCTTGCGATTTTGGAGTTACCGTTTTTTTTTGAGTTTGTGATTTGGGCGTCGTAGATCTGTCTTCCATTTGATTTTTCTGTAATTTGTTTAACTTTTCTGTTAAACTGACACCGTCTGCTCCTATCAAATCATAAAATTCTTCTCCGGGAATTTTACACTAAAATTGGAAGAATTAAGAATTATTGTATACATTGTAATACACTCACAGCATTAAACTTTTCTCTTCGGTCACTACAATTGGCCAGGAAGGTTAGCATTTCCGTGTTAAACTTCTGCTTAACAAAGCCTTTTAAATGTATATTTGCAAGTGTGTTATTCATTGTGGCCAGTTTTTCGTTAATTGTTTTTAAATCACTTACGGGAGATGTGTCAACATTACCATAGTCGATGTAATCGAGAGTCGCAGTTGCGCCATCTATTTTATTAATCACTACTCTGTATAACTGGTTATCATGGAAGTTACAAACGGCTAGGCAACCTACTTGAGGTTGTTCGTAAGATTTTCCTAAAAAATTACATTAATTAAACTAGAAGCAAAATACTCGCAAGGGTACCTTGATAGTTGGCCAGCTCTTGGGTAACAGCGGTAAATGTTATATGGCACTCTCGATTACGGACAAGGAGACCATTATCTAGTGTCCTTACAAGTAAAACTTTATCACCATCGTTAAGTGACACGTTTCCCGGACGTTTGTATGTTTCACATTTATTAATAGTTTTAAAAGTGTTCATATGAGCTTTAGTAGGTTTCCAGCGATAGCCTTCCAGAACGTGTTGTTCTCCATTTTCCAATTTAACTGATAAAATGCCAGGCGCTTTAATTTGCAATGCCTGACATGACTAAAAGACAAATCAATGTATTATAAAACTGTTAACAATTAGTATTATGTACAATCAATGGTGAAGTAATTCAAGCAGGTGTATACTTACAAAGTTTTGCAAATCTTCAATAATTTTAGGATCGGCAGTACATTGAAACGCAAATTCGGGAATCATTGTATATTTGTCAGAGAGACATCGTACCTGCTCTACTTGTTTAACATAACCGTAATCAATAAAGGCACATGTAAATTGATTATTGAGATAATCGATAACTTGCGCGCGAGCAAATCCATAAATACTTGGGGCTGCTACGATATCACCTATGTTTGGATTAAATGGAGGATTTTTTTGACTATCTTTATCGATTTCCTGAAGGTCTTCTATGAGTTTTTGCAAGTGACTGGGAATAACACATCCAAGGAATGTGTTTACATCAATTCTTTCAGCAAATTGGAAGACGCCATTGGAGGTAGTTTCATCGATTGACATCCGTCGTACTAACGATTCACGCTTTGTTTCTGATGGTTTTTGTTTAAGAGGGTTCCAATGGAAACCTTTCGCAACAAATTCCTTTCCAGAATTAGGTTTTATAGTAAGCGTGCATGGCGATTTTATTTGTATGCAGCTATTTTTCTGAAATAAATTCATACTACATATTTTCTTGAATGAGGTGTTACATGACCGCATGTAAAAAAATATTGGGTGATAGAGGGGATCAAGACAAGCACTTTTTCCAAAAAAACCAAGGGTCCAACGTGTTTCGTTTGGGAGCCACTCCCATAATTTCGACTTAAATCGTTATTTGTTTGTTGTTTGTGACATTTTCGATGAATTAGACTTTGTAATCCGAAGGCCCAATCTTCAAATGAGTATAACTTTTGTTTGAAAAGTGATTTTAAAAAACTGTTCGACAATTTTGTTCCTTAACTCATTAAGCATGTACACAATAAATTTAGTGGAATTCTCTCCATTTTCGTTGTCCGACCAAGAATTGCAGTGGAACTTTTTTTCGAATTTTCAAAAACTAATTTCATATTCGTCATTTTCATGTTCAAAAACCCAGATACCAAATTTCGAAATCAGAATCTTTTTTCGCAAATTTTCAAAATCAGATAGGGCATACTCAAAAACCTATTCAAGGACGTACCACCCATCTTTGTAACCCTTATGATTGCTGGAAAAAAAATTAAAGAAGAAATCCAAATTTCACCATTTCTTTGAGGGTGGTTCCCAAACGAAACACGTTGGACGCTCGATTTATTTGGAAAAGTTCTTGTCTTGATCCCCTCCGTCAATATGGTCATGTACCACCCTGTATATTGTGCAATATCATAGAGTGTAACTTTCTTCTGAAACACTGAATTTGTCTACGACATCTTTTTAAAAGAAAATAATAATAAAGTTTATTCGTGTAGGATAATCTGGAGATAGTTACACATGACAAGTACAGAACACAATAAAACTTAACACTTAAATTTAAGAATAAAGTACTCATCAATAAAATATAGGGGATTGCGAAGCAACGTTTCCTTTACATAATATGTTTCTTAAACAAATGTGAAGAACTTTACGGACCAGAAGTTAGGCCAGTTTTGTGAGGTGGCTAATCTCAGGAAGGGAGTGTATAAGTTTTCGTTGTTTCTTGTGCTGTGTGAGTGAACATCTTTATATGAATTAAAACGAATAAAAGGTCATTATCCTGAGTTCTTTGAATACACACTTAGGGTGCGTTTATGTGGGAGCCGCGATAAGTGATAAGAGCGTCGATACTAGCGAAGCGAAGAAAATGTAAATGTACTTAGCGTAGGTCTGTTTATATTGGAGCAGTGCGTTAATCATTCTTGAGTCACCGACCAACGATAATAGCGTCGATAATCGCTGCAAGCATTTTCTTCAAGTATGGATGTAGAACTTTTAATCAGTGAAATTTTTGTCAGGCCTCCATTATCAGACCAAAAAGACAAAAACCACCATAATAGGTTCATTCACGGCAAATAGGAGTTGGCACTAAATTGAAAAAAATAAATGAAAGGTTTTCGCCTTATAGCGACTTTAGTGCATTTTCAATTAATTGATCAGTAATTCCTAAAAAGTCATGTAACGGACTATTTACGTGTACCAACGAAAATAAGTTAAGGCACAAATATTTTTAAATAAGAAACTTAGCATTGCGCAATCCATGCAATATGCATGCTCTCACTTGATGTTTAAAATATGCGACATGCTTGCCTTTACTAGAAGATTTTTGATTAAAGTTTCAAAAAAATATCTTGATAAATAAGAAAGATGACATTGCGCAATTTCCGCATGCGCACATCTAATTTTTTACAATATGCGATATGTTTGTCTTTACCATTGAATAAAAATTTAAGTTTACTCAAAGAATTCTTAAGCTGCGAAGTGTTATGATAAACAGATGCAAAGTATTGCGCAAAGCAATCAATTATTGCTTATGGAGTCGAAACACAATTACCTTCGAGGAACATCTTGCATCATCATGAATAAGAAACTTAAAAACCCGATAGAATATCCAATTTCTACAAAACGCTTCCACTACACTCGCAATTTGTAAATTACACCTCTAGTGTTAATCTCAATCGTGTGTAGCAGCATAAAATTGTTAAGAAAATGTATCTAATGAAAAGTAGTGGTTGCTATTAAAAAACTAAAAACCAAGCAGAAGGACGCCACTGATCAGAAATTTAAAGCGTGTTGGTCACTTTTTATAATTTTCCCCACCCTGTATACATGCATAAGCCATGGGATCGATCAATTCTCCGAACACACCCACTTGAAAGATGGCGTAATTCAGAAACATATAAACAGAATAGGACTAAAATTTCCCGAATAAACCTGGCGGCAGATGCATCCATGAAGTAAAAAATAGTGGCAGAACTGCCAGTCAGACTTGGTCCATTGGACAATCTCATGATGAGAGCTCATATGTTACCTTTTAGCTGCAAGACTGGTAAATGATAACAACCACCATAACAAATGACGTTGACAGGATGGTCGGAGACATTTAAGCACTTACCGTATCAATTACCGAAACCATGCTACTGACGTCTTTACACATATTTATAAGCGACATGCAAACCCAACGATGTAAATACAACTGAAATTTGAGAATGACTTACCACATTTTCTAAATCTTTGATAATTTCCGGATCTACTTTACATTCACAAACAAATTCAGGAATATTCATATATTTTTCTGGAAGAGCTCGCACATCAACTACTTTCTGTATTGTACCATAGTCAATTAGGGCACACTCGTACTGGTCACTTAATGTATTTAACACAATACCACGAACAAGCCCTTCATCAGCAGCATTGGCAGCAACCAAATCGCCAACACATGGCTTGAACGATTTGTCCACCTTTGTGTCTTTGTAGATCATGTCCAGTAAATTTAAATCCATTAAGTACTTCTCGGGACAAACAAAACAGGTAAAAGTGTTATCGCCAGTCTTTTCAATGAAATCAAATGTACCCCTATCGCACAAGTCTTCTATCACCAACTTTCGTGGCGTAAAGATGATCTCATCCGCTTTGTGCACAGGTTTTTCTTGTGAAGTGGCACTTGAGGCCGCTTCAGTGGGAGCCTCTTCTGTTTTAGGTGACGGAATTGTTTTTGGATCTGCTATGTTTGATTCTTTCACTTTTAGTTGAGAATGAATAGGTTTTCCGATAAATTCATACGTTTCACCAGATTCCAAACACAAACTAATCTTGCAAGGAGACTTTATACTTAGTTTAATGGCCTAAAATGGAAAAATTAAAATATCATTTGCTTTGAAACGTATTATAACTAGCACTGGACGATTACAGGTTTGAATAATCGACAATCAATTATTAAAAACAATCAATTATACTGATTAATTTAAAAGAATAATCAAACCCGATTATCAATATTATCATTTGATTATAATCGATTTCTTGTTCAACGTTAATTATAACTACTACACCACCTTTATAACTGGATTCTAATTGTCGTTACGTTTAAGGCCAGAAATGGTATACTATGAGATAACGCAGCATGTCTGTTAAATGTGTTTTCTAAGTGGTTTTTTATCCTCGCTCTACATGCAACTAACAATTTTTATACATAAAAATAGATTTAACTATAAAAGGTAATGCAGCAGTAAAAGTCCGCAGTAAATATCTACTTACACCTGTGTATAGTTGTAACTTTTTAATGGTGTTCATTTCCGCTTCGCATTCAAACGAAAATTCAGGTAATAATGTGTATTTTTCCTGAAGTTGTCTAACCTGAGACTTTTCACTGGTAATACCATAGTCAATTAGCGCACATCTGTACTGATCTCGTGTCCTACTTAAAATTAAACCACGTGCCACATCACCGTCATGATCAACGCCAACAATATCACCAATTTTAGGCAAATATTTTGGGTTCTTTGCAGAATTCAAACCGATTTCACTTAGCGTTTCAAATTCTTTGTCGAATCCATCGGGCAGTGCAAAGCCTGTGAAGGTGTGATCGCTTGTTGTTTCACAAAATTGAAATACGCCCGCATCGCATACTGTTTCAATGACGAGACTTCTTTTAATCTTTTTTTCGGGCGTGTCAACCACCTGTTGGATGGGACTTGCAATGTGAGGTTTGCGTAATTCTGCGGGAGGATTCACATTTTCAGTCTTTATAGGTGTGCTTGTACTTAATTTGGGGGTATCTGGCTGTACATCTTTAACTACGTATGTTCCATCATCCTCCTAAAAATCAAATCACATTGTATAACCGAAATACAGACAAAAGACTAAGAACTAAAGCAGGAATTGATTTTTTAGAATAATCTCAATTTAATGGCCCATATGAATAAAAGGGTGCATATGCTTATACTTGCAAAATTAAAAGTAAATACTCATAAGTGCTCCTTCACACTGGACTGCTCAGCAGGGCTGTATTGTGTCCCGTCCTGCTGCTCAGCAGCGCTGCTAAGTCGCCCAGTGTGAAGGAGCACTTACAAGTATTTGCTTTTAATTTTGCAAGTAGAAGCATACGCTCCGTTTTGCATATGGGCCATTGTCTCATGCAGTCATCTGCTAAATGGTCAATAACAGTAAGATAGTGGAATGATTATTTTAAAAAGGATCTGCGCTAATGTATGTGTAGTTTAAAGATTTTTCAAAAGCCAACGATAGTGATACAGTACGCAAAGAAGAATTGGCGTAATATGGGATACGTGCCGTTCTGCTAGAGTTCATGTAAGCAAAGTAATAGTCCCAGTGATCTGATATCTGCAACTTATATATACTTATAACCGTAGCACAGTGGAATGGTTTAGTATAAGATCAGAGACATAGAGGATAGAATTATGTTTAAACTATCTAACTTGCAGAGAAACTTTAGAAAAAAGACCGTATTATTGCAATTTTTGGGATTCTAGTATCCTAATTTTTACTTATTACAAATCTCTACAAATGTAAATACCTAATAGAAAACCTTCAAAGAAAATTTTTGAAATCAGTGAATATTCTTGTTACATAATTAGAATTACCACATCTTAGTTAATTTTTTCAAAATTTCTCCGCTAACAAATTATTTTGTTTATCAGAAATATAATAATAATATTAACGATAGACAAAAACAAAAACATCAAAGTTTTGGGAACTCGAAATTGACAGGATTTGCTCTGCCATTAATATAAATATAATTAGTATATTATATCAATTATGAAAAAGTGAAATTTATCTACTATGGTCTGCTACCAAAGTTGCTATGCAATCAACAAAAGTTAAGTGTTAAGTTTGCAAAACCGTTTTTCGCAGTTGCATTACAGCAAAAGTATTCGTGTTCTAAAGTACATGTCAAGAGGCTTTTTAACATCATATTATAACAGAGATTGTTTCACACATTATTTCCTTTAGTTGTCTTCTAACCCACCAGAACATTAACATTTTTTTTATCTTTCTTTGTGAGTGGGTGGACTTTCAGCCAAGGATTAGAACCAGGGACCCTTAGCATTGCTTTAACTGTACTGCACCGGGCCGGATGTATGGGATGTACCAAACAGCATTTTGACAAGCAAACATGCACATTAAGAAAAGAAAAAGCGACATGCTGAATGGGAAGTTAAAATATTTGAAAAAAATTTAAAAAAAAGTACCTGCTTTGTAGCCAGTATGATTACGTTCATATTAATAGTCAGTTTCACTTCATATTGAATTTTAACACGAATTGCTTGGGCTGGAATGGAACTCAACTTATTACTGATAGGATAAACTTCTTTTAAATATTCGCTTGTCCTTCCCACATCGATATATTGGACTTTAGTTGGATAACAGTTTAACACAACTGCCCTAGACCTATAAGTATCACTGCTGAAGTGTGATAATATACAACACAATTTTTTCTGCGATTGTAGTTTTATTTCAGAAAAAATTATGTTTCACCACAACACTCCAAGCAAGAAGCAATAAGCATTTAACAATTTTTACTATAAAACAATATTCTGCGTTATATTATTGCGTCCATCACCTTTTCAGAGGCAACTTACCAAACATCTCCTAATAAAGCACCACACACATTATTTAGTGACGGTTCAATGGGATAAGCGTTTTCACATTCTTCCCTTGTCTCTTTTACTATAGTTTGTATAATGCTCTTATTTTTGCTTAGATGTACCCACACAATCTCATTTGACTCTACATAAACAACTGAAACCTAAAAAAGTATGCATTCAGCATGACACTTTTCCTAAAAGAATTCTAGTAGAGGCTAAATACAGATTTTTCACTAATATCAGACCTCAAAATTGTTTGAAAGATGTAGCCTTATTTTCAACAATGCACATTTTACATTTACATTTTCAACTAGTGTTACGCACTTCTGAGTTAGGTGGAAGCACAAGAAAATTACTTTCGAAACCCACATCGACAAGTGATTTGTCGCATACAGGGTGTCCCTAAATTTACTAACCAATTGCATCATTTACAAGATTGAAAAAGTTCGGTTTTTGCAAATGTGACACCCTATACATGATTTGATGATGGGATGCAGAATTTTATTATACAGTTTTCTTGTTAATCCAAATTTTATATGAAAGGCCGATGACAGTTTTTTCAGGCCCTAATTAAAGTTCATTTTTGCCGTTTCTGCCAAACATCACATTAAAATACAGGGTGACAATTTGAAAACTTACCACCCCCCCATATCTTAGTAAATAAACGAGATATTTAAAAACATCAAAATCCGTTTCGGTAATTCGGAAGGGGAATCACAATGACATAGTTGGCGACGCACCCCCTCCAACCCCCTGCGCCCCAGCCACCCCAACTTTTAAATCTTAAATAGTGACCCCCCATGTGCGATATGTCGTTGGAAAGCTCTGAAAAAATGCTTTGCAACCATACCAATAAACATGGAAAATCGTATTTAACTTGAACTTCCAAAGCCGACTCGACAGCAACTCATTTTTGATCGCCAGTTATAATCTATTCTAAAACTCTTGTCGAACCTTTCCTATGTTGGTTTTGCAATATTTCGACATTCTTGAATTATTCTCTGTCTTAGTTCGTCTAATGTTCGCCGGTTGCGTTTTAAATACGACAGATTTCAAATGTATCATATTAGTTTATTTTTTGATTTGCACGATAATTACTAACCTAAATGTAATGCTATTTGGTATGGTTGGAAAGCATTTTTTCAGAGCTTTCCAACGACGTATCACACATGGGGGGTCACTATTTAAGATTTAAAAGTTGGGGTGGCTGGGGCGCAGGGGGTTGGAGGGGGTGCGTCGCCAACTATGTCATTGTGATTCCCCCTCCGAATTACCGAAACGGATTTTGATTTTTTTAAATATCTCGTTTATTTACTAAGATATGGGGGGTGGTAAGTTTTCAAATTGTCACCCTGTATAAAATTTGGATTAACAAGAAAACCGTTAATCCAAATAATTAAAACCCAGTCTTATCAGCTCCCAGTAACTTTACTTTTCAAATCAATTGCATAGATGCATTGTTGATATGATAGTTCTCAACTATTTAATAAATTTATTGGTAGATGAAAACACGGGCCCATAGTCCACAAATCTTAGAAGTGAAGTTTGTAATACCAGCAAAATGTCGTTACTATGGACATGTGAAAGTGTAATATGCAGAGAAAAAGATTAGAGACAGTAAAGGACATGCAAAAAGAAAATATGCGCAGAAAGAGTTGTGTCTCAGATAGTTGACATTTTTCTAAAAGCTTTAATAGTGGTGAAAGTAATATGTAATTAAGTAATTGTCAAACACTCCCCTGTTATTCCATTACCGAACATTACACTGAATTAAAAACGAATTACATTTTCATACTCCAATTTGTTTTGGCAATATTCAAAAATAATCATTTTTCATTTGTTTATTCATTTTGCCGAAGTTGAAAATTCATATTGGCATGAAAAGTACATAAATACTCCTCCAAAGCATTTAAATACTTTTGATTTTTGGGAAGTATTTTGCCCAGCTCTATGTTGAACAATTAAAGCCAGGTATGAGCTTTTACTGGCTCTACAGGCTCGACAGTCAACTTCTATCACCAGTAAAAACCCACCTACCTGGCTAATAATGTAAAATACTGCTGGGTGCGTTAAAACAAACAGTGCAGTTGTGTTCCACCACTACATCCACTGTGGTGGTGATGGGAATCGGAGAGGGGACACATTACATCCGGTCACTCACCCGATTTTTAGTCATATCAATGGTTTGGAGTGGAGAGCATCGCGGCTTCGCCGTTAGCATGTTTTTTGAAAATAGTCGTTCGTATTTCGTTCGTTCGTTCGTACTTCAATTGAACTTCAACTTGGAATTTATTTCTTTTATGTTGGAAATTCAAAAAAGTGGATAGGTATATAATTATGGAAAAGAATTAGCTTAGATTAGATATGTATATTAGGCATACTGAAAGACAAAATATCAAGCCGGTTTTCTGAAAAAAACTTTTGGAGCGCCGCAACGACATCTAACTTTTTTTTTCAAATAGCAACCTAAAATTGTTATTAAGTTATTCGAAAGACCTTAGTTTTCTGTGTACAACCTACAAAAATTCTGCCAGGTTTTACTACAAAAAAAAATGAGAAAAAAAATGTCAAAAAAAAAACTAAAATAAAATTTTCGCCAAAACGGTTACTATGATTTCGTTAAAATTTTGCGAATGTACATTAGGCATTATAAATGATGTACTGTCAAAAATTTTTTTAATATCTAAGTTTTTAGCGCCGTGACGTCATACAATTTTTTTTCAATGAGTAATGAGCGATTGCAAAAGTTCGTTGGTTGCATTCTTTTTGGTTTTAATCCAAAGAACTAAGGTAAAATATCAATACCTATGTTAAAATATCTACGTACATGTATAATATACCTGCAGTTTTTATAATGATTAATTAATATCACAATATATTGTAAAGAAAAGTAGAACCTGACCCATCTATAATAACATCTGTACCAGACCGCCGATAAAAAAAAAGGTCACTGACAACTTAATGAGAGTGTAGTGCCATATTAAGGGATTAGTTGTAAAATGTCATTCTTATTCTTATGTGCCGATTGAATTGATTAAGGAGATTTGTGTTTACTGACGTTAGATAATAAATGAATTATTGGTAATAAGCGAGGTAATAAGTATTAGTAATAAACACAAAAAAAAGTTTAAAAAAAGCGTGCAAAGATGTAAACGGTGAAGAACGGTTTTTTTTCTGAGGTGAGCTAGGAAGCTTTTCTGTCAAGAATTTTACTCATTTTTGTTTAATTATATCGAGCGCAATATTGTGATCAAATTTGAAAAGAAAAGTATTAAAGTAACAGTTGTTGATAATTAAAACTAATTCAACAACATGTTTTGTTATCAACACCTGTCTGTGGCAACCAAAAGTACAGAAATCAGATAATTACAAAATGATTAGCAATATAGCCATTGTTATTAAAACCATTCCATAGAAAAAAAAGCACAATAATTAAAGCAATGCTCATGCTCTTAAATACATTATAAGTTCGTAATTGCCAATAGAAGCACCACACATCCAAAACCTATACCTACCATGCCAATCACTGCATTTACATGTTTTTAAAAAACTTAATACCATAACATAATAAGCAGTTCTGTTGTGTTTCAAGGTGTAGTCTAAACTATGTTTTTATTTTATCCTCAATAAGTTAATAATCAAAGATGTGAATGTAATTTTTTATTAACAAGAATGAATTACTATGCAATGTGAACTACCATACACTAGTCAATTGTAACCTGCTATCTTTGTCCTATAATTGGATTGAAAAGTCTGTAGGACAATAAGCTCTATTATTATTATTATTAGAGTACTGTATAGCGCTAGTTTGCTAGACCGAAAAAATACTAGCCAATTACATTCTTAGATTAGTTGATAGTAGATTAGCGTAGATAACAGCAGACATGTTACTATTAATTGCAAGTATGATATATGGGCCAACATTTAATGTTTGATAACATACGCATACTCTCAACTCCTCAAACAGAAATCATCTTACCTCCTGAGGCTTATTTAAGCTTATAGGCATTTGCGTCAACGGTTTGATATTATTCACTCTTTCACTCTCCACAGATATCCTGCTCACATTTGATTCATTGTCGTAATGCTGTTCTCGTTTTATTCCAAATCCTTTTAAATTGTTATCAGACCGATTTATATCCGAAAATGACCGTCGATTTTGATTTCTGTATCTTTCATTGCCGTCAGAATTCGTAGTACCATTCCTACTTGAGTGAAAACTGTCAGTATTTCTTTGTTCATTGTAATACGATTTTCCTGTTTCATTATGACTGGATCTTCCTGATTGTAACCGTGGTCTTGATCTGCTTCTATCACGTTCAGCATTATCGAATGACCGTCTTGTGGTTGAATTAGTGCCACCTAAACACAAAATATTCTGTACATTATCATTCACAAAATGTAAATTTTTAAACTTACCACGATCACTAAAGAAACTTTTCTTTTCACTGAAATTAAAGGTATTGCCATTGTTAAACACACAACAGTATTAAACAACTCACCTTTCTATGATTTCGTCTAAAGTTTCTGTAGAAATACTGTAACGAACCTGAGACATAAATTCGGCAGCTTTAGATTTCATATATATTTTAAATTGCTCTAGCTTTTGTCTGCAGTACACAAATATTAATAATAAAAAGAAAAATATCTTCAAACCTACTGATTATGAATATGTGATCCCTCTCTTGATGGCAATGTTCCTACTTCAAATAACTCAAAGCCGGATCGTTTTAGTTCATTTAAAGATACATATAAATTTCCATCATCATCTTGTAAAGTGGTCACCAGCCTTCCGAACACGTCAACAAAATTTTTAACAACACTTGTATCAACATCATTATGTCCATTCTCCCTAGATGAACTAACAGAAGAAAATATTTAAACCCTTACAAATTTAAAATTACTTACCTAGAGTTGTGGTTACTACTATTGTCATTACTATGTTCAGAATTTGTACGTGGTTGCAATAACGTGAGATTTAATTCGCAATTTGATTTCAGGTCCTTGTAAGTTTTCTCACAAATCCTAAAATACAATAAAGCATTTAAGGTTAGTTATACTGTACCATATACGCATAATATAATGCACCTAGTGAACCCCCAAAATTTGAGTTAATTATCATTGTACGATTTGCGCAACAAAACATTTTAGGTTCCGCCTCAGGCTGTTCTTCCACCTAACCATAAAATTCTCATACATATGATAACACAGTAAAAATTATTCTTATAAAATACTCTCTTAGAATATGGACATAAAAAACAAGTATAAATTGTGCACAACTCTTGTGCAAAAAAAGTGCATTTTTTAAACTGAAATAGCTTTTGCTTTGACATCAGCTTTCTCCCCCCCCCCCCCCTCTAGTCCGTACTTTGTTAAGAGGACAGAAATTTTAACGTTTTTAAAGTTTAACTTGGCACCACTAAAGGCATGCGTATGCAAAAGCTGAGACCAATTGGTTGTCATATGTAAAAGTTATGCACGTTTTACTTTCAAAAACAGCATTTCAGGAAATAATTCGTGGGGGGGGGGGCCTTTTAAACAGCGAAATTTGATGGCCGTCTGGCACACCTTCAAGGTATAGGCTACCTACTGCAAAAAATTCCAGGACTCTAGGACCATTTCCCTAGAAGTAGTTCAAAACGGCAGAAGTGGGTCCGGACGGACAAAACGCAAACAATAGCACATTTTTTTTAATTCTTAAAAAATGCGCTAAAAATGGTATTCTGAAATCATAAACTTTGAAATTCTGCAAATACAGTCGCCTCTTAATAATTCAAACTTTTAGTAATTCAAAACTTGCGATAATGCAAAGTGAATGCTCAGTCCCTTGTGAATCTCTTGCAACTTCGAACTTTTTTAACGTATTTTGAATTAATTGGAAGCAGAGAGTAGGCCGATCCAGAACACGCAGTGATTCAAAGTAACGCTGGTAAAACCGAAGAACAGAACACATTCTTTGCATCTATGCACAGATGCCAAGTGTTAAAACAAAATTTAGACAAAAAAACCAAGACCCTGTGGTAAAATCCCTATCCGACACCTAGGGGTCAGCTAGAGCAGATGCTTTAGTAAGTGTAGGAAATTCAAAATTTTTGCAAACTCTATCAGAAGGTCCAAGTGTAAAGGCAATCGCTAGATCACAAGGAATTCAAAAACATTTTTAAACATTTTGAAACTGTGATTAGTATAGGACAGGTTATAAACAAGGATCGTTTTAAAGTTTTTATCAGTTGGTATCTGGTGGGCTCTTACTGATTCACTTTCTTCCCATAATTATTATTTTCAATATTATTTATATAAGCATATTTGTAAACGCTGAAAGTCATGATACTTGACAAAAACCAAACCCTGCAGTCACAGCATGACATGGGTTCCTAACTACATGTCTATTTCAAAAGTAACAAACATAATTTTATTTTAAACTGTCGATCCTAGTCTCCTGCAATGAGTTTGTTTATAGCTAACTGCTATATGCGTGAGTGTGAGGTTACAACAATTATGCGCAAATGGAACAACAGAGAATGATTGTTTCTTATGTAAATGGTTTATATTTACACAGCTTTAAATAAGTAACAGTTAATGATAATACTTACTCAGCAGTTTCCAAATATACATTGCCATACTCATACTCAGGTTGTATAAATAGTTTTTTAACTTTTCCATATTTAGAAAAAATATTGTACAATTTAGTCTACAAAGTATTAAAATAAATTGATTAATTTTAGATAAAAGATGTAACTTACCCTGTCATAATGCGATGGAATATTAGTAAAACGAATAGATGGGGATGATCTGCAATTAACCACAATTAACATTTCCAACACATGAACTCTAATTTTCAGATAAGTTAAAAAAGATTAGGAACTAGGTACATAATTTTTTTTTATTGTGTTCTACGGCATCAACTGCATGGTTATTAGCCGTTAGTGTTTATAGTTTTACGACAATTTTACTTTCTTTAATGAATCCAATCAATTTTTGAATACTACTTTCATCATTTCCTAAACATTCCTTTAAATTCGTTGAGATCTTATGCTTTATTCTTAAGTTTTCATATACTCTTTATGTAAGTAACATATGGGTTATATTGAGTGGCTCACATTACATTCCACGCACAACGGAGGAGAAGCTTCTCAAGAAAGTTGCTTCTCTAGCTGCGCTATCTGCCAATTCATTGCCTCTTATTCCACAATGGCTAGGACACCACAAGAATGTGACAATTTTAAGGCGTCTTTGTAAAGAATCTAGACACGATAATATCGTTCAAACAAGAGCATCTTTGCTAAATGTACTCATTATGCTTTTTAAGGAACTAAGGGAGTCTGAACAAATCAAAAATCTTTTTTCTCTCGACGGTTTTCTTCGAACCATATGTGTATATTATAATATAATCACAGTATTGATCTAATACTGATATTAATAATAATAATTTATTGTCTCTGATCAACGTTATTGACATAGACATGATCACAATGAAAGATAGAAATGCCTGTTTGAGATATTGTTTGTTATTGTACTTTTTTTGTGTCAAACCACTTATAATTTACTTGCGGTTTACTAATTACCCAAGCTGGAATTTCGGACACTTTATTTTGAAATGTTTCTATTGGAAATTCAAGCAAATTTAGATTCCTGGACCTTTCTAGAATTCGTATGCCAGTTGGGCGTATTACAGCACAGATTTAAATATAAATCTGTGATTATAGTATGTACTTCGACTGTCATAGCTTGGATATATATCATTATTAAAAAGTACATTATAGTTAGGATGACTTCGCAAAGCGTTTATTATTATACCAAATTTAAGCAAGTTTATGTCAAATAATATTTTTATAGGCGGAATTCCCGATTCGCAACATACATCTTCTAAGCGGATAGTGCGAAAGCACCAGAGCAATGAATGCGATTTATCTTTTGTATATTCAATGCAGAATTTACAAACATGATTTAAATCATGATTTTTGAATTTGACTACTAAAGAAACCCGCCAGTGATTGAAAAAATCAATTTTTCAAATGTCATCATGTGCAACCCCAGTATAAAATTATACATTTGGAAATAAACTAAACTTATGCTGACAGTTTGAATCCCAACATTTACCTTGCTATAAAAAAAATAGCCACAAGCAAAATATTTAGCTCAATTAGGAAAAAGAGGCATTTTAGTCCATAAAGTTTAATTAGATACTTACTTTGTTGCCATTTTTCAAGTCGGTAGAAGTCAAAATCTGCAAAAAAAATACAATTATACAATACTATATAAAATAAAACACAATTTTTACAACAAATAAGCTACTAACTTTACTAAAATGTATGCTTCAAGTAGTAAATATACAGAGTGGCGGAAAAGTATGGAATCAGCGAGCTACAGCCTTAACTATTCTTTATATTCAAAAAAGTGTGAGATTAAAGTTGGTTGATGTGGAAGCTTACAAACTGTACAATAAAGAAAAAAATTTTTTTGTTTCATCAAAAATTACTATTATTTACCACTACCTAACAGTAGAACACATAATGATCATCACATTAACAGACATGAGACAAGTAGGTACAGTAGGCACTTACCCTGTTTACTTGAAGCAATTTAATTAGGTAAGACCAACAAAATATACTATTGAGAATAATTTTAGTGAGTGGCAGATATATTTCAAAAAATTGAGTAGCTCTTCATGCAGGTAAAAACTAAAATATAAGGTGCACACAAATTAAAGTAACACAGTACCTGGAAAACAGGTTTTGTTTTGTTTATAACGTTGATCAAGATTTGTCAATTAATCTTCAGGAATTAAAATCTATCTATGGAGCATACTTGAATCTTTAGTTATAACAAATTTGGGATATTAATAACTTATTCAGCGTAACGCCGTTAAATAATTTTGCGTATTGCTGCAAGGAAGTTGAACTAGCACTTTTTTGTGAGGTAGCGTCCTTCAATCCTTTTCAAATGCTACATTTTTGAGACAGATTTCCCTATACAAAAATACGTTAATTATTCAGAAACTTACCTTAAAAAGCAAGACTTTGATTGATTACTTGAAACGGTAACAAGCAACGACGAAAGAAACACAAAAGCATAAGCGTACAGGTTAACATGCACATAAAATGCAGGAACGAAGAATATTTTTTCGGATGGCTCCGAAAAGTGAACACTGCAGCGCTACCAACCTCTAGCGTGAAAATGCTAAGGCCGACCAACCTAAATTGTTTCTTCGCGTATAGGGTGTTTCAAAATACGCCTTTACATTTTTTTACAATTTTTAAAAACCGTTCGTTGTATCAGCTTAATTCTTTTTTATATTAATGAGCAAGGACTATCACAGGAGGTAACGAATGTTCATCGATTTAAATTAGCAATAAATAGGGTGATCCAATTTTTGAAAATGAGCAATCTTAATCTTTTTATGAATCAGTCGTTATGAATTTTCGTTATTGCCTTCTGCGCGTCGTTACAAAACAAACGCTTAAATACTGCATCTGTTCATACTATTACTCATAATTTTCCGTTATTCAAAACCGTAGAAATCGACAAAATAAAAAGGTACATTTTACAATAAATCAGATATGCCTTGGAATTACCTAAAAAACAGCGACACCGTTTCATTATTTGCCTTTGACGTACCTATACTGAGGCTATACCTATTATATTTAGGTATCTCGAAATTTATACTTGTTTATAAATTAGTTAATCATCAAATTGTTTATCATGTATTTAACTGAAGAGAAAGAGGAAATGTTAAAGTTGTTTATTCCCGCCAAGTGACGTCTTTATTTAGTGTGAAGTACCCCAATCGGCCAATTGCAAGCTGTGCCACAGTAGACAGAATTGTGCGTTTGAAAGAACAGGCACCGTGTTAAATAACTGCAAGTGCAATGATAGTTATAAATTCAATGGTGCAATAACGTTCAAAATGTCAAAACCACCAGGAAAACCACAATACATTCAACGTTTTGGCTGCAGTAGCGGAAAATCCGAATATAAAAACAATTCATCACTGATTTATAAGAATGTAATTTTTTATTTTATGGATTTCTATACGGTTTTGAAAAATGGAAAATTATAACTAAAAGTATGAACAGATGCAGTATTTTTGTCTCTAAAAAAACGTATTTAGACTTTTGCTCTAAAATAATTAGGGGAGCTAGTAATTGGCTATAAAGAAATTACCATTGAAATCCCTATGCTGCGTCATGTTTTATTAAGCTTTTGGTATACCCGCAAATTTAATAGTTATTTATGTATTAAGGGCATAATACCTAGTGATGTTTATATTCTCGAGGGCGACGAGTTAAAAAGCTCGAGGGCCTATGGCCCGAGAGCTTTTTAGTCGCCCGAGAGTAGGTATCAACATCAGTTTATGCCCGTGGTACATATACAATTTTATGTTTTACAAACAGTTTTCTTCGTCAAAAATCGTTTACAAAATAATTCATTATGTTTGATCGAGTATGCGTGGTTCGAATTTGTTAATGTGATTGAAACCATCCAAACGTCAAACGTAATTTTAAATAATTCAATTCATCGTAATGAGCAAGAAGTTCCAGAAACTATACGAAATAAGGCCAATCTTGTGATTTAGTAGCTATTGACAATTAATAATTGACGTTTCTAATTTTCAATGGCCTGCAAATATTTGTTTGTTTTGTCTAATAAATGAGTTACTATGATGATAGGTACTTAATGCCCTAGGGCATAAGGTGGTACTTTATGCCCGCGTATCACATATATAAAATGTGCTATGATAGGTTAGTAAGACATAAAAATAATTAATGAATTTCAACATTTTTGTTATTAGTAGGAATAGCCATGACTTTTGTTGTTATGAATTGCTACTAGAACAGAAATGTTGAAATTTATTTTTAAATTTGCGGGTGTACCAAAAGCTTAATAAAACATGTAAACATACAGTGTTGTATGCACCTTTTAATTCTGAACAACTTTAAACTGTACAGTTTTTTTCTGTAAAATGTACAGGAGGGCGATTTTTTGATAAAAAAAAGTCCGGTAATTAGATAACTATGCAAAAAATAACTATTGTATTTCATTTTTTTGTATTTTCTGGTACAGCTCCTTACAAGGACAACTATTGTAAGTATTAAAAAATTTGCTTTGTAATTGGTTGAAATTTTTGGACGGCAACCCAGCAAGTGACAAAGTTCTAGCGTCAAATTTACTCACAGTTGTGTTAGAATGTTAGATAATATAAGATTTTGTACTCAGTCATAGCAGTCTTTTCTGATAGCGTTGCGACGCTCACTGCTTTCTAAAGGAAAAAGAAGAAATAGCGTTTGTTTGCCTGTAGTGACCAACGAATTGCAAAAAAAAATTAGGTAACAAAAATCGACTCCACCACGTAGGTACACTGCTCGTCGCACAACGTAATTTCTGAAAGCTCGGAATAATATTATAATGTCATCGTCCGATCCTTTTATGCGACGGCAAAATTATCGTAAAACCAATAGTTTTAAATTAGGTAGTATGTCGTTTCCATTTGGAATTAAATTTTTTCTGGCACGCATTGAACTCGATCTGCAAAAAATAGGTACTACAACGTAGCCGGGTGGTAAGATTTTCTACATGCCATTCACCACCCTTAGCATGTAATTATATATAATTGCTTACAATTAAATTAACATTGGCATAGTAGTCAAGATAAGTGGCCCCTTTAGGGACTGTAATGGTTCGCAGATTCACAAATCTGAAACGAATTCATTGGATGGTATCCAAATTCTTGGGACCAGTTAACACGAATAGCACAGAGACCTTATTGACCTATTCGTCGTTGCGCATTCGAAATGTTAAGGGCAAGTTTCTGGCACATCTCAAAATTTGAAGGTGAATTAGATCAATCCTTTCAAAGTAAGAGATAGGTGATCCCGTTTTTTAACGTGATCTCACAACGAACACCGCTTTCTATTAAAAAATCGATGGCTTACAAAACAAAAATTCAATATGACGAAATGGCCAAAATTAAAAACTTGGGACGGTTGGATCTTTCATTCATTTGGTGGGATGCTTTACTTATGTAAACATCAGAACCGCTCTATTTCTTTCTGATAATTGAGATCAGTCACTTGTTCTATTATCAAATATCTATTTTAATGCAACTGATGTCGTCTTAAACAACATGGAACGATTGCGGCAGTTCTTATTGTACGAACCAGTTGTGCTCTGTGTATAGACAAAAGGTGCATTTTCACAAACTCGCTTGCCCTAGAAGGCAAATTAGCCGAAATTTATATAATTAGATAACACATTTATCTATGGTATAATTAACCCACTCCTTCCATTTTGATAATGGGAGATGATCCAAATAAATCTTTATTTTTATCAAGTTAGTTTCCCATCCGAAAGTCAATTGAAGTGCAGTTTCATTAAACATAAGTGAGACAGACTTCTTCTCCTACTATCAAACTTTAAAAAAGACAACATTAAAAAAAGAGTGCAATAGAACTAATACGATTGTTACCGCGACATTTCCATTACTTTACCGTGAAACTCCAAACACTAGTGCACAGGCGGCCGATACGCTTGTGAGCGACCAAATCCCAGATGCCTAAAAAGAAGGAAAAACGTTCCAAGAAAGCAGCAAAAGAATTAAAAACTGTATCCGAGGTTGGTGAAATTGATTTAAATAAACCGATCAAAAATCGATTTGATCCGAACGACCCTGTCCTGTTTGATTTAACACTACCGACATTTGAAAAAGAGCTACTAGATCAAGAGCGTGATCGCGTAGGCAAGCTGAACGAGAAGAAATCGAAAGAGGAATTAGTAATCGATAGACGCAAGAAAGAAATTAAGGCAAAAGTCAAGGAGATTTTGAAAATTTCGCCCACGAAGTACGAACCAATTGAACCGGTAAGAAAAAGTGAAAAACTAAAAGAGTTTGAAAAACAAATTCAACGGGGAAAATTTTTTGACATTGATTACAAAAAATATTTAAACAAAGATTTGCAAGCTCCAAATTTTTTTTGGAAAGGTTCATACGTGTACCGAAATACCTTTGACTCGGTGGGGCTGGAGCGCCACCTAATCTGGAAATCCGTGTATTAGTGAACACTAATACAGTGTGTCCTCGTCCTCAATCGCACGACGCACTTCGAACTGCAACAGCAACGATCGAAAAATAATCGTTTCCGATTATTGGTTTTTTAATTTAAATACTTTGTGTTAGTTTTCTTTTATTAATTCAACATTTTTTGATTTTCATACATCCGAAGAAAGTGAACTCGTTTTGATTAATCGACATGACCATCAACGTTAAAATTTCATTGTGCAAAATTACGAGAGCAAGTAAATTGTTTCAACGTAACTACTACCTTCCACTTTTAAAACCGTTATCTCCAAAGGATGCTTTGAGACGAAAAATAATTACGGGACAAAATGTACTTGGATCAAGAATTGAACATTATATACCAACATTGGAAGCATTCGAAGAGAGAATTCAAAGAAGAAGAAAGCGCCCGAAAGGTGCACCCGTTATTAAAAGACGTGTGCGGATGAATTCTCGGTTTCGGTATGTAACTCCCTTTTTTGATGATGATATGGAAAATCATTCACAATTAAGAAATATAGTAGCAAAAAAAGGAAGAGGGAAAGGGCAATTTTACATCTACGAGGTATATGACAAGAACTGCTGCCTGGTCCTTCCCTTTCAATTTGAGAAGGCAATACGGGATAAAAATATCATTGACGTTATAATGGCCCAACGAAGTGAAAAAATTGTGGTGAAACTATCTGATGGTACTCGGATTACTTTACCTTTGGCAAAATTTGATTCCAACGCGCCGCTGTATCGGGGATCTGGGTGGACAAAAGAAACGATCGAAGAGGAGCACCATCACGGACGTGAAACCTTTTCACTCGCGAAGTTATTTGAAGCGAAAGAACAAGGCGTTGAAGAATGGGAATTGGAAATGATGCGATTAGCGAACAAACGAAAAAAAAAACTAAAAGGTGAAGATTCCGTGGATTGGAAAGAGATGCTGTCTGGTTGTTTGGAAAATATGGATTGGGACAAATTTGAAGAAGATACTAAACAAATTATAGATGAGAAAGATGAAGTGGTTGAAAGCGAAGATATACCAATGGCTGTTGACGATATGGAAAAAACAAAAAATGTCAATGAAAAACTGAAAAAAGGCGGAGAAGAAGTTTTATCACAACTCGCTACCATGAAAGAAGTCCCTGAGGTGATTAAAGTACTGGACAAGGGAGAATTGTGTGAACTACAAGAAGTCTCAGGTATCAGAGTTGAACTGGGCAGCGGAACTAATCGCTTTGTTCCTGGTCAAATGGTTCAAGATGACGAACGTGGCATGTTTGTGCCTGGGCAAACGGTATTAAAAGAAGATGGATCAAGTGAATATACCCCAGGTATAACTATTTGCCAGGACGATGAACCTACCCTTATTCCGGGTTTGGTTATGGGGGAGGAAGAGTCGTCACCACTGTTTCTTCCTGGAGATTCAACAATTACCGAAGGGGGGCAATTGCAGTTCGAAGCAACAGAAGAGGACTTACCACCAAAACCAGAACCTCTAAGCGAACCCAGCGAATCGGGCTCATCGAGTCCTTCGCGGTCACCTTCTCCGGAACCCGTTGCCGCCGCACCAAAACCCAAACCAAAGAAACAAGAACCGATTGTGATTCGTCGCCGAAATATTCCTGAACCAACACAACCAGTTGTAAAAGAAAAAGTTAAAAAGAGGCCTCCTATTGATGTTAAACCTAAAGAAAAGACACCGCCACCGAGAGTTATAATTCGCCAAACGCGACCTCAAGGGGACGATCCATTAAAGGCCTTCGAAGAACGACGACGCCAAGAGGAAGAGGAAAGCAAGAAACGGATGAAAGAACACCTAGAAGAAAGAAAAAGAAATGAAGAAAAGAAGGTCGATCAGCTCCGGCTGCAGATCAGGCAAAAATACAGAAACATGAAGTTCGAAAACCCCCCTCCTTACAAGCCAATGGAACCGGTCACGAAAAGTAAACAACTAGAAGAACTCGAGCAAAGTATAATTAAGGGAACGTTCTTTGAAGACGAAAATACCAAGAAAATTATGGAAAATGTACGGAATACTTCTCGTCTGCAGCGATTCGCTGTCGGCTATTCTGCTGGATTTAATAATTATGTAGGTCTGGGATTCGGAAAATATAGTTTGATGGATTCTGGTTCGAGGACGCTCGGCGTGACCCGCTCCTATCGGGTGTTAGTATACTAAGAAGAGCGTCGCGACGCCGGCTTCGCTAGTAGCCAACCGACATTCGTGGATTAGGCACGGAAATCGCGAGCCGAATTCTTTATTTACGCGGGTAGCTGTACTCCGAAATAACCTTGCCCTTGTAAAAATGAAATATATTAAAGCTAAACTCCAAAAGGTCTATTAGACTTTTTTTCGGTTGTAAACAACTCTAAAAATTGTACCATTGTACTAGTAGTTTTAAATAAAGTGCTTTAATGCAGGTGTCTGGTTATTAAAATTTCCGTGTTTCATGCAATTGCATTTATAAGTAGAAGTAACTTTTAAATTCCTTTGCGCGTGTTACGATTATCATGAATTACATACTTTCATTTTGCAAAATTATCGCAGCAAGTAAACTATTTTCCCGAAATTTTTATTTACCTTTATTAAAGCCGTTAACGCCGCAGGATGCATTAAGAACATTTCGTATTACCGGTAAGTGGCTTTTGGGTTCAAAAATACAACACTACATACCTACACTTTTGAACCACACTAAAAAAAGGAATAAAAAACACAAAAACTACGGAAAAGTTAAGCATGTGTTTATGGAGGAATATACGTATATGATGCCGTTATTAGATCCCGATAATAATGAAAGCCACCGAAATCTTTGCAACATACTGAATGGGAGGAAAGGTAAGGGGGCATTTGTTTATACGGTGGACGACAAAAATTATAATTTAGTAATAGATGCTTCTCTGGAATTTGCAATACGAGACGGAGAAATTATCGACGTGTTAATGTCGCAAGGTACCGATAAAATTTTAGTAAAATTGAAAGATTTCAAAAAGGTCCCCGTGGAGATTCGTCCCTATAAGGGCAACGAAACGTTGTTAAAGGGAGAGGGTGCGACCACTAGAGAAGACGAACGATTTCATCACCACGGTAAATTAACAATGAGTATAGCTAAAATTTTTGAAGACTTGGACAGGAAAGAAGAACAGTGGGAGAAGGAATTAACACGCCTAATGCAGCGCAAAAAGCGATTACCGATTGAAGGTACGAAGGAGTGGAATGCAATGTTGAAAGATGCCACCGCAAACATGGACTGGAAAAAGTACGAAAAGCAAGCGAAGAGGATCGTTCAATACATCGAGGAGCCAATTGTCGAGTATCATATCGGAATGGAAGTTGATTTTAAGAAAACCAAATTTGACGCAAAACTTCTGTTGGATGAAGGAAATGAAATCATGGCTACGCTACCAACACTCGCCGAAATTCCAGAAATAATAAATGCGATGGCAGCTGCAACTTCTCACGAATACGAGACGAAATCTGGTGGCGAAGAAGAAAAAAAGACGATTAGTGGGGTCAAATTAACGTTGTCCAGTGGGAAGGAGTGCTTTGTACCCGGACAATTTGTTAAAAGCGAAGACGGAGAAATTTTTGTTCCAGGACAAACAGTAGAAAATGAGTTTGGAGTGGAGTACGCGCCAGGTATTACAATATCACTTGGCGAAGAGCCTATGCTCATTAGAGGGTTAATAGTGGGAGATACTGATAACAAAAATCCCATGTTTGCCCCGATTGACTGTACGATAACCGAGTCGGGGCATTTATCTTTTACGGTCACTCACGAGGAACGCGTTAAGTATAAACCACGCAAAGTTCCAGTGCGAAAAGTAATTAAAACGCTTAACCAAAACCCCGAGGACAATTACGAGGAATATTATTACGATGATGAAGAATTTTTAGAAGGACTTTCTAAGCCTAAAAAGAAATTAAGGCGTGTCGTTAAAGTACGTAAAATTGTCCCTCCAGGGTGCGTATACAACGTTGAAGAGGCCGACACGTACGAAGAAGAAGAGTATTCCGAATATGAAGAGGTTGACGACGATGAAGACGTTTCGCCTGCATTAGAAACAGATACGGTCCATACCCTTGACGAAGCAATTGTAAACGAGGCGAACACCACTGAAACGATACCAGAAGAGCTCACACTTGAGAAAATTATTGAAGAATACAAAAACTCCGTCGACCCTCGCATTCAAGTGTATCAAGAACAACTGGAAGAGGAACGCGCGTGGCTCAAAGCAATCGACGAAAAAATTACCGAATTAATTGTAAATATAGAAACAAAGACCGAAGAAGTTAAAGAAAGACTAGAAGAATTGCGTAACTTGACGGTGGTAAAAGAAATCGATCCCATATCAACTGCATCGATGGAGGACGCATTAGACATCGCAAGACAAATTACTGACCACCCGAAGGATGTAAACATTATATCGGAGATACTCTTGACAATGTCTCGTCGCGTTCTTACGTTTCCGGATAAAAATAGCATTAACATTGAGAATATAAATAATCCTAACATAATTAACGACGATTTTAATAACGGGCGAAGTAAACTTTACGAGAAATTAAAAATAACTTTAAAGACAGCTTTGGTAGCTGCATATAATGTTTTTAAAAATAGACCGCAGGATGAAGTGTCGGCGCTAAAAGCAATAGGTACGGTGTTAACATTGGCTCTTCAAGATCATGAGAAATTAGTTGGGGAATTGTGTGGGACAATGGAGGATGCAATGGATCGCAATGAGCTCTGCGTTCAGTGCCTAAAAGAGTTATGTCAAAAACGTCGAAAGAACAAGGTAAAAACATTGAAATCTGTCGTAACGGACAACGAAAAGGAAATCAAAGATGAACTTAAAGTCGTGGAAAAATTGAAGGATGTTTTAGATAAGGAGGGGGATCTTATAGGGCCCGCGTTTAAGAAAATTGCTAAGAATAACGTTAATTTAATAAAGAAGGTTATTGAATGTGTTAAACCGGAGGCAAACTTTGCAAAAACAGAAACTAGCGCCACGACGGCCTTAGAAGACGCCGTAGTGAGAGCTGTTAAAGAAGCAACTGATGATAATCTCAACGAATTCATCAAAATCTCTGAACAGAATGACATTCGAGATTTTATCGGGGAAGCCGTCAGCTTTGCACAAGTGCTAAGTTTAGACGCCTTGGTCCACGATTTGTCGAAACTGCCACTAAATTCTAAATCCATGATTACGAACGGTAGGGCTTGCCTGTCGTTTCTAAAACGAATAATTCTGATTAGGAATTTAGCTAAATACGATCACGGACAAACTGCTGCGTTAAAGGAACTGAAGAAAAATCCGGAGTTTGGTAAAAAGAACCCAAGAATACGGCAATTAATACGGGAAAGTGCTGCGCTGGTGTCCAACGCTAGCCTTTTGAAAAGCTCTAACCAGATACCCGTCAAACTCATCGAAGGCAATAATCCCGTCGCCCTTGAAGATTATTTAATCCAGAAATGTCGAATTGCGTTTCCGGTAATGGTTAGTAGAAACGGACGACAGATCATCCTCCCGGAAGAACTTTCAAGCGATGTGTTGGAGGGAAGAATACCGTACATATTAGTTGACGAAGACGGTATTAGCAACATGAAAGCGTTGCAGAAGTTTAATAACGGAAAGTTTCCCAGCAAGGAAGATAGTTACTCGTCGCCTGGCGATAAAAGTAAAAATCAGAAATGGGCGGAAGTACCTAAATTAGGAAAAGTTGACGTAAGAAATCGCGTTCGTAGGTTATCTGATTTTTCTAACAATAATCGTAGAATGGCTGCATGAGTCTAAAGTGTGTTTTGTCTCTTTTTTTGTGATTTTTGTATTAAACTTCCCCCCTGTGCTGACCGACTCAGTTTGTGTTAGTGATGAGAAGAATGTGCAGTAGTTTAGTAGGTAACTTAAACGTTTGGAAGAAAATCATACACATAATGTTTACGTACAGTTTTATTACCGTGGACCTTCATTTTCAAATCTAAAATCGGTAAGTTGAAAATTTGACTTAGATGTTTGCTTTCATTTCATTCCTTCATTTGAGATAATCTATGCGTAAAGATCATAAGAGTCACCTGCTATTGTAATTCGCAAGCAATCATTTTCAGGTGTTACCATTTATAGGCACTGGTCCATTAGGAGCAATGGCAAAAACTTTACAGATCAAAGTTACTAATACCATAGATTTGTCTATGCTAATACCTACAATGAAACTGACTCCAGTTTACGGATTGCGACGATTTATCCATGTCCAGGTCTGCTTTTAAAAAAGAGTGTAATATCTACGGACCTTCGTGTTTGAATGTGTTTCTTAGGTACGCTACATAAAATAAACTACAGGCACTTAGATTTAGGTTTATAGAACATTATGCAGAGGCGCATTAAATTATAAGCGAAAGTTTTGCCAATATTTTGCATCATTTTGGGTCATAACCGAATACCGTTTAGCAGTGCTACACCATTAATGAAATTGTGAGCATGGCACGAAATAATAAAGATATTATCATTTATTTATGCATTTACTGAATAATTATGAAAGTTTAATTGATAATAGTAGGTTTTATAGTAAAAACTTTTCCTTTAATAGGTACGAAGGATAAGTAAGTTGGGTTTGAACAACGTTTGCACAACGTATAGGTATTTTGCGCCTTTCTTTTCTGATCTGGTACTAGCATAATATAGGGTGACTCGTTGAAAACAGTACCTACCACTGTTTTTGGGTACTTTTATGGGGCATATATTTTATTGCAAAACTTCATCCATGATACTGTCCTTGGCCTTGTCTAAAAAGCATTATGCGGGTCACTCTGTAATTGGGCGAAGCCCTATTGAGGGCACTGAACAAGAGAGGGATAATAAATACATAAATCTTATAGCCACGTCTACGTAAGCCCATAACTTTTTTATGTGACTATTTGATTTCCCGATAGTTGAAGCTATAAAGTTTCAGTTTCATGCCACCCTTTAATTTTCGAATATTGGTAAAAGTAGTATAGCTAGCGCCACTTTGAGTTTTTGTAGTGCCACTTTTAACTACAAAAAGGGAGAACGACAAGATGTAACCAATTACCGACCTATATCAATTGTCTCCGCCTTTTCGAAAATACTGGAAAAATGCATGGTCTCGCGATTGGTCAGCTACTTCGAAAAATTCAATCTCCTCTATCCATCGCAACATGGCTTTGTCAAAGGCAAATCTACGACCAGCGGTCTGTTTAACTCCATCAACTCAATTCACGACGCCCTAGATAAAAAGCGGCACACAATAGGTGTTTATTTTGACATGTCCAAGGCATTTGACGTTATCAACCATCAGCTCCTATCAAACAAACTAGAACTATACGGGATCACTGGGAATGCCCATCACTGGATCCGGTTTTTCCTAGATGAAAGGTCGCAATTCGTTGAACTAGTCGGCTCGGACGGCACTATAAAAAATGCCAAGTTTGCATCACCAACATACAAGGTCTCGCTAGGCACCCCTCAAGGTACGACGCTAGCACCATTACTCTTTAACATTTTTGTAAACGACATGGATCTCTCGCCCAGTAATCTAAATGTTGCCCTATGCAAATATGCCGATGATACATCATTAATCATATCACACGACAATTTTGCCACTCTGGTCGACAATACAAATCTGGCGATTGACGAAATGGCCAAATGGTGCACAGCCAACCGACTAAAATTAAACGACAGTAAAACTTGCTTTGTGTATTTCCGCAATGCACATTCTTGTACCCCCCACAACCACCCGACCCCCTTAATCCACATGAAAAACGAAGCTCTGCTACAACGATCATGTGAAAGGTTCCTCGGCGTGACGTTAAACGAACACCTCAACTGGGTGCCACACATATCATCCCTTTGCAAGAAACTACGCACGGCCAGCTATGCAATTCTATGTATACGTGACAAAATAAACCAACCAACTCTCTTGAAATATTATTTCGCACACGTACATAGCCATCTAACCTATGCCATTACCATCTGGGGCCATGCCTCCGCCACGCAGCGAGCACTCAAACTGCAGAAAAATATTATCCGACGTATGTGCAATGTAGGCGCCTACGATCACTGTCGGCCTCTGTTCAAGAAAATGAAAGTCATGACCGTATATTCATTATATATATACAAGTGTGTATCATATATACTTGAAAATAAATCCCAATTTACGACCAATCAGGACCTTAGCTATGGCATACAAACCAGATATGGCCACAATCCCAGCGTCCCAGGACATAGCACTACACTATTTGAGGATTCTCCCAGGTATATGGCGATCAAGCTATTCTACCATCTCCCACAAGAACTGCGAACACTTACATCTACAAATAAATTTAAAACTCAAGCTAGAATATTCTTCGTTAATAATCCATACTACCACAGATTTAAATACTATTAAATCTGTGATACTATCGAGTGAACGAATACCTCCAAGGCCTGCGCGACGGCGAATTATTGTAATTTATATTGTTAGTTCAATTTATATTGCCTGTTTGTAATTTTATACCTTATCTGATGCTGTGACAATCCAATATTACTTTGTAATCGGTATGGGGATAAATAAAACTAAACTAAACTAAACTTTATTTTAGCACAAATACGGCCGTTGATTTTCAGGGGGTATTAACACCAATACCCCCATTGTGTCATATATCTTCCAACAACTGTAGAGCTCGTCTGTCTGAACTGCAACCAGGGACCCTGACCGGATCGAAAAAGAACCGAAAATAAGATCGAAACTGGTATTTTTTTCAGGATCGAAAACCGAACCGAAACCGTAATTCCTTCAGAAATGGAAACTTATTGAGAACTGGAACGCTTATTATTTTTAGCGCATTTTTTAAGAATGAAAAAAATGTTGCTATTGTTTGCGTTTTGTCCGTCCGTCCGTCCGGACTCCGGACCCACTTCTGCCGTTTCGAACTACTTCTAGGGGATTGGTGCTAGAGTATTGGAATTTTTTGCAGTAGGTAGCCTATACCTTGAAGGTGTGCCAGACGGCCATTTCGCTATCTAAAAGAGGCCCCCCACGAATTATTTCCTGAGATGCTTTTTTGAATGTAAAACGTGCATTAGACCGGTCCATTAATGAACAGTAGGGGGTTGTAATTTATTTATTATCCCTCTCTTGTTCTGGGCCCTCAACAGACTTGCGCCCAATTACTGAGCGACCTACACAACGCTTTTTAGAGGTCCCTCTGCAGAAGGTCTTAACCTTAAGTTGTTCTATACTACTCCGGTATTTACCTTACGAATTAGGAAAACTAGTCTAAGAAAATTCCCATCTTTGTCACAGATGAAAAATTTTTACCTCAACCCAGGTTGGAATACCCGACCTTCGGATTTATAGCCCAATACACTACCATTGAACTACAAAATCGGTAATGTGATGTACGTAGCCTAGAAGTGGACACATCTTGTTCTGGTGACAGAAAAAGTAAATCCTGTTTTCCCGGCATGTTTCAAAATTAATATTAAGTATGTTGCATTTTTCTTGAAATTTGACCAATAGTTTTGCCACTACCAAGTAAACACAATACAGCGCAATTTCTTATAGTAATAATTCCATGATCGTGTTGATGGTGACTACCTATCTAAGACAATAAACGAATGTTTCAATCACTAACAGTCATGGAATTGTTGTCATAAGAAATATATTGTAAACTTCAAACATTTAAAGGAGGATGACGCAATCGCGAGATGCCTGCCAGAACGGTATTTTCCCAATTGACTGGTAATAAAGTATCATTTAAAAATTTTCTAAGTTTGTGGGAAAGGGGTAGTCGAATGGTTCGCAAAGTATTCCTTGGAACAAACAAATCTATTGAAAACAATCAACACAACAACAACAGCCAAAACTATTTGGACCTGTAAATTAGCAATGATCTCCGAAAATAAAGAATAAGAATTTCACACGTCGACATGCCCAAAAGCTATTTCAAGCTGTAAGTCACCTACTTCAATTACATTAGCTAAGGATTGCAACACAATTAATTGAGTTACTATTTCGATAACAACAATACAAACAGAATGGTTATGCGGTTGTAACCTTCAAAATCAGTGGGGTTCCGATTTTATCACCACGCACCTTAACAGCTCTAGTATCAATTCAAAAGTGTAATACTTAACTTACGTCTTAACTTCGTTTTAGTTGGGTAGTGAATATAAATAATTTTATTAAGTGTGTTCTGTTTTAAGATTAACGCAGGTTGAGTTCAACGGTCTCATTTGACGTCCTAAATAACTATTTCGATTATTTTTTAACCTTTTAAGAGTTATTTTAGCTCAACCATCTCATTTCATTAAATACGTGTGGTGTTTCCTGCATGGAATTTATTCGAACGATTCTTCTCAATACTAATTACTCGTATCCATCAATTTGAAGTGAAAATTTTGTAAATGCTCTAATGTAATTTTTCATTTCGATTTTTAATTATGAATATTTGCCGTAATATAATTTGCAACAGAATCGCAACTTAAGTAAACATTTTCTCAAATTATGACTGTTTTACATACATTTGGAACACCCAACTATACAGATACGCCCACAACGTTAACACGTGCAATTCTCAACGAGATCACCTCCTATTTGATCGAAACTTTGGTTTATAGTGGAAAACTCCTCTGGCAACGTCAATCCACCATAAAATCATCTCATCTCATAAAATCAGATTGACCTTCCAACTATCATCTCGTGTTACTCAAATTGGATTGAAAAATGGCAACGCACTGTTATGATTATATGTAATAAACTAAATGCCTTCTAAGCAATGACCATGGCTTAGGGTAAGATCTTGGGTTTTGAAAGATTCAACTGTTTTGGTGGTAATTTCTAGTAGATCATTTTATCGGGGCAGATGTTCATTGGGTGAATTTCCTATTCCTGGACTTGAGAGATCGAGTATTCAGAGTGCAAATTCCTATAGAGACGACTATTCTGCGAGGAACATCCCTTTTATTTTAGCGCTCGCCTTTCGTGAAGCAGATAACCACGTCGCCTTCCCTGTTTTCGTCCCATGGTATGATCATCAATTAAGCCCCCCCCCCCCACACACAAACTTTTTTACGTTAATCGACGGTATTAGTTTAACATTTTTTCATAATAAAGACGGAAAATTGGAAAATGAAAACCTCCGCCAATACCGATAAAATCTGTGATGCAATCGAATTTCTTAAAACAAAAAGTCTTCTTTTACTTTTGACATCAAATTTATTATTTATGATTGTAAGTCAAGTATGTGGAAATCGTATTATACGCGGGGAATAGAGCTCTTTAAATAAGTGCTTTGTTTAACTTAAAATATCCAGAGAAGCTAATTCCGCACCAAAATATATACTATTATGCGTTTTTTGAAAAAAATTGAAACTAAAGACACATTAAAATTCCCCTTATGTGATGGTTTTATTCCACCGTGGGTCCATCCCTTTGTTTGTTTGGGCATGGAAATGAGTATAATTGATTACTAGTAGATAATTCGTAAATAATAAGTGCAATTTCTTGTGAAAAGGGCGCCGTTTTTGCAATTTTAAGAGGTACGCTCCCCTTTGTTTCAGACAACACTTATAGAGAATTTAGTCCTCTACCAGTTTTGTAATAGGTAGTTTTTGGATGGAAGCAACCGAAAAGGAGATAATCCCAAAAAAATGATTTACGCCGTCATTTTATTAAAATGGCGACGCTTCCCAAGACAGTATACGATGTCGCAAACTTAATAATGTATTGTTCAGGACGTAAAACTGAACGAAAATGCCAAATTTCAAAACTCCCCGATTTAATGCAAGGTAGATCCCATTTTAGCTCCCCATTATTTGATTGGATTATATTATCTAGAAGAGTCAAACGTTATGCATCAATTTTTAAATGGAACGAGCGGTCATAGGTATGACTTGTATATATACTCGTTAGTAGGTATAATATTTTGAATCTCACAAATATTTCCTCGCAAAATCGATAACAATTTATAATAAATATAGTAAACTGACATTATTCTGGCACTTAGGTACACAATACCATAATTATTTTCGGGCAGACTTTCAGGAAACGCAGTGAATTGCAATACAAAAATAGATAAACCAACCCACATTCATTACATTGAAAGGTATCTTGACCATAACCTTAAGTTGCGATTCACTTATTAGAGATTCCATCAAAGAGTAGCTTATTTCTCAAAATTTCAGAAAATTCAATGTGCTTGAAAGCTTTGCTGAAATTAATATAAGGTAATGTTGTTTAAACCGGTTTATCTAAAACCAAAGATGAGAGAAGCTCCCATTATCATGGGCTCGCCGCCGCAACCGCCACCACCTATTCAACAGGAACCGGAACCTCAACCCGAACTGCAACCTCAACCAGAAATGGAACCCGTGCCAGATCCTGACCCAGAACCACCGTTTTTGGGAATTCCGATCACTTCTGCTGAGGTTTCTCCAGTTGACAGTACAATTACTAATTTACCAGTATTGGCCTATACAAAGGGCATACACGTTGTGTACCCTATAGAGGCGAGAAGAGACGTTTTGGCCGGAAGAGTAGCTTATCTCTATGTCGATGAGATGAGCTCCTCGATATTTCAACCAAAACACATATTCAATGCTTTAAAAATGAACAAAGATGAAAAAACTAAGTACGAAGATTACTCGTGTATTGGTGGGCGTCAGCGAACATTAGGTCGATCAACTTGCCGAAAAATACGAATTTGCGTAAGTACCTACATAATTATGAATTTTATACTTAGTATAACGGAGAACGCATTAAACGTAAAGCCCAAATAATTAATATGTAGCAATGCGCTAGTGATGATTCTGTACTCGAAACTGTAATTTTTCATATATCCGCACTATAGTCATTAATTGTTCCACTGTTTGAGTAGGTATTTTATCAACAAATTTAAATATTTATCACTGTCATATTTACGTAATGGTGCTTTTTAAGGCTAACAATTATATATACTTAATGAGTTCTTTAAAGGACTTCCTTAACGACGTTTCTATTCAAGAACAAGATTTTGAAAAAATCGAGGACCAGTAGATATATTTGAAGGTGATTTATTATACATGCGGACTGTGGTGCTACATATAAAAAAATTGTACATCTTGAAGCTAAAATCGTAGGTAGGTGCTATTGTTGTTTATATAGCCACGCTTCAATTTTGAGCATTATGTTCACGAGGAGTAATTGAAAAAATAGTCCCGAAATAACTTCGTATAAAAATAGGTAACATGTGTATATAACGGTCTTTGAACTGTAGGTAATTACAAATAAATTTAGTTATGTCTACGTAAATACATACCAAGTGAACATGGCGATTTTACTCACTTGATGTTCGAATAATCGACAATAAAAACTAGCCACAAAGATTTTTCAAATGATAATTTTATATAAAAAATCATAAAATTGAACTGGGAGATTGTTTTAAAATGCCACTGAGTCGATTGACAAAAATGCTTTGAACATTAATTTATGGTTCCTTGGAAGTATGTACCTATCTCACTTTTGTCGTGTAGGTAAGTACTACTATAGTGCAATATAATTTATTGGTCTTTCTTTCCTTCACAATCAAAACGTGCAGTATCTGATAGGTAACTGATTTTAGGTGTCGCTGCCGTGAAGCTGGCGTTACCTGATTTCCGTATCGAGTTAGTATTCATGTGTGCCAAGTTTCGTACTTTCTTCACGAAAACGGTCACTATTTTGACGATTGTGAATTTGTAAAATCTATGTTCAAAGTCAACTAAAAAAACCTTGTGAAGGGTCAGTAAGATAATGAGCCCTCAACTCATGATTTTTTCTGTTTGCTCCGATTTGTAACTAAGCCATCTGGAACGAGGGGCACTAAAAATTAAAATTCTTCCCTTTGTGCGTATAAAATCCGAGAATGCGACCACCTTTACTAGCAATTTGGTAGGCGATTTATTAATGTCGAACTTAATGTTATTGAGCATATTTAATAATTAATCATCGACGTTTAGAAAGAAAATCGGTAATTTGAATATTCGAGACACAGTGGTTGGAACATTTTGGGATGTGGGTGAATTTACTACCATGTAATTAAAATGGTATAAATAACTACACTAAATTATTGTCCGCCATAGCAGACCGAATGACCGGGAAAAAACTCAATTCCCGCCTTTTTTCAATCGAATGGTAATTAAAAAAACGGAAAAAATTTCATTTAAACAGTGGCTTATCGATTGCACGCCACTGCAGTGCTTAATAACAGGTGGGAAAGAATGGGCAGGTGAGCATGTTGCAGTAGGTACTATAGTCTTAGTTCGGCTTTACTGTTTCGTTGACGTGTTAGTTTACGTTAGCTTCTTTTTGTTGACCTGTAATAGTGCCGAACTAAATTCGAATTGAATGTTGTTTAATTTGAGATGTGCATATGAATAATGTGGGTAAAATGAACCGGATATGGGCCCAGCATATTAGAAACTAAAATGTATTCAGTAAGTTTAGTGTTTAGTTTTATAAAAATCTTGTTCTTTTACTGCTACGATTCAGGTGCAAGACCAAAAGCACTATTTCCTGTAAACTGCGGCAATTATGCTATAGTTCCGCTATATGCCTTCATAAAGGTGTACTTACCTATAGAGATTAATTATTAAAAGTTTGATAACCGAGCATTTCAAAAATGGTAATACATATACGTAGTACGTACCTACATTTTTGAAGGACCATATCTCCGGAATTGGATTTAACAACAGGCATTTACAGTATATCTGGCGATTGCTAGGTGTACGTCATTTTATTACCTGTACTGTGCAAATAAAAACGAAGTAGGTAGGTACTTGTATGCTAATTTCTGAATGCCTTAAAAGTTAAAGGTTTCTGACATTGAATTGTTCCACAACCGCAACGAAAGAGTATGGTGTTCTGAATATATTAATTCAAGGCGCTAAAGTTCAACAGATTGGGAATATCTATATTGTAGGAGGTCTCACCTTTTTTTGTTTTGTATTGTGGAGGCTGAAATCCTGAACATGCAATACGTCTTTCGTATATTATAGAAAAGCCTGTTCCATAATACCTCACCATCATGGATTTATATAAAATGGGAGTTTACAGTATAGTTGAATTCCGCAGTTCTAATTTAATAAGCGTGTACCTGAAACCATAAAACATTTTTTTGGACAATAAAAGTTTATTTAAAAATAGAGGCTGATTAGCAAAAAAATAATGAACATGTGCGGTTTTAAAGGTTTATTCAAAACGATATGATTGTGGCGGGCTCTGTGACGTAATAAGCCGACCAATCAGCTCCTAGAACCATTCAGATGACATAACGACTTGGCAATATTGCAGGAGAATGGCATTTATAACTTGCGTCATCTGTCACAGGCACTTGTCACTTTCGTGCTAGATGCCACAGCCGTCTATAATTACAAGCCATGCTGAGAAGTTTGGCAACGTTGTTCGAAAGTCAATCGGTGGGCCGATGTAAGTTTTAATGGCGTCTTGTTGCTCTTGAAAAATGGCATTTTTCCTCTCTCCTATGTTTCGCCTTGGCGGTTTTAATGTAGAAGAAAGATACTTAGGCAGCTTACAATTGTGCATATATATTATTTATTTACAAAAATGGATAATAACATTTTTATTTGACTTTAAAATTCGGAACGCTGTAAATTGGTAACTGCATCATAATGTGTTTTCCATCGAGATCTCCGAAATTGGCGAACTTCTGTCGAAAGAGGTGGAGGTGAAGCACACGCTTGAGCACTTAATTTCGGCAAAAGGATAGTAAATCGCTGTGCATCAGCGAGGTTTTATCAACCACCAGGTGCGATTCAGAATGGCAGATTTTAAGCCAGTCGCTACTCCAGTGGGTCTAGGTACGAAGCTTTTAAAGAGGGGAGCCCCGTAGACTTCAAATTCCCGTACCATGAACTCTTGGGAATAAGTTGAAAGGTTCCTTCAGAAAATCGATTTGACATGTCCGTGCTAGAATACCTGAAATACAAACTAATTGCATTTTTTCACGATAAACACTTACCGTACTTACGTACCACGTAGTGTGTAGGTCATATTTGAGCTTGTACAGGTACTTTGAACAAATACAAGTGCTTGTAAAGGGTCCAGTAACAAGTAGCCTGCTTTAGAGGTTAAGACAACAAATCGATATATTTCGTTTAGCAACTTACCTGAATAATAATTTCTGTTCATTCCATACGGAGTAACACAAATTGTCGCATTCTCGCTCTGTTAAAACAGGTAAATATGAATATTACACCCAAAACACGTATAAAATACACCTGAAATCTGTCAAGTTGAATTAGGAAATCGGCCTACCATGCAGTGTTGCCATAATTCTCAGCACGGCTTGTAATTATAGACGGCTGTGTAGATGCAGTTAAACATCAGAGACTTGCTATAACTAGACTGCGCTTAACGTATCTAAGGTGTTGTCGACACAGTATGCAACACACAATGCACCGCGGGGCAAAATTCGCTGAGATGATATGCAATACAATGAAATAAGCCGTTATTTTAGATGTTCCGTTCATTAATCATTCTCGTGATTAGCTCGAATTAGTGAACAGATACATTTCTGTTGATAATAAACCAATAAACTTAGGTTAACTTGTGCTTATCAACATGTACTCTGTCGATAAATTTTTAAATAATATGCTGATTTTCAACGGATACAAGTTTAAAGGGCCAATGGATCAGAGCCATTCGAAGAGAAAAATTTACTCCCACCATAGTGCATTTGCGGGGAATGAAGCCGATTTTAGAAAGATACCTACGAAGGTGTTAAAAAATAATGCAATACCGAGCGTTTTCGACTTTCCCATTCACTTAAAATAACGTAGAACTATTATTCGACATCCTTTACCAGCAAGACAACGGCAGTACCTATTTGCCTATTAGGTATAGACGTAACTAAGTACTTACTGGTACTAAGTATATTTCAGGTTTTGTTACAAGAAAAATAGCTAAGTCTGTTAAATGTTCCATATGTGCAGATGCGATATTCGCATCAGAGAGTCATTCAAAGCTTTTAACTAGAAAAAATCGTGGAGGATTGTTGCACGTATCAAGCGATGCATTAAAAATTTGCCAAATTGCTGAAAATGTGTTCAGGTTTTCATTCAATCCACACCACACCGCGTTGTAAACAAAATGGTTATCAGCAGTCTAAGAAAAATAAATAACAGTTACAGCCCATTTGGGTTTTTGGATAGGCATATATTGAATCAAAATCCGCTAAATAATCATATCTTACTACTTACATCTTTAGTTTTAAGAGTATATTTTCCCATACGTGTTCACCACCAAAATACACATATAAATCAAATTAGGACTAGAGTAAGGCAGTTATATACCAATTTAGTTCAAATAAAATACCAACAAATTCGATTAAAATAGTTAACAGCTATATGTTATCTTTTTTTGCTACTAAAATTTAGAATAAACATGGCTAAAGCAAGCTGCAGAACGTACGTCTGCCCCGCGATGAACAGTTGGTTGCCTATCCTATCTTGACAACAGGCGTTTATAGTAAAATCTACGTTACGCGCGGTCTAGTTATAACAAGTCTCTGAGTTAAACATCCCTCTCAAAACGTCAAATGTGACAAACGTCAGACCCTCGCGTAAGGTTGCCAGCTCACTTCTACGTGATTGGTTGTAGGTTTGTGACGTATTTAGTCTGAAGCGTTTCAAATTCGGACTAAAACACAACTTTTCAATAATTTATTTTGAGTTTATTTTACTCGCAAATAAAAATTGAGGACACACGGGTCTTTTTATTTTTAATGTACTTTGTGGATCAAAAATAAAAAATGAAGGCGGGATGACCCCATTATACTTATATTATTATATAAAAAATTATTGCAATTTAAAGTTTATGCCACATCGGTAGACAGTACCTATACACCGGGTGGTGCACGGTCAGTAAGAACATACTATTTAACATGGGAAATTAGTTTTAGGTAAGCAATATCCGGCCCTCCTGTACATTTTACAGGAAAAACTGTAGAGGTTAAAGTTGTTCAGAACTAAAAGGTGCATACAAAACTGCTTTTACGTGTTTTATTAAGCTTTTGGTATACCCGCAAATTTAAAAATAAATTTCAACATTTCTGTTATTCGTATCAATAAGACTTTTGTTGTTTTATGAATTGCTACTAATAACAGAAATGTTGAAATTTATTTTTAAATTTGCGAGTATACCAAAGACTTAAAACATGTAAAAACGGTTTTGTATGCACCTTTTAAATCTGAACAACTTTAAACTCTACAGTTTTTTCTCTAAAACGTGCAGGAGGGTAGGATATTGCATAAAACTAATTTCCCATGTTAAATCCCTATGTTCCTACTTACCGTGCACTACCCGGTATAAGAATCCGAGTAAGAATCTGAATTAGCTTTTACTGAATGAATAACCTAATAGAATTTAACGGGGGAGAATCTCAAATATGAATTTTTAAATATGTCAAACGCGTGATACATTAATATACTTATCTTTAGTAAGTATATCTCCAATTTTTCTGGAAATTGGGGCCCTGCGTACCACCGTAGTGTATACAAATTATTTTAAATAAATTCAACCGTGGTTTTCAGGGTGGTAAAATTTAGGAGATTTTTGTGTGGCATGTCTCCAAATAGCACAAATCTGGTTTACTCTTTTAGTTTTCATTGAAAGTACATTTTGGTCATCATATATATAAGCAAGAAGTTTGCAGTTTTTGCAACTTTACCTTATTATAGTACGGTAGAAAATTACAGTAGCTGGCTTGGCACATCACCGGCCTAGTGCGACGCCGGTTTGTACCTAATCGCCGGCTTGGAATGCTCGGAATGGTTGCCGACTAATATAATCCATCTACAAGACACATCCTGCCACAAATCAACAATCAAATCACAGCATTATTAAAGTAAAAGTTATGCAATCGGAATCGGATGCAGATTTGTGAAGAAATTTGTCTCGTATAGATGAATGGTTGCCACCTTTTAAACCTAGTGTACAGTAAAAATTTATAGACAAAAATAGAGATGTGGAATATAAAACACTTGAACGTCACCGTTACTTTTTTTCAAGTTTAATTAGATGCACGTAATTTAAAATTTAATAATTAATCAATAAATCCGCTTCGCAACCTAAATAGTGCCAAGAATTTAAAATTTATTTCTATACATGTCGATGATGCGCTTTAGACTATTTAGATGCACAATATGTTTAACGGTAGTTACATTATTACATGTCGGGAACAATTTGAAGGCATTTTCAATCAATCTTCTGTAAAAAAAAGCGCTGCACCTAGGGTAATTATAATGTAATTAATTGCTATTTAATGTAGGTACGCTTAGAGTTGTTATAGTTTTTAATAAACCCATAAAGAGCATTTATAAGAGCGGCAGAGCACCTCGGTCATTGAATCGGAGTCATTGGATTTGACCCATTTTCAATTGGCTTGTTTACATGTACGCCACATGTAAACAAGGTCAACTGTGCAAAGTTTGAACCAAATCGGTCCAAGCGTTTGACAGTTACCGTGTTCACGGACAGATGGACACCATCGACTCCCCTATAAAGCTTGCATCGCTTTGCTCTGCCGCTTAATAAACAGTTAAAGGCCGTCTTAAAACTATTTATATAGGAGATACGTGTCGTCCAGGCACAAATATTCGCACTTAAAAGTTTTAACATCACCATCACTAATAGATATGTCTCGGCCGAGGTCTCGGCTAGACATTCCAATAAACCCCTTTGTGAGTACTTTCATCTGTCACTCCGTTCTGGAGATATGAGGAATCATAACCGAGGGAAATCGATGCTTTTCTTTCAGACCTTTCGTACATATCATGGACCAAATTCGGATGTCCATTGTTTGTACTGTGTTGCCTCGGTGGAAATATGTCCGTGATCAAAAAAGCGAAAAGCTGCTGCTTATGCATATGCAACTCTTTCAAGAAAGTCGAATTGATACATTGATGCCAAATTCAATTCCTGCCTCAGAGCGCCTTGGTGTGACACTTCGATTCTTGTCTGACCAATATTGCCTCAGAAAACCTACTAAGACAGACAATGAATTTTTCTTCTATAGCTATAGGTATTCAAATTCAACGAATCCATTTAAATTCTTGATCTAGTGGTAAGAATCTAGATACAGGCGCCGCGCCGTCGCTAGATCTTAGATTTTAGCACAAAACGATTTAATACAACTTCGACGGTTAGATCAGAATCATTGACGTCAATAGCGTCAATTAAGATAATTATTGTAGTTTTTGCAAATAATACATGTGGGAAAACTCGATTGTTTACTTCTTCAATTATCTACCAGGTGGTTATACTCGTGTTACAGTCACAGGCCCGTAGCTAGGGGGTGGCCAGGTGGGGCTCAAGACTGTGGTCTTACCCCCACTGGAAATTACGATTGATGGTTCCTTTACAAAAATTACAGAGGAAGCCTTTATCAAAAATTTCTTAAGCTCCACCTACAACAATATCGGCCACCCCTGCTACTTCATTCTGGCTACGGGCCTGGTTACCGAGTGCAATATCCCATTATTTTATACTTCGCGAGATTAATAAACTGGTTTAAGAGCCAAGAATTCTTTGCAAGTTTTGAAAAGAGGTCAACACGTTGTTACACTTTATGGACATACCAAAATATTTTCATGCGTCCGATGTGCGGTAGTTAGTTCAATGGGACAACATTTCGAAAGTGTTTGAGCGCGAAATGGTCGGGAGCTTTAAGTCAAATCAGGATGACTGTCAATCATCATTCATAGTTGAAAGGAATTTTTCGCCGAGGATTAACTTATTTTAACTCCATCTATAAAGATAAACGCCTTAACGGTACCGCGTCAATTGCAGAGATAAATCGTAAATTGTGTTTCATGTTTGTACCTAGGTATTGGTATTTACTCGATCCATTGAGAGTTAATTTAATTACATTTCGATTTCATTAATTTAATTTAGTAATGATGTACTTTAACGTATAATAATTATGGTCAATTTCCTTTTCAGATCGATGAGAAAAATCAACGAGTTATGAGCTCCTTTTCAAGGGGTTCTAGGGGGGCGCGAGCCTAACAATATGCGAGAAGAAGAGCTCGAGGTAGCCCTCAAGGTGAGAATTTTCTATTTACTAAAATATACCTAATGTTTCGTTTCTACTGGATGTCAAAACAATCCCACTCTTGTATTTACATCATTCCCGTTGCTTTAATTTTTTGTCAGAGCGTATGACAGGGGTAAGGTGTTACAGGTTTGCAAGTCATCATCATACAAAGAATTTGAACCATAGTATTGAAAGAATGATAATGAGCCAGGCTAAGAAAGTAAACCGTTAATTGTGGTGCTCTTAAGAACGCTCTCATAATTAATTTCATAACTGAATTACGTTGTTAATACCGTCAGTTGAAAGTGATTATACACCATTACTCGATTATTCCACTGTAGTAGCGTAATGGCATAAGTGAAATGTGGACTTCATTGATGATATGGTCTATTGTAAGCTCATGCCCAAGGCATTGATCGTTAAATATAAATCACGCTGTTTAAAAGCGAAATGTAAAAAAATGTTGCTTAAATATCGTTAATTTCGTTTACTGTTTTATGCAATAAAAATCCATTTTGTTGATGAAATAAAGGAAAATGGAATCTTTAGTGAGATCGTAGACATTCAGGGAATTATTACTTTGCATTTTAGCTTTAGCTGATTACGGTAGTCATTCCTAAAACCTAACCCATAGCCTATACCTATAGCTTTTCGCTGGAGTCTACACTTTACGCCATGAGCAACAGTGACCTCACACTAGAATAGCGTATCTTAATAAAATTTCCACTAACGCATAATATGCAGTTGTTACTACTGAACTGAACTAGCGATGTCATTTTCCAGCTATTAATTTTAGAAATCTGGAAAGCGATATTCAAGGCTCAATTTTTTACACGTTACAACCGAAACGTTATATTCAACTGAAACTTTAGGTGGGCAATCGAGTTTATCTTTATAAAGATAGTACCTATAGTTTTTCAATCTTCAAAATTGTGACCCGGCACAATAATAGGTACCTATGCACATTGTCTTTGGAGAAAAATGTTTATCTACTATGAAAGAAATGTCGCAAAACAAACCTACAGTTTAAATTAGTTTGAATTAGTTAAATTGTAAAGTGCAGTGGTAATAAAGACTCCCTGATGTGGCCACTAAAAGCAGTGAATTCACGCAATGATATATAGGAATTAAGAACATACAACCAAACCAATAGCAAAAAAACATGAAAAATTGAAATATATACAAAAAGTAAAGTAAAGCGGTAATACATTCAAACAGGACTCGTGAAGGAATAACGTATACCTGCAGAAAGATCAATATGATTTGCCGATTATAGTAGGTACCTCCTGGAAATATCTCGTCGAACCTATACTATCCTGAATTGGCGCATTAAATGGGTGTGTTGTGCAGAAAATGGCTAGGAAACTTGTTTACGACACCGTTTGGCAAATATTACTAAAAACTGTTAGTAGGTACTCAGCGATTTTATGATGCATTAAATTGTTAAAGCAAATAACACTCTTCTTGATAATAAAGTAAAGACTTTAATTGCGTTTTAGGTCAGTCAACTTGAAGAACTTTACCAATGTGTGTACCGGTGTGTTGGAACCTACTTTCTACTGCATTTATTGTTCTAAGCTTCTAACGCTAATTCAGTTAACTTTCTTTTATATTGCAAGTGAGTTGCAAGAAATGCAATTTAACTACTTGCTCAAATATACACTTGATGTGTCAAAAGTGTCTGGTAATTTATATTTATGGTAACAGATTAGAATTTCCGGTCCTATTCTCAGCATTATAAAAGGCTTACTCTTGCTAGGTACCATAGGGCATGATTTTTTGTACCTGTAGATCAAGACGCAAATGAATTGTTAACTGTCATTCATATATCAAAATTAATTAAAAATAGTACGTGTAATGCTTGTTGACATACTCAGAGGCGTACAAGAGAGGCGTAAAATAATTTCAAATTTTTCTGAATATTCAGTCTGTCACTCTCGCAATATGTAGCGCATACTCTATAGAAAGTCAGAGAGACATCGAGTCGCCACCAGGTGCCACTAGTCGAACAATTTAGAACTACATAGATGAGTTCACCACCGTCGATAAGGAAAGAAGTCTGATGTGAGACGTTATTCCGAGAAAGTCAAACGTTTAAAATACTAGTGGGAGATTTGAGAGTATAAGTCAACTTTCAAGCGTATTCAAGTCACATTCTCAATTTGGTTGATTCAGTTCAGTAAATTTACCAACATTTTGAAATTACCAAGCCTATACTTCGACCACCCTGTATACTTTCTACTATCAAACCATGCGCACTTCCGAAAAAATTTCGAAAAAAAAATTCGAAATAGATACCTATACGGAGGTACATACATGTCTTGACCATTTCATTCCTCGATTATCGATAACTTCACTGTTGAAAGCTGCAATAGCTTTTATGACATGGTATAATAAACTTTTATGATAATTACGGCATAACCTGGAAAGCCTTAGTACACGGGCTAATGGGGAACGATTACTTTCTGCCACATATAGTGTCTCGATGAGTGTTACCTATGTAGAAAAGTTGGTTGATACAGGGGAGCTAAATAAATCATTTGTTTTATTAATTCCAAAATGGTACGCTAGTTCTGGAGCCCCAAAAGTCTTAAAACTGATTATGTACCACATATGACATAGAAGAATGGAACGACTTTACCAGTTCTTTTTATTATAAAAAAAGTTGTGTTCAGATATAAATTACTGTCGGATGGATAGAAACACATACAAAGCGTGGACAATCGCGCATTTTACAACTTAATGGAAATGCGTTCAAAGGCGGATCTTGAGGAGTTCTAAACAAACGTCAAGGTGTGCGGTAAGCATGACTCAGTGATCAAAACATTTCGTTCCAAAGCATAGCAAGGTGCCGGTTTTCCAAATGAATATATATTACTTATAGGTGTAGATACCTAATAAACCGTTGAAACTTGAAGTGCCAGTTCAAAAGCAAAGAATCTTTTAAAAGAATAATATATTGATCTTCATGAATAATGGATACACTCGGTCAGAAGAAACATCTTGTAATTATCATCTAATTAAAATCACCTTGCCTTGTTTTAATAGCGTGACTATAATAAATTTATAAGCTAACTAAATTCGCGTACTTACTTGAATAGTAATTATAAGTACCTTTTTCATGTATGCCATTTGATTGCGTCGATATATCAGTTTTGGAATTTGACTCTACAAATATAGTAGGTATCTAACATTCTCTTTGACTTCCTAATCAAGTGGCCTAGGTACCAGCATTGTTTATTAAATACCTAATAAGAATTGTTCATTATTACAAAGTTTGTTCGAAAAGCCGTCTACGAGTACAATCTCATTTTAATGGATACAGACGAACGAACATACCGCAAACAATGGCATTTTTGTGAAAAATGCTGTCAAACCTAATCACAGAGCAAGATTAAATCAAACTTTTTCTTTGCAGGTGGTTATCGTAGGAAATGGTGGTGTAGGAAAATCTAGCATGATTCAGCGATATTGTAAGGGCATTTTTACGAAGGATTACAAGAAAACCATAGGTGTCGATTTTCTGGAGCGACAAATCGAGTAAGTAACATTTTTACTATAGACTATAGGTACTTACATTTTTCTTTGATATTCGAATAAATGATAAATAATAAAGTTAGTATGTATCAAGGAAATGTTAGTACTAATATGTAACCACTAATACACTGCACAGCTGTGATGTATTAATCCAACTTTTATTGATGGAGGCAGCTGTAGGCAGCTTGTTTGCTACCGTCTCAGAGATAATCTTTGTTGTATTTGTATGTAACACACTTTTTGTATTTATTTTCTGTTTGAAGCGTTAACCTACATGCTAATAATAAAGTTCCACAGAAATTAGAAATATAGCAATTTGATCAGATTTCCATTACGGTTGAATTAATTAAGTTCAATTCTTCTTTGTATTCATTTTAAGCCGTAAAATTCATAGTCACTAAACATCCACAGGGATTCCGTTTGATTGGAAAATAGAACTCTCTCAAAACGAGCATGATTGCTTCTTAAGTCAAACGTAAAGCTTGATACGATACTCAAGTGGTGGATATCGATTAATCTTATGACGATTTAGATGATAAAATAATTTAATACACTGTATAATGCCAGAGAAGATCATATTTATGATGAAATGAATTAGATTGGTTTACTACGGGATATAACTTGCCGAGAGAATGATAGTTTAATTCCGTTACTAAAAATGTATCAAATTTAGTGGCTTACCCAATCATGTAGAATAGCTGAAAAGTGTGACGAATTACATTAATTATTGTTCTCGACCAAAGCCGAACAGTTGGATATGAAATTCATGAGGGAATTCATTTCCAAACCACTTGAGCTGTAAGAATTATTTTATATAGTAGCGGCTAAAGAATTGGAAAAGCTACAAAGTGGAATTGTTTGGTTTGCCAAACTGAATCATAGAACCGAATCGAAAGCTCCAATTATTCATATGGTCAATTTAAAGTGAAATATGAAGATCTAGACATTATATTTATGTGCTTCCAACATCTGTCCCATTTTCATTCTTCACTTTCATAGCATCTGCATTATCTGCGCTATTCCACTTTTCTGTCAGTTCTGCAACTTACAAATGTACCCCCTCACTGCTTTTGGAGTATACCTACGAGTACCTATATTCGTAGTATATTATATAATTGATAGTTTCAATTTCAAGTACCTATCCGATTTCAATAGGGAAAGCCATTAGGCATAGCGGAAATACAAACTAGACGAGACTTCATTTTCTGCTCCACTGCTACTTGTGAAAATGAGACCCGTGATTTAACGCCTTTTTTTATTATAGGGTGTTAGATGTGCGTTACACAATAAATTTTCCACAAAGGAAACGCCGGAATTACACCTTTTATTTACAGAAATAGGCATTAAATACACAAATTTTTATTTTGGCAGTAGGTTAGCTCTGACGTTCATGCGTTTTAAAAGCATTAATTTCATATATAATTTTAGATTATTTTAAAAATTCTTAGATGAAACTTTGTGCCAATTCCTAAAAATAGATATTAATGATTATTTCGAAGAGATAGGGAATTATATGATGCAATTTCTCTTGAAACCTAAACACGCTCTTACTCTTTCAATATAACGGTACTGAAAATAGCAACCGTGTTTCTTTATTTTTGGTTTACTGTTTACTCTGCAATTATCAATATTGGTTCACCTATTTTATCCGCATGCGCATGTGCATTTTTGCCTAACAAGTAATTTGCCAGAGAAGCGCTAAACTATCATTACGTAAACGTTGATCGACCATCTGTACTCGATATTGGTAATCAACGCTTATAAGACTTCCGCAATTGATGTCGAGATACCCTCAGCTATGTACCTACTGCTTTAGACATCTTGAATGTTAGTGTTTAATACGAAGCTGCCGGAGAATTGAAACGTTTTGATTTACCTATTTAATGTTGTATAGACAGGGTATAGAAAAATTTATGATTTTGTTTATGCAGGTAGAGACTTTATACTCAAATAGTTTTCCCATAAACCTAGTAGCATAATATTTATAAGATGGTAAGAAATAAAGAAATCAATACGAATGTACCTACAGATTAAAGTTTGGTTGGTAGGCGCAAAATACAATTTTGAACCTGATGTCAGATTTGCTTTTATTCCAAGTGCAAGTATCAAATTTCATTTAAATATCTTCATAAATAAATAAAAGTTCGGTTCATAAATGATCGAGATGCGAATGTTGAATCGATTAGACTCAACTTTTGGAATTGCGTATTATATGGCTCGAGCTCTGCCCATATTGAATTTGAAGCTATTTGGTTCAAAATGTCAAAAGGGCCTTCCTTATCGAACTAAACGTTCATTGTGCGGATAAATGGTAATAAAATTGGCATTCCGCCATTCCTGTAATCCATCTTAACAATTTATATATCTTGATGAAACTAGCCCTCTGTCACTGTATCAAATCAAAAAACATTGTACTTTACAAATAAGTATTAAATTTGCGCTAAAAAAACTCACTTTCGATTTACTAAAAAAATGAGATGAACATTTTTGTGTGGCACTTTAAGTCACAGCAATGTGATACAAAGCGTTCTATTGTGGAGATAAACGTCATTTTGGTGTAGGCACTAAATAAATATATTAGTAGTAAAATTACTCTTTTTCAGAGTCGACGGTGAGGAAGTACGACTGATGCTGTGGGATACCGCGGGCCAAGAAGAATTTGACGCGATCACTAAGGCTTACTACAGAGGCGCTCAAGCTTGTGTACTTGCTTTCTCGACGACTGATCGAGATTCGTTTGAGGCTGCACACTCTTGGAAGCTAAAAGTATGTATACATTGTGTGTAAGATGGTATATGTCAATTGTTTTTGAACAAATTTTCTGTTATATGAATCAATCACCGTCACCAAGGTTATTAACATACATTACATAGTGTCTGAATTGCGTCTTGATGCCTTAGGATGAAGTTGATTTTAAGAATTGAATAGGTTTAGGCGATGGTACCTAACTATAATAGTCAACAGCAATAACAGTTTTGTCCTGCACCGTTTACAGTTCCATTATAATTTATGGTAACTCATTCAACACATCCGTCCCGTCTTACCATTAGTACGCGTAATTCGCTGAACGGACCTTATGCATACTGTTATTCATACGGAATGTGTAAAGGGTGTCCCAAATTAGAAGGTGACTATTGGGATAGAACTTTTTCTTAGTTTTCATCTTAAATTGGACAGAACATTAACTGTAAAATTATGTTACTTTACGCGATCGTATAATCTTTGAAATTCTTTTGTTCTAGGCAATTAGCATTAATAAAAATTTACCCTGGCGATGGTATTTTCGAAGACAATAATGCAATTATACCAACTGGTTTAAACGATTTGTTTTTGCTTTAAATCGGAGTCTATTGGAACAGAGAATCTTCGTTCTTTAGATTGGAAAGCTCCTTCTATGTATGAAGGCAGTTAAACTTAAAACTGTTAAACAATCAAGCCAATATCTAAGTAGTCAGAACATATACACCTTTTTCTCTTTCTTTTTTTGGCACTTAAATTTCATTCATTTATAGTAAGTACTTAATCTTACATGCAGGGTGTTTTTTTAAGATGGGCCATACGACAATGTAAAGGCGTTGAATTATTTAAAATGGGCTATAGGGAAATTTACATTGCGCCAATTGTTTTAGTCATAGATTCCTCGTGAATCATCTGCCACAGTACTGTAGAAATTGTTTCTATAAATAAATAAATAAAACTCTGATATATTTTCTTTTCAGGTCGAGAACGAGTGTGGCGAAATTCCTACTGTGATTGTTCAAAATAAAATTGATCTTGTGGATCAAACCGTTGTTAACCCGTAAGTAGAAAATTAAAATATATAGTAGGTATATATACCGCGTCTGTGATTTATATGACGTAACAGGGCCGGCTGGCCCATGCATATGCGGCAACGTCAGGTGAACATGTTTTTGCGCATGTCATATTGTGACGATTGGTATATGGAGGGGGGGGGGGGCTTCAGCAGTATATGTATGAGCCGCTGCGATGGGTTTTGCAGATAATAGAGTTATATAGTTTTGCAAATTCATTTTTTTGCTTCTTTTTTCTTTTTCGCGTCTCTCTCTGCCCGCCGTTTGTGATTTTCCCAACCGGAGGGTTTCTTTTTGGGCGAGGACATTTTCTTGTATTTTTAGCGCATTTTCTCACGAAGTTGGGTACGCTATTGCAGTCACTTTGTCTATCCGTCCGTCTGTCCGAGGCCGTAACTACTCTTACAGTTTTCAAGATATTTAGTTCGTTCTTTGTGCATTCGGTAGCGTATAGCTCGTGCTAGGAAGCTAAAAATGGGATAGCTATACACACATTTTTTGCAGAAAAACATGCGGTGTATTTAGATTGTATCTATGTGTGAATAATTTGGAAATTTTATTTATCAAATTAAAATGCACATTTTCGGAAATGTGTTCTTTCCGAGGAGCCTATTGCTCCTTTGTGTTCTAAGGCGATCGCCTCACCTCGCCCCTCCTTTGGGCCGGCCCTGTGAGTAGGTACATAATATTCTCGAAACGGTTAGTGTTTTCTAACATAAAGTCATAACGAATAATAATTAAATTAGGTTAACAGTACGATCTCCGAAGCTATCCCAGCCCCCAGGAAACAACACAATGTAAATAAAGTGCTCACAAATAAAAACAGATCAATTTAGATAGTAAGTACAGTAGAACTGACTCGTTTTGCAAACCGAACCTATAATCCCTAATGGAATCCCTAATACTCTTCTCTCTTCTTCCCACATCTTCTAGAAATTCACTCCTGCTTCCCCTTGTCCTTTCCACTTTTTTGTAGTGCCATATAGCATGTGCTCAATGTCCTCCTCTTTTCATCTCCACCGATTCTACATTTTCTATCTTCATCTTTTCTCCACTCCACCTTCCATCTCTCCTCATTTCCGCATCTGAACCTCTATATTATTTTAATATTTTTTCTTCCCTGCCATAAGTATTTCGGTAACCACTCCTTTATTAGTTCCTTGTACCTACCGTTTCCTCGTGAGTTCTCTATATTCACTCTCTGGTACTGTGCACCAATCTCCCTTTTAATCAGCTCATCTTCCATCCTTTCCCCTATATTTTTCCTCCTTTCGCCCTCACCCGGTTCGTATCCATTTCTTTCGTAGTATTTTTGCCTTTGTTTTTCCCACATTGCTTTTGTGTTCATCCTTGGTTCACGAATGCGCTTTCTCTTTCAATCCTTTCCTGGAATCTTACCGTCCTGTGTCCCATTTTTGTTTCCTCCTCTAATATATTGTATAATTTGGTGGCCCGCTTAGCCCCATTACTCATTTATAATACCTGCTTTGTATTCCCTTCAGTTCTACTCATTCCTTCCATCCCCATATCTCAGTTTCAATTAAACGGCAATATGTGCCCACAACGCGTTATTTTTATATATAAATTTCGGGCTATTGAGAATAACATACCTGGTAGGTACAAATTATCAGTTTGCAGTTACTAGAAAATATGAACTAAAAACTAGAAATGCACAGCGGTTGCAAAAGTTCATTTTCAATGTGGTTGGCGGTTGCATCTTGCATGTATAGCAATCTGTATGTACCTGGTACCTACCTCATAATTACTGGTCTACGCAATCGGCACTGATTCTTGTACCTCTCTGGTTTACAATACTTTTATAAATAAAACGAAAATAAGTTAACTCGCAGAGCAGTTTAAATTTAACCCCAACACTATAAATATATATGTTAGGCGCAAAGACCGAAAACGGCCATTGAGCGAAAAAAACGGCCACAACGCGTTTTGGGTAATTTCAATTGACCACGAAGCGTTCTTGACGTTTTTTTCGGTTTGTGGGCGTTTAAAAACAGCCACTTCGCGTTCTGAATAATCTAACTGTACCATTACGCGAATTCGTGTTGCGGCTCTTAACTGTTTTCAACCACAACGCGTTCTAAAAATACCAAATATGTAGAACCCATTGTGACTAGTTTTTCCAATAGCTACGACGTGATTATTAAACATTCTGGGTAGTTTTTGTGAAACGGGAGGAAACTTTATTAGCTTAGGAACCACAACTTACAGAGAGCTACATACGATTTTTTGATACTATCTCTTCCTTGCGTAAGTGTTCTTTATTTATTTTTGCAAGAGCTGTTGGAGTGGCATTTTGAGTTACATTTCACGTCTTTGGATTTGCACTTGCACTTTTTGTCGCTGCAGTATCGCTTGCAATTGCAGCTGACAAACCCCTGTGTGCTTCCCGACGATTTCCCTGAAGCGGTCCTGATGGTTACCGTATTCGTTGGTACGTCGTTCTCATCCATGAACGTGTTAACAGGCGTGAACTCGTTTCGAGAACAAAGCCGTTGAAGTTCGCCCTTCTTCGTGCCTAGTTTATAAAGCCCAGAGGAGTTGACGCTCGTTACAACTGCTATGATGTTCCTTGGAGCTGTGCGGCCGCGATCGACGTCTGGAACTCTAATGGCAACGATTTTTTAGAACGCGTTGTGGTTGAAAACAGTTAACAGCCACAACGCGAATTCTCGTAATGGTACAGTTAGATTGTTCAGAACGCGTAGTGGCTATTTTGAAACGCCCACAAAGCGAAAAAAACCTAATGAACGCTACGTGGTCAATTGACATTACCCAAAACACGTTGTGGCCGTTTTTTTCGCTCAATGGCCGTTTTCGGTCTTTGCGCCTAACATATACATACATTGAAATTTAGCAAAAGAGTAGGTATGCTTGAAACAAGAATAGGTCAACTTCCGAATTAATGTATGCATGCACGTCACAGACTCATAAATTTATTTCTATGCATTTATTATGCAAAAAAAAAGATGTCTTCATCGTCTGTCGTTTATTATGTAACATATTCATAAAGATTTTCTTAATGCGGCGAAAATTTGGCTAAATAAAATGCAGCAGGAAATTAAAAATTTATCGAAACATGACCCTTCATAATATCATAGTTACCATAATACAAGAGTTTTAATATTAACGTAACCTGTATGGAAGAAAGCGGCTAAGCTATTGGGTTCAGGTACTTATCAACTTGTATATTGAGACTTAAAAGCGCGTTTTTATTTATTAGCATGACCGTTTATATCTACAGATTGGCCACTGAACACTTCTATCTGTATTTGAAAAAAAAGCAATCAGGACACTATATTTGTTAATTTTCATTTTTTCTTTTATATCCAAACAAGTCCGCAGCATGGAGTAGTGAGTCCATCAGTGCCGGTTTAGGAACATTTTCTCCCTTTAAGCGCCCACCCGACACCTAAAAAATCCTTTATTAAAAAATTAGTCTTTAATAGAAAATAAATGGAATAGTATAATTTCACGAAAAATAAATTATTTGTGTTTTTAGATAGGTAACAAAAAATGACCATCGAAGCAAAGCATGCGTCACCATTTACAAATATGGCTTTAATATTTTAACCCTTGATTTTTATTAATTATTAATCTAATCAATTACAAGCAGGGATCAGAGAAATTGACCTCATTACTAAATTGCAAATATGTAGTTCTTCCGGTTTAGAATTAAGATGTTTATTGGAATCTACTGCGTTTTGGGTTTTCCATTTCGTGTGACCGCAGTAATGACCTTGTTAATACTTACTAGTCTGGGAATTGTTCATGTAAGGAAATAAGTAGTTAAAGTACAACTGTAGAGCAGACAACGCGTTGAATAATGGCTCAAGTGCAATTAATTCTGATCGCAATTTTTGTGATCTGCAGTTTACGCAACGTTCACTCTGTTCACCACTTTGATCTGCCCATAAATGACGACATAGTGCCCGTCAATACAAACGATGATATTATTTTTAAAAAACTACTGTTTCAGCGACCAAGGCATGGTATACCTTTCAAAAGGACGCGTCGCGCAACGGCAGAGAGTATCCCGATTTTGACAAAATTGAAGATCATAACCAATTTTAAATGTATTATATAAGAACGATAATGTCTAATGTGATTTGTGCAATGCTTTGGAAACCATCAAGTCAATTTGTCGCATTAATATTTACGATTTGAAGTTATTGCTGTGCAAAATAATATCGATATTAAACTTGGTAATTGCAAGTGAAGTAGGTAATAATATATTTTCGCTCCTACCTATTAGTGTGTCATTCTGTCATAAATAAATTTTGTTGACATTAAAATATCACTGACAATTATTATTATTTTATGTTTTTTGTGTAAAAAATAAACCAGACCGCGACCATGACTGCAATGTATTTGTTACTTACTTACAGTGAAAAATCGGGCGAAGCCATATTTTAAATTACAATTTTGACAAAAAAATACGCCGTCTTACGTGAATAGTCGGACGAGTGTTGCAGAATATAAATAGGATTTCTAATGTCAATATTTGTCACGGATTGATTGATGTTTTCGTATAGCAAAATTAATAGTTATTTTGAGTGTGGTACCACCGTCCACGGACATACACACCTGGCAATAAATTTTATTGATCATTCGGTCAAGAGATGCGGGGACTTCGCACATGAAATGTTTTAAAATTTTGCATTGATTTAGAATCCATTTGACATTCTACTTCAGTTCCATACTTTGTTGCTAAACTATTAACCGTTTTGACTTTATTTAGTTCAAAAGCACGTTATCAATTAGTACTAAAAGTTTCCGAATGCTAGATAAATACGTAACATCACGTAATTTATCATTATTTCAAAATTTTCAAAGGAAACGTTCACGCCGTGTGGTCACATTTTTGGCATCCTGAGTCATTACGAAAACACCTACGGGGTATTAAAAATATTTGCATTCGTAGTCTTTCTACCTAAAATTGATATTGTAAATGTCGTCAAATATCAATAAAGCTGTTAAGTTATTATCTTCACAATGCCATTTTTTTATTTTCGGTTTTTGAAAAATAATAAAAATTGGATAACGGTCTCTTTTTAACAAGACTGTAAATATAAATCCCTGTATTATATTTCATTTGGCATCATAAATTTGCACAAATAATATGCGTGAGGTGTGACATCGGCGCCCCAAATTTCAACAGATTTTGTAATTGTGTAGGTAGATTATTTCATTGTCGTTTCTATCGAATAGCTAGTTTCGATCGGCGTGCCTAGTGGCAGTTGGTTTCAAGAAAACTCGCCCCAGAGTATTTGCTATCAAAAAATCCACCCTCGGAAAAATGACCGGCAGTATCTTCGCCAAATCGTCTGTGTGGTGTCACACTATGCGTTTTTACCGCTTTTACATCTACTTGTTATACTATTGCGGTCTAACCGGATGCGTTACCTATGTTTGCTATTTAGAGTTTAAACTGAGGTGATATTATCATCCCGTCAAACAGGAGAGTGTTAGCAGGAGCTGTAAAAACGCATAGTGTGACACCACACTTAAACTACCGGAAAGTAAAGTCACCACCATCGATCCTACGCCAGCTCTGGTAAGGACTGTATCACACCGCTAGAAAAACATGGGCGAAAATCAATTTTTATTAGTGCATTTTTTAACAATTAAAAACCAGTTGCCAAATTCTTGACAGAACAGCTTCCTAGCTCAATCCGAAAATAGCGCTTTTAGAAGTTTAGACAAGAACGTTTCCCACGAAAGTTTATTATTTTCCGATGTAGAACATTCAAGGTTTCTATTTGAAAAAAATTAAGTTGCCCCACCTACACCCCAATTCGTCTCGTGTATCCAGTTGAACCCCCATAAATCATTCCACAAACTAATTCAATACATTCTATGCAAAAATTCTTGCTTCAAAACTATCGTACATGTATAACTGTTACCACCGTAAACCGTATTTATTTTTGTTTATTCAATTCTATTGTCATACTTGGAAAAAAACAAAGTTTACCCCTTAAATTAATAATTCTAATTAGATCGCGATAATTGATTATTTTTAATGATATGTACATTCTTTCTTAAATACGAAATTCGCGTGGCGTTTGCATCTTCTTTTGTGTGCTCTTTTTGAAAAAAAAAGATTCTACCTTGTTTTCCTTACAATAGTAACTTTTTCGACAACAGCCATAGCACGTTTAAAACACCAGTTCTACGCCGCCCGGTCACCGAAGTTTAGCGATCTAGGGCGCGGTTAGTACTCGGATGGGTGACCGCGTGCCGTTGTATCCCTTTTTTTTAATTTTGCTCATGTTTGTCTATTGATTTTAGATTTTATTAATAATAATAGTAATTCCTAATTAGAATTAATTTAGTCTTGCCAAAAAAAAATATTTTAGTTTTTTAACTTTGACATTTTTTTTCTCAGTTTTCTTGTAATAAAACCTGGCACAATTTTTATAGGTTGTACACAGAAAAATATTTTTCGAATAGCTTAAAAAAAATTTTAGATTGCTATTTGAAAAAAAAAAGTTCGATGCCGTTGCGGCGACGGCGCTCCAAAATTTTTTTCGTAAAATCCGGCTCTATATTTTTCGTTTCAGTATGTTTAATATACATATCCAAAATTTGAACAAAATTCGTCGAGCCGTTACTTCGGAAAATTGCCAACGTACGCACGTACGAACGTACGCACATACATACAGACGGAAAAAAATTACTTCCCGAATTAAAGACGAATTTCTTAAGATCAGTTCGTTTTGGTGTCGAATCTTCTTGAACGCGAATTTGCCTAGCGAATACCTGGCGGAGGAGTATTCTAGCGGAAGCGACTTATATTAATATACTAGGGTGAAATTTTTGAGCGCGAAAATCCCGAAGGTGAATCTTCCGGGGTGTATTTTCCAGGGGCGAATTTACTTTGGGGACGAGTTTTATTCGGGGCAAATATGCCGGGAGCGAATTTTCTGGAGTAAAATCTTTATACAATCGTAATCTGATCACATTGACGATAAGATTTCATTTGTTTTCATACTACGGGGTGATCTGCAAACAGTACAATTTTACATAATTAAGTGCAGATTGTTGAAATTTAGTTAGTAGAAATAGCGTTGTATCATCAGAAGATCGCTTTCTTTTCGCATTTTGTCTACAGAACTAAATAATAATAATATACCGATAATTTAATAAGAATAAGAATTTAAAAATATACGTTTTCATATAATCGTTTCTACCGACAAAAATAAAAAATAAAAATAAGAATTTAAAAATAAGAGTTGCAAACTTTCAACTTAAGAATAAGAACCTGCGAATAAGCATGCGCAATTTTCTTTAAGGCGAGTTTATTATGCTCACAAAAAATAAAAAATACAATATTTTGACGTGACGTTGCCGGTCCGTGACGTGACGTTGACGTTCCGTAAAATGCGAATCGATCTTTAAGGATAACAGACAAAATCAAAAATTTGAAATTATTGAATATATGTACAGGTACCTAGAATACGTAAATGATAATGTACGTATTTTCAGATTTAGATCAAAAGCTTAAAAACGTCAGACATACACAAGGCGACCTTCACAAGTGTAGAAAAAAAGTTCATCCCAAGGCCTTCTTCTGTACAGTAATTAGGCATTTTGGAACTTTTCCAACGTTTATGCAAGCCACTTTCTTGCAACAATAAACAAGATGAAACATATTACTTCTAAACATAGGTTTATGAGAAATGGTTTAAACGTAAATAGGCAAGAATCTCGACTTTGGCAATCGTCGATTATTTTGCTGGGTCCCACTCGTTTGATGTTCGATGCCGTAGACCCGCGTTTAAAATAGCAGTCATCTCAGTATTTTTGTGTAGAAAAATTATGATCACTGCAAAATTAGTGGAACATCATAGCGTGACGATTTCTCGAATAATCCATTTTAAAATACATATTTACGTAGGTACTTTGCTAGGTTAACAACTTTCTTGTAATAATAATCGTCTTTGTTTACTTTAACTTCAATGAAAATTTATTTTTACTGTAGGTTAATATTCAGATAATTCAAAAGTAATTGGGGTATTTACACTTTTTTAGAACAGAAATCGCAATTTATCATAATGAATTTGGTTAGCGATAAACGAAAATATGAAAATGTGTAATGTTATCCAACAGATCCAAAAATATCGACCATTTTTGAGTCTTTAAGGGTAAAAGTACTTTGTGTCTAATTCAATGCATATTTATGATTTATCTTCAGATAGTAACTTTGAGTGCTCTGCTCTGTCATTAAAATTAAATTAGACTGTATGTCTTTTATAATAATCTGTGTTTATCGAACTCCGACTAGTGATTTGATTTAATCCATTTTCAATAGGTTTATTACTTGTGGCATATAGGCCAACTGTACAAAGTTTGAACCAAATCGGTCCAAGCGTTTGAGAGTTATCGTGTTCACGGAAAGACGGACACCATCGACTCCCCTATAAAGCTTTCATCGCTTTGCTCTGTCGCTTAATAAACGCTAAAACCATTGACAAAATACATACATGACGTTTCGATACTATGTACATCTAAGCGGTAGATATTGGGAAAAAAACAATTCACCACCTTTGTCGAAGTCATAATTATTTAGTCATTCATATCATGATAACGTGTTCAGACACGCCGCTCTAGCAGACATGAATTATGACATGTACGCTAATGGTCCCGAAGTGGCATTCCCACCGTATAATGGGCAATCGCAACATGATTTTGAATTTTGAAAATTGCAGAAACTTTGGATTCTCCAGGCCAACATTACCTATAAAAATTGTTTTTCGCGGCCCAATTCGTTCAAGATTTTTTTTCCACAGAATTGTATTTAGCAATTATAGTAACACAATTAGTAACACTTGAATAAAAAAAGACTCAAAATATTATAGAGCGTGACCAAAAAAAAAACCAAGTTGCACAACTCTTGCTTGTAGAGTAAGGTCGGCCTAAATCTGTAAATAAATGTTTGATTTTCTCAGAAAATAAAATGTAACGATTTGGAGAAAGATGATTTTTTAAGCTAATTAGCGTTTAATTAATAGTGATACTTCCAAGCACTTTGCCAACATTGACTGAACACCTGTGCTAGGGATGTTGTTACTAAATTATTAATACTTTTGCTCGTGGTTATCACTATCCATAGAAACAAAACAAATAACAATTTTTTTAATCATGAATAAAATAAACAATGATCGATTGTATAAAGTAATCGTGCTGAATACTCGTGTCTTAGTAACTGATCCTGATTTTGAATAAATAATAAACTTCCAATGAAATCACTGGTACGTAAATTGGAACCTGAATGAAGCTGTTACAATCTTATTAATTGGAGAAATTAATCCTACACTGTATACACATCATCTTGGGCTTTGACATTGTTGAATTGTTGACGGTTGAATGCATTATAGAATGCATTATACAAGTGTATTATACATCGCACATTTATTTTCACTGAAACAACCAATGTTTGTTAATAGCATTAACATTCTGGTTTTTTTGTGTGGTAGGGACCCATAATAAAAAATTTTGAGTTCACTATCCCTTAATGTTTTCTGACTTCACTTATTATATGACTGCTATACGTTATGAAAATGTATTAATATTATCATTACTTCAACGTTAGAACGAACGATAATCATCCTTAGTATAGATTGCCCCATTATGTTTTTACTTCTTATGTCTAATTGTCTATTAGATAAACTATATTTCCAAATCTAACTTGTGCTTATGTTTTTCAGAGAAGAAGCGGAATTACTGGCTCGAGCGTTGGGATGTCGCCTTTTGCGCACGTCGGTAAAAGAAGACATCAACGTTGCATCAGTTTTTCGTCACCTTGCAGCACGCTGCCTCGCCGAGCTGCGAGATTGCCGTGATGATTACTATTCAACCCCCAATGGCCATCAACCCGTTACAATAAGTATGAATCTTTTTCCACGATAATTACGTTGTTACATAATTACCTACGTTGTTACATAAAATTTCAATTACGGAGGAAATTCAAATTGAACTTGGCAATTTTCGTATTTACCTTCGTGATCTATATAGGTGTCCATTCAAAAATAACAAACTTCTATTTTGAGAAGCAAAAAGGCAATTATTTTATTACATAAAGCACTTTTTATTTCTAGATTCATTTAATCCTAGTCAAGCGGATAAGAGTCAACAAAATGGAACTATAGTTCTACGACCTAATAAACACAAGAAAAAGAAGAACGTAATAAAAAATGTCTGTAGAATTTTATGATAACCATCCTGCCACAAACCACCTTGAAGTCACCCCGTGATATTCACTAATTTTAAGATTTTTTAATTTAAGAAGTGTTATTACCTGGACAAACACTATACTTATATAACAATTAGTTGTACATTAATTGCTTGTACTGTTTGCGGGCCATCCTACAATAATGAACACTGTGACAATGTAATTTATTATCTTATAGTAATGTCAGTAGTGTATGTTATTGTTCCTGGCATTCTTTATTTATTTTAAACACTTTTTTAAATGAATTGTAAATCTGTTATCAAATAGTAATGGACCAATCGTCCCGAATTGCTTGAAAGTTGTAACTACGATTTGTCATCATTTTGTGAAATACTCTTATGAATAACCAAATGTATGTAGATTCATTCAATTAAAATATTAAGTTTGTTCCACTTTTTCCTAAGCAGGTTTTCGGGGTTTTAAGGATGCCTGAAGGGGGAAAAAAGCGCGAAAGAAGAGGAAGTTATTAATGATAACTTGTTAAGAAGAAATTAGAGAAAAAAAACCAAATTTTAGAAGTTTTGAAGTGCAGCTTCTAAACGAAACGTATTGAACTATACCTTATGAAAGAATGTTTTTCTTCTCTTGAGAGGAAATCAATGAGAAGAAGACTGTTGACGTTAAAGTTAGAAGACCATTTTTAGCGCATTTTTTAAGAATTAAAAATAATAATTTCGCGCTTTAAGACTATAGGTATTTTGACGAGGCCAAGCCGAGTCTAAATATCAGTCAAATGCGCGAAATAACTTCGCGCTAGAGTTATATACAATATTTTTTTTTACAACTGAACCGGTTGTTAATTAAATTTGCTGTTTAAGTTCAACTTTGTCATATGTGCGAAAAACTTTTTTTCATTGTTGACGGTTTCGCGCACGTTGTCAAGGGCAACCTTAGGTACTTATTAATTAACCGTTTAAAAATCTAGTACTTCGCGTTTCGAAATTCGTCAGAAAATGAGATGATATTTTTAGAGTTATAGAAAAAAAGTTGTTTCTTAACACTATCTTAATTTTTTATTTCAAAACGTGTGTTACTTTCTGGATAGCCCTCGTATACTGATACCATTACAATAGGTAGACAGAAATCTACCTAAAACTAAAAGTATTCTTTGCTAAAAGATATAGCGACATTACTACTGGCATAAGAAATGTAACAGTGGTGTGTTTTCATTCACTAGCGGCTAGTTTACTAGAGCCAGCGTACCTGCATCGTCTCAACGCGGTACCCCGTCATAACAGCCCGGCCAGAATGGCCTTGCCAAAATAGCCCCGCCAAAACAGCCTGCACACAAAATAGCCCCGTCAAAATAGCCCCGTCATAATAGCCTCCATAAATGTTATTCCTATAACTATAAGCAGTGCAGGACTTCGCCTAGATACTATGTATTAGTCCAGTGGCGAGCCACTTGGAGACATTCCGTTGGGATTTAAGTTGTTTTATCCATACGGATTTATTATACCATATTATATCTATTTATAAAGTAGCTTTATAAAAATATGTTAATTATTATTTTTACTTTTCTAATCAAAGTGGTACCTAATACATTTTCTGGTGATTAATTAACTGATCATTAACTTGGTACAATTGCAAATCATAATGGAATGCATTGCCAATTATCAAATTGTGCCCATTAATGTTAGTTTACTACGGTGACTTAATTGCGAGTAGGTACATAGTTCTCAAGGCCAAAAATTTCTAAATTCCTTAAGCATTGGATGGGTGTAATTAAATAATCGACTAGCCCCTAATGAGTTTGAAATCTATATAAAGGGCTGATAAATTGTTAAATAAATCAATTTAGTGTTGTCTGTGTCACGGTTGCCAGTTTTTTGTATAATCAAAGAGTATAATGGAGAAAATAGTGTCACAGAAAGGAAAGGAGTTATTGTTGATAGATGGGCAGCGGTATCGACAAGCTCGAACGAATGCAGATGGCAGCATATCGTGGAGATGTGTTACTCTAAACTGCAGTGGACGATTAAAAGTGTCCAGAGGCGACGTGATTAATGTTATCACAGAACATAACCATGCTCCAAATCCAGAAAAGAACATGGCGGCGGTTAAATGTGTTGCAGAAATGAAAGTGAGAGCAGCAAACTGTGTAGAAAACCCTCGGCAGATCATACAACACTGCAGCAATGGGTTAGCGCTAGGGGCATCAGTTCATTTGACGACGTATACCGCATCCCAAAGAGCAATTGAACGGGTTAGAAAACGTGCAGAGCAGCCATATCCCAATCCAACAGCCGTTGCTGATATTACAATCCCTGCAGCTTTGCAAACTACTTCCAGAAATGCGAATTTCCTTTTATGGGATTCAGGTGCAGAAGACCCTAATCGCATATTTATGTTTGGTACAGAACAAAATCTGAACATCTTAGAACAACATCGGCATTGGTTTGTTGATGGAACTTTTAAAGTTGCGCCAGAATTATTTCTGCAAGTTTTTACTATCCACGCGTTGGTCGAAAACACCTGTATGCCGTTAGTGTACGTTCTTTTACAAGACAAAAGTGAGATGTCGTACGTTCGTGTATTTCAAAAACTGTTGGACTTGAAGATAACGCTGAATCCAATAAGTGTTACGTCAGATTTCGAAAAAGCTATCCATAACGCAGTATCACGCGTGTTTGATGAAGTACAAATTGTTGGATGCTTATTTCATCTAGGGCAGTCTCTGTGGAGAAGAGTACAACTATGCAATTTAACAGAGGATTATCTAAATAATGAAAATGTGCGCCAGCATACCAAAATGCTTTTATCTTTGAGTTTCGTTCCTCCGAACGATGTAATCATGGCCTTCGAAGAATTAGTTGAGAACTGCCCAAACACCTTGGATCCCATAGTGGACTACTGGGAAGATACTTATATAGGACGACTTCGACGGAATCGAAGAGGTGACCCTCGTTTCCCAATTGCAATCTGGAATGTGTACAACAGAGTTGCAGATAGACTTCCACGTACTAATAATTCAGTCGAAGGTTGGCATCGTGCTTTTCAACAAACTTTAAACTGTCACCATCCGTCTGTTTATAAACTAATCGATCAATTTAAGAAAGAACAGGATCATGTTGAAATACTACACACCCGCATAACCGCTGGTATTCAACATCCGGAATCGTCAAAACGGAAGTACGTGCAGCTAAATCGAAGACTGGAGGTACTGACCGACAATTACGACAATACCGCTGTTATGGATTACCTCAGAGGAATTTCACATAATATGGAGATATAACATCATGGTGAATTAAGTTTTGCGATTATTCATTGGTTTTCGGTTTTGGGTTTTATTTAGTGGTTCTAGGATATTTTGTGCGTACAGGAAATTTTTGTATTGTACTTTGTATTTGAATTTTGTATACTTTTTTTCACAATAAAATTTGTTTTCTTTTATTAAGGTTTATTTTGCCGTCTTAAGGAAAGTGCGTACTAAGTAATATAAATTGAACCAGTATTGTTTCTATGTGGGCTATTTAGACGGGGCGATTATGACGGGGCTGTTTTGTGTGCGGGCCATTTTGACGGGGCTATTTAGACGGGGCCATTTTGACGGGGCTATTTTGACGGGCCACGTCTCAACGCGGCTTTCTAACAGCACGTTAGAGAGCTTTACAAAGTTTAGCAGCCAATAAGGTGTTTCCAAGAGCTGCTAATAAATGCTTTCAAATACGCGTAATTTGGTAATTGGTAACAATGAGAATGGACTCAAACTCTTCATTAAATACCACATCATGTGCAAAGTCCTTCTTCTGCAAAAAATGTATAGTATCACATAAGTATTTATGCACATAAATAATTTTCTCAGAATTTATTATTCTATCTTTACATAATATAATAATATCAAATCGTTTAACACGCAAAGGGTAGGTATCTACTCTACCATACTATAGTACCTATAGATAAATTATCTAAAGATAAAAAGTACCTATGATGTCTTTCAATGTTTAATCGTTTTACAAATTAGAAAAGAGAGTAACATTTACTAGTCTTAGGTATATATAATGATAAATATAGGCCTACTTTTTACTACTACTTTGTGGTGTGAATAATTGACTTCAAGTAGGTAGGGTTCAATGTGAATGTAATAATAAAGCAGCCTTCAAAACTGGACATGTCTATGTATTTACAATGACTTATCGAAATATTCCCTGCTCATTAGGTATTTTTAGGAAAATTACTTGTCGCTTACCGCAGGACGATTACAATGTAGTAAATCAAGTAGAAATTTACTAAACACTACTTAGAGGTCAGATTATACTTATAAGATAACTAAATTTTTTCTTAGGGAATGTATTTTAATATAAGGAAATGAGTTGTTTATAATGACTAATGACATCCAACAAGGACGTTTTACCACCACCGTTTCCGGCAACAATTTGCATTAACAAATCAGAATGGGGTATTCTAAGAATGTAAGATACAAGGTGGCATTGGAAGGGATAATGGAAGATTACTAATAAAGTGAAGAAAAACCGATGGTAGGAGCAATTGTTCTACTTTCTTTGGCTTAGAATTCAACTAGTTGTAAACAGTATAGGTTTGGCCATGGCAGTGAATATGTTTGTTGATTTACCTGGCTGCGGCAAGATGCCAGTTTTGGGCTATGGTACGTGGCAGGTAGGCTTTTTTCCCTCATCATTAATGTGTAAAGTCAATTTCAAATTAATTATAGTCGAAAGATTCCGAACTGGAGAATGCGCTGGAATTGGCACTAGAAGCAGGTTACCGTCATATTGACACAGCATACGTGTATGAAAACGAGAAAGTGATTGGCAATGTAATTCACCGGTGGATTTCGGCGGACAAACTTAAACGTACATTAATTCTATTAAGATAGCAAGCATTTGGAGTATATTTTTCATTTTGTAAACAGGCGAAGATCTCTTTTTGGTGACAAAACTTCCTCCAAGTGGCAACAGGCCGGAAGGGGTGGCCAAATTTTTGAAGCGTTCATTAGAAAATCTACGAGTGACTTATATAGATCTTTATTTAATCCATTTGCCTATGGCTTTCAAAGATATTGAAGGAGATTTACATCCCACGACTCCCGAAGGAGAGATGGATATAGATGTAACAACTAATCACGTTGCAATTTGGAAGGTCAGTATACCAAACTTTCATCTTTCTATATTACGTATGACAGTGATGGCGAATTTATTTTTGTTCTCAAGATAAAAGTTGCACGAAAAGTAGCCGTTTTGGCGCGGCTGCTGGCGGTGGTCTGGTTGGTCCTACAGATTTGGTTGTTACATGTTAAATGTATAAAATTTTGTGGACTACAATTTTGTATAGAACAGTTTTTCATTTAAAACGTACCGTTTTTGAGTTATAGGCGAAAATGTAAAAATGCCGCAAATAATTTGCGGTTATTTGCGGCTGCCGCAGTTAGCTCACCTCTGGCGTGTTAGCAAAGTGAAAATTCGGATTCAGCGGTTCAAAATACATATAAAACCGTTGAGAAAAAAACTTCGGGAATTGTTTCCTGGAAACGTCAATTCTGGAACCCCCGTTATTGTACTAATTGGTTAAATTGGCACTGTTTTGGAGTTTTAGATGCTTATTTAAAATTTCCTTGTGGAAATTCCAAAATTTTTCATTTCTTTGAATGTCTTACATCATCGAAAGTATAGAAAAGTTACTGTCTTTGATACGCTTAATTTAAAATGCTATAACACGCCTTTAAAATGGCTTCGCGCAGTTCTGTACGTTAGTATTAATGTTATAGTTGTAGCTACTTCTTTAATGTACATACAATGTACACAATTCGCGAATTGTGGCCTGGGCAGCCCGGTTGCGGCCAGCGACGTCGGAAGTTAATAACGATGGGGGGGGGGGGGAAATCAGCGACCATGGACTCTGAAAGGTCCCTCTCATGCAAAATTGTGTACGAATTCATGCCAAGCAGTGGGTTTTTTAAGTGACCCTGAAACCTGTTTCTTTAATTAATCAAATAATGTATTTTTGAAAGAAAACTTTTGAACAAAAATAACCATTTTTTCAAATAAACCGAGAGCCACAAATGTTTTGTTTGACCCCTCCAAAATCCCCAAAGTTTCATTTCTTTTTAACTTCTCCTGCAGCGTTAGGGTCGTAAATCCTAGCGCTCCCAAGCGAATCTTACACAAGGGTAAAATATCGGTCGGGGATTATCTTGAATCTCGACAACTCGGTACTTCACTTGACCGTTTGCGAATTGATAATGTTTATTGCAGATGCTTATAAGCTATTTATATCACAGACATTACTTCCTTAACCTAGTTTACTTCTATTGTTATTGAGGAAATGCTGACGCCTCGTCCTTGCGAAGCCGAAGACTGCCTACTTTTGTTTTGAATAGGTTTGCATTTTGCTTCCTAGTGTAGCAACTGTTCCGGGTTTGCCAGTATTTCCTTTCCTACTAAAGTTAATTGATATTCTTCCTGGTTAAATTACTGAATTCTGGCGGACGTGGGAATCTGTTCTAAATGAACATCTCTCGTGAACCACAAGCGCATGAGGGCACTATCTTTTGATAGGATATTAGGTATGTTGTAAAACTTTTCCTAAAATTCTTACTCTAAGATGGCGAACCCCTAAACATGGACGAGAAAATAAATCTGATTTCCACGGGATTTGATGTATAGAGTGTTTTTTAATATGAGATGGCGAATCTGCAAGTAGTTTTTGAAATGTCGAAAAAAATTCGTCTATAGGTAATTTTTGGCGGGATGGGAGTGATTTTCACGAAATTTCTGTATTTAAGAAAAAAAACTACCGAGTAGTTCTTGAATGCGTCCTTTGACATGAACATGAAATCAGAAGATTGCGTGAGGTAGGAAGCCCGTAGCTCTAGATTTATTAAATTTAAGTTGAACCAAAATGTAAACATGCGGCCATATGTTTTACTTTTATTCTTAATGTGAATTAATAAACTATTAGTTTCTAAAGGTAATGAGTTAAAAAATTACAGATAGTTAAATAGTCATGTTTTTAACGCATTTTCCTCAAAGTGAAAAATCGCTATTGGTTGCACTTTGTCGTCCGTCCGTTCGTCACACGTACTCCTTCTACACCACTGAACCGATTTGGGCGAAATAGGGTCATTTGAAAGCGCTTGGTCCAAGGATTCCGTGTATACCAATATTTTTGGTTTTGCGCATGCGCAATGTCAAAAATTTGCATTAACGCATGTGCAATGCTAACTTTTTTATTTATGAAGATATTTAAATGAAACTTTATAAGTAAACACTACGAATATATAGTAAAATTAACATACGCATACGCAATGCCAACTTTCTTATTTATGAAAGCAGTTAAATGAAATATCACTTGTAGCCACTTTGAATGAAACTAAAACTAATACCGGTTTCAAAATTACTGTTTACGCATGCTGTATGTTTTATTTATGAAGGTATTCAATATATTCAAAGAAATTTCTAATGTAGACAATGCGCAATGCTATTTACGAAAGCATTAAAAAAAGTTTCATATGTAGACACTTCGAATAAAAGTAAAACTAATGCCCATTTCAAATTTTTTTGTATTTGTATACCTACGCTCCACTATTTTTCATTTTTCAGGAAAATACGCTCTCGTCATGTATGTTTGCGTAGTGACTTTTTAAACTTGTGTTTTATTTCGGTCATATACAACCAGTGCCGGATTAGTTAATTTTGCGCCTCGCATTTTATTCAGAGACCGCATATAAGCCAAACCAAAGTATACATTTTTGCTTAAAAGTAAACGAAAGTGCCAAAAACGCGGATGTCGACCAAATTTGGGACCTGGAGGTAGCAATTTAAGAAGCGGAAGACAAACAGATTTTTGTGACCTGATCACAACAATTATTGAACACCCATTACTTACCTACAATTTTGCTCAAAATTGCAAGCGGAATAAAAAATGTCAAAAATATAATGTTTCATTAAAATAAGAATTGGTGTCAACGTCCGATAAACACAGAAATGTCGCCATATTAAGAATATTTTAATTCAATGCAAAATTTTAGGAAATCGCAATCTGCAAAATTTTGAAGTGGAAAATCAAATAACTACGTCTGAGCTTTCTACCCCTTCGTACCTGGGAAAATTGCGTCAAAATGTACTTTTTAGTATCTATAATTTACTGTCTATGAAAAAAAAATATTTTTAAATGATGAGGTATTTAAATTGCAGGAAATGGAATCGCAAGTAGATGCAGGTTTGGTGAAAGCAATTGGAATATCAAATTTTAATCAAAATCAAATACAACGAATAATAGACCATGCAAGAATAAAGCCAGTTAACCTCCAAATAGAACTTCATGCTTATTTTCAGCAGAAGGGCATGGTTAATTTCTGCAGAGCAAATAATATCTCTGTTACATGTTATTCGCCACTTGGAACACCAGGATTAGGAAAATTTATGGCAGCATTTGGCACACAGTAATTTGCCATTATATTTGAACAGTACATTCTAATTAATATTCCTTTTTTATTATCAGTATGGAGATGCCGGATATTTTAAATAATCCAATGGTGACAAAAATTGCCGCAAAGTGGAACAAATCTGGAGCACAAGTTTTAATAAGGCACTGCATACAAAAGGGCTTAATAGCTATACCTAAAAGTGTTACTGCTTCGCGAATTAAAGAAAATATAAATATTTTTGACTTCAACCTTGACGATCACGACATGGATGTTTTGAATAACCTTGATCAAGGAGCCATTGCCCGACTCTTAGATTTTTCAGCATTTCCTGGGTAGGTCTCATATAATATTTGATACAATTTTTATGTACTTGTTTTAGGATCAAGAAGCATCCTGAATATCCATTTCACTGAAGTAAGTGGATTTTCTAAATGTTTATTACTTAAAATAAGAAAATTTATAATATAAAATATAATTTAATTAAAAATTTTTCTTTTCATTTATTAATTAATAAATAGTCGACAGTGATCTTGAGGGCCAATATGGCACCGACTACGTGTTTGGGTTTTAAGGAGCTTCTTTGGAACTAAATGGCGAGAGGCGAGATAATATGTAGTTCACATGACATGACGCGCCAGACTTGCGCGAAAGTGACGGATACGTGACGAGACGTATGACGATCAGGGAAGGATTAAGGTTTCTGTCCCTATTCCTATACAAACTAGGTTATAATTTCAACAAACACCAAATTTATTCTGATATTTAATCTGTATAAATCATAAATAGTACCTACATCATTAGACTGGGGCCCTTAAGGCGCAGGGCCTGGGGTTGTACCCCCCCCCCCCTTAATTCTAGGCTGATGGCGTTAGCTATATTTTTATCAATATCAGTTGATGATATTCGGTGGTGGTTTTTAGACATGGAACATGTACCCATTATGGGACTCGCAACTGCCGAAATTACGCGAGTTTACATGTCCAAAATATCGATACCGAATAGCTAAAAAGAACTATCGCCATACGTCCCATACACGTACCTGCAAACCTCACTTTGACGCAAGTCTGGCGCGTCATGTAGGTATACTACCCGGCTCAGGTGGCCCTTTAACTACCGAGATGTCCAGATATACCTCTTCTACATACGTAGTAAAAACCTCGCGTTCATTGTTAATGTTACATATTAAATTATACTGTGACTTCCGAATTAGTAAAGACACAGATATACACGTATATCTGTGGTAAAGATTTCGATGTAGAAGTGAAATATGAAAAACATCCAAAGAGACAAAACAGACTTCCTAAAATACGTTTTTTTAATATCTCAATATAGAAAAAAACAAACTGCGAAAAAGAACTAGTTAATATTATATTTTCGTTTCCTGTCTTTTTACGTCACACGTTGAACGTGATGTCCTTTGAATTACTAAGGGCGCTACACTGTGTCTATCTTTATTTCCATAATAAAAATTTAAAAATAACTGTAACAGCTAAACACTACTTTCCCTATCAAAATATTCAGTGTCTTGTATATTTGTGCGATTTATTGGATTAATGTTTGTTTTATAACTTGGATAGTTACAACCAGAAGCACCTTCGAACACGTTGATCTCTTCCTGTATAGACGCTTCACATTGCACAATATTGTCGCCCAAACTGACAAAGTCACGTCGCATCCTCGTATTTGTATGATACATTTTATCGGTAAGAATGAAAGGATCGCTACTTGTCCGTAAAATACATTCTTTGGGTTTCACCATTATAACACTTAGTTCACTTTTGTGTAATTGTTCACTATCTAAAGGTTTACCATTTAATTTTTGTAACATAACGCTTATTTCACTATAAGATGGTGGAAGGTCGGAATTCTTTAAACCAAATATATCATCATATGGTGGTGGTAAGAAATCGAGTGATACTAGTGACAAACCCTTGCTTGTATCTTCCGATTCCAATGTATCAGCGTGACTCCCATTTTGATCCTGTAGAATTAAGTTTGCACTAAGTTCTATGAAATCAATCCCTGTGCGATCTGCTTGAAGTTGTCTAAAAACATTTCGATCAACCACCAGCATCCGTCCATAGGGAAGAAGAATTATTGTGGGCGTAGCTGACTCGCCCGCCGTGCTGACTGTAATAAAAAGAAAACATGTTACTAATATCTGGAAGCTGCATTCGTGCTTATGCTAGTTTTATGGTAAGTATTCCCGTTTAATGTTTTTATTCAAAATGTAAAAATTTGCAGGGTGTATCACATAAATTTAGGAATAGGGTTGGTTCCGGCGAAACCAGAAAAATACTATTTTGAGCGGTGTAATACATTTCCTCAATTGTAATGTGTTGATAAAAAAACGCTTTTCCAACTTACTTGCAACTATATGGTTCAATGGAGGCTAAGGTTATCTACAAGACAAATGAAAATAAATATGAAATTTTAAAAAAATTGCATTTACTTTTTACAAACATGAAAGTTACAGCTCACAAGTTCAGATAAACCTATAATCACTCTGGTCTTGTTCGTTAAACAATCGTAAACTTAATTAGGGCCGCCGAAGAGCGCCGAAGATTGACATATTCTTGTGGTTATTGGTGTTTCTGTTTAACTTTTTGTAGCTTCAACGACCATGGGAATTCAGCTCTTCCAGAAAGGAAGAGGCAAAATTTGTTGAGTCGATGCTTTAGAAGATCGAGCAATATTTACACACAATAACATAATAAAACTTTCACTCAGTTTAATCAATATGTTTGGGTCCCCATAAATAAATAATCTAAAAAGATGTACCGCGCCAGTCCCGTTTCATTGTTCATATTGTAGGTTGTCTTAATTCCTTTTTGCAAAACAGATTTCGTTTATACGAGTACAAACGGGCAGGTTAGTCCAGAGGGTTCAGGCACTGTAGATTTTGCCTTCCTGTTGTGCGCGAGGTACGAGAGAATTTCGTACTCGTATAACAATGCCTTCAACTCGTATGTGATCGGATACGAATCAGTGGCACTGGAATTGTCTATGACTCCGAAATGTTGCCGCTAGCACTCAATCTTAAAGTTGTCGTATACTTAGTAGGGACAACTGTATTCCGCTAGGTGGCCATATTGTAGCAGTAATCGTTGTAATAAAAAATGCTACTCAATGCAACACTTACATTGATTTTGTTTAAATAAAGTATTTAAACAATTCTATTTTGTCCCATCTCACTTGGTCAGGATTACTAGAAACAATCGTTTGCACCTCCTTTTGGCAAGGGGAACTGGGAATTTCGTAATTCTTAATTTTACGCATCCTGCAGCTAAAAAAATTATTACCATTATTGTTAAAACAATAGTTAACTATTATATTATATTATCGTGACGAATGCCAGGAATAACATTATAATCCGTTTTTAGATCGAAAAAATCGGTCGCAGGAGTGAAAAGATCAACATTTTCGGAAATTGGCCGCCATCTTGGGACTTCCTGTTCAGATTTCGAGGTGCCAACATCGATATTCGTGTTCAGCAGGTACCAATTATAATCATTATTATAATTAGTAAAAAAAGCCTGGTTGGCCAAATTTTGTCTCAAATGCCCCTAAGACAGAGAAACTTCGAAAACTGAACCAGTCTAATTCAACTAAGCAACCAATAAAAATATACCATTTTATGCGCACTTTTTCGATCACGCTGCGCAGCTTTATGCATAATTGCTATAAATAACAATTAATAAATACGATCAAAAAGAATACCTTACTGGAAATATCAAATTAATTTTCATATGCTTTTTTAATACGCCTTATTTTCTGATCTAAAATTCTGTTTGGCTGCAACAATAAAACGTTTCTAACAACACCGATTAAAGAAGTAGCTATGAATACAAAAATAGTTGTGTAGCTAAATATTTTGCATATTTTGGCAAGTGAACATTTTCAAACAATGAATCATTGTGTTCGAAAGCATTTTTTGTTGTACTGTTAAATCGTTAGTTTTGACATTCCAAATGCTCGAATTAATAATTCATTTCACGGTGTAATAGGTAAAAATGTTAACAAAATGGGATGGAACAAGGGACCAAAGCTTTTTTTGTTAAATAAACCATGATTTATGAGCTAGACCATTAATAGTTCCAAAGTTTGCGATTTTTTTCAATATAGTTTTCTTAGCAACCATACTATGTGGAAGGTTGGGATGAAGAAGGTGCAAAAAATAATCCGATATTGGCGAAACGCGGTACTTTTGAAAGCGAAAATTAGGATTCTAAACATTGTTTTTGCTGCTCGGCCAATAATTGCAGCTGATATTTTTTTCAAATGTTCAAAACCTAATTTTGGATCTATTATTTTTATGTCTAAAAACCATCAAGATATGTAACTTCGTCGAAAACTCTTTGCGCTATTGTTTAGGAGTAGTAATCTTGTAAACATTTTCATAAAATCAGAGAGGACATAAACCTCTCGCCAGGAAAGATTGCCGGTCACAGAACACTTGATCCCGATCTACGATCTATGTTTTTCAAAAGATTGTAAGCGACTTCCGGGATAGTATCGTGTCACTGTTGAACAAAAAGACTCTTCGTTCAACATTAGCACGATCCTATTCTGGAAGTCGCTCGCATCTTAAGAAAAACATAGGTTGTAGATCGACACAAGGTGTGCTGTGACCGGCAATCTTTCCTGGCGAGAGTTATATCTAGATATTATCTATAAAGCTATCTAAAAACGATCTGTTATAAGGTTATAACTATGTAGGTATAGTTGTCATGAAAAACTGAACGCCGTGTGATTCAGTTTTGAGTAAATATGATACTCTTGAAATATAAAAAAACTTTTCCTTTGTTGCACGCAAGCACACACATGCAAATTATGCAAAGCGTTTCGATTGACGTAACACTATTAGTATATTAGGTATATATCTACATATAAAGCAAGGGACGCACACACAATAGCTGATTAAAGATCAAAAGATTTAAAATGTATTCAATGATGTTATAAGTTCAAACCACAATGTCAGTATGACAACCAATGTTCAAAGTTACCTCTCGGTGTTTGTGCCTTTGACTTCTTTTTGAAACGAGAACGTAATCACTCATTTCATCTTCTAAAACTGAAATTAATAAAATCATTATACTTCATTGCAATAGTATATGGGTACAGTGTGGCAAATTTCCAGCGAGACATAGAGAAATAATATAAACTACTTTGTCAGGTAAACTCCAGACTCGACTTTACGACTACTTATATGATAGGCATAGTACATTTAGAAAATGCCCTCTAGCACTCTAGCTTCGTAGTTAATGTAAATTTCCAGCTCGGCCTGATGATGACGTCGAACGTCGAAATCGATCGCCTATAGAAACCACAATAAAAACTTTTTAAGTATCAATTTTTAATTTTTCTCTATTCTATATCTAATTACTCAAACATAACATGGAGTTCATCAACAAATCCCTCTAGCACCTTTATTTTGAACCCGACGCAAAAAGTGTATAAAACCTTTTGTAGAGCTCGTTAACTTCAAGACACATTTTTTTTTGTATTTTTAACATTTTTCGCTCTAGTGCTTACTTTTCCAGAAAAATTCACATTTTAGAAAATAAAATAAATAGTTAAACTTTTCAATTCAAAATTTCTCAAAAACTAAGAAACACAAAGATAACTGTAATGCACTTTTTTGTAGTTTTTTACTCGATTTTTTATGTACCGAAACCAAAATGGGACGTTTGCGATTCCTCATATCACCCTATACCTATGCACTCCAAATTTAGTCCAAATCGGTTCGACAAATGGTCCACGTGAACTTAACTTAATGTATAATATGGGTAGAAAAATATTATCGTCAAGAGGGGTGTCGTTTTAGAAACGCGAAGGAGAGAAAGTTGTTGTTCTAGAAGAGCATTCGAAGACTGTCGCGGAGTCAAGTAGAGCAAACCTTGAAACATTGACAACTTCTCGAGTGCAAAAGTACAAAGTAATATTTGGGCGATTTTATGTTAATAGTACTTCCCAGTCAAAACAACAGAAGACAGAGAGTGGCAGACGGAGATATATTATCGCACAGAAGCCTTTTTTTTCTAAAATTCAAATCAATAGCAAAAAATAATGATCGAAAGGTATATGTATAGAGCGACGGGCGTGCAGTGCATATTTTGTACAGAAAGAATTACTCTATAAGCGCACTTTTTGATGATTGATTTAAGCACAGCAGCCGAATAAAGCTAGACTCTATAGTTTATAACCGGCAAGAAGCATGATAATGGGTGCCCAACGGTGAGCTGGATAAAATTCAGTATGCGCCCAAACCAAACGGTCCCTGACAATTTTTTGAAGTTTTTTTTTCTTTAAAAACAATCCTCTCGGTAATGTCATCAGAAACGTCAAATTTAACGTGCAGGTTATCTTCCGAAAAACCTTATTTTGCGTTATTTAGGATGGACAAAATAACGTTTTCTACAGATAACCTGCACGTTAAGTTTAACGTTAGTGATACATCACAGGGCTGAATATTTGTTTCTTGATGGTTCTGATAAATCAAATCGGATTGAAAATTAAAAGCGGGACAATACAATTTTTTACATATATTATATTATTATATTATATGTACAGTGTGTAAAGCGATGGGGTATACAAGAGGGAATTTTTTTTAAATATTGATTTATGAAAAAAATTTATTCTTCATAATATGTTTTGCTTGCTTTGAAAGTACCAATAACGTTTCGATAATCTATAATTTATTTATAGAAATCTGGAACCCCTTCGCTTTACACACTGTATACTTCTATTTAATATTATTAGTTATTAATGCCTAATATACTCACCATTATCTATACTAGGTTCATCCATTGCACAGCAACAACAAATTCTTTTTCTACAGAAAGCTCGAATGGCAGGTGCTCCCCAAAAACAAAACAGTACTATTATCACCAGCACAACCACCATAACAATGAGTGTCGGTAAGCCTTGACTTACAGATGGCACATACACACCGGATGCCGAGCCTGTGTTTACTATGTATGTGTCTCCATTCATTAGATTTATATCTGTAAATAAGGACACTAAATTAATAACACGCCAGACATCAAGTATTTATTAACAAAAGTAAATTTATGCAACATTACGCCGCAAGAAGGAAAGGAAAGGAACTTGGAACTTGGTGGTTCCAACCACCATGAATGAGTCAGCTGCATATAGGTAATAGAAGTTTATTGGCCAACGGTAAGCAGTAGGTAGTTATTACATGCGTTTTGAGTAAACTATAAATTACTGTAATATTACTGTGTTAAATTAAAACTTTGTTTCTGAAATAAATTAACGTACCACGTACCATACGATTGATAGCTTTAGTTCAAACTAATAAAGATTACATTTCGAAGCGGTAATAACACAATCTGTTTATGGCGGGTTTATACGGCCATTAGTATTACGAGTAGTTCAATATCATTAGATTAGGCAGTATCATAAGATGCCGTTCGGAAGTACAAGCGCAGAAGAGGCGCGTAGTGTGGTGAAGGAAGTTAAAAACAGGAAGATAGAAGAGATTGACGAGAACGAAGGAGACGAGGATTTGGTTCTGGTTTCATCGAGGAAGTCAGGAAGGTTGCTGAGCTGATAATTAGAAAGTACAAGACAGCTTATTAATACAAGGTGGGGAAAATGTTTGAAAGAAATCAAGACAGCTGACAGCTATTATTAGTACGGACAATATTTCCGTTCGAAAAGTGTGATATATGGGGGGGATATTGAAGGCGAATGTACAAACAAACCAGTTACAACTGGGAAGTACAAACAGTACGGTGACCCAGACAAGTTCATCGGGAGCGGCAAAGAGGAATGAGTTCATCCCCAAAAGGCTACAATCTACGCAGAAACATAAGGATACCAGTGGTGACAGCTGTGGTTCAGATGAAGAGGGTATGGGCACTCCAAGAGGGAGCCAGACGAACCCAAATTTATATATGGAAAACAATACTGAATGTGAGTAATGCGAAATGATAAAGGCAGTGAGAAGAAAGTGAAATTGGTAGAGGCACAATCGGCGGCAGATACTGATACCGTAATGTGGAGGCAGGAATGGCCAGTCAGAGCAAAAAGGGAGACCAGCGAGGGACGTTGGGAGATTAAGAAGAAAAGGAGAAGGACCAGATCGGAAGGGGTGCTAGTTAAACTACAAGGGGAGAACCACTGTGACGAGATACTTAAAAAAATAAGGAAAACTTGAGTGACATATAGGGGCAAATGGTCTAAGGAAAGTGCTTATAGACAAAAGCAGAAGTATGGGAATTAATAACCGATAGGATATTGGTGGACGCTACTTACGTAGCTTCAGTTGCAATGTATATATTTTAAATTACACTTCCTTACATGTAGATAACAAATTAGGACAAAATATGCAAACAGTGAATATGAAAACGTATTCGTTAACGAGCAAGTTCTCAGAAAATAGTAAAAAAAAAAATAGTTTTAAACAAACATTTCACAAATTTAACTGGGTTTGCAATTTTTATGGCTTGCTTCAGGAATAATGGCAAAACAAAAACCAAAGAAATCAACCCAAAAAGTCCCAAATTACAAAATGGCACACAAGTACATCCAAGCATCAACGATATATTCGCGCGTTTTCTTGTGTGCTAAAATAAATATGACAATCTATGGGATTTTTGTAACCATTGGCGGGACCCGCACCGCGGGCTCTGGCAAGCCAGTGGCGTAAGGGACTCAATTTATAATCGAAGTTATAGTTATAGTTATAACGAAGTTGTATATTTAAAAGCAGGCTGTCGTTTCCGATTATGAAAACAGTCGCTTAGACTGGAAAATTAGTGTTTGTTGTTTGTTTGATGGTTACCTACTATATGTTTAAATTTAAACGCTCACGTCTGTGCCAAAATAATGGTACTGCAGAGTAGGAAGCTATTATAAATTTAAAGCGTCAGTGACATACTGTGTGGCAGTTTTCCAGCGGAAATAACATGGTAAAATAAATTTTCGGTGATCCTTGTTTGTCATTTTAACTAAAAAGAAGGTTTAAATGTTAACGTGTATGTAAAGTTTGCAGTTGGCATCACAGACACATTACTTCCACCTTATGTATTTTACTTCTAGATTACACAATAAAAACATTTTTGGTAAAACGGATTACAATTTGACCAGTCCTTAAACTTCATTATTGGAAACAACCAATCAAATGGAGCTTCCGGATTCTCGATGACTCGTCAGTTACAATCCTACTATCTCTATTAACCTTGATTTTAGCAGACGAAACCAAAAGTGACAAAAAACAATCGAACTTGAAAATCTTTGCTTTATACTTATCAAATTTACAAACTTCATTTTTTTACCGAAAACGAAAATTATAGGGGCGTGCCACTTTTGAGAATAGCCCGGTATAAGGTACCTATATGTAGTATGAAGATTACGTACTATAGTAAATTGAAAGGTAAAAGCGATGAAAATATATCTCTTTGTTATCTTACCTAGCGTAGGGGTAGGACTGCAATTTGTGACAAAGTTACCTTGATTAAAATGGCAATAAACTTTTGTTCTAAATTTCAGTTCTTCTGCAATGTTGTAATGGTTTGACTTATTTCGCTGGGTTGAATAATAAAACAAAGGTCTAACTAGTGAGAAAAAGATGTAAGCTCTTGCCAAAAATGTGTCAAGCCCAATTTGTATTAAGCAAACGGTGTGCGGTAGAAAGTAGACATTTTTTATAGATCAGACTATTTTTAATTTTGTTTGTTCTTTACTTACCCGACGGATTAAGGCTTTTAGCTTGCTTAAGAGCACCCATTTTACTACTGTCACGGTTGTATTTTCTGCTTTTCCATCCATATATTGTTTCTTTTAACTGAACGCTGAACGTCCTCAGATCTGAATCCGGGGATGGACGGTCTATTGTTGTAACGTGCTAGCTCTCACACTTCCTGAAATTTCGCGCATACACCGTTTATGACTCACGTGACGATTGTTCTAATAACTATTAACTTAATTACTAAATTTCTACCTAACGCAATTTTATTTAAGCGTCAAATAAATAAATTCCCATTTCGACGTTGCAATTTTAAATATCAAAAGCAGATATTTGAGTTACATTTTCTAATAAAAAAACACAATCACCACGCCGAATCGTACGCAGGTGAACGCCGTCTTTAGACAACTGACACGCGTCGCGTTTAATCGCGGCGTCGTTTTCGAGTCGCCGGGACACCGCCGTAAGAATGGAAAACTAAACGATATTTGCAACATTCTCAACAAACTACAATAGGTATCCAAACAGCCACACTGTAAAGAGGTACACTGGTACACGTCGGAATACTTGTTAAGAGTAAAAATACAGGGTTTGCAGGTAAAATCGTTCCAGAATAGATTTAGGTCAACTATTTCGCTCGTTTACTGTACCTATGTCAACGTCTCGTGTAGACAGTGGCGGGGCTAGAACAAAGGTGGACGTCGGCGACAGTTTTTCGAGAACTTCTTAATAATAATAATAAATAATAAAAAATAATAATAGTTTCATGTCCTGATGAAGTGAATAAACATTCACGAAAATTTGACCTGTAAAAGAGGAATAGGTAGGTAACTGTGGCAAGTGCAGTAGCGGTGCTATAATTCTTTCTAAAGCCACATTGCAAATAGGAATAAAATTGATTTTAACGAAGTGGTAGGTATATTCATATATTGGCTCAGATAAAATTTTTTCAAATATTTTCGCCAACTCAATGTAAATAGGTACGTGTACGAGGGGACATTCTTTAATCTACCACTACCTGAACATGAAACTGAAGAAAATTTAGCCCAAACCCTACGTCATCGTACCTAAAACTCTACACCGACATTTCACCGTTTTTGCAATAAGCAGATAGGTATCTTTACAAAAATGTGTTAGTGTAACGAGCCACCGTATGTACCGAAAATGTATAGCTTAGTAAAAATTCAAATCTAAAGATTATAGATATGTAGTAGATAAGAATTTATACAATTCGGAAGCGACGTGTGCAATACAAAATGTGAGCTGGTCATCTTCACAGAGCGCGTTGCGCATTTTTAAGTTAAACCGTCCGCTGGGTGGATTCTAAAGATATAAAATTAAGGCAAGAGGGAACCATCATCTTCATCAAGCCACCGTCGCGTTGCGAACGAAGATTTGCGCAAGATTTCCAACAAAGTTGAGAATCTCCACGGCGTAACTCAGCTGATGTTACCGTTGTACAGAGTTGTTTACTAATTGCTTATTTTTACATTTAAAAATAATTCATACAAAAATTTCATAAGAATATAATAAATTGAGCCAACAATGAACAACGATGAAAATGAAAAGCACGGATGTAGCGTATGACTACCTATTTCAATGAAGAGAAACGAAACCTTCGATTTTACAGCCGACCAGGATGTAGGTAAATGTAATAATACTGCATTGCGGATGAGGTCGAGGTCTCCTTAGGTCATATTATATTGTTGCGAAAAATAGGCCACACTACGGGCTACTATTGATTTAAGATATGCCTCGACGGAGTAGAGAATACGAAAGTACTTAGTAGTCAATATTTACACCTTAGTAATTATATCATTAGATTCATTAGCATTACCTTATTTGGAAATCGGGGATTAAACTGCAGGAAACATTAGTATAAGAGGATTGTGGTTCACAACTTCGCATAAGTACACAACTCATACATTTGAGAATGTTGTTAGCATTTACCTGCGCTTCGATTAATTTTTTATATTTAAAATTACCTATATTTAGAACAAGTATAACTTTTGGACATTTCAGTACGCAGAAAAGCGCATTTTTAGCACCTCCAATAAGGTTGCAGGTTTTAGAGAGTTGGATTCTTCTATTTTTTAAATTAAGAGTACTTTACTGATTACTCTTATGCAAAGTAGGTAGGTATGTATTTTCTCCCCCACCCTGTATACCCATTTTAGTCTAATTCGTGGTAATACAGTTTTAATACATGCAAATCTACGCACACACTGCATATTTAAGTAATACAAAAACCGCAGTTAGAGATTATGTACTCTGAATGCACAACAACGCACTTTTCCATTTTTGAGAACTGCAAAAGGCGACCGACAACTGACAAGGGACTCGTGCCTATTACACTAACGTTAGGTAATTTCACAGTTTAACAATGGGACCATTCTGAGGTTTCTGGCCATTTCCATAATCCTTCAATTGGTTCTAATGAAAGCATCTTTTATGGTACCTACCTACACGCCACTGCGGTCTCTATATGTAACAAATTAAACCGAACAGTCCAGTGAAGAATAAAGACTTACCCATGTACTGCTACTGACTACTGAAATGTGAGCTTTTTTTGTGTTTAACTACAACAAATTAACAATGTTATGCCCGATCAGATAAGGGAAGCGGTTTGCTGGTTAACAAAACCTAAATATCCTTTTAAAACTAGAAGCAAGTTATCAGTTTAGATTAACATCTCAATAAGAGTGCCTCTCGTTAAAATCCACTTGAATTCATTATGTTTGCAGCTACTGCAGGGTTTCAATTTGAAATCGTAGAAATTATTTTGTCAATTTGCAGCTGCTTTATGCTTATTGCTTTCATTGTGGTTTATTTTGAATTAGTTTAGGTGTCCTCTTGTAACAAATTGTAAATAAAGCTTTCAGTCGTACCTGTATCACTGTTGCGAATCGAATAAACAATTTAAAATCTGATCTGGAAAAAAATTCTATTCGAATGTATGCATTTTAAGTACCTACCTACTTTAACCAAACTTTTTTTTATTTACCTAGGTGCTTGAAATATTTCGTTGTCCATGTTTTAACTGAAAAACGCAAAAAAACTAGAATCAATGAAAGTCTCATCATGACACTATCACAGATAACGTGTCGGCGACTATCCGAAATAAATGTATATGTATATGAATGTATACGACTTAAGGCGAGGCTTTACAATTATTCGTTGTGTATAATTACATTATACGTAATTCAAAACAGGACCTTCAAATATAATCCTGAAATGAACCTAATTTAATAAATAAATACAGTAGTGACAATTAGAATTAGAAACTGAAATGTTATATTTATACAGTGTTATACTGCTTCATTAAACGACTGCGAACTAGTAGGTATATCAGTTTATCATATTGAAAGCTGCACAATTTTTGAATATTTAGGTATATTATAATATTTAATTACCTCCCCTTATACTAAATAATACTACAATTTAAAGTTTAGTTTGGATCACCTGAGAGTAAATTATTTAAAATAAAATTAACTTTTTCGGAATGTTTGGCAAGTTAAAATTATGAGAAATGGTCGTTATATGAACCATTTAATCGGTTAATTGATAAATTCTACGAATCTATATACGATCTAACATCTTTCCGATGACTGCTTTCATTTTAATTATCGTGCTCACGGAAACGTATTTAATTTTATGCTACAGCCCTTGCATAGTTGGTGGTCCGGATTCTATCCCCGTAAACTCGATTTGTTTGTATTATATTGTGTAAGCGATACTCACCGCTCGTTACTGTTTAAATATTAATTTATTATGAAACTGATAGCCCGCTTTATTTCCATTCAAAAAGCGCCGCTCCATCTGCACATGCCACTATGTAGAGAATGCCCAGAAAACAATTCCTGTAATTAGCGCAATGATTACGAAATATAATGGGGAACCCATTAGAGTAATCACATATAGGTACGCTATTACCTATTCAAGATGAACATGGTGGCGCCGAAAGTGTTAACCGTGCATCCACTCATCTGCTAGTTAAATTGAATATCAGTAACTGAACGTTTATTGTAAACCTTAAGGTTTACGCTTAATTAAGCTAGAGATACACAATAGTGGGGAAGGTATAAAATAAGGGCTACCACTTCACAAAGAGACATAGTAGTTTGTGAATTTGACAGCATCATTTAGCAAAAATGACTTCAAGGGACGATGAGAAAAGTGAGCAAGATCAAAAAAAGAAATTCAATTTCAGTATAGATCATATCTTAAATCGTGCTGGATGTTCTGTAAATCAAGAACTAACCAATGCAACGCCATTTACGTGGATGCAATGTACTCGATATTGCCCTCCTAAATTACAAAGTGAGTACAGTTAAAAATTTCACTTTCTGAATACAAATTGTTAAAGTGTTACCTACCTACCTGATGAACATTTATACGTAATATAGAACAACCTTAACACACTCACATTTAAATATAGTCACTGATATCGGAAACAATAACTACACTAATTATTGGCAACTGAACGGTATGCTGTTATAAAAGATATAACAGTTTTGAAGTTAATAAATAATAAATAATAAATAATAATAATAATGAACCATATATAAATGTAAATGTAAAAAAGTTCAAAATGAAAATAAATGAAATATCGTATGTAACGTCCTTAGGTGCAACAACTAAATTAAAAACTTGTTGTCAATAGACCCCAAGGTATACGTAGATAACGCTTTTCGAACCGATCACATGATGACAACGATAAAATTAAGGTAGGGAATCAGTTTTCCCAACAAAAATTAATAAACCTGTGATCGAGGATGGGACAAACGCGTAGTTATATGAAATTTTTAAAATTTGTGAAGATTAATAAGTAATTAAATAACTTTTGTGTATAATACAAGAAGTAAGATTGACGAGCTGTTTTCTGTACTTTTAAGTTATACGCCCAATTCGTTGCTTTTGTCTTTGTGTCGTAATTATGTTGCGGAAAATTCAACATAGCCTATTATTATTTTTGTATAGGTATAAATCTAGATAGAGAACGAAGGATAACTTTGAATTATTGTAAAAAGGTTGGTGTCCTTGAAAAACAAATTCGTATTGAATTTAGCCCATTTTTCTTTTTGTAACACGTTGCAGAGCATTGTATAAATGTTTAATATTATCTTATGTTTTGCAATTTTAGTATGAGCATTTTTAGAGCTAGATAAAATCTTTCCTGCCAATGTAGTAGAGGTATATTATGTAATAGGTCGATCGGATAACAAATGGTCAGATCTTCGTTCGAAATATCGAAAGAATCTACTAAAGGGACTTGCCTGCACAAATGTCCACGATTGATACGCACATATACTTAAAATTCAATAACTCTCGTAAGGACTGTATTTCAGAATTACTTAATTAACCAATATCCCTGGGGTGAAAATTTTAATTAACACATTTTTACAAACAGATGGTTTTAACAATTGTTTGTGTTCAAAAATTCCCGGTATAAATCTTTTGAGGGCGAAACTTTAAAGTGCAAATATGAGGTGTAATATTTCGGAGGCGAAACTTCCGGGGGCGAATGATGTAATGCGCAAAGTTGAAACAAAATAGTAATGAAGCAAGTGGGCATAACTTGATGTTTTGTATCTAAGCCATTTCGACATTTGTTTTTCAAATTTTCAATCCGTATATTATATCTATCGGCAACATAGGTATTTAATTTTTTTACAGATATTCGATTCGGTAATGATGAGTGTTTTCGTCTCATTATTTTTAAATTCCAGTTTTTCTACTTTTATCAATAAACAGAGTGTAGTATATCCACAAAAATGGGGCGATAGAAGAGACCCTAACATATTGTTTTTCCAAATCAACTAGAATACGTTTTCAATGAACGAATATTTGGAACTAGTAGAGCATGGATTTAAATAGAACCTTCGATTTAAAAAAACGGGTGAAGATATTAACAGTATGTGGTGCGACAAGTGGTTAGCAAACAAACACTAAGCTATATCGGTACTCTGAATCGCAGTATATAATCTCTATCTCGATTTCTATATAATGTGTTATCAATAATAGTACAGAATGCCAATACGCATCCAGTTCATGGACCTAACCAACCACCAAAAATTGACAAATCTTAGATGGGACATGGATGGGTACCTATACTCAATACAGGGTGATTCCTATAGTACCTGCCACCGTTTGGGAGCGTGTAGGTGGTGCGTAGGGGAGTATTTTGATATAGGACACTTGGGGTCGGAAATCTAAAATAAGGGTGCCAGAGCCAAATTTACCTTCTGGAATTTCGCGCCTGTAGGTAGGCAACCCAACCGGCCGGCGGTGCACACGGAGCGATCTCAGGCGGCGATGTGTGGCTGACACTTGATCAGAATTTTGTTTAAACCCACGAAATCCCGTCTGCAACGACGCGTATCAAGTGAATAAACACTATGGCACGTTTTACTAACACGGAATACGCGGACATGCACTTGCACATGTACGGATTGGCAAATGGTAACGCACGAGCTGCACGACGAGCGTACGCTGAGCGGTATCCAAACCGTTAGTTACCCTGCAGACAGGTCTTTCAAGAAGTTCACTTCCGACTGTGCGAGACAGGGCAATTGCAGGTAAGCTGACGGAGGCTTAACTTTACACACAGATTCGTGATGCACATCGATACTTGGGTCATTTAAGCACCCATTTCGAAAAGTTTGTTTGTTTACACCGACCTCCTCCTATTTCGCAGCCCACTAGCGCCCGTGATCGCGATCGCCCGTTGGTAAATGCCTTAGAGGAGGATGTGTTGGAACGTTTCGAGGCAAACCCGCGTACTAGCACTCGACTTGTAGCAGATCAGGTGGGTTGTAGTCAACACACAGTGTGGAACATCGCCAACAACAACAACTTACACCCCTATAAGTTTAAGAAAGTGCAAGAGTTACGGCCGGGTGACCATGAAAGGAGGCTGGAATTCTGCAACTTAGTCGTCCAGGAGGAAGAAGCTAATCCGAACTTTCTGAGGAGCGTGCTAGTTACTGACGAGAAAGGATTCTCAAGAGAGGGGACCTTCAATCCTCGTAACAGCCACTACTGGGCGGAGCACAATCCTCATGAAACGTTTACGCGAGGATACCAGGACAAGTTTTCTTTAAACGTTTGGGCTGGCATCCTGGGGGACAACCTACTGGGGCCTTACATCCTCCCTCCGCGTCTAAATGCCCATAATTACCTGATTTTCCTGCGCGAGGTGCTACCAGAACTTTTAACGGATGTTCCAGTGAACTTGTACTGGGACCACTGGTTCCAGCACGATGGGTGCTCTGCTCACTACGGGCGGCAGGTGAGGGAACACTTGGACCAAACCTATCCGGACAGATGGATCGGCCGTGGAGGTGCGGTGGAGTGGCCTGCCCGCTCGCCCGACATCACCCCATTAGATTTTTACTTGTGGGGTGTGATGGAAGCGCACGTCTACGAGACTCCCGTCGAATCCGAAGAGGACTTAATTGCGCGCGTCGTCATGGCCGGAGAGGCTGTTCGCCAGGACATAGGAGTCTTCACGCGAGTTCGAGGGGAGTGGTTGGCTAGATGTAGGAAGTGCATTGAGAACAACGGTGGCCACGTTGAACACTTGTAAACGTTATTGCTTTTGACTGTCGTTTTCCCTCCTTCCCTCCCATGTCGCTTCCTCGCGCTAACTCGCTCTGCATCGCTCCGCGCGAAACGTCGGTCGGTTGGGTTGCCTACATACAGGCGTGAAATTCCAGAAGATAAATTTGGTTCTGGCGCCCTTATTTTGGATTTCCGACCCCAAGTGTCCTATATGAAAAGACTTCCCCTAGGCACCCCCTATACGCTCCCAAACGGTGGCAGGTACTATAGGAATCACCCTGTATATCTTTGACTGTCCTATTAAATAGCAGGTTTTGCAATATAGACATAAACGTTTATTATTACTAAACATACCTATAAGCTCAAACCATATTTAATTCTTTTTTAGGGATATCAAAACGCCAAGGCCCGCAACGACGACAACTAGGAAGAAATCCAAGAATTCCCTTTTCCACACACCAACTGTCAATGCTGGAGGAAAAATTTCAACAGTCGCCTTATTTAAGTAGCTCAGAAGTAACTATGATTTCACGAATTTTAGACCTGGCAGATGTGAGGGTACGTATTAGGAAATTTTACACAAACAAGCTCAATATAATAATATAATAATAGTCTATTGCCATGAATAAATTCCTTTACATTGGCATTGTCATGAATGTAGAATATGTAGAAAAAAAGACAAACTAAAAACATACAAAGGACAAACGTTATACATTGAGGAAAATAAGTTGTTATTGTGTCCGGTTTAATTTGCATCAAGCTCGCCAACTGAGTAGTAATTTTTTTCAAGGAGATGTAATTTTAATTTTTTTTTTAATAATTGAAGATTTCTTGATTGTTTTATTGCCTTTGGTATAGCATTGAACACTTTGATGCAATTATAGTAATAACCTCTTTCATAAAGAGTTGTTCGGTGAGTGGGTATGCATCACAAACATACTATACAGGGTGGTGACTTGCGTAACGCATCATAGGGATTTCAATGTAAAATTCATAACATGCGATTATTGGCTCCCCAAATTATTTTAGAGCAAAAACGTATTAAGGTTTTTTGTAGAATAAAATTTTTTACGCCTATAAACCGTATTAGTTTTCAATTTTTTACATAATAAAGACGGAAAATTGGAAAAATAAAACCCGCATCTTTTTCAATAATCTGCGATGCCATGGAATTTTCTAAAACAAAAAGATATCCAGTTATCAATTAGCAGCAGTTCGAAATGGATTTTATGATCGACTTGGTTACTGTATTGCAGTTAATGGTGACTTATTCGAACATTTATTGTAAATTGTTATATTAGGAAACCGTTTTTAGTAATTTGCTCTTTCTTTATGTTAAATTCGCTGTTCTAAATATAATAGTTTTTGATAAAATTTGATTTGTTTTATAGCAGACATTCCATGGCATGACGGATATTGGCGTAGTTTTGTTTTACAAAATTCCATGGCATCACAGATTATTGAAAAAGATGCGAGTTTTATTTTTCCAATTTTCCATTTTTATTATGTAAAGAATTAAAAACTAATACTGTTTATAGGCGTAAAAAAATTTTTTCTACAAAAAACCTTAATACGTTTTTGCTCTAAAATAATTTGGGAAGCCAATAATCGCATGTTACGAATTTTACATTGAAATCCCTATGATGCGTGACGCAAGTCACCACCCTGTATACTTGACTAGATTAACACAACTAACACCTAAAATAGGAATATTACACCCAAAACACATATTAAATGCACCTGAAATCTGCCAAGTTGAATTTGGAAATCGGCCCTCGCCTCAGTGTTGCCATAATTCTCAGCACGGCTTGTAAATATAGATAGTTGTGATAGTATGCAAGTTGACTGGTACAATGCATTTACACTATGCTAGTAACATGCATGTACTGCGCGCCCATACAGGTTAGTTTTTTGGCGCCAATAAACTTGCATCGTGTTAACGCGGCATTAGGAATAGTACAAACGTAATTTAATTTTAAGTTCTTACTTTGTGTATAGGTCAAAATCTGGTTTCAAAATCGCAGAGCACGAGAAAGAAGAGAAAAATTCCAATTGGACATGAATAAAAAAAATATTATCTTAACAAGCACCAATTCGCCGACAGACGACTCTCCGCAAGAACCTTTACATGGATCCATTGTTCAAAATTTTGAATGGTCTGTAGGCTCTGCAAGGAACAACAACGATTTTTCAATGTCACAAATCAGTTCATGTAACAGTTGACAATAAACATCTATTTCTCAAACGCTTTTATTTTTTTTGACATTCAAGTCGGCAACAACGACGGATGGTTTGATAGGAGGATAAATGGACCAGAGGCGGACACGGATTAGGAAGATAGGGCTTGGTGAGTACGAGGGTAGTAGTGTGCGAGGTGACATTCCCAAATTCCTTGCTTAGGTTAGGTTAGGTTATGTTAACCTTGAAGAGTTGATCGATTTTCAATATTGTGGTGGCGTATGAAAGGATTTCCTGAACCTCTTAAAAAAAGTTAGATTAGATTAGTTAACACTGGCGAGTTAATAGACTATCAATTTTAGGGTGGAATACGAAAGCCACATTCGGGGCGTGCCCACGGTCCCTTTGGGTCATTCGAGATTCGAAACGGTTCGGCGGACAGGGCCCTAAACGTGTTTCGATACGTATTCCAAAATAACTTCGGAACCCGATAACGGATCGCGCTCGTTCAGCCGCCGTTCGATAAGGGAATAACGGCGCCGCACGGGGAAAGTTATTTCGTCTCGAACGGACCATAAATAACGTCGGAAATAAATTTCTAAAACGATCAAATACGGACAGAAACACCCAAGTTCGGCTCGGTAACGGTAGGTTACGCCGGCGAGTTAATCGATCGTCAATCGTGGGGCGGAACACGAAAGCCACGTTCAAGAGGCACCTACGGACCCCTTGGGTCACCCAAGATTCGAAACGGTTAGACCCCTAGGACGCTAAACGTTTTCGGGCATTTATTCCCAAAGAACTCGGGAATCGGATAACGGATCGCGCCGTTCGATAGGTGAATAACGGGGCCGCACGGCGCAGTTTACAGTTTTTCAATCGATACATAAATAACGTCGGAATTACAGTTCAAAGTCGACCAAAAGTGGAAAAAAAAACACCCAAATTTGTCCGGGGGGCGTTAGGTTAGGTTAACACTCGCGAGTTAATAGATTATCAATTTTAGGGTGGAATACGAAAGCCACATTCGGGGCGCGTCTACGGACCCTTTGGGTCATTCGAGATTCGAAACGGTTAGGCGGCCAGGGCCCGAAACGGCACCGGGCACCCATTCCCGAATAACTTCGGAACCCGATAACGGATCGGGCACAATCCAACACCGTTCGATTGAGGAATCACGGGACCACACGGCGCAGCTTACGGTTTTACAATCAGTCCATAGATAACGTCGGAATTACAGTTCAAAAACGAGCAACTTTTGCCAAAAACTTCGACAATTTTTTTCTCGAAGGCCGTTCGGGCCGGAGAGGAACGGATCGCATATTTATGACGTCCGCGGCACGAGTAACGATCGATAAAATTTTGAAAAAAATCGAAGACCTAAAATTTTTTCGAGTCTCGTCAAAGAGGGGACCAAGGGAAAACGAAAAAAAAAAACTTTTTTATTTGCGAACCGATTTTCGATTACCAAACGTCGATCGATAGATCTCGTCGAAAGAGTCCTCGACGGCACTTAAAACATTCGGGGTCATATATAAATAAGAATTTTACGGCTAGGGTTAGGATTTCGAAAAAAAAAGAAAACAACTTAATTTTCCGTAACCGGCGCGTCCTATCGAACAAAAAAAAACGTGTTTAGTTTAGGTTAGGTTAGGTTAGGTTAGGTTAGGTTAGGTTAGGTTAGGTTAGGTTAGGTTAGGTCCCTCCTCCCTGCTCGGCTGTCGTGTCGTGGCAAAGAGCATTGCATGGGAACTAACGGCGCCGCTGTCGGTTTTGCTTCGGCAAACTGGCAACGTTATACCACGTGATACTTCGGTATCACGGGGGGACTGGCTAAGGCCGGTCCGAGATGAGTAAACATCCATAAAAATCCCAAATCCCAAGGTGGAGACCAAGCCGAAGGGATGCGTGACTGGATGGAAGACCAGTAGAGATTGGCTCACGTCCAGCTCGGCTGTCGTGTCGTGGCTTAGGGCATTGAACGGACGGTAAAACGGTGCCGCTTGGGCCCACACTCCGGTGTGACCCAGGCGTAAAACCATGTACTTTCTAGGGAGTACGGGGGGTGTAGGCCTAAAAACCAGCACTAAGAAGAGAAAACTTCAATAAAAATCCCAAATCCCAAGGCGGAGACCAAGCCGAGGGGACGCATGACTGGATGGAAGACCAGTAGCGATTGGCTCACGTGGGGTCCTGCGACTTGCAGGACAGGGTCTGGCAACCCTGCGGTGCCCTTTGCTGGTGGTACGCTTTGCTTCAACTTGTCTTAAGCGGCCACCCTATCTTTATACTTTACTATCGGAGCTCCCTTGCCCCAACTCTTGTTTACTTCAGGCCCCGACCTTATCAGCTTGACGAGGACTAGGGGACCTTTTCATATTCCATATTCTTCTTCTTCACGGACGGAAATACGACGACGACTCGGTTATGGATAAGGACGCTGGCCGTAGCGGAAAAAGGCAGAAGGCATGATGTTAAATCCAATCGATATTGTTCCCCGGGTGGGTCCGGTTAGCCGGGAACCCCACCCTGTCCCAGACGTGGACAGGCAGGCCCAAGGATACGGGGAGGCCAGTCATGCGGGAGAAGAGGAGAGGAGAAGGAGCGAGGAGGAGAGGGGAGTAGTGATGGAGGAAACGTTCGCGGAGGATGGCGAGAGTGCACTGCTGGAGAGGATTGCGCAGCAGCAAGTAAACAAGGATGGCAGTTTTGTCAGAAGAGATTCGCTGGCGAGGACCCCGCCAATGAAGGGGAGGGAAGGAGAGGGTCCTCAAGAGGGGACCTCGCAAAAGAGAAAGGCGGAGGGCAGCCCATTGAAGGAAGAGGAACAAACTCAAGAGACCGACAAGGCTATAGAGGAACTGAGAAGACTGATTGAAAGGGCGGTAGATTTTACTAATTCAAAGGAGGGTAAGAATGTCAACAAAGCAATTAAGGATATGATCAAAGGGATGGACAGAAATACAAGGAAAGTCATCAAGTTGAGGAAAGAGGAAAGTAGCAGGAAGGGGAATAAGAATGCGAGAACGCTGGAGGGAAATGGTGACGAAGGGAAGAAGCAAGACAAGAAGAGGAGTACAACAACAGAGGTGCAAGGGTACATGGACTCCCTACAAGGGAGATACGAGCAACTAGAAGCAAGAATAAAGGTACTTGAGCAAACAACGAAAAGTCAGACTGAAACAATCGAGCAGGAAAGGAGAAGGTATAGGGAGTTGAGGGAGAAGTACGAGAAGGAAAGGGAGGGGAAGAGGGATAGCGCAGACCCCTCGAGGGAAGAGGAGGCAGTACTGATCAGGAACTTAAAGGGAAGTCTAGACCGGACACAAAAGAGGTGTGACGACTGGGAGGAGAAGTGTAAGGCGCTGGAGGAGAGGATCAAACAAAGAGAAGAAGAAGGGGGAAACAACGGGTGTGGCAACGACAAGTGCGGTGAGTGGGAGACAAAGTGCCGGATGTTAGAGGAGAGAGTGAGGAGGTTAGAAAGGGAACGAGACGTGGACGAGTTGCTGGAGGAGAACGATAGGACGAAAGAGGGTTTTATGCGGGCGATTAAGATGAGGTGGAGTGAGGACACGCTCAAGGGGGTGAAGGTGTCGGATGCGCATCCCAGGTCGTGGGGAAGAGAGTGGGACACGGCGGCGGTGGTCGGGGATGATGCGAGGATGGAGGGGCACACCGCGAGGGAGCTGAGGGGGATCTACAGAGAGCTTGACGGCATGAAGGAGGAGGAGGGCCCGAGCGAAGGGGGAGAGTTTATATATGTGACGAAAAGCCTCAAATTCCCCAAGAGGGGCACCGTGAGTAGGGAAGTGGTGGGGAAAATCGTTTTTAGGGGGAAGGAGGAGGAAGGGATGAGAGCATTATACGATGGTATGGAGGAGGTAGGGAGAGTGCTGGAAGGGATGGGGAGGAAGAGGATCCAACTAATCCTTGCGGATAGGCGAGACCTCGAGGTGGTGAGAAAGGCGGCGAGATACGTATTGATGGGGCGAATGGAGGTGGTGGTGACGGTGCCGGTGGTAGGGGAAGAGACCGCTAGGGTGCCGAGACCGGAGGCCATTTTGGTTAGAGTAGGTAAAGACGCTAGCTACTCCGAGTGTCTTCGCAGCGTCAGAGAGCTAGACGCCCCAAACGTGAGACGGGTGAGGGAAACCAGGGGGGGGGATCTCCTCATTGAGATGGAGGCGGGGGCGGGAAAGGCGGGTCCTATAAAGGAAATTGTAGACAAGGTTATGGGGGGGAAGGAAGTGAGGCTCCTCCAGGAGAGAATGATGGTGGATATCGAGGGAATCGATGAGGTGACAACCGAGGAGGAGGTCACGGCGAAGATCTTGAAGGCATGTCCGGAGGCGGCCCCGAGAACGCTGAGGATCTTTAAGACTGCGAGGGGAGTGCGTATTGCGAGAGTGGAGGTGGTGCCAGGAAAGGGTGTTGGGAAAGGGGGAGAAGTGAGGATAGGCTGGAACGTATGTAGGATAAGGGGGGTAGTGAGGAGAGGAGAGAGAGGGGAGGATAGATGTTTCCGGTGCCTTGAGAAGGGACACATTAGGAGGGACTGCAAAGGGCCGGATAGAGGGAAAGTGTGCTTGAGGTGTGGCGAGGAAGGGCACATGGCAAACAAGTGCGGGGCGGACCGCCCACGTTGCTTCTTGTGCGAGGGAATGACTGAGGGGAGTGGGGTGGGGCACGTATCCTATGGACGCGGGTGCCGCTACGGAGTAAGGGACGGTGGGGGGCAAGAACGATCTGGGAAAGATAAAAGACCGGGCGGCACGATGGAAGGGAGTGGATAGGGAAGGAACCTCAAACTAGACCGGACGAGACGGATAGACGCACCATGGACATGATGACGGGAAGGAGGGACAGGACGCTCCGGATTCTGCAGCTGAACGCGAACTGCAGCTCAAGGGCGATGGACGTCGCCTACGCGAGAGCGAAGGCGACGGAGGCAGATTTTATCTGCCTCTCTGAGCCCAACAAGCGGCAGTGCGCGGGAAAGCGGCACGTGTACCCTAACGGGCGACGCACGGCCGCGGTTGTTAGGATCGGGACGACGCAACGGGTCCTCCGGTATGGCGAGGGAGGGTGCTATGCGCTGGTAGAGACGGAGGAGATGTGTCTCATCAGCGTGTACATCAGCCCGAACGTATCGGAGGAGGACACAAACAGGGACCTTGACGACCTCACGGACGCGCTGAAGGCTGCGAGGTGCCCCGCTGTAGTGGCGGGGGACTTCAACGCTAAGAACGTGACGTGGGGTGGGACGACGACGGATGAGAGAGGCCGCACAGTTGCAAACTGGGCGGCCCAGAACGGATTGACGGTACTAAACGACGGTAGACACGCGACGTGCGTCCGGCACAACGGCCAGTCCTTCGTGGACTTGACATTTGTGTCGGATAGACTGACCGGGACGACGGGGTGGCGGGTGGAAGCTGACGAGGTAACTCTCAGCGACCACCGACTGATAGTGACGGACATAGTCGGGAGAGGGGGTAAAGCCTCTAACCCGACGACGACGACCGTGGACTTGACAAGATACAGGACGGAAGTAAAGAGACGACTGGCGGGACGAGGCCTTCTGGCCCCCGAAGAGTGTGTCGCCGCGACGAAGGCGGCTGCCCGAAGGGCGGCGAGACGACTGGCGAATCCGAGCTCTGCCTATTGGTGGAGCGAGGAGCTAGGCGTACTCCGAACCCGGGCGCAGGCGGCGAGGCGTGCATACTTGAGAGACAGGGCCAGGGGGACAGACACGACCGACAGCCGAACGAGATGCGACGAAGCGACCAGGCAGTACAGACGGGAGATTGGGAGAGCTAAGGCAGGCAAATGGAGAGGCCTCTGCGATGACCTGGAACGCGACCCATATGGGCAGGCGTTCCGGATAGTCATGGGGAACCTCAAAACTCCCTATCCTAGAATGGATCTGTCCCTGGAGAGTCGGATACGTCTCTTTAAGGAACTGTTCGTCTGGGAGGGGAGGGACGATGACGACATACTGACGAGCCGAGACGAGCCGGTGGAACAGCTGACAGAGGACGAACTGAGGCGAGCGGCCGGGGGGATTAAACCCGGGAAAGCGCCGGGTCCGGACGGGATAGAGCCGCGGCTCGTGAAAATAGCCGTGGAGGAAGCTCCGGCAGCCCTGCTGGGAATGTATGAGCAACTGTGGAGGCGGGGGGTATTCCCAAAGCCATGGAAGGTGGCGAGACTGGTGCTGGCA